TAGTAGAACATTTCCGCACCTTAACAGTGCAGCTAGCTAATTGCAGAAACACTTGCAATCTCAACTTTGACCTCACAATAAGATGGATCCCAGGACACAAGGGAGTAGCAGGCAATGAGCTAGCAGATAAAGCAGTGAAGGAAGCAGCAGAAGGAGAGAGAAAGTCAAGCATACATGAATGTCTACCATCCTTCCTTCAACTCAGCAAACTCCCAGACAGCATCTCAGCCCTGAAACAATGGCACCAATTGGACCTGAACACCAGATGGACAGAAACCTGGAAGAAATCACCTCATTACGCACGTGCATGAACCATCAACCCCAGCATGCTGTCCAACAAATTCATTAAGCTCATTACCACCCTCCCTAGACGCCAGACAGTATCATCACCCAACTGTGGACCCGCCACTCCCCCCTCAACCAGCATCTTCATCGCATAGGGAAAAGTCACTCCCCTTACTGTTTGTTCTGTCCAGAAATAGTAGAAACTGTCCCCCACTTGCTATTTGACTGCTGTCAATACGCAAGAGAACACCACATCCTCTTGAATGCCCTACGCTGCAAAGCGACCTCACTCACCTACCTACTAACCTCCGATGATGCAGTCAGACCTGCTCATGCAATATGTTAATGGCACAGGAAGATTTAAAACCACATTTGGTGAGATCTTGGAAACATAATACTATACATGACTTAAGCATGCTTCATATATCAACAGGGAAACAGACACACATAGACAACACACCAAGCAAATAGATCTCCGAGACTAAAGGGAAAGACTAGTGCCAGCTGCTCAGTCACTGTAGAAGAAGAGAGGTGAAAGGAGCACATCTTAGACAAACAGACACCAGGATTGAAGCCATGACCAAGCCAAAGTCTCGCACAACATTTGACCAATACCCTCCCCAAGCAACTCATTAACTACATCATTCCCTCTGTACAAAATTGGTGTCGGCCTTTGCCCAACAACATACCAACAGAGTACGCATATATCCACTCAACAAAGATAGATTACCACAAATATGTACGATAGTGTAGCAGGAGTAAGCCCCCGTGTATAGGGTTATGTCCGACATAGGGTCTTCGACCCCAAAGGACCATAAAATGGATTTTATAATAATAAAAAAGTCTGGAGTAGAAATGGAGCAGAGATAGACTACCCTAAGGTAGAGCTGGAGATATAGTCTAAGGAGTTGATCCTAAGGCTTGGAGGTGGACAGGAGGAATGACTCAAGTCCAGAGACATAGGAATGAGCAGGAACTAAGTTAATATTTGAACTGAGGAGGTACAGAGTGTTACAGGAGTTTATATACTGTAGGTATTGAGTAAGTAATCAGTCAGCACAGTACAAGGCTATGTATGAAGCATGTAGAAAGTCTATTAGTAAGTCTTTAATGGATCAAAGGAAATGGAATTGGAAATGAATATGGAGAATGGATCAGTAAACAAGACAGAAAAGAATACAACTGGTAGCTGGAGAAGGGGAAGTCTAAATGGAGACAGGTGCAAGGTTAGGTTTAGGCCTGGGAATGAAACAGGAGTGCTGGATGGAAATCAGGTTGGAAGTCTGGGTATGAGACAAAATCTGAAGTTCTGGGTCCGGAAATGTGGGATATGACAAGGGCTTAGAAAAGGTAATATTCAGACTGAGTATCTACAGACAAATGTACATATGTTTACATACTCTAGGTAAGTAGCATAGCATAGCAGAGGGATATGTGTTGAGCGTACAGTATTACAAGAGGATGACTGAGACAAATGAGAATGAGGCTTAGAGAACAATATGTACGTGACAGATCAATAATCACTCGGGTACAGGAATTACTGGTGATCCAAAAGGAGAACTATAGTATCAAAAGGAGATAGGACCAGTTGAGTGGTTCCTTGTCTATAAGGAGACTAGTCAGGCAGTCAGGCAGACTAACCATCGGGTGGGTTGATGCAAGGGGAACTGAAGGAAACAAAGGGGGTCAGAAGAGCAGAAATGGTGGTGGGGTAGGAGTAGGATCGGGTGGACTGATAGAGCAGAGGAGTGGAGCTCTAGATAGGGTTGGATGGTAGGAATATAGTGTCAGAGGAAATAGGGGTAGTGTTGGAGGAGTGGAATAGAGTTAGGCAGAGGTATATCACCAAAAGTCCAGAAAACAGGTATTACCCTATTAGGCTGATGGTCACAAGATTTTCTGGGTCAAGGGTTATGGCTTCTGAGACGATGACGCCAGTGCTTGATCATTATGATGTTGAGTAGTTCAAAGCTTACCATTGTTCTCATGTGTGCTATGCAAATGAGATGCTTTTGTCATTGTGATCACAGCCTGATATACTGCTTGAAGCTTGATCCCTCCCTGATATTCACTGCAATACATACAGCACACTTTGAATGCCCAGTTAATGGAAGGAGCTCGTTGAGTCCATAGTGGATTCATATACATATTGTAATTAGGTTCTACTACTATAAGTCTCATCCGTATCTGATATTCCCTTAGCATGTACCCTAAGTCTGATTAAATGTGATAAGTATGTATCTCGAATGTAATGTTACAAAGCTCCATATCTCTCCTGTGCGAGAATGTCATCATCAAGCTCCTCTCCTGAGTCAGCCCTAATTCGGTCTTCATGAACATCCTCACTGTTATTGTCATTGTCGCTATCATCCTCATCACCCTCACCATCCTCTTCATCATCCTTGTCATCCTTGTCATCCTTGTCATCCTTGTCATCCTTGTCATTGTTGTCACCTACCTCACCTAACTCAAACTCCAGGTGTTCATCATTATCAACAGAAACCACAGCACTGTCATTTTTCAGGAATTCATCCCACTCTTGTGTGACCTGGTGACCAACACCACCTCCACAAAAGCATACAAACATATTGTGATCAACAAAACCATTCATTATATCTGTCATATACCTGATCTGACCGCTCCGGTATTGATATCCGCTCCACTTTCCAACCACCTCCGCTCCATCCATCCTCCGCTCTGTCCAATCACAGTCCGCATTCCGCTCCTACACTTCTGCTCAACCGCCCAACCAGTCCCCTTCCATAATGTCTCCATTCAACTGGAACCACTTTCCCCTTTTAGATATATACTTTCCCCTTCGGCAGACCCTTCAGTCATATGTACTGCATAACCTGTTGATAGGACATGTACATTGACCTGCAAAACCAGGTGTACAGGACACCGGCCGGCCAATGCACTGCCTGTATAGGCCGGTCATGCAGAGCCTGTGCAGGCCGGTGTCCTATATACAGAATGATATCTCTGCAGTATCTGTGTAGGCCGGTGATGCAGACCCTTGCAGGCACTACCTATATACATATCCAGGCTGTGGTTGACATGTGGGTAGGCCTGGTCATGCAGGCTGTATGGGGTGGCCAGCCGCTGTGCTGCTGGTTTCTGCCACAGTAGGCCAGCCTGCCTCTGCAATATGTGGCAGGGTGTCGGCCGGCCTAGGGAACAATTGTTGCTCACAGGGCCAGCCCACAGTAGCAGCCTGTGGGAAGGGACCGGCCGGCTTGCTTCTCATATCTGGCTGAGTAGGCCAGTGCCCCCTTACGGTCTGCAGGAAGGGGCCGGCCACCATCATGTGAGCATCTGGCCCAGCAGGCCTGTCCATTTCTGTAGTATGTGGTATGTGGCCGGCCATGCCTATGAATGAATTTCTTGCTGGGCCAGCCCCCCCTTACAGTCTGCAGGAAGGGGTTGGCCGCTATCATGTGGGCATCTGGCCCAGCAGGCCTGTCCATTTCTGTAGTATGTGGCATGTGGCTGGCCGGCCTAGGATCTGACCCAGTGGCCTGCCCACCCCAGCAGTATGTGGGAGGTGGCCGGCCGGCCTAGGAATGAATTCTTACTTCCTTTTATGGTCTGCATGGAGGGACATACTGCTGGCATACATGTGAGTAAATATTAGGACACTTAACAGATTTGACAATAGCATTCATTCATGGATTTTAAAGTTATCATTTTGAAGCAAATTTGAGTACATTTGAAGAGATATTTATTGGAGTGGGTGTGTTGTGTGCTTAATTTATAGCTTATGACACATCTATTTACTCCTGCATACTGCATTCCAGAACTTTATGTGGCGATCTGACCTTTAGAGCCAACCACAAAACTAGCCTCCAGCACCAATAAGTTGGCCATGGGACAAGATCCACTTCGATTTTCTTCAAAACACAAATATGGCACTTTGTATTATGTTGGGGTGAACCTCAATACAACATACATAAGGATTCTGTCAGAATTGCATGTGCTAGAGTCAATTTGTAGACTCTTGGGACATACTTTCTCAATACTTTTGTCTTTTATCTGGCAACAGAATTGACCAAGCAGGAGAGTTGGAGACTGGCACCTGTGCCCTTACAATTAATGTATAGGAGTATACCTCCTCGCCATTCTGACCCAACCACTCAGTAAAGCTCCAGTGGGTTATACACTCATTTTCTAACAACATTTATGGAGTACCCCTTATCATCACACCTAACCACACTAAGTCAAGTTCTACTTCCTATACTGGGCTAGATACCCAAATCATGTCGGCCGGCCATGGCCTGCAGGTTGCAAATGGAGGCTGGCCCTACAAGCAAGAATTCTCTGCCAGGCCGGCCGGCCACTCTCCACATACTGCAGGGGTGGGCAGGCCACTGGGCCAGATGCCCAAAGCCCGCGGCCGGCCCCTCTACGCATGCTGCAAAGGGAGGCTGGCCGGCCAAGAATTCATTCCTGGCCGGCCGGCCACATACCACATACTACAGAAATGGACAGGCCTGCTGGGCCAGATGCCCACATGATAGCGGCCGGCCCCTTCCTGCAGCCTGTAAGGAGGGGCTGGCCCAGCAAGAATTCATTTGTAGGCCGGCCGGCCACAGCCCACATACTGCAGAGCTGGGCAGGCCACTAGGCCAGAATCTGTTTACATTCTGAATACTCACATCACACTTTTTTCAAGTCAGGAAGATCAACATTACATTAGCATATCAACTCGTGAACTATCAACTTGTTATAAGTAATTTTCCTTCAAAATTCTTGAGGCCCTGAGCTGAAAATTCTGCCCACATAGATGCCTGCCTCTCAGCATATGCCCTATTCCCATTCTTGATGCTTTCATCTGCCCGAACTCTCCACCTCTCCTCCTGTGTCCGAAACCAGGATATGGTCCAAAACATTTCATATTGTACCAATTTCAGTTCTTCTGACCAATGGTCATACCGTGCTTTAGCTTTCAACCAATTCACACGATAAACTGGAAATGGGGAAATAAGGTAATTCACTTGATAAAAAACAGATCACAATAAAACTTACACTCATTCATCCATACGTTCTTCTGACTGTCCTCCTGTATTGTTGATCCTCCAAAACCAAGCCAATTTATCTGAACCCTGCCCATGCCTGTTTTCTTCTGTGACTTCTTTGCTCACCACTAGGTCCTGAGGCTTTAGGGGTTGATACACTGCCACTGTATCAGAGTCAGCCCCTAGGCAGAGCATTGCAGCCCTTGCCCGGCTGTAACCTCTTGCATGTCTGTTGATGGAGAGAGTTATCGTTTGGAGTTCCTTTTTAGATCTAGTGCCCTGGTGATGGACTGATTTGTTGGAGTGTATTTTCTCCCGAAAGACGACTGATCTATCACCCAGGGCTTGACGAAGCTTTTCCAGGCAGTCGTTTGCTTGACCCTTTTGAAGCTCGAGTTCTTCTTGACGTAATGTCAAGACAACATCATCCATGATGTGACCAGAGGCTGCCCATGATGGCATCCAAATCTCGGTGACTTCGGCAGGTGAGTCAATATTACCGTCAAAGTCCAAAATGTCCTCTTCCTCTGGATCTTCCATATTGGATATGTCAGCCTCCTCCAGGCACAGTTCAGGGTTGTCCAGTGGTGCTCCTTCACCTCCCTTCAATTCCATACCATTAGTCATGACCTCTGCAGCCTCATGGAACTTAATAATCTGTGCCATGAGCTTTTGCCGTTTTTCTTCGATCCCGGTTCTCTGGGAAGCAGTCAGATCCTGGGGCAGCTGCCTTATAGACAATCTCAAGGCATCTCTAGTAACACAATTTAAGTCAATCCAATCTGAAAGTCAGAATACCTTACTGAGAATTTTCTATATTTATACCCTCGATCAACCATGCAACAGACCCAGTCCTACCATTAGCAGATAGTTCATTTTCAGTCAATCTGAGACGTATTTCAGCCATAGAGGGTGCTTTAAATTATTTTCCATCAGGGCAAAATCAATGTCCATCACACAAGACCTACCTTTGTCCATTTTAAGCTGATAGATGTCAAGAAGCTCTCCACGGTCCTGAGCCGCTTTTTCGGCTGCCTTTTTCCACTCCTGAACATCATCCAAGTCAAGTGATCTGGTTAATTCCTCATATGGACCCTGAGTGTCACTAATACCCTGTAGGGCATGACAATACTTTTTGAGTAATGACTTGACTTTTGCCAAGTTTATGTCAGGTGAAGTAACAGAAACCAGAATAAATTGGACTTGCCAATGCCAACCAGCTTCTTCCAATTGGAATCCCGCATATGGTCATCCAATACTTCCTTTCGGTGAGCCAAAGACATGGATCTTGCAGTAGGGGAAATCTTGTTGAAAGGAGCCCAGAGTGTCTCCAATATTTCCCCATCAATATGCCCGGCTCTGGTCATAAAATTCAGGCTGAACCTAGCAAAGCATTGAAGCTTATGTGCGCTCAAATGAAACTTGCCAACTGCAGGTAATATTTTGGTCCCCTCGGGAAGGGACAGATGATAGCTCTGGTCCACCCGTTCAGCAAAGTGAATACTCCACTGACATGCAACATCATAGATGATGAGTGTACTGCCAATAGGTTCGGGTGTATATTTAACTGCATTACAAATGGAATAGTCCATGTTCATGTGCCTGACTACAGGGTCAGTCCATTGTCTGAAACAACAAAATGATCACAGACCGCTCTCCATTTTGGAAGTCCACCACTGCGTGAGGAACAAAGCATCCATGCCTAGCACATGCTGTTGCCCCAACCCCTGTAGCTCTAAGGTTGCTTCTTTGGATGTTTGTTGCATTCACTGCCCGATGATTGCTGCAAGTGGATTTCTTCAAAAATATTATAAGTCGGGAGGAACCTATCATTCAAAATCATCACTTGCCTCTCTCTCTTCTACAGAATCATGGATGTGAGCTTGATAAGGTCCCTCTGTTACCATGTAACCCTTTCCATCTGCTAGAGAAACATCGTCTTCCGGAATTTTCATTTTCATATGTTGTGCTGTGAAATTTCAATCGACCACATATCTTCGCATAACTAACCACCTACCACAGACCAATAATGAGCGACATACTACTGCAATAGTTATGAGTCAGCTTACTCTTCATAGTCATATCTCCAAGACGTTGGCAAGTTGATTCCAGGTTGTGGACATGCTGGGCAATAAAGGGCTAAATCCCCTGGACCAGGGGATTGTTCCGTGTCATGTCCAAACCCGAACCTTTTTCTATTGACCAAATCCCGCCATATACGTGACACTCGCATAAGCTCACGGTATCGGTCCTTTTTATCCTATCAGCAGGGCACACAATCATATAAAATTACTCACCGGTATTTTATCAGGGAATGCGTTGTTTGTGAACCGACGGAGCTTTTGATAGAAACTCATGGCTGAAGTCTTGCACTCCAAAGCATCTATGAGGAAGTTATCCAAGACATCGAATGTGAAAGCAGATTGAGGGCGAGTGAGACTGGCAGGAAATAACCTTGCTTTCATGAGATCGAGATGATGTGCCTTCTCAGCTCCAGGACACTGGCACCATGATACACTGTGTGAGTAAACACCAGTAGAGTGCACAATGACCAGGTTAGATACTCCTAACTGCGTGTCATTAATCGTATCCCCCTCCTCCTGTGCAAATACATCTTCCATGGACCCGAGATCTTCCCAGGGAGATGGGTCCGGCTGATGTGAGAGATTGGGGCAAGGTTCCCCCCCATGGCCAAGATACATTATATAACCTTGAGCCTGCAGGGTAGTAGTCTCGTAGAACCTGCCATTCCAGAGTTGAAGGTTGTGGAAGGGGTTGTGTTGATGAGCTTTAAGAACACAAGAAGGACACCAAGCACGTGTTCCTGAGCAAGACAAACACCGGATCAACCCCTCTCCTTCTCCACAATCATTGCATTTCCCATTGTTGACCAGCTGCTCTAAGTCCAATAACACTGAAAGATATTCAGTACGCCAAGGCAAATAATCTCGAAGGAAATCATTTTGGGCCTGCACATGATTTTTTTTTTTTAAACTTGAGACTTTAAAATTCAATGAACTCACTTTTGTTTTTCTTTTCATACCATCCAAGCCTCCCATCCAAAAATCACCATGAACCTCTCGGTTGTATTCCAGTGGTATATGATCTTCAATATGGTGGTGCCTGATTTGTTTTGATGGTGAAGCCACTTCTATCTCACTATCAGAGTCCTCATAGACAAATGAAGCATTAGCTTCTTTCCACGAATCTTTTCCCCTCCGAGTTTTTGAAGGGATATATGCATATTTATAAGCCCCTCTTTTTCTCTTTGATGGGCCAGTTCCAGATGAAGATGGCTGGACTCTGACCCTTTTTCTATTCCTCAGTGTGATTTGTGAGCTCATGAAATCGAGAGTCTGTCAAAGGGGACAAAACAACAAGAACATTGGCATTATCCGGGCAGTCCACCACCACCACCACCACTTCCCACACACCCCAAAACAGTCCTGTTCCTATCCTAACTATATTTGTAATTTATTGGCTCTCCGACCCGCGGGTTTGGGTTTCCTCCCTACCAACTCCAAAAAGTTCTTCTGCAAAGGAAAACTTGGCCTTGGCACTTTAACTCTATCATGCACAGCATCCTTCATAAAATGGGCAACCACAATTCTTTCTCCATTAATCCAAGGACCCACAGAGTGCTCCAGTACCCTACCGGCAATGTAGACCATTGCACCAGGGGAATAGTCTAGCTCTGCATGGACATCGGCCAAAGAAAGAGTTGCATGATGGTTTCGACCTAAACTGACTAGAAGATCAAAAAGTGAAGGAGATCCACCAGGATCTCTGTGGCTGAAGGTTGTTCGGTTGGCAATGATTTCCAACCCTGAAAAGATAGAGGGCCAAGAATCCACCGGAGCCGAATTCTTTTTTCGCCTCCGAACTTCCTTGACAACCTTGGAAAATGCAGAGGAGCCTGATTCAAAAAGGTCTGGTGCCACTGCTGCAGTAATGGAGTTCCATAGAAGTTCTGAAGTTGTCAAGGCACCTAGCCATTGTTGGACCTTCTTTGAGTTGTAAGACTCAGACATTACCAGAGGATCTATCAATCGCTAATCACCAGGTGAGAACTAGGAAAATTCAGCACTGAAAATACAATACCTCTTGTCTTTGCATGAAATATGCAGGAGACACAGTAATCCTACCAGCCCCAAATTCGCCCCCTCCCTCTGGCAGCACAAAGCCATCATCTCGCCAACTTTTCTTTTGATCCGAAATGGGCGGCAGGGTGTCAAGAAGAGAATCCCGTAAGCTTGAGGTGGCATTGTTAATGTAATCCTAATTAATAAATCAGCCGCTGAGGGAAAATCCCCATCCAGAAATGTACTAGACGAGAAGGTGACAAAATATTGGGCAGGTAAACCATCGAGATTCTGCCATGCCTGTCCACAAGGGTGGCCGGAGTTGAAATTTTGCTGAGCACTGCCTCAGGGAAGTACTTCTTGAGCCTTTCCGGTTCAGAGGTTGCTGACCCATCCCAATTCGGTTGAGACAAGTTGACCCTGTCAGCATATCAATCCACATCCCAATCAACATTGACTATACTTCTGCTTTAGAATTCATGACAGTTAAAAATATTTGGGGACACTCACTGGGATTGACCATTGCATGGGCAATAGTTAGTGCGGCCCGATCAATTTCATATTCTGAAATTGATGTATCGGTAAATGTAGTGTGATCCGGCGTTGCCAAGCAAATCTGGAGGTGCACTGATATTCTCATTCTAAAAGATTAATCAATTAGAATTCAGCTAAAATTGATGATCCACCATAGATACCTGGCTTTATGCAACAGCTTAGTTACCACTTGCCCATCTTTCAGGACACCCATTTCAGATGAATTCCCAAGTATCTTGCTGATCCTGCTACTCAGAGCTTCCCTTACTTCAGATGCCTGGCTCTTCAGGTTCTCTTCCATGGTGGATGTAAAAAAGAAAATGAACCAAAGTTCTCACGGACTTCAAACTTAGTTGTGATGTAATTAATGAGTCTATAAATAAACATGATTAGGCTAATTATCGCTAATTAAGGCATATTTGGTAACACCCAAACTCTTGGCGATGCTAATGAAGTTTACAGTACTCTGCTGTCATCCAGACCTTTCTAATATCGAAGTCACTGCGCGGAATAGAAGGAGCAGATGATATGTAGACCTGATAGATGGGTTTATAAACCGAGCGCAATAGAAGAAGCAGATGATATGTAGAAAGGGAATATGTTAAGGGACTACACTCTGATAGATGGGTTATAAACCGAGCGCAGTAGAAGGAGCAGATGATATGTAGAAAGGGAATATGTTAGGGGACTACACTCTGATAGATGGGGAAAAAAATGAAGTGGTGGTAAGATAGCTATGATAGCACTAGTACATTACATTGTTCACATCCAAATGCCTTCCTATACCATGATCTCTCCAAATGCCTTCCTATACCATAATCTCATCCTTGTCAATATTCACGACATGCTCCTCATCAAGGGTGAAGATGACCATATCCTATGATAGTGTAGAAAGTGTCAATATATAGCCGCAAAATATAATATAATGTACTCACATTTGTTGAGTCATCTGGGTCGACGAGCATAGCATGCTCCTCATCAAGGGTGAACACAACCATATTCTATGATAGTATAGAAAATGTCAATATATAGCCGCAAAATAAAATATAATGTACTCACATTTGTTGAGACGTCTGGGTCGACGAGCATAGCATGCTCCTCATCAAGGGTGAACACGACCATATCCTATGATAGTGTAGAAAGTGTCAATATATAGCAGCAAAATATAATATAATGTACTCACCTTGTTTGCGTCTTGGTCAACAAGCATCGTATGCTGGTGTAGAGGTAGAGTGATTGAAGGTGAAAAGAAAGATTTAATCTAATTAAAAGTGACGGTTAGAAGACTTGATCTTTGACTGTAAAACATTACCAAATACGATGTCTTGAGTTTCCTCGAGAAACAAGTAATGATGCTGTAGGGTATAGATAGTCCTGGTAAATAAACTCACCGTTACTGACAGCGCTGCAACATATGGATGATAATGCAGTAAGTGAAGCATAGGGTATAGATAGTCCTGGTAAATAAACTCACCGTTACTGACAACGCTGAGATATGGAGAAGGGCGAAAATGGGTGTATAAGTGGCAATAGGAAAAACGCGACAAGGACCATGATGCACCCTATCAGTCGCCATCACTATACAGTGTTTGTATAGTGGTGGTACTGACATGGGCTCATGTTTTGGGATACCAGGCGATGATGAAGGAAAAACGCAACAATGACCATGATGCACCCAGTATCAGTCGCCATTAGACAGATATAATCTCAAGATACCCTTCAAGGTGCACTCTCACGATCACATGACATTTATTTTTGGCAAAAAATTAAGGATCACATGACATTAAAATACCCATAAAGGGCAATACATTTGCGCTATGGCTTCACTAAAGTGTACAAGGTTGACAAAAATAAAGAAAGACAAAAGACTAATGTAAGTGATGCAAGACAAGGATGGAGGGGCCCTCTCCATCCAAGCCTTGCACCCTAGAGTACAAAATATAAGAAAAATGCGCAGTAACTAATAATCTAATGTAGTGGAAGTCAGTATGATATTGAATATTAAGCCGGCACTTACCAGTTTGAAACATAACCAAGGAAAACTGATATAGAAAGCTAGAGAAAGAAATGCGGTTAGTGGTAGAGTATGATTGAAAGAAGAAAAGAAAAAACCCACTCAACCAGACAGGCGCAAAGCAAGAAAGTGTCATAGAAAGCTAGAGAAAAAAATGTAGTTAGTGCGGTATATTTGTAGAAGAAGAAATAAGGGGGCTTAACAAGGCAGGCGGAAAATCTGAAAGAGAGGTGAGTAGGCGTAAAAACTGGACAAAAGTAAAGGCGCCAGTCTCTAGGGACATGGTTGGCCAAGAGCATATCCCCCAGATCCCAAAGTCCAAGGCGCCAGTCCCTGGGGACATGGTTGGCCAGGAACACAACCCCCAGATCCCAAAGTAAAGGCGCCAGTCCCTGGGGACATGGTTGGCCAGGAAGAAATAAAAAAACAAAGGGTTAGAGGCGCCAGTCCCTGGGGACATGGTTGGCCAAGAAGAACTAAAACAAAGTCAATCAAGAACCAAGAGAAAGGACTGACCTTAAGGCGCGCTATCAAAAGCTTGATAGCGCACCAGCTGTCAAAATAAAATAAAACCAAGTCAGTACTACAAATCATATGACTTAACATTACTTACTGAGAGCGGTAAAAAGTCAATGTAACACTGCCTTTGAACACTTGCAGCTGCAGTCTGCAAGTGGCCAAAGGACAGGTACAAAAAGATAAGGAAGAAAGGTGTAATAGTGTAATATATATGGGTTATGGGACAAAGTGGAAACATGGTTGAAGTTGAGAAAGACGAACCATGGGAACAAGGTTGATGGTTGAAGTATTGTTTGTTGATTTGTTGTTGTTTGTACCAAATGTTCCCGCACTCAATTCTACTGGTTGTCGGACTTTGCCGGTGGAAGTCACGTGCATGTTTGGTTGGTTTTTTGACTTGTTTCTTTTGTCTAAGTCTCTTCTCTCTCTTGTCAACGCGTCTCTTTGATCATGTGAGTGTCTTTTGTTTGTTTTTGTCCACGTGTCTCTTTTGCTGACGCGTTTGTTTTCTCAACGTGTCTCTTTTGTTCCACACATCTCTTGTGTCCACGCGTCTCTTGTGTTGACGCGTCTCTTAAGTCATGTGAGTTTTCTTTATTCTATTTCTATGCTAATACTAACTACAATACCAGCTCTTGTCACCCACTATGGTCCACACCAAGAACACTGCCAAGAAATCCACTGGCAGCTCAGCCCCACGCATCCTCCTCAACATCTCAAGCACCCGGACTTCTGGAGTGGATAGCCGGAGAAGGAAGGCTTTGACTGCCTCCAAGGTCAAGCCTGTGGGAGGTGGGGACATTGAGAAGAGAGATGCTCATTATAAGGTGTGTCTTACTTTTTCTGTCTTGTATTTGCTGATTCACTTTATCTTTCTCTCTTCTGAAGGCTTTGACCGCTGCCAAGGCCACCTTGCCTATGGGAGGTGGGGACTTGGCAAATACAAGTGTTCACAATGAGGTGCGTCCATTTTCTCACTAATCTAGTTACTAATGTGCTTTATCTTTCTTCCTTTTAGTATTGCATTGTCTGCAGGGATGGTGCAGGGCGCTATGAAGAGAATACTCTCTTCATGTGCACTCTGTGTCCCAGAGTTGTGTGCAGGCTCTGCCTGCAGCTGCCGCCTGACTTAGAGACCACAGTCCTGCAGGACAACATCTCTTTCTAGGTGCATTTGTTGCCACATCAAGATGGAACAAGGTGGCGCCTACTTTGTGAGTTTTTTTATTTTATTTTATTTTTTTGTTCACCCCTCATTGATAACAGGGTTTCTATAACGCCAACCACCTTCTGGTCTTGGACAGGTTCTTACCCATCAATGGCGCGCTTGAGGTGTCTGAGCAAGCCGAAATTTCAGCAGCCACAGTCATTTTCATTCACCTCATCCTCGTCAACTTCACAGTGGCTGGTAGCCCTATGGAGTTTGCTCATTCCTTCCTCAAGCCCTACTATACTGGCGACCGCATCCAGTATCTCAACGTCTACTATGACATTGGCACTGATGCCAAGCTTCCCTGCCTATCCACAGCAACATCCAGAAGATAATGAAAGGTTTGAAGAAGTCCTTTGTCTGGGAGCGTGTTGTGATTGGCGTCTCTACTCACACTGATGAGGATTTTGGAGACCCTTTTACTGGGTATGAGGATGATGCCTCAGAGGGCTATATCAGCACTCCGGTCAATGATGTGAGTTTTTTCTTTTCTTTCATAGTGCGCCAATAAGTGACCCTTTTTACAGTTCTTGGAAATAATTCTCCAACCCTGGCAAACTCTCATTGATGCCGCCCAGGAATCCTACCTCTGGATGTTCTGTTGTGGCCACCTTGTCACCAACTTGGACTCATTCCATGGCTTGCAAGAGGCTGTTGTCCGGATGAGTTTTTTTTTTCCGTTTATTTGACATCATCTAATGTTCCTACAGACACAAATTAACCGGTACCATCACATTCAATGCTCCTCGGTTTCAGCCCTCTTTCACCTCGCACTTGCTCATTGCGTTCACAGAGAGGGTTCTCATTGGACGTTGCCCACTTTGTTTAGCATTCAAGGATATGCTTGCACAAGCCTGTGACCTTGGTCGCCACTCTGACATTTATCTGCTGACACCTGTCAAGGAGGGCGCCCTCACTTGCTCTAGGTTTGCATGGGCTAATGTGGAGTTCCATCCTTGGGGCCACCGCCTGCCTATCCAATGCAGTGGGTGTGGTTGGGCTAATTCTTGGAGGTCCGCCTATTTCAAAGGCAGCAAGGACAAGGCTTATATTTTTGAGTGCAAAAATGACTCTTGCAATGTAAGCCATACATTCTCTCAGCCACCAGGGTCCACAGTACTTTATTCTGGTAGGAAGAATGGTAGTACTTGGTTGGATATTCCATTGGAGACACAGTTGGCTTGATTTACATATTTTTCTTGAATATCTGTCTTACTTTGTACTTTGCTTCATGTTATCATTGTTCTGAGTTTGAGTAATCATTTGTTTGGTGTCTGAATCTTGAGATTTGGTATATAAGCTAATGTCATTGAATTTGTGAGTTGGTCAGATTTATACTTGGGTGATTTTGTGCTGGTTATTTGAATCATGTGACCTCAAGATAGTCACCTGATGAGCATGTGACCGTGTTTTGATCATGTGACATGGTTTGTTGATCTGTTGTCAAGTGAGTTGGTACTGGTTACACATTCTGCAAACTTATACCGGCCTCCATTCTCAAGATTTTTGCATACAATGGCTGACTGGACACATGTATTCAAGGCTGTTTTGGATGAGCACGAGATTTCCTATGTTTCAGCTAAAGGAAACCCTGCTGAGAGGGCAAAAATCCTCAAAAGCATCAAAGATGCCATACTTGAAAGTGACCAGGCCAAGGATGCTTCGACTATGCTTCCAGGCAATAACATTCGGAAGGTGAGCTTCCAGTCTCTTTGTCTATATTAATCTAATTTTATAGGCTATCCGTACATATTACTTGCATTTTCTGGAGGATGACGAGGACCGCGATCTTGAGCAAAAAATCATTGAGGGAGCTCATAAACTCACATCTGGTGCAGGCATCATCACTGTAGATATGGTCAAAGGCCGTCAGGATGACAAGCCTCTGGATGCTGCAGCATTCAAGACCGAATTCTCTCCTTTTGATGTCGCACAGAAGTTGTTCAAAGAAGAAATTGGGGAGTATGACAAGAAGCACCGTGACACCTCTGACCTAAGGTCCATGGGGACAAGGACAAAGCTGGTCCGGTCCTGGTACAATGCCCTGTCACCAGATGTACATGAGGAGCTCAGACTTGTGGCAGAAAAGTGGAACCAGGAAGGTGCTCTTTCCGACGCCAAGGACAGGTATTTTTTTAACACTACATTGCTATATTTAGGAAAAACTCATGTGTATCTACAGATACCGCAGCCGACACCAGAAGAAAATCATGGAGGACTTCATAAAGATGGCAGGAAGAACCATGGGTTTACATGTTGTGATGCTCGTAGCTCATGATCGAGGGGAGGGGAAAATGCCTGGAACAACCATGTCAGTGTTATTTTTTTCCCATTGACATTACCATTGACAATCTATTGGTTTAGTTGGGAATCCTGTCCCAGGAAGGCGAAGAAAACCTTTACTCTGGCTACCAAAGACAACAAGAAATGGGCTGGAGAGTCCCAAGACCGACTTGCTGACTGGCTGAATGAAGCTGAGTATAGTAAGTCTTGGATACAGTAATTTATTTAATTGCTAATGATCTAACAACAGGCTTAGACACTGAGGACCAATCTGACGAGGAAGATGAGAAGTTGCCCAATTTAACAGTGGAGGTAGACGATGAGGGCTATCCTTGCCTACCGACAGGCTTTGAATCTCTCATGCTCAAGAACCAGCAGAAGGTCGTATGAAAGGTATTTCAAAAGGCTTATGGTGATTCATTTCTATTTTCGAAGTACTGTATTTTTCTGACTGCTTACATTCAACAGTGGTCATCTCAAACAACCCTAGGGCTGCAGTCCCCTGGGGTCATATTACCCAAGATCCAGACCATTACCTTGACATGGACTGTATTCCTCGAAATGTCGTCATCAAGGATCCTTCTCACCTGCAGAAGGAAGCCATCAGTATGATTTTTTTCACTTTGGAAATATCGTGCTAACCGTAATGAACCAATTGTCCGGTTCGTTGGGTATAAGGAAGGCGACTTCTATGATTCACTGGCTAAGAAGGGGGATGTAAGTAAAAAATCAAGGAAGAACCCAAAATATGTCGAAGTATCATCAGATGAGGACAAGGTACTGAAGAAGGCCCCCCAAGCCAATGGTTCTTCTGACGAAGAGGATGACTTGGAAAGCCACACCCCATCTCTTTCCGATTCCTGCCCGAAATTCCATATGGGTGGTGACACAGTTGGTTATCTTCAATCCCTCTCTACCCTCCCAACATATTCTCGTCTGTTGGCCACAGTTCAAAAACTCTCCAAGACAGTATGTATAATTCACTACATTTGTGATAACAGCATTAAAATTGACTATTTTTTGAAAGCAAACTCCTGATCCTAAGGGCAAGGCTAGGAAGCAACATCTGCCTGTCTGGGCATCTTGGACGTGGTCTGAGGCATATCTACCTCAAAATATGCACAGTGATATTCAGGCTTCCTCTGTCGCTTTGGAGGAACTAGGCAACTATGTTATCAAATCTCGTGGTTTGGGTATGATTGTTGTCCTGGGCCTTGGACTCCTCATTCGTGAGTGTTGCTGCACTCAGGAGTATGAAGCAGATGAGGCTGGAGATGATGTGCCTCAATATTTGGGCGACTCCATCCTTGGCTTCGAGGTGGGGGACAAGGTTGAAGAGGCCATTATCAGAATCCAGGTGAAGGTGGACGCAATGCTGCCAGATGGTAATGAGAAGCAGATGACAGTGGGGGAAGAAGTTCACATGAGGCGTCTGGAGAACAAAAGGCAGGTGAAAGAGAGGAGGGAGGCAGAGCAGGCAAAGGTGGCTGAGGAAAAGAGGGTGGCTGAGGAGAAGAGGGTTGCTGAGGTGTCTCAGATGACTGATTAGAGGGCTGCCACATCAAAGAAGGCAAGCAGTACTAACACTGGAGGAAAAGGGAAGGGTAAATGCCCAGCAACAGATGTGGATGATTCAGTCATGAAAAAGGTGAAGACATCTGCTCCTCCTGATCCTCCTCGTCACTCTACCAGAGACAGAGCAGCTTCAAAGAAGTTTAAGAACTGAGACATCATCATTAGCACAATACCTTAGAATCCCCTTCTTGCAGTTTGTTGTCAGATACACTTGAATTTTCATGTCTTTTTGAGTAACATTGATGTTAGCACTGACAATACTTTAGCAGGATGCATAGATGGAATGACCGACCCACTGATACCTTATTGGACTATTGGCCAGCCAGTCTGTGCAGCATGTAGGCCATGGCCGGCCGACCTACTGGTATTATATTGACCTAGTGGGCCAGCTGCCCTATACAGGATGTAGAACAGGGGCGGCCGCCCCACTGAACACTTTTTGGGCCTTTGGGCCACCCGGTCTATGCAGTATGTAGGACATGGCTGGCCAGGCTACTGATAACATATTGGCCCATTGGGCCAGTCAGTCCATGCAGTATGTGAAGCATGGGCGGCTGGCCTGTCAATAACATATTGGCCCATTGGGCCAGTCAGTCTGTGCAGTATGTGAGGCATGGGCGGCCGGCCTATCAATAACATATTGGCCCATTGGGCCAGCCAGTCTGTGCAGTATGTAGGCCATGGGCGGCTGGCCTATCAATAACATATTGGCTCATTAAGCCAGCTTCCCTAGTCACCTGTAAGGAGTATATGTAGACTGTATTTTTATTTTTTATTCAGTCACCATTTATATTATCCCATATGAGATAAGAAGTGTAGGTAGACCTCAATATTTATGCAGGCTGTCCTAAATGCTCTAATATCAAATGAAATTCCATACAGGAGTAGGTCTAGCCAACCTCACTCATGTAACAAAAGATATATCTCATGGGATAGATGTAGGATCCCTGCAGGTTCATGCCTCATATAGAAAATGATATTTCTATGCTACTTATTTTAGTCACCATTTATACTATCCCATACGAGATAAGGAGTGTAAGTAGACTGTATTTTTGTTTTTTGTTCAGTCACCATTTATATTATCCCATATGAGTTATATGTTTTATTACATGAGTGAGGTTGGCTAGACCTACTCCTGTATGGAATCTCATTTGATATTAGAGCATTTAGGACAGCCTGCATAAATATTGAGGGTGCAGGTTGGCCAGATCTACTTCAATATTCTGGTTTGACCTATATAAGTAGCATAGAAATATCATTCTCTATATGAGGCATGAACCTGCAGGGGTCCTACATCATCAGCAAAAAATATATTTTCTATATGGAGCATTGGCCTGTAAGGGTTCTGCATCACCAGCATATACAGGGAGTGTAGAGATATTATGATTTGACTGAGGCATCGGCCTGCAAGGGTCTGCATCACCGGCCTACACAGATACTGCAGAGATATCATTCTGTATATAGGACACCGGCCTGCAAGGGTTCTGCATCACCGGCCTATACAGGTAGTGCAGAGATATCATGATCTGGCTGAGACATTGGCCTGCAAGGGTCTGCATCACCGGCCTACACAGATACTGCAGAGATATCATGATCTGGCTGAGGCATCGGCCTGCAAGGGTCTGCATCACCGGCCTACACAGATACTGCAGAGATATCATTCTGTATGTAGGACACCGGCCTGCAAGGGTTCTGCATGACCGGCCTATACAGGCAGTGCAGAGATATCATTCTGTATATAGGACACCGGCCTGCACAGGTTCTGCATGGCCGGCCTATACAGGCAGTGCATTGGTCGGCTGGTGTCCTGTACACCTGGTTTTGCAGGTCAATGTACATGTCCTATCAACAGGTTATGCAGTACCATAAGACTGAAAGGTGTGGGTCCACGCCATTTATGGGAAGTGGTATTGTGGCGTATATGTTACCAAACTGTGAGAACACCCATGCTGAGCTCAAAATGGGATTCACTACAAAGAGGCTCATCGCATGCAAGGACTTTTCTTTCTGATTTCTCTCTCTCGACTCTACCATAACTAGATAATACGTACTACAGAACATAATAGTTTTTGATAGGTATTAGAAATGATTTAGGCAAGAAAGACTAGGATCAATACCTACACAATCAGTAGACATTTAGCGTTACTACATCACTATTAGTAGGATCAATGTCTAAATGACCAGCGACTTCCGAAATCGCTCCAGAAGCGCACATCAAGCGCACCAAATATGTCGATGCCAGAAAGTACCTTGATACAGAGGCAGACATCGACTCGGAGGATGAGGGTATAGAGGATGAAGATGACAAGGGTATAGAGGATGAAGATGGTAAGTCTTGTATCTTGTCTCTATCTCCAGTTGTCTCATCTTCCTGTACAGAGGGCGGTTCCTTCATAAATGACCAGGCTTCTGAGGATAGTCACACACCAGCATTGTCGGACCCTCTGCAAGACGAAGCAGCATGGGACATCCTAGAGGAGTACCTCACCTCGGACATGAACTTCCCTCAAATGGAAGTGAAACTTGTTTCACACCTGGGTTCTCGATATTGTGAAGAGGATTGGATGGAGGCGACGCATGCACTGTTCTCAGCCAATGAAGACAATACCCAGGCTTTGACAAATCTTCGCACTGTCAAGGCTCGGCACTTTTTGCCACCAGCGAAAGTTGCAGGGCCCTCGAGGGGGTCATTCCATCAATCTGCATGTGCTTGGTTCAACAAGGTGGCAGATCTCGAGAGCAGGTTCGCCCCAAACTCTGGGTTGTCACGAGTCAACCCTCCATCACAATTGGTTCCTTCCTCCAGCGAGGTCACATGCCGCACTATCAAGTGTTTTATTCAAGATGAAATCGGCTCTAGCCATGCATACTACCTTCTGGAGGTGGAATTCTCAGACAACCCGATGTCCATGGCTCACTGGGAGTCCATATTGGATGCCATCGTGGATGCTGTCACTTGTGAGGCAAGGCTCCAAATATTTGACACGCGGACATCCGATGTAGTCGAACATGCAATTTCAAGCACAACGTCTCCAGCAGTCTCGGACCAATTCCCTAGAGGAATAGGAGTGTTCGAAGAGCTGGCGTCGAGTACGCAAGATGATGGGATGGCATCAGCGCGTAGCCTTCCGACGTGGCTTGTCACAGTGCCCTGTGAGTTAATATCTCCTATCAATTTGCTATATCTAACCCCAATTTCTAGTTTCGAAAACATCTTTTTTGGCCGCGCAGTTGAAAAGCAAGGGCTTCGAGGTCTACACACATTCAACGCTCCCAGGCCATCTGTGCGTCAAGGCCGAAGACACCCTAGTCATAAAAAAGGCTTGGCCTTCCACTCACGCAAACTGCTTTTTCGACGTTCTTTTTGTCCCTCGGGAGGATCAGGTCACCAGCAAACCTAGCTTGACAATCCCTGGCTGGTATCGCCCCATGTGTGGGCAATATCGGCATGACGTGGGATACACATATTCATATGATCTGCAAACCAACACCATCACACTGTTAGTTGCATCCAGGGAAGTGCCAGGGCGGGAAGTCAGGAAGGACCACCACATGCCGCGCCTATACAATCCTCCCAACGGCGACTCAAGCTCTGCAGGTTGAAACAAGACCTACCTTCACGGCCTGCTGGTGCTCAAACTGCATAGAACCGCAGTTGTTGAGATCCCAATTCCCGCTCCGGAGAGCATTATACTTCACCAGGAGTTGAGATGCAATCCTGCGTTCGTGCAATCTACATTGCATGTGTATGCCGCGCAACACTGGATAGAAGGTGACTTAGTAAGGGTTAGGGCAGGGGAAATGTTTGGATGTACGGCTAAGATTCAGTGTGTTGAGATATGCACCCAGTTGGCATCAGCGCACATGGAGGAATTGGTGCATATGGAGAAAATCTCTCATGAACCAATCATGTTCTCCATCTCCGATCTCGAAAGGAAATTCCACATGGGGGACAGTGTTCGTGTGCTCGACAGTAGTTTAGTGACCTCGCAACTCAAGGGAAAAACTGGAATGGTTGTCCAAGTTAATGACAACACAGTTGATGTACTCGACCAGTCTTCCAAATTCGAAGTAAGTGACTCGTTGACTGTCATATCATCACTAATGTTTCTTCAGTTCACCGTTGCAATCAATTCTTTGGCAACGTTTGTTGGGGGGGACGTCAGCAAACAGGAGGCTCCCACAAACGTATCAACCGACACTCCGATGAAAGGTGATTACTTTGTTGTAACCGAGGGCTTCTATATAGGCGAATTCGGGGTGGTATCCAAGGTCGATATGAGGAGCAGGACACTTGCATTCTTCTCGGCCTCGATACATCAATACATATGGGTGCCGATAAGGATGACGGCCTTCAATCCCAACCCGACTGCCCTTCAATATACTCGTGAGCGCGGATATGACATTGTAGCTAGTGATATCGTTCAAGTCGTTAGAGGTGACTCACTCCGTGCGTCAGGGATGGTACTGCATGTGAATCTGAATGATAAAACATTAACATTCAAAGACACGCAGCTAAAAGAGGTTAGCTCCTATCTATTTTATCAATCCAGGTTTGATAGTAATGATCATAGTTCACTACCTCCATAACGCATGTCGCAAGAATTCATGGGCGGGCAGATCGTGATCCGATGTGGCACCTTCTCGGCAAGGAGGTATTTATCATTCAGGGCCCTATGAAATCCTACCAAGGAACCTTGCATTCGCTCTCACAGCACACATGCGAGGTTGCAGTTCAAGGTCGGAAGCAAGAAATCCCGCGAGCTCATGTTATCAGGTCAGAACACTTTGCTTACTTTGCTTTGTTCGCTACTCATGCACATGCAGCTGGAAGGGTGTTCTCCTCACTGGTGTTTACTTGCCTCCACGTCAGCTAAGGGAATTCCTCAGATTAGCTCGAGGTTCATTCATCCAGCCCCCGCATATCACACCACCTCGAACTCCTTGTCACTTGCCTCCTCCTGATGTGTCACATGCTGATCAGACCGCTCCTGCTGTACAGGTATCAGTGTGGGATGCTCCCGTCGACTCACTGGTGATAGATCAGCGTCCATCCCCTGCAGCCCCTCATGACGACCCTTGGACATTGAACGAGGCTGACAGGGAAGAACACCAATTGCATCCTCCCAGTGCGAGTACATCCTCTTCTCCTGGTACACCTCATCTTATTTCACGTTCGGTCCACATCCACTCATGTCGATCGCAGCAGACAATCTCACTGCAATCTTACACAATCCCTTGATCACTGAGTTGTACTATAATTGGCACATGAAATTGCGCATAGCAAACCCATCATCTGATTGGGCATCCTACCATAACTGGATTGTTGACACTGTTGCCCTGGACCCATTTCTCCTCGAGAAAGGTCCGGTGAAAGATGGTGAAATCCTTATCAGGTATTCCTCCAGAACGAAAAATAAGGGGATGAAGGAAGATCCAATTCCTATCAGATATCTTCTCCTGGAAGCACCGACAGGAAAAAACAAGAAGTTCACTTTGATATGAGGCGACCTCATGGGGAGCATTCATACAACGATGACAGCCAGGAAGGACGAGAAAGATATAACCACAATGGAAGGGAAGAAATTTGCTCGCGCTGATACGTGTATGATTATCAACAAAACTGTGTAGATAATTTGGGTGGACATGGGCATTTGTTAGTGGTGTTCATTGACAATTATACAAAGTCAAAATTAGCAATTCACTACTATTTCCTTGACCAATAGTACAGCTGCAGTACAAGTAATTAGTTGCAGTACTATCAGTTATCACAACTTCGGTCAACTGGTTCATCCGCCGAACACAAGCTCGGTCAACTGGCTCATCCGCCGAACACAAGCTCCACTCAGCATCCAGTATCAGTGCTTCAGCATTTAAGTACACGGGCCTCATAGTGTCTAACTAAAAGTTAAACAATTAAAAAGGTTTTATTGAATGTGCATTATGAACTGGTACAAAATTATGCAGGGCTGTAGGATATGCTGCAAAGGAGAAGATCCATTGAATTGAGTGGACCTCTGGCGGAATACTCAAATCGGACAGTGCCCCGCTAGGTGCGCCACTTAGCGGGACACTCACATGACTCATGCGCATTTTTAAGATCGTTGTCAGAATCTAACTTTAGACATATCCATGCGCATATTCGTAATTTGTCCTCCCTTTGCCCACCAAACATAGCTGCCCTCTGCCCCCTCAATCGATTCAAAGCAGAGTTTCAATTTAATACATATTTGATCATGTGGCATATCTACCATTTATATATGAATCTTGTGGTTTACATATACGTGTCATTTTCATTATCTGATTATGAATCTAACAATAAGGCAGATCTATGCCAACAAATTCAGCAATTTTGTCTATACATATTCCTCATATGTCTATGAATCTGGGGTCAAAACTAATTGTGAACCTTTTCAGACTCTGATCATGAATTTTGAGACCATTTCAAGTTCATCCGCATCAAAAATTGCTTGATGACATGCTGTTATATCATCAAGCTGTCATGGATAAAGAAGATGGTTGCTCCAGATACATCTGTGGATCTTGTCTCGACGATATCAATGCTAACAAGACGCCCATGCTTTCTCTTGCCAATAACCTCTGGGTCGGAGAGATCCCTAACGAGCTCGCAATGCTTACCTTACCAGAGCGTGTACTTGTTGCTCTGTCCTATCCTGCAGCATACATTGTCAAACTTTACCCAAAAAGGCGAGGAGCGCTCAACTGGGATGCTGCAGGTCTCAACAGTGGACTTCGTGGAAATGTTTCAACCTATCGTCTTCATACATCGGGCATTGCGGCTATGGTTGAAGGAGATCTACTCCCCCCTAAACCGGTCATATTAGCAACTACAATTGGCATTTCCATTGTTGGTCCCAACAACTTTCCGGAGCGATGTATGCCTTCTTTCCTGACTGTTAGTCAGTGTCATCTGTGGAATGCGTTGCTTTTTCTTAAGCAACATAATCCTCTTTATTGCGATATCACCATTTCAAAAGCCAATATTTCACTCTTTCCCAAACATGGGATACCCGAAGTTATTTTGTCTTCTGTTAGACACTTGCCCAACGTCGAAATGGTTGATGCTGAACGAGATAATTATGTACCTGATGATGACGCTGAAGATGTGTTTAATGGTCTGTATGTCCTTGCCAATATATTTTGGTATACTTACTGTGATACAGAATTGAATACAGTATTTCCTACTGGGTGCAATATTGAAGAAGAAAGTGTCATCAAGAACACCGGTAAGTATTTTGGCTCTGTTAATCCACAGAATTAAAATGATTTCCACTGTACTCAGTGCAATCGAATGTTTTTCCCATGCAGTCTCACGGAGTACTGGATAGTAATGTGTCAGAAGTGGACGACAATCAGTTATTTGCTCATGCACTTTCCAATATGTCTGAACAATACACAGTACAGCGCGGCAACAGTTTCATTAACGAATATCCTCAACAATGTGACGATCAATCACTGAGTATCGGCGATTCTGACAACCCGAATCACTTGCTCAGAGCTTTTCCCTACCTATTTCCATATGCAACAGGAGGGTTCGAAGTTGAATGACTGCGACCTGTACCATATGAAGCTCATGCACAATGGGCCATGTGTTATGCAGACCATTAGATTTCGCAAAGACATGCTCTTCATGTTTCAGCTTTTCGGAGTAATTCAGAAGCGACAGGTATGTAAACAAGCCGCTATGCAGGTGTGTGAAAGTTTTTATGGGACGAGTGACCTTTATAACGATTTGCCAGGTCAAAAAACATGACTTTCTCAGATCCGAACGAGAATTTTGCCAACTTACAGTGGATGATTTGTGTAAAGCAAGCAAAGAAGAACAGAAACGACTCCCCTTGTCCAATCCTACTATACAAGCACTGAAACGACACCTCACTGCAGTGCGTTCAAAGGTCATTGGGACTGACGAGTCTCGCACTAAAATATGTTCTCTCATCTGGGGAATGTGTATCTTGAAGAATCCTCCTTCATTATGGATCACCATTAACCCCACTGACACGCATGACCCTATAGTGCAAATACTTACAGGCGCAGAGATAGATCTGGATACTTTCGATTGATCTGCAGGACCAGACTCACACACACGTTCCATCAGAATTGCAAATGATCCATATGCAGATGCAAAATTCTTCCATTTTGTTGTTGCTGCTATCTTGGAGGATCTTTTCGGTATCAAGGCAGGACATCATAGTAAATCTGGTATTGAACGTCATACAGGCATATTTGGTACCATCAAAGCCTATATTGGAACGGTTGAAGCTCAAGGGCAAGGAACGTTGCACTTGCATATAATCCTTTGGCTGCACAATGCGCCGACATCATCAGAGATGAAATCACTGTTATTGTCAGAGCAATTCCGCAACAAAGTTGTATCATACATCGCTCAGAATATTCGAGGTCATCACCCTGGAGTTACACAAGAAACACTGAAGACGCTTCCCCATGAAACTGCAGTGTCATATTCTTGCCCACTAGATCCAAGGACATCCAGTTTTATATGCAATGAGCAAAGTACACTCCAGAGTCTTGTGCATGCCGTTCAGATTCATTCTTGCTCTAGTAGCTGTTTGAAAGTTGTGCGGGGACGAATTAGTTGCAAACGACGAGCACCTTTCCCAGTGGCAGAAAGAGCTTGGGTCGACTCAGAAGGAAACTGGGGACCTAGGCAATCATTCGGAATGATGAACAACTGGAATCCGACCATCCTACTGGCCACGAGAGCCAATGACGACATGAAACTGATTACCAATGGCAAAGAGACGAAGGACATCAGATTCTACATTTCGATGTATACTGCCAAAAACCAGCACCATTCTTCTAATGCATCAGCATTGCTAGCAAAGTCATTTGCTTTTCATTGAACAGAAGACAAGAGGAATTCGAACGCTCAAGCACTCAATAAGCGTTTGATCCAACGCTGTGCTGACTCGCTCAGTTGAGAACAAGAATTCAGTGCACCTGAGGTCATCACATAAAGTGGGGAGATCAATACATATCCCATCACTTCAAATCCATTTACTTTGCTTCAGTGTTAAACTTGCTGAAGAAGACATGGCCACACCTTGTTTCGCATCGGTCTGTGATTTACTCCTGGACAAAACACCATTTAGACTGAGTCACACTACAGACCTGTTACTGAACTTTCCAGCAAAGGACAGCTGGAAATCCGAAAAGATTCAGCAGAAGACTACGATGTAAGTTAAAGAAACTGTTGTCTGGATCATTAATAAAGTTGACATGCTAACCTGTTTTCTTGTAGATGGAATACACTGTGCTGCACTTTGAGGAAGAAACTCAATCACTCCAACTACGTGATCAAATACGAGAATACATTGATCGTGGAGATGCCTTAGAACACTTCAGTTATATTGACTACTTCCTCAATACCAATGATGAAGTCGTATCAAATGACAAAGAACCAGCATCACTTCAATGGAAAACCAACAGTTGAATTCAATACAGGTCGTCTTCAGGACATGACAATCACGAAACCATGCCATATTTTCCTGGACCATGGCTGCCACGTCGAAATGATGAGCAGTCCTATCCTTTATATTGCGTGTCTATGCTAGCTCTGTTCAAGCCATGGCGATCATTGCTCGATCTCAAGCTGCCTCATTTGACATTTACCAAAATGTTTCTTGCATTTACCGAAACTGCTTCACCACAGATTCTGAAAGCAATAGACAACATCCAATACTTCTATGAGTGCTCAGATAAAGCACAGGAAAATCGGATCGGGAAAGCATTTGGAACGGCCTGGAGTGAAGCTTCTGAGTGTCATGATGAAGAGAGAGATGAAGCTGATGAACCAGAAGATGCATCTGAGTCACTTGTGCCACATTGCGATGACACTCAAGTGGACATAACTGAAGAAGATATCAAAAATGCAATGCAGGACAATTACTCCACACGGGAATTGCTTTGCGCTGATGTTGCTATCAACATTGCTGAAGACTTTGGCATTTTCAACGATGTACCTGTGGACACCACATCTTGTCAACCCTGCCGATGTGCTTCAGAAGATGAAATCTGAATGTACACAGAATGGCAAGATGTTGCACAGCACACTGAAAATACAGAACGGGACAATTCAGCTGAAGAACAAGTAGATGCCGGCTCGGTACATACTGCACCTGATGGGACTGTCCCTATGCCTACTTCATTCCCGACAGTACATGTGCAACCTCAACAGCCTGAAGAGCAAGTACAATGCCCGGAGTTGAACAGAGAACAGCTCATTGCACACACCATTGTTCGCAACCACCTACTCGCTCATCTTTCTGGAGAACGCCATCCACAGCTGTTAATGTTGGTTACAGGTGAAGGTGGTACAGGCAAATCAAGGCTAGTGAACGCTATTACTGAGACCTTTGCTCATCATGGATGCAAATCAAAACTAACACGTACTGCAATGTCAGGAGTCGCAGCTTGTATCATTGGAGGTTCAACTTTGCATTCTTGGGCTGGGCTTCCACCCCGTCAAATGCCCCACACTGATAAATGGGCTACTCATCCACGTCCCGATATGGCTTGTCGTCGACACAATAACATGGATGACAAAATATTGCTTGTCATTGATGAAAGTAGTATGTTAACAGCAGAACAACTCACTCTATTGTCACAGGTAAGTACAGTAACACTTTGCAGTGATAGTATACAATCAGCTCATGATCTGAACACAACACTTACAGGTGCTCGGCATAGTTCGCACAGGAGAGGAGACAGATACTGCAATCCTTTTCGGAGCATTGAGCATCCTACTGATCACTAATTTCCATCAATTTGGACCGATTGGTAACATCAAAAAAACCCTTTTTGCGCACCTTCCTCCAAATCAGAAATGCAAACTGGGACATTATATATTTGAACAGTTCCGCACCGTTATCCGTCTTCATCAGCAAATGCGAATAGAAGATGAGGTCTGGGATGGTATACTGCATCGCACACAGGATGGAGAATGTACTGCACAAGACCTTCAGGAGATATGCAACCTGGTTATTATCAATGATGCTTGTTGCGTTCCGGACTTCACTTGTCCTCCCTGGAATGATGCAGTATTGGTCACACCATGGAACAGTGTTCGCATCCGGTGGAATACATTATCGGTGATGAAACACTGCAAATTCAGTGGCACACTGTTGTACATCGCGTCAGCAGAAGATACGTCCAAAGGTTTACCATTGTCAATGGAGCAGCGTCTTGCAACTGCAAAGCTATCCCTTGATGCCACCCAGCACTTGCCAATACAGGTTCAACTTGCAGTAGGCATGAAGGTGATGGTTACAGAAAACATCGCTACTGGGGAAAATCTGGCCAATGGCTTGCACAGTACTATTGTGGATATCTTGCTAGATTCTCGGGAACAAACAAATGAGCATGCACCAAAAGACAACAAGGTCTACCTACAGTATCCACCAGCTGTAGTGATTATCCGTCTCGATTTCACAAAATCCATATCGCTCCACAGATTCAACAAAGGAGAAGTTCCTCTAGTACTGTCTGTCCATCAATTTCAGATCCACACTAAACCGTGCTGCATGGTAACACGACATCAACTGCCATTGACACCCGGATACGCTTTCACAGACATCAAGTCACAGGGACAGACCATAGATCACGTCATCGTCGACATAGGAAAAACAACCTCCTTTGGCTTGAATCCAATCAATGCATATGTAACACTATCAAGAAGCAAAGGGCGACAGAACATCCATCTCTTGCGTGAATTTGAAAACGAGTTGTTTATGTGTCATCCTTCACAAGATCTTAAAGATGAAGATCAGCGCTTAGACATCTTAGCAAGATTGACAGAAGAGAGATACTTTAAAGGAGAATATGGACCGATAGAATTACCTGCATAGCGAGGAGCAGTACACCACAATAAAACAACCTGAAATAAAGCACCCCTAAACATTGGTTCAAAACTAAACTCGAATGGAACTATTAATCTCCATCATTATCATCCACAAAGAACACGTCATGACCGTTACAGATTAGATGCAAAATGAACCCTAGCAACAAAACAAGTAGTGAAATGCAAATGCTACTGCACAGTAAAATAACTCACATAAAAACAGTGCATGGTCATTAACTCACCATGCAACTTCTGATATATTGATAGCAGACTGTACTTGCACAGTAGCAGAAATGCAGGTGCAGTTTCGAACAGCGCAGAGATGTAATGTCGGAAATTTCTAGGGACCATTGTAAGGTCTCATAATACATTTTAAGGACCGATTTTCACACACTGTACTGTAAGGCTTTGAAATGATGGAGATAATCTTAAATGGTGCTTTAAAAGGCTATGGTTCTCACGTTGTAAGCTGTCTTAAAATAGAGTCTGTCGTAGGGAAGATCATGTAAGCGTTACAAGGTCTTAAAAGGGTGGGGACAATAATAGAAGATAAAAATAAGTTTCCAAGGACCACGCTACTATTATCTATTACCATTATCTATTGTTATTATCTAATGCTATTATCTATTACATTATCTATCTACTACTGTTATTATCTAGTATGTATTACTATCTTATCTATTACTATCTAGTATTGCTATTATCTATTACTACTATCTAATGCTAGTCCGTTATTTTAATTGCACCTTGAGGGATTCAAACACTCGTCATTAGTATTATTTGGTATTATAATTCATAGTGCTCACCGGCATAGTTACTGCTACATTATTAGGCCTCTGAATACATTGAAACGTACTTCGCTATATCGTGTATTTGAGCGCCTTATAAGGCAACTGTAAGACATATGAATTCAGATGACATTGAAAATGCTCAGTGCAAGGACAAAAAGTAACAGTACAAAGTATTAATATCAGCGAGAACATCACATTAGCGTTTGGCCCTCCCTCTTCCTCTAGGTTTAGCAACCGACGCCTTGCTGCCGCCGCCGTGATGAGTAACACGCTTTGTGGCCTCAACTTCGGGCTCTGGTGTGTTAGTTGACATGCGAGTTACCGACACAGTTGGCTCAACAGTGTTGTCTAGCGTCAACAGATTGATGCCCAGCTGCACCTGCACAGTTGCAGATGCAGATTGACCTTGGTTGACCGAAATGGAAGCGTGGTAATTGGAGACGACGTCGATGACTGCCGAGGTAGCAGGGAGGTGTGTGAGCATGGAAGCAACTTGAGAAGGAGCATCAAGTTTGTCCAAGAGGTCGTCTTCCCAAGTTCGGGTCTGAGCAGTGATGGAAGGAGAATCGGGAGCTGGTGCAAGACTTGAACTGGTGACGTCAAATACCTCCTTGTTGAAGTAGTCGATGACGCTGCGGGCCCATGGAGTGCGCTTGAACAAGCGCTCCAAGTAAAAATTGTAGTCCACTTGATAGTTGATCTTCGTTTCCACACCAGTCACTGTGAACTCAGGATTGTGCGTCAACAAAAAATGTGCCTTTGAAATCAGGTCATCAATCACGGAACATCAATGTAAGACAATGCGCTCACCATAATAGTGGCGCCCGTGATCAAACCTTCAGTGACGCATTGCACATTGCAATGCTGTCCCCTAGCCTTCTGACCCTTAGTCTTGCCGGAGAGTATTTTCTTCCCATACATCTCAACGTGAACGATCTGAAATGAATGTCAGTGCACCATCTTTCGTATTACAATTGTACTTACTTGTACTAGCACCGGATTCTTGAGAAACTCGTCAGCCACCATGGCATCTGGTCTTGCGAACAGAATGGGTGCTAGCCAAATGTACTCTCCCTCACCGTTTTTCTTCAGCAGACGAAGGAGGCCAGGGTTGTCTCGCTTTCAGGCATCCGTTTGAGATGAGAAGAGGGTAGGGTCGAGCTTGAGTGATGCGAAAATGATACCAGTGCAGCTCTTGATAGCATGCACAATGTTTGACCGCTCAGTGCTAACTGCAGCGCGAAACTGAGAAGTATCATGTAGGTTAGTTGTAGGACAGTCTACCAGTCAAAAGCACATACCAGAGAATCAAACGCCGTGTATTTCTCCATGGAGCCGTGTAAGTCCTTGGACACACACTTGTACAACTCTGCCATAGATCCATTGAGCTTAGCCTTGGGAGATGCCCAGTGTGTAGGACTACAAGGGTCAATGTCAGGCTGAGGTGTTGTCAGGAAGACGCCGGGAATGACCCAGAAATGGTAGAACAACGTGTACTTCTTCCCTTCGGCAGTGATTTTCGCGTCGAGCATGGATGTCTTCTTGAGTGTGCGGTTTCGGCTGCAGGCAGGGACAGTCGCCGAGAGGGTAAGGTAGTCCTTCCTAAGACCTTTAAACTCAACATGCAGGGAGTTGTATGCTTGCTGCACGGTCTCAAGAGCCTACATACATCGAAAATACATTAGAGCGAGAAGGAGAATCATGGCAAGATGAATGTACTTGCCTTGCGAACCTCATGCATGGGCACGTCCAGTGGAGGGACGGACAGGATTGTCCTCAAGGTTGAAAGCTCATTGCTGCTCGAGTCTTCGTCATCAGACAATTCAGCGTCGTCAACAGCGTCAATGTCAGCTTCAAAGTTCTCACCTTCCAAACCATCAGAAGTTATGTCGGCTCGGCTGCGCATGTCTCCCAAATGAAGACAGATGAGCTATCAAAACTATTAGTAAAGACTGTTGGTGGTACAAAAGAGTTGGAACAAACCTGCATGCCAATGCTCCAAGTTATAAGGAAACTGCTATCTTGGCTGTGCTGCTGCTGACGTCTATTGGTGTGATGAGTGATTCATGGCGAGCGGCAATCAAACGATACCTACGTCCTTTGACACGAGCATGATACCAAGAACATATTGGCCGACAATGATGCATAAAGAATCAGCATTCCATGCATGACCTGTCCGAAAATCGCCTAGTGCGCTTTGCAGAGTTTCATAAAGTGGACTCAAAAAGGTCCAAGACGGACCACTGATGAGCATTGTGGAAGATGCAGTGCACAAGCGTCGACATTATGAGTCATGAAAGAATCATTAAGACTAAGTGACTGACCTACAATTGACACCACAAATCTGCTGAGTGTTGCTGAGCGACAGGTGGTAAACATGCCTTGGGTCCAGGGTCCAGGGTCAGGCAAGTTCTGAATCTGTCTGAGTCAAAGTGAGTGAGTGAGTGAGCGAGTGAGCGAGAGGAGTCATAACACACCGCTGCTGTGGCTGTTGCTGCTGCTGCGGTTGAGGGTGAGGTTAGTGGAGAGGGAGGGAGAGAGGGAGTAGTGCATCCACGCTGTTGTTGTTGTTGCTGCTGCTGCCGCTGTTGCTGTTGCTGCTGTGGTTGGGGTGAGGTTAGAGGAGAGGGAGGGAGAGAGGGAGTAGTGCACTGCTGCTGCTGCTGTTGTTGTTGTTGCTGCTGCTGCTGCTACTGCTGTTGCTGTTGCTGTTGCTGCTGCTGTGGTTGGGGGTGAGGTTAGAGGAGAGGGAGGGAGAGAGGGAGTAGTGCACCGCTGCTGCTGCTGCAGTTACAGTTGCAGTTGCAGTTGCGGTTGGGGGTGAAGTTGAAGGAGAGTAGGAAAGAGAGAGAAGCATGCCGCCGCCGTTGCTGTTGCTGCTGCTGTGGTTGGTGGTGAGGTTAAAGGAGAGTGTGGGAGAGAGGGAGCAACACACTGCCGATGTTGCTGTTGCTGTTGCTGCTGCTGCTGCTGCTTTGGTTGCGGGTGTGGGTGAGGTTGGAGGAGATTGAAGTGGGAGAGAGGGAGCTGGGCGCCGCCACCATTGCTGTTGCTGTTGTTGTTGTTGTTGCTGGCAAGAAGGTGGAGTTAGAACAATAGAAGCACTAGCGTTCAGGTCAAACTTACACTTATCAATGCACCCATGACTTCATACAAAGGACCATGTCACTATCAACATGGTTGACGACAAGAAACTTGCCTTGGTGTGCAGGATCGGGAAACAACAAAGCGCCTTGAATGAAGGACTTGAGCAGGATGATGATTGAATCTGCCCTGGGGACAGCTTTGACACGAGTAAGTCTCAGGTCTTGGTCAATCCTGTGAGAACCACCGACGACACCAGTGGTATATGGTTGAACAAGGGCAAACTGAAAGGCCCCAATATCTGGAAGTTCGCATTTGAACATCAGTATAAGCCGAACAAAGACCGCCCTTTCTGCAGTAAGTTGTATAAGTGCGCAGTCGAAGTGTGGGTGCCCATGAAATGAGGGATTAGACCGGAGATGGTCAGTCGACTGCTTCCAGTCAGCAGAATTCTCATGATTGATCCTGAGATAATGATGTTCATGTTATGACCGACGTCCAACAATAATGTTGAAGGTGAGTACACAACCACTAGGACTCGGTCAGAGATGATGATGAGCAACAGGATAGATTGAGCGTGAACGTCTAAGTCACTACAACAGTAGAAACGAAGAGGTTAAGTCTAAGGATTACTTACGCTATCTAGCCTACTCTTATACATAACATTGAATCAGAGTCCTAAAGAAATCAGCCAATAAGAAAAGAGTCGTACGATACTGCGGATGACTAAAGATGACTCATGATATGTAAGCGAATGAGTAAGACGGCAACTAAACAGAAACCCAAGTTCCGACCGGTTCTTCTTTGGGAAGCGAGATTGTTCTAGCCCGTGGAGTAGGGGAACCAATTGGAGAAGCAACGGGTGACCTATGATGAGGAGTCACGTGACCGGCTTGGGTACTGGAAGTAGCCGAAGGAAAACCGAGAAATGAAAAATGGTTCATATTAGGAATTCGTGACAGTTCATGTATCTGAATGAAATACAAGTCAACATAGAAGCTGACAAAGAATCAACAAACTTACCTGGAAATCAACTGGGATAACAATCCATCTCATTAGCTTGTATCCATAAGTTGGCAATGATGTGTTGATGAAGTCGCCAAATTTTTTGTGGGAACCTTGAAATGCTCAATCTTTGGGGCCCCGCACATTCTCGATTTCTTGAATACTGACATGACATTGAGGGGATCCAAGCTTCACATGCCCATCAAAGGTGATAGTATGGTCGTTGTCCTCCTCATCAAGCGCAGAGTCACCTAACGCCTCAAGGCGACGCTGTTCGTCGAGCGTGCCCAAACGTCCTTGCAAAAGTAAGGCTGCAAACTTGTGATGATCAACACGAAGTACCTGTAGTATGATTAATATATATCAGTATTAAGTCGATATCATAAACAAAAACGAGTGCGTAATACCTGCTTGGCGATATCTTTTCCGTTTGATCGAAGGAGATAGGTGGATTTCAGAGGGCCATGGAGTTTTTTGTTAGGGCGCGTGCTGTAGTTGCGTGCAACACCTTTCATTCGGATATCCCGTGGCGCGTGTTTCCAAAGGTGCACCTTTGGAAAGTTCCAGTCTTGTTTGAGGCCTTCCATGGAGGACGTATCGGTAACATAATCAACATAGTCCTAAAAATACTGCGTCAACGATGATGTCTTAATCAGTAGCAAGTAAATTACCTTCAGTGCGGCACCAAATACAAGGAGCTCATTCTCAATCATTGCAATTGTCCGCTCTGTATGGACATTAAGCCTGACCAGGCTGTCCAACTCGAGATAGCTGCAAATGACATGTAGAAGGCGATAGCCTTCCAGACAACTTCTGCGGTCTAAAGCATTGAGTGCCACATAAAATGCTTGCTGTACGATGATTAGTCAAGCAAATATGATGATAGGTTGTTGGTACTTACCAAGACTAAATCATGCTTCTTGTTGTCATCAGTGAAAGTGATGTGAATGACGGTAGCAAAATGATTGAGATCGCGCCATCAAGGAAATTCAGCGACTCTGAAAGCAAGAGATACTGAGCGATTTAGAATATGAAAATGAAAAAAGGACTCAACTGTTTCTCGACCAATTCCATCCCTTCATGTCCGAGATTGCTTAGGATGGTCTTCAACTCGTCTAGTAGACATTTTCCTCCAAGACCGGCATGCACTGCGTGCAATTGATCAAGGCTCAGTGCATCATGGGGATCGGAGTGGTTGACAAGCCAGAGGACGTTCTAAATGTGATGTGTTAGTATTAGAAGATAAGTAGAAAATATTGTTTGCTTACCTCAACTGCGCGTAATCCTAGTGATTTCAAAAGTTCCTTGCCTTGAGTTTTGCTGCGTTTATACACAGCGAGTGCATCCTGCGCGTCTTTCGCAGTCCTGATTGCAAATGTTTTGGACAGGTCAGAAAGCTCGTTGACTGGTATGAGGCACACGGGGCACGGGCACTTGCATTGCACACTGCAAATAAGAGACATCATGCATCTGTGAATATCATTGAAAACTGTCACAACAAATATGTCAGGGCACTCACTGTTCTTTGTAATCTGCTGAGAGTATTAGTATTACTGGGAATAGCCAGCGCATGATTTTGTCGTAGCACATATACAAATAACCGGTCTTTGAATATTGCTCAAGGTTGAGGAGAATTTTGACGAAGGCTTCGTGCCATACGACACACTTAAAGTTGATGAATCCCGGTTTTCCATGTTCGGACGCTTTTTCTTCAATCTGCAATATCAACAGAGTTGTCGTTATATTAGGTTAGACATCATTGAACAGCGCAGACTCACGATCGGAAGCCAACCAACTACTCGACCACCACCAATGCCCTCGCCATTTCGAATATCAACAGGTAAATTCGCACAATGAACCATGACGGGATATCCTTTAACAGTGCCATGTGTGGACAGCTTGGTCTTATCTGCATACAATATAAAACAAAGTGGGGCAGCATTTAGATCAGCCGGGAGACGAGACTGATTACATGGACACAATCATTGCACATATACACAGACATTAAACACAGTAACCTACTTGAATGTCCCACCAACGATCAGCTGTCCATGGTTCACTAAAGAACCGCTCAAAATTGGTACCGTTATGCTTGTAGCCATGTTCGCGTCCCATATGAAATGCGGTGCAAGGAGCGGGTTATCCAAGAGATCAAGGGCCCAGTCCCATATCGGTCTCGCATATACCCCAAATACTCGCTGCTCCTTCTTGTAGGGCACCTTGATGTCATGTTTGGTAAACTAATAAACAACAATCTAGGCAGTCAGAGCAGCATAGCGTGATACAAAAGAAAAGAGAACATACCGGTGTCAACTCGGCTGCAGCATTATCTAATGCCATACGGAGATCGGCCTCATTTTTCAGTGTGATATGGGTGTCGCCCTGCGCTATGCGCATGATAAGACTGAGGAGCTTGTTGACCTGGCCCTGATTAAGGGCAGCTTCAAGTGCGATTTCAGAGAACTCAAAGTCTCCCCGTGAGCGGAACGGATGCCAAGGCTTTTCATCTGCAGGAGGTGCTTTAAGCGCCTCCGAAGCAACACCAAACTCTTCGAATGTTTGGAGTAGAGTCTCACGGCAAGAACGGGGATGGAATTTGGTTTTGAACTCATGAGGGTGTCCAATGTGCACTGCAGGCTGGGGTGGGATGTTTTCAGGACCAGTATTACTGGTCATGCTAGCATTGGATAAGACTATCGTTGCATAGATAGTTGTCAATTGGTTGCATCTCAGAAACGAAGAATGAAACACATACCTGGGCTCTGAACACCCTCGTTTCCGGCATCAAATTCCATGTGGTTGTCCAGACCAGCTGTAGGTGTTGGAAGCATCAGAGTGAACATTCTACCATCAAAATTGAGTAAAATAGTGTACCTTGCCCCATGTCAGCTTGCGATTCAAGGTTTGCGGCTAACGAGTCATCCACGACAATGCATGATGGACCAGCCGCTGCTGCTAAGGCTGCTGTTCGTTGAGTTTTCTTATGGTGTGCTGTTTAAAATCGATCAGAATCAAATAACATGAGTGAGAGTAAATATTGAGCAATGGATGGACTTAAGGACCCACCTAGAGCTGATCGCCGATCTCTCTTGAACTCCAGAGCAAAGGCCTCTTGTCCCTCTGCATCGTGCATCTTGCAAGTTGATTGATGTCGCTTGATGCCTTGGGACTTATACATATTCCTGCACTGAGAGTCGCTTGTTAGTGTTTTTGAGTTATAATTATATTTACCATGACTTGAATGGTTTGGGGCCATGGCCACAATACAATATTTAGAAAGATATATACACGTCAGTGTACAAAAGAGCTTAAGAGAAGGCGTTGAGTTGATGGGTCAATCCTCATTGATTCCGCCTTGTAAGGTCACATGATAAGATTCGTCACAATGTGTGACAACATCTGATAAGTTCTTATGTATTCTTCCGCTGGCCTCAAAAGGGACTTGTAAGATACCTCATAATGCATGTGACCTGATTTATAAGCCGGCAGCATTGTAAAGGTCACTTAACTTTTTCCGACAAAAGACCCGCGTGATTGTCTAAAAACTGAATCAACAGCGAAATCAGTCTCATAGATTATAATTAACAAAGTACATCACCTATCAAAAAAGTACCTGGCAGATTGCAAGTATTGTGAGACATGATGGTTGTGAATGAAAAAGTTCTAAACAACGCATTGTGATAAACATACACCACACAACTAGATAATACATCATGCTTAGTTGTTACAATCACAAAAATTACAGGACTGTGACCGATATTCTCCTATACTGAATGACATTACTACCAACTACTATCATCATGGTCTTCAACAGCACAACATATCACCATACTATGAAACAAAACCCCAACTATGCTATTTCAGCTCAGATTGCACAATGTGCAGAATAGCGTCCAGGTGGTACAGGTCACATCTACATGGATAAACTCACGAACGACCCCTATGTTTTGATTGCCATTGTGCATGTTTCAGATTTCAGACTGCAATGCACACCGAGTGGAAGCTATCAAGATCCTCAATATGGTACTCTGGACAAAGCTAAGTACCAATTTATCGGAGAAAGACTGCACGGTGCCAATGATTTTGATGAAGATTTCATGAGAATGTATTCGCTACTCAGCAACATCCAAAATGCTGGAGCGAAAACGCAATATTGCAAAGACATGCTGAATGAAAACACAATCAGGTTTGCTAAGAATGTATTCGAAAAAAGAGTAAGCATCAAAACACAATACGGCAAAGCAATTTACTTATCTTGGACCAGGAATTTCCTGTACCAGATTCTCCAACATCCACAAAATGTGCTGTTTATCTAGAGGATCTGGAAAATCCGCAGGAAGGATCTTCCACAGTTACTCTAATGAGTAAGATGGACGCTGAAACAGCTCATTGGCCTATCAAAGAAGAGTATGTCAATGACTTGGAAGGTATCAAAGCCAATTACAAGGCAATACCACTCTGCGTCTATGACAGCAATGACATGTTCGTTGAACCGGCGAATGTCAACAAAATGCTACACAACACACTCGTTGAAGTGCACTTCACTCTTCATCATACTTACATTCCAAAATCTACCCTGCCTCACGATTCATTCCGCGCCAATATCAAACAAATTCTGATCCTGGACTCCGGAAAGCAGAGAGAAAATATATACAGAACAGATCCATGTACAGGTCCTATCTGGATGCACCACTCTCCCCCGCCTGCAGATCTCCCACCCACAAAAAAGATGCATACTGAAGAAAGCAGAGACGAGCAGAACGGTAAAGAAAAGGAATGACTTGAATCACCAAAGAAAACATTAGCTACTGTGTCTGATTCAGTAAATACGTGCCACAATGACAATTTATTACATCTGCCAAGTTCAAAACATAGCCGATGTGGACCAGCTCTGCCTTGTTATCTTTTTCGCCCCCTGAGGGTCTCCCAACAAAGGGTAAAAATTGGATCAACTCGGAACAAGCAAGGTGTTAGTCAGCAATGCCAACCCCTTGTGAGAAGAATAGCTGAGTTTTAAAAATGCGAAAAATGTGGCTGTGTATATTGTTCAGATCTCATAGGAGATCAGATTCGAGATCAGGAATATCAACTATTATATAAGCGGGACAACGGGTACAGAGCAGCAGGAGCAAGGTAATAGATAATGGATAATGAAGGATATCCTCAAGGGTCCATGACAAGGAAGTATAACCACATGGCTCCAGTTAGCTATGGTTATCCATAATACTGCCAGGAGCAGGTGACGGAACTCCCCTTCAACTGGGGGAAGATCATTCTTACCCATTTAATCAAATTTAAAACCCATTCGCACTAAATGATAGGAGTAACTCCGTACACAGCAGGTACATACCTCAGTAGTGCTGGACAACCTCGTGACCAGTAAGTCAAGTTGCTTCCTCCCTGGGATTGTTTTTCGGCATTGGGAGATGAACCCCTGCGAACCCTTGGAATCTTCTGGTCTCGCCTGTGGCGAGCTCCCCCCTTGCCAATTTTTCTGTGTGATGATGTGGACATATGAATTATAGCATTATATCTGCACATTTGTTATTTGTGTGTTCCGCAGCTTGTGCGTTTTCGTTAATCCAGAGCTGGCGTGTTTTTGTCAAGAGTTTCTGCATCAGGAAAACCACCGGTTCCTTTTTCCTGCTTATGTTACTTTTTATGCTTAATATGTAATAAATCCAACTGAAAACACTGCTTTTCCCACTTAATTGACTTTTGCAAAAGCGCATTAAGACACACTTAAGCTCACAAGTCCAGACCACCAAAAAAAGCAAGAAAGGGTCTTAGGTTCTCAAGAATCTTCAAGATAGACGAATGAAAGAGTTGCCGGCGATATTTCCGATATTTTGGGCAAGTGGCATGCTCCTTCGTAGCTGCTCAACTGTAGTTAGCACAGAACAATAGTAGTAGGATGAAGATTACTTTTTAGCATAGCTAGGAAGCCAATGATAGCAACAGCGTCACGATGTGCACACCGGACATTATTACGAACATTCCCGATTGATACATATAGCGGATAGTAATCGTTGGCGCCAGTTGCCACTGAAACTGTTGTCTTGTTGCTTCCGAGTATAACCGGAACAAAGGTTGAGCCAGTTGTATCTGGATCTTTGGAAATAATATCCTACCAAAGATCATTAGCATGTATAGTGACATGAAACAAGAAAAGAGAACATACCGCTTGGTTCCAGGCCCAGTCGCCAGACATGAAGTCCTGCCATTGGCATTCATCGTTGTCAGTCGAGAACTCACGGTAGGGCTGGTAGTCCATCTCTGTGGCATAGTCAGGGTTTGCCAACATGTTTCAAACAACCTCATGGGGGTCTCGATACCAAACATTGTGAGATTGACCCATCCACGGTGGTATATTGTTTTCTGGCTTCTCCCCCATGTACTGGACCCTGAAAGATTGCCATTTGACATCACCCAATTGACCTGTCACATCACAAGGACGAGCTTGTGTAAATACCAGTGTTAATTCTAACTAGCTGGAAAAGGACCAAGAAATGTACCATTTAGTTTCAGGTGATAGTTGCGATATAATCTATCACCCGGCCCCACAAACTGCGTGTCCAGATTATCAGGCTCATCAAGAGCCTGACCCGCGTCAAATAAGCGTGTGGAGAAGTCATCATGTCCTGCAAGGAAGTTGTTGTGTGGTTCTTCGGGCTCGTCTTCGACTGTAGCAGTATATGAGATGCTGGTGGTAGGAGCTGATATGAATGTTGGGCGCGAAGCATTCCAGTGCTTTTTGCGCCCTGCCTGAGTCTTGAAGTAGTGTTCACATTTCAAGTACCCACATGGAATCTGAAGGGCGCTGTGGTCCCTGCAAGCAGCCTTGGGCAGCGGATGGTAGCCAAGTTGAAGAGCTGGCCAAAAATGCATGATGAAACTAAGTTCAACATACTGTGTAACAAAGTCTGATTAGTGTGTGTGTACATACTTGTTTGGGAGCTTACGAGTTTTTCCAACTTCCAACCCGCCTTTCTCTCTCCAGCAAAAGTTTTGCCCTTCCTCTTACTTCCCAAGTCGTAAACTCATCTCCTCAGTCATGTCTACCCAAAACACTCCCCGTCGCACCCGTCCATCAAATGCAACCGCTCGGCCTGGCCAGATAGTGCTTGACGCAAAGAACAAGAGGTGTACCAAGGTGCAAAAGGCCGCCAACGACCTTGCCCTCAAGGAAGCGCAGGAAGCACAGGTCCAAAAAGGGCTGGAGCGCTTGGCTGGTATGCAAAATGAGATGGAGAAAGTGCAGGAAGAATTACTCAACAAAAAGGTGATCCCCATTCGGCCCAAGCCAAGGGCTCGTAAGGCGACTAAACCTGTAGTAAGGAGTGGTGATGATCATACTGACAACATGATGGAGGCTGATGAGGCAAATGACCTCCAGAAGGCTGTCGAGATCGTGGAGGCTGTTGAGACTGTGGAGGCGGTCAAGACCATGGAGGCTGCCAAGAACATGGAGGATGGAACCACAGGAGCAAAAAAGAGGAAGGTAACAAAGAAAGGCGGAAAGGCGCTGATAAAGGATGCTATCAGTAACATGCAAAAGAAGATCAACGAACCATCATCGAAATTGGAAGGTGATAACGCCAATAACGTGGCACGTGTATCTGATGGGAAAGATACGCCAGCACTGTAAGGCTTCCTTCCCCCACCATCCAATGTTACTCCTCACTGAATCAACATTGTATTTCCTCAATCTCACTTCCAGTTTCAATGCTACCACTCAGAAATTCACATTAGGTGGCCTGGTGACCAATTGGATTTCAGGCATTAAGCCCGGAAAATCAGAACCCATGTCCCACACATCCAGCACCTCATTTCCAACTCAAGCACCTCCAACATCAATTTTCTCACAAGGCACTGCCTCCACTGCAGCAACTTCAGATGCACAGGTCCCAATTCACAAGCCTGTGGCTCCTGTTGCAGAAGCTCTCATTGGCGACTTTGCAGATGACATTGATGATACGTTGGAGCGCAAGGCCACTATTGCACAAGGCAAGGGGAAATCAAAGGTGATCTGCCACTTTGATCATTGGTATCCACACGCATTAATTATTTGCTTCGCAGGTGGCCTCGATATTCGATGATAACGTGGACTTCGATGAGCCTAATGCTCCGGTAGCATATGAGCCAGATGATGATTCTGTGACTTCATTCACAGAACAGGAATGGGCCTCGCAGGGGCCTCAGGCTCCATTCATGCAGATCGAAAATTGTGGGACCCTCAAGCGAAAAGCTAGCGTGGATGACGTCTTCAATGACGACGAGGAGTCTATGGTGTCTGACTGGTCCATGGATATCGAAGGCCCTGATTTTGAAGACACATTTGAGCCCGAGCCCGAGCCTCCAGTGGTAGTGAAGAAGGAGAAAGATCCGCACACAACATTTTCAGTAAGGACACTGAATATAATCGCACTCACTCTGACACTCGTACAGACATCAGTATCGGTTGTGACTTCTGTCCCTGACAGCAAACCACCTGCTCCCAAAAAAATCAAAGTTGGGGCATCTGCTGCACATGCCCACAGCACTCCTGCCATCAAATGCCAGCTCAATGTGGACACTGGGCCAGAGAACATGAAACCTCGTAGCACATATTGTAACGTTGATTTACCTGCCACGTTGCAGGTAGATCAACGCTGGGCAAAGAAATATCTTCCTACCATCATGTTATGGGCCAGAAGTTACGAAGACCTCTGGACTATCCCAGATGATGTTCTTCTCCTTCACGCACAGCTAATTTTTAATGCAGTATACAAGGAGCTCCATATCACTATTGTTCATGGTGGTGTGATTCATTCCCTCGTAAGTTCCCTATTTTATATCGAGCTTTACTGACTGTACTCGTAATTAGACTGCGCAGCGAATTTCTGAATGGCACAGCAACTTCAGCTCGACAGGCCTGGTCATTATTGTGGACTTTTTGTCCCGAAACTCTGACTGCGATTCAGTTCAACTTGCCACCTACCTTCTTGCAGACTATGCATTCCTATTCGAGGACCCTGACCAGCCAAGTCCCCTCACAACATACCGTTCTCCTTTTGTATTACAGCTGTTGGGTACAGCGCATCTTAACACCATCAGTGGGTATGTTGACGTTCCTGACCTCGACACACACGCACTTGCAACAAGGGCCATCAGGATGTCGGGCATTATTGCCCTTTGTGCCGCAGCAGTAAGTTTGATTTTAGAATAATTTAATTTGCACTTATTTTTGTTTTAGATTGAGCGAGCCCTGGGAATGTTTGCAAACAAAAATTTGAAAGTCAAGGATATATTGGTGTCCAGTGCCAGAGGTAAACTCGTCATTAAACTACCCAAAGTCCTCAACAAGGTCACCAGGAGGATGACCAATGCCCCGTTTTTGTTTTCAGCGGCTCACTGGGCCAAAGTCACCACATCTTTCATCAAATCTATCTCGAGCAAGCCTGCTGGGTACGTAGAGACCACGGTACAGATGGCGCGTGCTTGTACTGCCTTAAATGATGCCATCGAATCACCCCAGGACTCGCTTAATGACAACGAGCACACTATGCTTTGTAAGTACTTGTCATTCCAGTTTCATCCAACTGACATTCATCGTTGTAGGATGTTGTCTCTTCTACTACACCACCGCCAGTGGAATCCCACTGTCATATCATCATTTTCGCTGCTGTTTTTACCCCCACATGTCCGCCGTTTTTCCTGTACCCCCAGCTAGCTCTCGACTTTTTATATTAGAGTCTCCTTAATTTTATGCTTTCTCGTGTATGCCCCCTTTTTTATGAAAGGCTTGTGCCGCTTTTTCTGCTTTTTTAAGTGAAATAAGTGTGAAATAAGCGAAAATTCAGAGATGGAGTGGGCTTAATTAAGTGGTTCACACTTTTTCACTCAAATGACTTAATGGTACTTTTCATGTCATTAAGTGACAAATTAAGTTAGAAAAGGAACCGGTGGTTTTCCTGATGCCGTGGTTTCGTCAAGAAGTTCCGCACTCCCGCACTGCACGTTTTCATTGAGAGCTTCTGCGTTTGCGTGTTCAAGTCTCTTCTAACCGAGTCGTTCAAGTTATGCGGAGCTAACTTAGCGGCTCACACAGCAACATGGTTTTTTCAAATACATGCTGTCTTGAAACACCCACAAAACGAGCAAGACGACTGCCATTGAAGCCTCAGATGTCACCCCTCGATTCTCCTGTCACCTATTTTTCTTCCTCTCAACCATCCATTGTCTCCTTGCCCCAACCAGCACACTGTGACAGGTTCCAACACGCCAACCACGCCTAATCCACATTCTGTGGGGTGGGGACATTTAATCTCCTTTGGTCCGCACATGTCTATTGAAATTTGAGATGGTTGTGACGAACCTGACGGAAGGTGAGTTTGAAATTACGAGGCGCAAGCGCTAGCACTTGGTCAAATTTACTTATATACTTGTCTCTTTCTGACATTCTTATCAGCTCTTTGCTTCTTCCCCTGCTGCACAAGCATCCATGAATCACAAAGAACAAGTCATACCCGACATTACGATTGAACGACCGCAGAAGGCATTGGATCATGCTATAAATTTACACTCGATGTCAACTAGAAAGCTCGACAAATGTGACTGGGCAGGTTCGTCATCTTCACTCCATCCCAGTTACTTAGTGTAACATTCAGACTCCTTGTCTAGAGGATGTCATTGCCCAGACCATTCACGACACTGGATTGGCGCACAATTTCTATAACCAGAATGCTACAGCCTTAGACTCGGCATCTGACGCGATGGTTGTGGACATCTCAAAGAAGAATGCGACCGACTTTCTTGGAGAGGCAAAGAAGTTGATGGATGCCCTAGATGTTCTGCAACAGGTCCACCCGTTTGTTGGTGGTGTGTATCTCACTTGTCGATGTTTCCACCTCGGCCAACAGATAACTTGCAGTGGCCATACTCGCTTTCAAGGCTGTCGTCAATCTTGAGCTAACACGAAGGGAAAATGATCGTAGAGTTGGATTGATGATCGCTCAGGCATCTGATATGATGACCATGCTTCTCCAGTTTGTGGTTGATGCCAATCTCAAATGGCTTTTGTTGATTCAATTCGTTGGTAGACTTAAGGACACTAGAGACCCTGCCATTGTGGGACCTCACAGTGAAATTTGGGGGTGACTGCAACGTGTCACAGACGGCATCAAGAAAGATATTGAGGATTGTGGAAATGCCATTGACAAATACTACAAGTCAAAATTCATTTGTTTGTTTCCCTCGGAATGCTAGATGTTTCATATTGAGAACCTCCCTCCCAGTGAAATTCTTCAGATCATCTCACTGGGCGAGCAAGTTTCTGAAACTTTGCAGCAGCTTTTCCCAGCGTACCCAGGACCTCCAGCTCGCCTTGAATATCAGAACGACCTTGAGAGTTGACATTGCAATCAATAAGCTGGAGAAACTGATCCAGCGGCCAAGCGAACACAAAGCAAGATTCGAGAAAGAAGTGCAAATGCGCGGTAGAAAGGAGAAGTGTTATGGAAGCCAAGAAATAATGGTAGAGCTACTGAAAATTGCCGAGCATCAGGAAGCACATCCACAGAATACAGCATATCCTGAGCCTTCCTCCAAAGATGTCAACAAGCCTGCTTCCAAGACCACTTCGGCGAGCAGATTGGTCATTGAGAAGTCCTGCCTTGATGCCTTGCTACTTTATGAACTGTATGCTGATTTACACATCTTGCTCAACGAGAACTGCACGCTCTTCATGTTCAAGCTTGACAGGCAGACATCTGACATCAAAGATGCTATAATGGATTCTGAAGTGCGCATCATATGGGCCTTCAACAACAGATTCCAACAGGTCAAGGATCCAGTAAGGATCAGCAAACTCAACCACATGCATTGCTAACTTGGTTTATTTCACCAGCACCTCCAATATATCTGGAGAGAAATGGTATGTTTCTGTGCAGTAATGAACAAAACGCATACTTATCATCACCAAGAAATGGACAACAAATGTCAAGGTGCTATACTTCATCGCGGAACTCTATGACTATTACGTGAATCGTTTCTCCCACCGCCGTCATGATGCTCTACGCCCACAAGTGACATCGGATGCTTCATCTTTGATGGTGCAATTTCCATCCCCAACACCTACTGTCTCTGTCACCTCGGATTCAGAAGGAGAAGATCACGAGATTCCAGCAGTAGATCCTGCATACCACGAGCTTCCTGCAGTTGACCCTGCAGACAAGTGGTGCTTGAAATACTTGAGCATTTTCTATGTTCCAAGTTTATCAGAAGGCTTCAATGGCAATGCAAACAGTTTGGTCAGCATAAGGGAAGTGAATGCCTTTACTTCTGTGATACCTTCAGGCTGGAGTCTGCCGCAAGCACTTGCGTACTGGGCTGCAGGTGAGGATCACTATTGTCACGTCGAGCCTGCATTATTCACATGAGCGAAGGGTGGAGAGTGGATAGCCAATATTAACACACGCGAATTGAACAGATCTTGGACAGCATGATTTATGTGCAAGCAGATGTGCTTCCAGAAAATTGGAGGTGTATTGCCAGATACTTGTATTCATATGCTATTCATGGTTTGTCCCTTGTCACCCTGCTCACCTTTTTGCAGGGCATTTACATGGTAGACAGGTATCAAATGTCTTGTCTGTTCTCTTACAGAGCTTGGAACAGAGAACTCGGACTTGGATCTCACGTGATTGGTTGCTCGGCGTTGCACGGCTCAGGAGCAAATGTTAGTGGATAAGCTTAACATTGTGAAGTATGAAATTGACTCCATGGATTCTATCAAACTCTTCAGATCTGGTCACATTGAAAATGTGAGTTATTTACTCAGTGCTTGTGCTGGATGCTCACTTGAGTGCTTGTTAAGTTTTTGCTACCTTTGCTTTACCTAGTCACCAGGAGGCATTTACAGATCATGAAACTTGCCAGCACAGTAATTCTTGCTGAGAGAGAACTTGAGTCTGCAACTCAAATGATAGAAAATATCCTGGAGGGGGTGTCTCTGCGTGTGGAGCAATTGGCAGGTACGCTTCCAAGCTGTAACGTGATGAGCCATTCCCTTCCACAATCGCAGAATCATTCCGTCAGCAGGGAAATGATCCAAAAGTGAGATTCACTTGGTATGTGTATGGATTGGTGCATGGAGACAGCAGGATTATACTGATTCGCGGGTCTGACGCTGTCTGCAACAGTACAATTTTTGGTACAGTCCAGGACAGATCACAGAAGACACCGAATACTGGCAAACCCACAATTTCGGGTTTGACGAGACTGAGCTGGAGATCGATATGACAGCACTGAAGTTTGGTCCCTTCAGTCTTACAAAGGACAATAATCTGTTAGAAAGACTGCACTTCATTGCATTTTATCCTGGTCAGCAGCCTCAAGACACGAGGGAAGAATATATCTATTTGCGGTGCATGAATGAGCTCCACAATACACGGAACCTCTGGCATTTCTATATCCCACCTTACCTATCGTTAAAAGACAAAGAAAGGTTTGATATCCTATCCCAAGAGCAACCGCCCACAGACATCAAGAGCTGGAATTCATTAGCCGAACTCCACATGCGCAGGCGACTGTTCGAGTGAGTCCAGCTGTCTATATATCATTATTCTTCAACCATCTACTTTTCCGGTATTCAGGTCTATGTGCAACACATGCCATCACTTTGTCGGTGACGTCCTTCACTGTTGTATAGATTATGAGTGCAGTGAGTGTGATGGAGACAATCCTCCTACGTGAGATGACTGACCTTCTTGCATATAGAAGATGACTATGATGTGTGTGTAGAATGCGAATCTCTGCCGGTTTCAAATTACGAATACCCATCCGAACACAAGGCAACACACAACATGCTCGTTTTCCGCATGTCTATACCGGATGTTTGCTACAAGCGAGGTCGACACTATGCTAGGAATTTCTTATCTGCTTGTGTGCCAGCTGTGGCACCGTCAGAAGGATTATTGGATGTGCAGGAAGATGAACCCCAAACACCATTAGAAGGACCAGAACGTCCCCCTTCAACAGATACCACTCAAGCTCTAGCAGATGTGTCTTCCACCTCTCTAAATTTGCTGGGAGATGATGAAGAGTTAAGCGGACACTCGGGAGTGGCATTCGGGGGGATAGCTGAAACCTCTGTTGTGAATGGGAATGGTTATATTTGCGCTGAATGTGGCGTTAAGCTCAGGGGTATTTTTTATGTATGCCTTACCTGCAGAGGTCAGATTTCTATTCCTCTAAAGGAGCACGAAGCTTGATAACCATTACAGAAATCCAGACCACCATTGCCTTATGTGGTGATTGTGCATTCCGCGATGTATTCAATGTGGTCACAGCACACCACCCTCACAAACACTGGCTGGTCAAGATTAAAGACATGGTTGAAGACGCAGGTGGAGCATCAGATGAACCTCCCAATGACTCAGACGAGACAAGTTCGCTTTCCTTACGAGTCGACAAGCTGGCTGCAATGGTGGAATCTCGCTTTGCTGAGCAGGATCGCCACCTTGATGCACTTATCACGCAGGTTGATCTACTCGTGCATAGTCTAGCTGGATCGACGGGAAAAGCACAGCTTCCCTTGGAGTCCGTCTCGGTTTGATTGGTTTGTAAATTGGCAGGCTGTCATTCTGATTCTCGTGTATGGTGTAGATGAACGCTAACTTGTAATGTCCCTCACATCAGCAAATGGTGAAATAACAATGTCCATTAATATTGCTATGAATTACGGAGTGTTATCTCCAGCCTTGCATATAGGGTGCCATCGCAGTCTGTGCACAGATCGCTACAACAACAGTCAATTCAATTCAGTGAAGGAGAAGAGTCACAAAATATGTTGGTTGGTACAATAACCACTCCAAACACATCCACATGTAGCATGGATCGAGCTGAGGAAGCAAAAGACTTGTTCGTCATACGCCACCCAATCCTTCAACAGCCACGAATAGTTGGTGTAAGGCTTGCCAACTACATCACTGTATCTTGTATTACAACCAGGACTGTGTAGCCAACAGGGCAGCAGATAGAATCGTACATCTATCAGTACCTTGATTTCAAATGAGTTGGTGCGGATTTAAACCTACACATCTGGCACAAGTGTCTCTAGGAATTCCGGACATATCAATTTCAAACCTTAACGTGGAGTTTCACAGTCTGAACTCCCTTTCCCTCCATGAGCCTCTACCAGAAGTACTGTTTTTAGACACACTGGAAAGCTAGGTGAGGAAAGACCAAACATGACGCACCATTGCCACTCAGGACCCAGATAAAAGCGAAGGTGCCATAGACGTCCTGCAGGGATTGGCGTCATCACATCGAAATGAGGAAAACCCAAGAGACATGGACCACACGCCTCATGCAGCATATTCAGTTTACTTGCTGTGTAATGCACAAACATTTCTGGAACATCCTGATGCAGAAAGAAGCAATGAACTGGTTGTGATCCAGTTTACCCGCCTTCACCCACCTGAACCTCATCTGGCGGGCAGCCCAAAAAGCGTTTCAAAGACTCATCCTTGACTGATAAATGTGTCATACATCAATAAATGTACTCACCAAGTCGGCACTTACCATCAATACTTCCCAAATTCAGCTGCGTAAAAAATACATGGTTGCTGGTTTCCATACATGCAAGGCACAACTCGGAAGAACAAGCAGACAAAAATTCGGAAATCAATCCAGAAAGGGCCGACAAGGTTTCTCGCCGATCACTCACAACTGCCCAATCTTGATATTAAGCGTTTGCAGGAGGTCGAAGAACTGTGCAGCTGCGAGAGCAGTGGCGCAGGCATTGGCAGTTGAGGCCACAGAGGAAGAGGTATCACCAGGAGCAGAGACAAGATCACGGATATGAGGTAGAACAGTGTTACATTCCCGCTTGGATGATAGAAAGGAGAATACTACGAATGGTGTTCTGCATTGGATGAAATCTGCTGTCAATGCGGACGTAGAAAGTTGTCGTACGAGGGAGGTGCATTAGCAACGGACTTGCTATCAAAGGTTTCGGACTCAGTGGTCATGATGACGGAGCAAGAAAGATCCTTTGACAAGGAAATGGGGGCATCGTGCCAAGCATTGCAAAACAACAATCAGGATAGGAGCACCCAGCTCGAAGACCCGACGAAGGAAAGAAAAATGAAATGCATGAAGCAACACAGCAGACAAAGAACCTCACAGTATCAATCACTTACCTTTCGCACCCCACAATGAACCATCTCAAAGACAATGAAACACGTGTCAATTAGGTGATCCTGTGCAAGAACTGTCCTATTTACAGCTATGAGTCCACACCCGTTGTGCCTTCGGCACAGGAAGCAAGTGGAGCACTTCAGGAACTTAATTATTGATAATTGATAATCATAGCAGAATTTTGAAAATTTTGAAATAAATTACATTTTTGAGCAGTATTCAGGATTTTGACAAAAGTAAAGGTACAATCAAAATACTATATACTTTTGTTTAGTTGTGAGAAAATAGGACACAGGACACAGGAGAATTAGACAAATGTCACATCACCCATTTGATACATCACTCCCATTCAATCAGAAATCAAGTCATATTATAGGAACAACTCTAACACAAAAAACTATTCAGAAGGCTCCCAGCCAGGTGGAGGTCCCTCTTTGTGTAGCTCATTCAAATGCCGACGCTCCTCCCAACTTTTTCCCTTCATCTGCTGAAAGATGTGCTTTCGCCAAGCATCCACCACCTTGCGATGCTTTCGATGCTTATGTGCCTTCTCCAACTGAGAGCAGAAGGTATCTACATCCCTACCATTATCCTTGAGGTCTTGCTCATGTTGCTCTTCCCACCACATGATGTCCTTTTCCAACTTCACGTTAGATCGTTGGAGGTCATGGATTTTCTGATCCATGGCATTGAGATTCTCTCGCCAAGTGGTGACCTTAGCATATGCACCTGATGGTGGGGTAGTCATGCATGATAGTACTGTTACTAGAGTACAGACGTCATGCATTTTGTACTGCTATCCTAGTCTCTCATTCATGCATGGTATACATCAGGCTATACTGTCCCTTGCCCATGCATGACAGCCACTGCCTTGCATGATACCCGCAGTGTTAGCCCCATGCATGACAATCATAGCACCATACATGACAGCCGCAGTCTTGCATTGCGTCTTGCCATGCACGACAGCCGCTGCCTTGCATGATATCATGCACAATGCATGATGGTTGCCTCCCATGGTGACCAACGCCCATACCACACTGTGAATAGTGGGCCAAAATGCATCATAGTAAATAAAACATGACTACTGTACAAGCATGTATCTCAAAAATCAAACAGCGAACATTGCTGTATTGATGCTTGTTGCTGCTGGGAGGGTAGGCATCGTCCACAATGCCTGAAAATGAGCCGATAAAGCCCTGCGCAGCGATGCCTGGCGTTCCGCATAGGCCTTCAAACCTTCCCTCAAGCAGTCATCCAAGTGTTCTGAATCGCAGCCTTGTCTTTGACACCACCACCAGCCTGCCTGCCAGTCCAGGAATGCAATGACTTGCCGTTGTTCTTCCTTCAGCAAGTCAACCTCCTCCTCCCATCACATTGTGTGCGCGCGTGCCTTGCACCATTCAATACAAAGGGCTAACCATAAGCATGTCAGTGCAAGCAAATTGAAAATATTAGGCCTTACCATCATGTAGGCCAACACTGGCATCCTCCGCCACCCCCGGTGTCTTCCAGATCCACAACAGGTGTCTTGTCCCCTCCGTCTCCTTTTCCCACATGTCCTTCAACGATTTCAGGTCCCTGTTGTGATTGAGAGGCTTGAATATATCTTTCCAGGCCGGGCCTTCATCAAGAATTTGTGCCAGAGTAGTGAGAGCCGCCCTCGCAACTTCATAACGCTCGGCGGCCATGCTGACTTTGACATTGGTCTTATTGATGGTACTTCTTGCACGGGTATTAGCTGCTTGGCCAATGATGTTGTTATCCTTGAATTTGTATAGGTGTGAGCGGAGACACAAAAGGTTTCGAATGTCTTTTAATGCATTGTTTGCTTGGGCGTAGTGTAACATCCATTCGAAACGATGAAGCTGAGTAGAACACTGTGTGTCTGGGCCGACTCCAGATGGTAGCCATAGATCAATAGCTTTGACACTGGGTGTTGCATCCGTAGGGGAGCGTGGACAATCTTCATTGGCGCGTAGGTGAGACACAAATGGCATATATAGCAATTGAATATCCTGCCAAACATCAATTTTCCTGCATAACACATTGGCATGTTGCTGGACCTTAGTGAGTTGGTGGTCAGTTGCATGGGTGCTGAGTGCTGCAAGCTCATGAGATAAATGTCATCTGTGTGCTCATTAGTTCATTACTCATGAATGCACGAGCTGGTTGACATACTGTTGATCTTCCAAGTCAATTGCGGAACTGATTAAGACCGAGGGGGGAACATCCGCATGAAGAGAGATATTTGTACCAACTTGAAACAAACAAAAAAACATACGTGCTACTCGGACCTTGAATGGATTTGGCTGCATGCGATCCAGTTCCCAAGCTTCTATGTCAATCCTCCATTCGGAAATATCTTGTGTTTGCAGGCAGCTTTCAAGTTCCAAAAGCTTGCGCTGATGATTGGCTTTTTGCTCCACAGTGTTTGCTAATTTTCAAGCAGTGAGTCGTCCTGAGTGATTGCATTATGATTAGTAGAAAAGAACAAAATGCCAACAATGCTTACCAAGCTGGACGACACACTTCCAATTCCAATCACCAAAATGGTCATCGAACGTATCACGCCGAGAGCCTGGGCCCATCTCCTTGGTGCTTGATGCGATCGGGTTAATATTAGCCCACCCGCGTTCCGGAGCTTCGCCATCAGTATGACCAACATGTTGAGAGAAATTAAAAGAAAAATTGATCTGGCATGGCTCAATGTGGGCCGGTAGATGAAATTTTGGAATAAAAAGTTGACCCATTTGTTGTTGTAATCCAGATGAAATGCAGAAGGAAGCTTTGACATCCGTGACCACAGATGCTTGGACCATTGACACGCGATATTGTATGATATGTTGAGAACAATGACGTTGTGGTGTTTCATTGCCAAAAAAAATAGGTAGTCCATATTAACATACCTGTGCAGTGTTGTTAGGCGGTAGTGTGACGAAATAAACGATGGGGAATACATACTTCTCGCCCTTCTGTAAGTCACCAACTGCATTGCGAAGTTTCATATTGTGCCTGGCACAATCCACCGTCCCAACACCTGTAGCGGCGAGGCCTCTAGACTTCTTCGTATCGGCCATATTCACGGTGTTGTGACTGGCGCATGTACTGCACTATTGGTGACTGAGTTGTTTGCTACAATCATTGACCAAAAAAGAGACTTACCTCCTGGTTTCAGTCTTTATTATCTTCTAGATATGATTTGTACGCCTTCTCCTCCACAAAATACGACCATCCCTTACTAACTCCAGGATCAATGATATCACTCAATATCAACTTCTGCTTCAGACGGAAGTTGGCATCAATGCCAACAAATAAAGCATACAGCCATCTGTGTTTGGATTAGAAGGTAAAGAATTTTGAACCGATATGGAACTTACCGCTTATCAAGCAAGGTGTTCTCCCAGTTCTCCAGCAGGTTTTTTCCGGGGTGCGGACAGGCAGGGCAGAGCACTGTGCACTGTCTGGGCTCTGTTGTCACGATGCCATCTGGACAGTGTCCCTGAGCAAAATGTTTGAGCAACTTGAGGATTCGCCATTCATGCACTACTCACAAGAAGGTAGGATAATGGTCCTATAGTTCTTGTTATCATAGTCCTTTGCAATAAGTAAATGAAATACCTTTGGCGGATCCATGCCCGTATTGTTGGATAAGCGTGAGAGGGCTTGATAGAACTCAAACGCGGATGCTTTAGACTCAAAAGACAGTAAGTGATACTGTTCGAGCACACCAAAAGTAGCTGCAGTTTTGGGGTCAGTGATGGTTGCCGGAAAGAGTCGAGAGTGTAGCAGTTGCTTAACGTGGGTTTGCATGGTCCCACAAGCACAGAAATCCAGTCCCACTTCATGTATTCCAGTCGAATTGATTATTATGAAGTCGTCGTTGAATGCACAGTGAGGGTTGCAGCACATGTCTCCAATACGGTGGCCCAGCTGAATGCGTAACCCCAATGACTTGAGGGTGATTTGTTCGAAGTAGTTACCATTCCAGCGCTGCATCATAGTAAATACCGGATGTCAGCGGATCCTATAAGTATAGATCTTGGGAATTACATTACCTGAAGACGATGTAACGGCAGACATCGGTGCCATTCTACAGTACACGAAGGGCAGTAGAGTTACAGTAAGAAGCAATCTTGGCATCAGATGGTCAGAGCATGTTCTTGACAGTATCGACAGAGAGAATCCTCAGTGTAGTCTCCACAGCCTTCCAGGCGAATCATTTTGTCCAAAAATGTGGGGCATTCCAGCTCCCATGCTGCAAGGGGGTGATCCTGGTAGGTACAGGATAAGCAAAATGTTGAGAATGTTGAAAAAAACTTACCCCAGCTGTGCGTTTCCTCTTCGAAGTCTCAGTCTCGATGTTAGACTCACCAGGAATCGGCATATAGTCGAGGAAAGAGCCAGCTTCGTATATCTGCCATGGGTTATGGGCTGGTGGTGGATCCTCATTACGGAGAAGAGTCATAGGGGGAAGATTTGTGGGAGCAAGATGGGCACCAACCAGAGACTCCATGCATACTAAGGGCTTGCCAGATTGGAATGTGTACATGGAGGCCGTGTGGATGTTGGCCGAAGGTGTATCCGCAAGCTGCTCAGCGGTATGATGCACTAACTTCTGTTTTTTCTTGCCCATTGTCAACACAGACAGTAAAAAACGAATGAATTCATCACAGCCAATAAATTTGAGACCCCCCTTATCAATTGTATCAACCGACATCCAAGGATCTTGCAGTGGTGAATCAAAGAAGTGTTTGTTTGTATCTGTTGAATTTAGACGCATCCACCAAGCCTTCCTGAGACTCACAGTATTACACTTGCCTACACCGTGACTATTACATTGCAGGCAATGAATCTATCACCTTCCTCTCCCACCCAGAATCAGTCGCGAGCCTCCAGGGTACTACCATAAATAAGCTGCCAGACGGTAAGTGTCTTTCTCCCATCACTCCACTTCAACCCTAACACGAACATTACTTTACTAGATGACATCAAACAACTCGAGCTTGGTGTCTTCTAGTTGCGCAGTCGGTAAGTTTATGATTGTTTTTGTTTTAAATGTGCACTGACTCTCTACAGATGCTCTTGTGACAGCACTCATGAATCTTAACATGAGTTCTGTCACTGCCAATAATGCACTTGTTATGGCCATCCAAGCAATTGCAGATGGTGGCCAGACCATTTCGTCAGCAGCCGTTCACCCTGGACAGAGAGATCACACAGCCGATTGTGATGTTGAAGACGATGCTGATGAAGGAGCTGAGGCTACTCCATACTTTACCACCACTCCAGCGCTCTCCTCCACCACTCCAGCGCTCTCCTCCACCACTCCAGCACTCTCCTCCACCACTCCAGTGCTCTCCCCCACCACTCTGGCACCCGCTATTGGCAGTATTGCTGCAGCCATCACGAACCTCTCGCTCTCCAACAATGCAGACTTAGTTGGGCTTCCACCCAGATCAGTTTCGCATAAAGGGTTCCAATACGAGATTCCACATCTGTCTGCTGAAGGGCCCTTCTACTGTGTGATTAAAGGCAAACACGTTGGAGTTTTGTCCACTTGGTAGGCCTTTTTTTTGCTCGATCTTACGCACTTAACAATGAACCAACAGGGAAGACACTTCCCCCCAAGTCACGGGGGTCAGTGGTGCTATCCATAGCCACTGTCCGTCAGTCAAAGTAGGCATTGCACGGATCCATGCAGCCATCAAACACAATAATTGTCAGTACTTGGGGGCATGATATACTGTATATACCATAGTAGTTGTTCATAGTGTGTATCATCCGAGTCACGGCAATACTGAATTGGTTATTTTGATCGAACATACGAGTGAAGGCCAGTAGTTGAACGCGGTATTGATAAATAAATCTCCTAAGAAAGTACTATGCAGGAAAAAACATACAACATGTCTATCACCATGGAATGCTGGCCTTGTCCTGCATCGGACTTCGTTTATTTCATTAACACAGTTGTTTATATTAGTATGTTGCATGAAAAAATGTTGCTGAGCATGTATTCTTGAGTCTTGCAATGCATACAGTGAACAGGCTTTCACTGGCATTCAAACTCGAATTAGGTAACTTAGCGACTCAGATGTCACGCATCATTTGTACTACTAGTCTTTCTCTCTTTCAGTCTCAACATTCAACATCTCTTTAACACTCCTACCATGGGTCGGCAAAAACTGCACAAGTCCAAGAAAGAACGCCAAGAAGCTGCTAAGAGATACCGAAAGGTGTATTATGAGAAGTACATCTATGTTCTTCCGAGTCGTTCTTCCGAGTCACAGTAGCAAGTCTTCATCGCATCCTCCAACAGAAACAAAGTCGTCATCTTGAAAAAGATGCAATTAAAATATAATACAACGAAGCATCCGCAGCATCCAAGGCATCCGCACACAACCCTTTGTAACTCTGAGTCAAATGATACAGGAGACATTGACCTTACTAGATTGTATGTACTCAATCACCGTATCATTTCAAACTCACTCTGACAACAAACCTTTAGATCTGAACCGCAAATTAAATTCTGCAGGCTTGTCAATGGGTCCACTCATAGGTTCTTGGATGACCTGGTGTTGCAGTATACGGGTAGCACTCGTTCTGAAGACTCACGGCAGCCTATTCTGGATGCACTTGATATCACTCAGGAGGCCAAGGAAGCAGTTACAAGAAGTGGAGGTGATGGTGTGCAGTGCCAGCAAGTCACACTATTTCTTGAAGACATTCTCTTGCATGTTTTTGAGGATGATGACATCACATCTGCACATAGTCGAGGGTTTCTTAGGTATCAGTTGACATCTGATTTCATTATTATGTAGTGAACAGGTTCATAGTTGTACTATGTGTAAATTGCATGAACTCTATGTCATATGAGTCTCAAGCGTGCCGTGTGCTGCCGTGTGTTCATGTCATTCGGGAATTGCCTTGTGGTTTGATGGAGCTGTATAGATGCTGTAAAATTTTCAATTTGATATTTTTGCATTCAGGCATCAAAACGTTAAATCCCCATAACAAAATTCAAAGAGAGCGAAAGGTGCACGGCCGATCAATTTTTCACACAATTGCCTAACACATATGTCACAGATGGTTGCTAGTGAATGGACGTCTAAGGAGCAGAAGGAGTGGTTAACAGCACAGCTTCCCGGCTATCAAAAGTGCTCAACTAAATCTAGCTATGGAAAGTTCTGGCCCCCCATCTACGAGCAATGGGAGCAACAATGGCCCATATATAAAGAGCTCTGGCCGGAACTTCCTGATGAGGATGGTCTGAATGCCATACAATCGGCAGCAAAGGGGAGGGCAGTAAAGAGGCATCAGAAGGTGATGTCGTTAGTTAATCGTGAGCTTGAGATCTTAACCAAAAAGTAAATGAAGCAACTGTGCACCTGGATGTCGTGGCATTCGGGTAATTCCGCATCTCGCAAAGGCAGAGTGGCGCAATCTTCCGCAAGGGCCACTCGTTTACTCAAGGACCTCCTCCAGCCTCGGGGTGCAAGAGCTCTGAGCGAGGCCAAAATGTACTCCCGACTATATTATAAAACCAACATCCGTCCAACTGTCAAAGCTGCAGTTAGCGAACGTGGCTCCACAACAAGAGGTGAAAGGCTTACGATTGTATGAGAGGTCACACGTCAATGTTGGGAGCGAGAAGCCAATGAGACTATCATTGTGGACGTCAAGGCCAGGATGAAAGCAAAGAAGAAATCGAGGAAGGTGAATCCTGATGCCAATGATGAAGATGCCGAGGCTCTGGAGGACGAAGATGAAGAGGAGCAATCGCCAACCACCAAGGATATGCTTGAGTACGTTCTTCTCAACTATTTTTTTTGATTTGTTTGTTGAGCAACATGTCATTCAAACAGAGCACAGGAAAACTTACCTGCTATCTTCAACACAATCCTCACATACCTTGAGCAGCAAACTGGGTTTTCGTTCTTGGTGTTAATGGGTGGGCCAGATCCCTCAAACGACAACAAAATCTCTGTTGCATCGTAAGTTTGGGAATGTCTTGTGAACAAATGGAGCGCTTACTAGTAGCAGGGTTGATGTTGGTACCACCAAGCTGGGACATTCAGCCCCGCAATTATTGCCTAACTTCAAGGAACATTTCCTTGGAGCGTATCTAAAATTCCTTCAAGGTGTACAAGGTAAGTTAATCATTACTGCCAAAAGGGTATTGCACTTACGCGACAATGATGTAGGCTATTCCTCCCCCGAACCTGAGACAAAAGGCGATGCCAAAGGAGAGGATGCTGCGGACAAGGGAGAGGCTGGGGATGGAGACCAGACGGACCTTGAAGATCAAGACAAAGTAGATGCTGACCCTTTCGCAGATGAGCCAGAGGAGGAAATAGAGGTGTCACAGAGGCAGGGGAATGTTTTGGATGGGAGGAAGGAACATCAAGAGCAGATTCTCAATATTTATTCGCCTAACTATGCTAAGCCCATGCATGACTCATTGCAGCCCATCAACATGCATGGCCTCCTGCAGCCTAGGGTCAGGCAAATCTCACCATGCATGACGCTGACTCATCATACTTCGCCAGTTCTACCAACTTTGGCAACAATGCTCACTCTGTGGATCTCAACCACCTACTCAGCAATCCTCAACTGTGGACTCTCGGCCCTGTGCCAATCTATGATCCGCTTCAAAATTTCAACAATTTCAACAATTTCAACCCAGTCCCTAGCTACCCCCAGCCTATGGGCTACCCCCAGCCTTTGAACTACCCCCAGCTTTCAAACTACCCCCAGCTTTCAAACTACCCCCAGCTTTCAAACTACCCCCAGCCTGCGAGCTACCCCCAGCAATCCAGCAGCCATCTGAGCCATCCTTCCATTGCTCACTCTTCTAACGGCTTACCACCATCACCACCTGCCACCGACAATTCTCCTTCATCTTCTTCAGATGGCTTACTACCGCTGTCACCTATTCCCACTCCGTCTCTTCCAGACGGCTTACTACCGCTGTCACCTATTCCCACTCCGTCTCTTCCAGACGGCTTACCACCGCTGTCACCCATTCCCATTTTGTCTCTTCCAGACGGCTTACCACGGCTGCCACCTGTTCCCACTCCATCTCTTTCAGACGGTTTACCACCGCTGCCACCCATTCCCACACCGTCTCTTTTGGACAGCTTGCCACCGCTGCCACCTGTGCCCACAGGTAATCCTCCCTCAGTTCCAGCAGGCCTTCCTCAGAAGGCGGCAGGTGGTAAAGCTGAACATACGGCTTCTACCAGCCAGCCTGAACCCACCACTTGCAAGTCCAGACGTCCACTGAAACCATCTACTCACAATGAAACCACTAATGCTATTGGCGCTAATGCCCTCAGCGAAATGCAGGAGAAGGAAAATACGGCCACCATGGGGGGCAAAAAGGCCCATAAACACGGACTGGAAGCAGGTGGAGAGCCTATTGCTAAGTACTGCGCACACTTCGTCGGAAATAATGGCCACTGACCATTGGTTTAGGAAAAAAAAGGTGGCTGCTATTTCCACGGCCCAGGCTTAGTGCACAGGCATCTGACTCTTCGTTGTGAGACTTACTCTAGCTGAATGTTGAACTATTGTCTTCTTGAAAGTGCTTAGTGATGCATATCCTGATGATTTTTATACCCATATCTTCGTAACAAACATAGTCATAATGTAATCTTGAGCAATATATTCATGTCTTGTAGCATCCAAGTTGTGAATTGGGGAACTTACTAGTTTGAGAGAGTCACCATCACGCGCATATGAAGGTAAATGTTCAGTAACGGGCTAGTAATAGCAGGATGGCAGTAGTAAGAAATGGGGGAATTAATTGAATGAGTCTTGTGGTAGTGTTGCATATATACATACAGTAATAGCGCTGCGGCAGATTCTAGCGCTGTGGCAGATTCAGACGATCATGCATGATTAGTAGGCCATGCATGATGCCACGCATAACCAGGCAGGAGAAAAGTACAGTAACCATGCATGGTATCAGGGTCATGCACGATATCATGCATAGTAAGGTGGCAGTAGTAGTAATACTAGTACTAGCACCCCATGCATGATACCATGCATAAAGTGGGGGAACAATTGTGCCGATTCACGTGTGCCATGCATGATGGTATGGTAGGTTGACCGGTCAGTGGCAGTCATGCATGGTAGCATGCATGGTCTACTATCTGTAATTCTCATTTCTACACATCATGCATGGTGGCATGCATGATTTATCTATGATTCTCATTACAGTACAAACATGCATGACTACATAACTACAGTACTAGTTACATCATACATGAATATGACAGCATAGCCTGGCATACGGGTCATTGAGTCGTCTCTGTTCGAGACCCATTGTGTGGCTCTCGGACCAGCGGCGATGGAGTTCAGCAGACCAGTCAGTCACAGCAGGCGCTGACAACTCAGAAGGAGGGGGTACTGAAGGAGTTGTGGAAGTGGGAGGTGGGGCCAGCATGTTGACAGTCTGGCGATGATGTCACTGCAGGCGGGCCGCAAAACTTGCATCAAAGCCCTGCAAAAGCCTGGCATTCCAGTCGACAGTAGGTCTGGGCTCCTGCCTTGTAGCTACCATAAATACACAATCAGACAGAGACAGAGAGAGAAACTCACCTCGTGACATGACCCAGCATGACCAGAGTGTCATGTGATAATGTGCCCAAGCCAGCATCAGGTGCTGAGGAAGCACTGGGAACAGCTGCTGTAAATTGTGTGATCAGACAAAAACAGACACCGAAAAACTCACATGGTGATGTGACCTGGTGTGACAGGGAGCTCTGCGTCATGTGACGTGGCCAAAAACGCATCTGAGCCAGTATCAGGTGCTGGAAATGGCCATAGTGAAGTGTTGAGGGCACTGGGAGGCAGCAAGATTCAACAGCTGATGATGAGAGGTGATGCCAGGTGATCAGAAGAGACGGCAAGTGATTGGGAGCTGCTGGAATGGTAGAGCAGTGTTGTGTTGCGTTGTGTCGTGTCTGGTGCAGTCGGTGCTGAAAAAAAAAACCACATGAGATTGCTAAATCAAGTGAAATCTACATATGACCAAATTCGGATGGTATATAGTAATGGACGATGGTTTTCAGAAATTGAAACTCCGCTTGACAGAACCACGTGAAATTTCTAAATTGAGGTTAAGCGAGCTAAGCAGAAACACATAGACGAAATGTGGCATCCATGTGCGGGTGGCTTAGGTTCCCACACAGTCTCCCTTTCTTCTTAGATTTTCATATCGATAGACCAGAATCTGGAAAACTCATTTAGCCGCTTTTGTTTGTTGTTGGAGCGACACCAAACAGAGGCACGCATGCTAGTTTTATGAATCTTTAACATAACTTGGGGCTTGTGTGGCACTGCGGGGCAGTGACGAGACCCTGGAATCGTACTGTACGCACTGACCTGCGACCAGCCACACATGGTGCACCATGGTTATTACTAACTGCAGGTGACCTTGTCAAGCAAACGAAGTCCTCGCAGTGCAAGACACTGCAATGTTGTCAAAGGTAAGTTTTGCTCATCATCAAATGGGCTCCACTTAGTTTCTACAACCCTGGCATTCTAGCGAGATTGCTGTCTCTTCATCTCCGTCAAAAACAATGGTTTTTGGATCATCTGACAATGTTGATCCATTGCGCAAATAGATTTTACATGCATGCTTGTGAGTCAATCCATGCCTATGTAGTGTTCATTTGATGGTAGCAAGAGACACCTCAATATCCCTCACCTCCCATAAAGCACTTTGTAGTTCAGATAGAAATATGTCAGGAGTGCGCTCGACACATGAAATAAGGTACTGTCACAGTTAGGTATCAAATTCAAAATACTTTTGTGCCTTCACTTACTGCAACGTCCTGTGCTGTAAGTAGACGAGGACGACCAATTTCCAGAGGTTTTCGAATGACAGAGCCTGTGAGTTGTGAGAGCCGAAGAACTCGATTGACTGTTCGATGGCTGTATCCTGTCACTTGCGCGATGGCCTTCGATGTCATGCCATGTGTGGACATAACAACCCACTGCTGCTTCGCAGCATCTGGTATGTGTCGCCGGTTTCTGTGCATCATGATGATGGTCGGCAGTCGTTGTACTAGTATTCCACAAGCAAGTTATAAAAGTAGCTAGTGTGCGTGCCTCTGTTTGGTGTTGCTCCAACAACAAACAAAAGCAGCTAAATGAGTTTTCCAGATTCTGGTCTATCGATATGAAAATAGCTGTAAACAGAGCATATGGTATTATATAGTTGTTCCTCTGAATGAAGACCATCGAGAATGGTAAATATAGATAATAGTACTCCTACTACCAGTCATATTGGTCAAATAACCGATATGAGGCTTTGCGCAGCTGTAGCCTACGGAGCACGAAAGGTGCTCAGGTGCCAGCCAAACTTCAGAGTGTGAGAGGCTTGCGGTGGACTAGGCGGGCGATGTAGTAGGCATTAGAGGTGAGGGCGGGATGAAGTATGGAGAATCGCTGGGGAATCTTAGTAGGCTTGGCACCAATACGATCGTTTGGTGTCAGTCAAGCGAGCGTTGTTTGATTTATAGCCTCAGTTGAGACTTTTACATTGCTCAGACATGCTGGATGGTATGAGGGTGGACAAAATTCAAGACTTAGATTTGAACTTGTAGAACTGCGGTCAGGTTCACGATGAAATCAAAATCAAACATCCCCAATGCATTCGTGTAAACTGAATCCAGCTAGTATCGGTAAATCTAAAGTCAGGTATCACTGTCAACACCTCCAAGTTGCGTCTGAGACTCTGTACTAGACGTTGTGGCTGGTTTCAGGTTTAAGAACGGTTTGCTTAACTGATCGGCGGCAAAGAATCATAAGGCCCTTGGATATTCGTTCAAAGTAAAGGACTTACCAGCGCCTGTGGAGTTCAGCAAGGCTATGTTGATCACTACATGCTCGTGAAGCATGTTACTACTGAATATGACACCATCACGACCGAATTCTACTGGAGCTAACTGTCTAGCGGACGGACGCTCTAAGGTGGTGGGCTGAGCAGCTCGAGTAACGCATTCTAACTTGCTCACAGCTTCAAGTCAAAGGTGAGTCTAAATGGCAAGTCGCATATGCGAAGAACTCACTGGACCTGGTAGAGTTACTGGAGAAGATATTAATTGTCACCCCCTCACCAAAGTTGTTATTGTATAGGACTACCTTGCGGTCGTCTGAGTCCAGCTTTTGACTCGGCAGGGGAGTTTCATCACCCATCATTGGGGGCTGACCGGGCGAATCTGGTGTTATGTTAGTATGGCGCAGCAAAGGTAAATATGTTGGAGTACTGGGGTCGTATACGCAGGTAGCCATTGTAGATAGGGAAGGGTTGATCAGGAAAGAGTTGGACAGGAAAGAGTGGAAGAAAGAGATGCTTGGCAACAGGTAGACATACAAAAATTGCATTTTATCTGAATGCCTTGGTTGTGGCTCCCAATATGGTCTGAAATCCGAACCAAATCACCTTCAAGATAAACATGTGGTTCACATTCCAGAGCAGGCATTCCCAATTTGATGTAAACAGTCGTTGGGACGCTCCGGTCTGCATACTTCCAGTCACATTAATATGGTCGAGTACATCATGATCTGGCACTCTCATGATGAAGACATATTTGAATCCCCGAGGTGCATTTTCATGGTCACTATAGCAAGAGTATTCACTGTGATAAGAGTGGTTTCCTTGCGGTCGCCCTGGTTATGTCACGTGCCCCACAAGGTTGCATGAACGTATGTGTATCATTCATGACTCCCAGAACCCGTGCACTGCAAAGGTCGGGGGTTTGCGGATATCACGGGGTTTTGCAGGGTTTGACAGTGCCAGGGGGATGTTGAGCACAGCCCAGATAGCGATAGTCATCAGGGCAGTCATTAGTCAAGGACGCAGATAGACTCTGCAAAGGTCAGGGGTTTGCGGATATCACCATCGTGCACTACAAGGCTGGGTGTTTGCGAGTATTGCGGGTATTTGTAAATGCCAGGGAGAGCCTGGAGTACAGCGATGGCCATCAGGGTAGTCATCCCTGACTTCCCATGGAGTGGGAGGAGGGTTTTGTCAGATTGATTAGTCAGGGATGTAGATGGACTGCTGTCATCTTCTGTGAGCTCGGCAGATTGACACGCCTCTTACTATGCATGAGATGAAATCATGTGTCCATGAAGAAAGGCGACCTGGAGGATCACATAACATTATGAATAACACAACAAGGTGTGAGCTCAAACCTGTCAAAGGAAGGCATAAGGCGAGACAGCAGGTCAACAACACAAAGGTAAGGATGAACAGAAACTCATGGTGGGGTGTTGAGTGACGGCAAAACGAGAAAACAGTGACGGCGGTGAGCTCAAGCATTGGCTACATAAGTGCGAGGGAGTGTAGGAATATGCACGGAGTTTACAAGTGACAGAACGAGCACTCTGCATTGCGGGAGTGGTACCGAGAGATGAGGGAGGGAGAGCGTTAAAATGTATTGTAGTCAATAGCAATCAATAGTCTTATAGGTAAGTAGCTCTTGCCTAAAAGGATTATTTGTCCTAATGGGGAAATAATGACATCCATACTATCAGTTATCACAACTTCGGTCAACCACTGATTCGGACACTTTGCAATAGCTCACACAATTCAGCCTCAATAAATATTCTATCTCACCACATATCGTTGTACACATATTCTAAGCTACTATAAAGTTGAATCATCGAAATTGGTGGAGAAATGATTGAGATAGTTGTTAAGGTGTGACAGAGCAGCTGTTTGTCACTCGGCGAGTCTGCTGTGGCGGAGTTTTGATACCTTGTAGGAAAGATGGGCTCGTAACGCCAAATACCGAGCGGAGTTTGCTTCAGACAGCCAGTGACATGGTGTTACTACCCAGTGACACTGTCTGACTGTCTGAACCAGTGGTTAACCGAAGTTGTGATAACCGATAGTAATGTTGCTCACACAAGCAAATGGTGAAATAACGATGTCCATTATGTAATATTGCTACGAATTACGGAGTGTTATCTCCAGTCTTGCATGCAGGGTGCCATCGCAGTCTGTACACAGATCACTACAACAACAGTCAATTCAATTCAGTGAAGGAGAAGAGTCACAAAATATGTTGGTTGGTAAAATAACCGCTCCAAACACATCCACATGTAACACGGATCGAGCTGAGGAAGCGAAATACTTGCTCGTCATGCGTCGCCCAATTCTTCAACGGCCATGAATAGTCGGTGTAAGGCTTGCCAACTACATCGCAGTATCTTGTATTACAACCAGGACTGTGTAGCCAACAGGGCAGCAGATAGAATCGTACATCTATCAGTACCTTGTTTTCAAATGAGTCGGTGCGGATTTAAACCTCCCCATCTGGCACAAGCATCTCTAGGAATTCCGGACATCAAACCTTGGCGTGGAGTTTCAGTCTGAATTCCCTTCACCTCCGTGAGCCTCTATCAGAAGTATGGCTTTTGGACACGCTGTAAGGCTAGGCGAGGAAAGACCAAACCCCAGATAGAAGCAAATATGCCATAGACGTCCTGCAGGAATTAGCGTCATCACATCAACGTGAGTAGAATCCGAGAGAAATGGACCACACGCCTCGCGCAACATATTCGCGGTTTACTTGCTGTGTAATGCACAAACGTTTCTGGAACATCCTGATGCGGCAAGAAGTAACGAACTGGTTGCAATCCAATTTACCGCCTTCACGCACCTGAACCTCATCTGGTGGGCTGCCCAAAGTGTTTCAAAGACTCATGCTTGACTGATAAATGTATCATACATCAATAAATGTACTCTCAGCACGCATCACCGGGTCGGCGCTTACCATCAATACTTCCAAAATTCAGCTGCGTAAAGAATGTATGGTTGCTGGTTTCCATACATGCAAGGCGCAACTCGGAAGAACAAGCAGACGAAAATTCGGAAATCAATCCAGAAAGGCCCGATAAGGTTTCTCGCCGGTTATTCACAACTGCCCAGTCTCGATATTGAGCGTTTGCAGGAGGTCGGAGAATTGTGCAGCTGCGAGAGCAGTGGCGCAGGCATTGACAGCTGAGGCAACAGAGGAAGAGGTATCACCGAGAGCAAAGACAAGATCACGGATACAAGGTAGAATAGCGGTACGTTCCCGCTTGGTTGATAGAAAGGAGAACACTACGGATGGTGGTCTGCATTGGATGAAATCTGCTGTCCATGCGGACGTAGAAAGTGTGTCGTACGAGGGAGGTGATTAGCAACGGACTTGCTATCAAAGGTTTCGGACTCAGTAGTCATTATGACGGAGCAAGAAAGATCCTTTTCGACGAGGAAATGAGGGCATCGTGCCAAGCATTGCAAAACAACAATCAGGATAGGAGCACCCGGCTCGAAGACCCGACAAAGGAAAGAAAAATGAAATGCACGAAGCAACATGGCAGACAAAGAACCCTACAATATCAATCACTTACGACAGTCTGCTGCCCTTTCGACTTTTGATATCACTGATATTGCTTTTGCACCCCACAATGAACCATTTCAAAGACAACGAAACATTTAGGTGATCCTGTGCAAGAACCGTCAACTTTTTGCTCATGATCAGCTTAGATTCGGGGAGCAAACCATAGACCCGTACGTACAATAGTAGGAATATTAGCATAGGAACCGAGTACTTGGCAGTAGGTGGAAGACATGGACGAGCGAAAGAAACCAAGCACGTGCAAAAAAAAGAAATACGACTGCTGTAGCGGAAATGTATCATCCAAGGGCTATCCAACCACACAACTCCATCTTCTGACTGATCTCCGTCGGCATCCTCAACACGCTTTCCTTGTGCAGCTCATTGATACTGCACCTCTCTGAGCACAGCACAAACCTCCCAAGCCCTCCCTCTCGTCCTGTGAATATACACACAGTCGGTGGTCGCTCCGCACGGAAATAGTACATCGTCGATGAGCACGTGTCGATGAGCGTGAACACGTGTCCCGCATGGGGTCCACTATTCCCTAGAATCGCCGATCCATATTGTATGTCTCTACCTCCCCGTACCGTGTTTTGTTCTGGAATCGAGAACTGTGACCCGCTCGGCGTGTAAGACATCCTTGGGAGGTGTCCGGCAACGGTACCCCCATAAAGGTGTCTCTCTACCTCTGCGACGTCGATCACTCCTTTGACCCCGATGAACCACGGTTGCGCGGCGACGATACGCCCGGATTGACTGAAAAGGAACAGTCTGGGGGAAAGACACAGGAACACGATTCCGATGACGATGAGCACAATACTTCCTGTTCGATTGGTCGTCGAAATCGCTAGCCCAACAATGAGGCACGGCCAGGCGAGATACGCAAAGAAACCGACGAGTGTCCTCCTCAGCGAATCTGAGGTATCAAATGCAATTTCTGGGAAATCCTTCCATCTGATAGCTGCTACCTTACATCCATCAAGCACGAGGGCTCCGCTCTTCGTCACACCAGCAACTTGGATCTCCGGGAGAATATCCCAGAGATTGGCACGGTGGATATCATCGTCAGCGTACCAGCACGCCGTCTCGGTGATAGTCGAAGGCAACATGGATACCATGCGCTCAATGATGCGGTCGTTGTCATTGGCCATTGATAACCTAACGAGGGCGCGCAAGTCGTCCTCTGAGCGGTTCGGTTGAATGCGGTGCTCAAAAAAGCCCATGAGCGCATACACCCGCTCCGCACTGTACGCCCCGTTGGTGACAGGGTTTTCGCCTATCATATCCAACTTCGGCGGGGGTGGAGTGGCAGAGTTTACTGGTAGAGCTGCTGTACCGCGCCGCCATATAGCTGATTTCAACAGCGTCAAGCGTTCCAGCCTCTCAAGTGGATCCTTTCCGCTGTACGCATTGATGACTGCCTGTTCTATGTCGTAGTTCGTATAGGCCAGGTTAGCCAGCTCGAACAACGACAACGGCGTAACCTCGTCCCGATCCCTGAACTTGTAGCAAAGGCGAGAGCTCAGGAGGGCTTCGGGCAGTGTCCACACACGTTCGCCCCAGCCCCTCCAGCACTCGCTCTCACCAGCCGCAGCTTTGCCGAGCATGATCAAGGTCAACTGTGCTCCCCGGTAGACGTCCGTCATGCAGTACAGATCCAGATTCTTTTCCAACGGAGTCTCCCCCACACACTCCAGGTCAAGCCAATATGCATTGAATTTCTGTTCGAGCACCGCTGCACGAACCTCGTCTTTAAACTGCGCCTTTTCCTTCTCCATATTTGGGCCTCGAGTGAAGGCATCGACGGCGCGGTAAGAGATGGCGATGAATTTGGTGCGGATGATGGTCTCGCGATCTGTGCATGGAACCCACTGATTTCGACTCGGGTCGCGGATTATGAGAAGTCGGGGATAAAGAGTATGCGTGGGGATATCCATCTCACCCTCCTCGATAACGCGCGAAGAATATTCCTTGGGTGAACGAGCTGCCCATAGCTGACCCTGGAAGTCACGAACATAAGGTTTGTAGTATCCAGTGTTATACAACTCTTTATCATCTCCAGAGTCATCCGGCAAGTCGATGGTAGAGAAAAGCTGCACGAGCAGGCTGATGACCGACCAAATGAGCGACCAGAAGAGCTTCAACGTAAACCACAACCATACGCCGACCCATTTGAAAATGACCCATCCTCTGATGGGAGTAGCTACTAGCCATACGGCGAGTTTGGACACCTGGCTGGTGTGGTTGCTGATGGCGACTTCGGATGGCGCAGAGCGATTGACGGCTTGCACGACGAGTTTTCGACAGACCCCAGTGGTAGGGCTGACATATCTCTGCTCTGGACCGTGTGTTTTGGGATTGCCCATGTCATCTATACAAGTAATGGTTTCCCTTTGCGTGACTGGGAGCTGCCAGAGCGGCATCCTGGCAGACCCTGGGAGAATATCAGTTGGACAATGAGCAAACCACAGGACTTTCGGGCTGTTAACTGGACTTACGGTGAGGAGAGACACGGGCGAGGTGTTACTTACCACAGTGACGCCCCAGTATTACCTTTATATTACGCTTGTGCGTGCCCATGAATATTCCTGTGTTTCAGATGCCGAGGATCAGGAAGACTTCTTTCCCCTATTTGCCAAGGCATGGAGACAGTGACTCGAACTTCGTGCACCTGGTACCCTACGAATCAGATCCGCATCGTCAGAACAGCGTCAAGGAAAATGGGGTGCTTCATGACCTAGCATCATACAAATAAGATCCTGACCGCGCATCATCAGAACAGCGCCAAGGAAAATTAGGTGCTTCGTGTTTACCATAGGTCAAGAAGGCGAATGATATCACGGACCGGATCTACCAGTCTTGCTTTTATGTGTCACGCACAGATATTCCATGGCAAAGAACCATGAAACTAATACCAAGAAGAGCGCCGCCGTGACATTACAAATACTGGCTGGTCAAGAATAAAAACAAGGTTCATTGACAGGAGACAGATGAAATATCATCGGTCCGAACCTCTGCTCAGGATTCTCTTTGCGCGCTTGCAAAATGCTTTGGTCGAGGCCGGGATGAAAATCCCCCCCGCAGCCTCTCACTATTCTCACTGTCAGCCAACGTCAAAATCACTACCAATCAGGTAGTGTCATCTCCAGCTTTGCATGTAGGGTGCCATCGCAGTCTAGATATATTGGATTGCTACAACAACAAAGTCAGTTCAATTTAGTAGAGGAGAAGAGTGGCAAGATATGTTGGTTGGTAAGATAACCGCTCCAAATACATCCTGTAGCATGGATCGGGCTGAGAAAGTAAAAGACTTACTCGTACACTACCCAATAACCAAATCACCAGTTATCGCTGATGAAAGCCTTGCCGGTTACATTGCCCACGTATGGTTTATGACAACCAGGTCTGTGTAGTGATGTGCCGGGTCGGGCCTTAGGCCCTCAAGCCCTCAGCCCAAGCCGGACCTACACTGCTGGCTTGTAAGGGCCTAGGGCCTGGCTTGAGTTTTGGCAGGCCCGAACCCTCAAAAGCCAGGCCCGAGCCAGGGCTTTCAGGCAAAGCCAGGCCTGGCACATCACTAGGTCTGTGTAGCCAACCGCCGGAGCAAAGAATACTAAATAGTCCCATCGGAATCGTAAATCCATCAGTATCTTGCCTTCGAATGAGTCGGGGCGGATTTAAACCTACCCAGATAGCACAAGTGTCTTCATGGATCGTGTAGACGCAAATTACAGCCCTTGAGGTGGAGTTTCACGGCTCCCTTTCCCTCCGTGGGCCTCTGTCGGAGTTGTTCCTTTTGGACACGCTGGGAAGCTAGGTGAAGAAAGACCAAACCCGACGCGCCATTTCCACTTCGTGCCCAGATAAAAGAAAAGGCGCAGCCATATACGTCCTGCAAGAATTTCCGGCGTCATCCTATCAGCGTGAGGAAAACTCGAGAGACATGGACCACACATCTCGCGCAACAAATTTGCAGTTTGATTTTTGTATACTGCGCAGACGCTTCCAGAACATTCTGATGCGGAAAGAGGCAACGAACTGGTTGTCACCTAGTTCACCCCCTTCATGCACCTGAATCTCATCTGCGGGACAGCCCAAAAAGCATTTCAAAGACTCACACTTGGCTGATAGGTGCGTCATATATCAATGAATGTATTCTCGGGTAGGCATAGCCAAGCACTTACCATCAATATCACTCAAATTCAGCTGCGCGAATAAGGCATGGTTGCTAGTTTCCATGCATGCAAGATGCAAGTCAGAAGAGCAAGCAGACGAAAATTCGGAAATCAATATAGAAAGGGCCGACAAGGTTTCTCGACGGTTATTCACAACAGTTTACCCAATACAACGCCATGTGATCCTCGATATTGGGCGTTTGCAGGAGGTTGGACAGCTGTACAGCTGTGAGAGCAGCAGCGCATGCATAGACAATTGAGGCAACGGAGGAAGAGGCAATATCGGGAGCAGAGACGAGATCACAGATTCGAGATAGAACAGCGGCACGTTCCCGCTTGGTTGATAGAAAGGAGAATACGGATGGTCGTCGGCATTTGATAGTCTCTGCTGACAATACGGACGTAGAAAGTGTCGTACGAGGGAAGTGCATTACCAACAGAATTGCTATCATCCGAGTCAAGGGATCCGGAGTTGGTAGTCATTATGATGCGCAAGTGAGGCAAGGGAGATCCATCGTGGAATAACAAGAAAATAGGGGCGTCGTGCCAAGCTTTCCGCCGCAAACGGTATCAGCTGCGTTTGGCTGCTATCAAACGCACGAGTACGTTAAATTACACAGGATTGAGTGGTTGTGCTGCGGTGTGAGGAGCGCCTGCCAGCTCGAGACCGCTCGAGACCTCCCGTTGAAGGAATGAAATGAAATGCACGCTGAAGCAGCATGGCGCAAAGCGATAAACACCCTTACAATAGAGTCAATTCTGACGGTCTGCCATCGTTGATGTAACGAGAAATGCCAAGGGCCAACGCCATCCAGAAAACGCTAGGGCAGCTAAGTGTGGGCAGTTGCGTTGTTCGAACGGTGGTGGTCAGCTCATTACGGATTCATGGATAACACTAGAGTAAATATGAGACGAGCCAAAGGGAACATTAATTTGGCCCGGGTGAGAGAATCGTTTGGCAAGTAAGTACTTACATACTAGGCTGAGCGTTCAACGTTCAATCCCCGGACATCCCCTCTAGAATCTAAAGACGCCAAGGAAGTGTAATGAGCACGGAACCTGGGTTAAGCGAAATTCCTTCAGACACCCATCATTACTTACGATCCTAGCATCACGGGCGGTACGTACCACGCGGGTGATATAGATCTCGTGGTAAGTACTCCCTGGTGGTTCCCTGAGCTGCAGGTGATTATACTCTCACACACGGCGCAAAAGATCAAATGAAACAAGGACACAGCGTCCTGGTAACAATCAAGCAAATAGGACGACCGCTCTACGATGCAGTAGTGAGACAAGATAAGGAATAGCGCAGTAAGATGACCTTTCCCCTGAATTTATACAATGGCACAAATGAATGTAGCTAGCGACACAGCAAATCACAGGCTATATGAAATATGGTTGTCTGTGAGCGTTATGTGAGCGTGTTATGAACGTGCAGATTTACGTACTGGGAGTCAAGTGCCGCGCCTAAGGCGAACCTGCCAGCTGTAGCTCCGACTCAAGAAATTCTTCTATTTCACTGATGGTCGAACGATTAGGTAATCCACCACAAGGCAACCAGCATCGTTGAATAAGATTCCACTGTGCACTTGTGACAAATGTTTCTGGGGGACACCGAGGCTTTATACCTCTCGAAGACAATACAATAACAGCAATGTTATCCTTGATATCGTAGTAAGGGATTGATTCCGTGAACAGCTAGAGTGGTAAGGTAGTAAGCAGGAGATGCCTTGAAGAGATGATGAACCACACCTGCAGGAGGATACTGCCTATTGAATAGATGTCAGTCTGCTCCGTTGGGATGCATGGATTGATATCGCTTTTCTCCGTCTCGAATAGTTGAGGATCAGTCCATCGCACCGCTGAGCGAATCCCTCCCGATGGTTGTACCGGCGTCGGAATTTCCGCGAGCAACAACACGACCCCGAAGTCAGATAGTTGCACTCTGCCCTGGTCATCCACCAGGATGTTGAGCTAGACAACGTTAGCGAATTATACTTCTGGGAACAAAGACCTTACTCCAGTTATGTCTCCGTGTACAACAGAATGAGCGTGTACTATACGTTAATCAATGAAAGCCATTGTCATGACGAATGAAAGAAAACCAACGATAGCCGAGGCCAGCCACCACCTGTTTGGCCTAAAGACGCGCAATTGTAAGAATGAGAAACATCATGGCCACCGCAAGGCTACATACGAGATCCAACTTGCTCCGCGGTGACAAATGATGATTAGTAGCGATATAGTCATTCAACGTCCCCTGGTTCACCCAAGGCGTCACCAGTGACGGAAAGTACCCGAAACCGTCCGCAACCCCATATAGTGGCAAGACGTTTTCATGAAGTAATTGCGCCCAAGATGATATTTTACCCATCAGCCTCTGAGCTATCCATGAGCGAACCCTCTCAGACACGAAGGAAAGAACGGACTTGACAGTTCTTCCTCTTCTCATCTTCATCGGAGAATGGAATTTTCAGTGACTTGACCGCAACCTAAGAAAGTTAGTCGTACATAAAAGATTTCAATAGGTGAATTTTACATCACATCTTTGCTTGTCGTGGCACCAGACTGATCGCCAAACATCGCTGTACGTACCCGACAACGTGGGGTATCTTTCGCGACGAACGACCTGCCTGGTGAGATCAGGGGCCGAATTGCACTTAGATCCTCCCACAACATGTCGCTGGAAATTTGTGGAGGCAGTTGGTACTTGCTTCAAAGAATCGAGTGACGAATTTACAGAGCTGTTCTCAAATTCAGCAAAAAAATATTTCGAGAGACATGATGTGTATACTTAGGGACAACAATGTCAGGACCTTTTCTCAGGACGGTGCAAGAGCCTGAGTTGACTGAACTCGAAACGGCGCCTTGCTGATTGGAGCATGAACCATCAGAGAACGAATTGAGAGTTGCAGGTGCTATTTCTCGGTACGACCATCGGATGAACGCCAGAGGTAACTTCACCACCAGCCCGAAATATGTCAGCAAATTAGAAACACCGGAACCCTGTTGAGGGGTTGTCGGGGCGTGGTCCAGCGAATTGTTAGACATGACCTATAGCTAATAAGAAAGCACTGGGGTGTAGAATTGTTAGGAAGTAGACGCTGAATACAGGCGATATTCATACCTTTCGAAAGGCATGCCATAATAAGTGCAGTGGGGGGGTTCATGACATGCTATTTCAATCGATCGTCTCTATCTTAGTTCACGGAAGTCACGACGCTTCCTTCATGGCATGTGTCCAATCGAGTACCCACCTGTGCACATTTAACGGGCACGGGGTAGATACAGCGTCTTCAGCTTCCAGCCACTGATTTCCATGGACCAGACCAGCCCAAAATAACACGAAGTCATCAGCGGCGATGCGCGACTTCCTCGAGCGTGATTGGATATGAATATAACCGCACTATCGCCATAAGGCTCAAGCAGCCCGACAAACTTCCAGCTGTCTTCGGACGATTCACGTACATGAGTATTTCCGCAGTTGAGCGATACGACTGGTGCTGGTTATGCTGTTACTAACAAGATGATGTCCGTCTCAGCTCGGTAAGTATCGCGCGTTAACCCGCATGGCAAACTTTTTTTCTTACGTTTCATGAAGTAGTTCTCGCGCGCCACTCGGCCTCAAGGTGATGGTTCCGTGCCAGCCATATCCACGGTCATTGCGCCATCCAAGTAGAGCTTCAAGGGAAACTCATCTCGGGGCATATAGACACAGATAGACTACACGTGCTTGGCAGTGTTATTCATTTGAGCATATTGATTCAGGAAACCTTGATACACAGTTTGATTAGTATGCCTGCAATTCATGTCATGTTTGAAGACTTACCCGGCGAGTCAAGAAGACACCACCGCGTTACTCGCACTAGTTTCAATAAGTGAGATTCTTGCGTAAAGGATACACTGGCAGAAACCCCTCTCGTTGACGTTCTTCGAACTCCGGCAAAATGTAAGAGCGGGTGGACCAAGTTCCCATCAACAACTTGCTGTAGACGCTTTCACCGCATCGTTAAGAACCACGCATTGAGAACGAGACACAGTGAAGCCACGCTCAGTTGAGTCAGTAGTAGGATGCACGTTGCACAGCTGCCAGCTCTGTTCAACGTTTCAACCGCCGCGAGGTGCGGACTTGGAATTCTTGGAACTACGCAACTGGCATGTTCCTGGCAGACACGACTCAATGACATCACGAGATCGGATTGAGGTGTTCATAATACCACTCTTAGGAGGCTGGAAGAAGGGCTCGGAGTCGAGACGCGAGAGATAAGGTCACACGCATAAGTGGCGTCCAAGTTCCAAAACTCCGGAGTAGTAAACTCAATGGGGCACAGCGGCTTACCCCGCGATGAACTTCCAAAGAACGTGATAGTCCAAGGCGGGGTAGAAGATCTCAGGTCGTCATGCGCAAGTATGGTATTTAAGTGCGGTATTTGCCAGGCATGATTCCACGACCACTGACTTAGATTCATTCAGCATATGACGCTTTAGATCGTGCATTCAAACATAGCCGAGCAACCTGTTTGCAGCCTGTGTGACGAGTGTTCGTGTCCAGTAGGGACCGTTGTTCGCGGAGAAGCACTGGTAACTTACCGCTGCGCAGCACCGGGGTTTACTCCAGTGTTTCAGCTGAGGTACACTATGTGACGCCTCAGCCGAAACTGCGGAGTAAACCTCCCGCATGCGATATGGCCTATCACTCTTTCGGTGGTGGCAATTCAGCGATGTGAGTCCTCGTGTCAACCATATCATGCAGTACTTGATATTACAAGGGTCTATTAAACTCCACAAATCTATCTTAAATCTACCATGGTGGATTCATTAATTTTGGCTCAGCCGCCGTGATTGCAGGGATCATCCTGATTTTTGAATTCGCTGCCAAGATCGCAGGTTCTGGCAGGTCAGAAGACTTGCAAATGCTGAGTGCGGTGTCAATTTTATGTTCGTGCTTTACTTCTGTGAAAATTGCGAGCACGCCCCCAGTCCAATAAAAGTGAGATCGTTCTCCACTTACCGTAGCTCCTGACATTCTCCATTCTAGAAATCTCCACTCAGTCTTCTCTTCGTTGCTGCCACAGCGCAATGTCACAACCGGGTACAGAAAATCCACCATCTACCAGTGAGTGATTTTCCACCTGGTGGCTTGATGGCTGATGGCGAATCATCAGAAATTCACTGGATGAAACGACTGCACAGTCTACGCGTTGATTGCTCACTCTCCTTCACAAGTGAAGGGGCCACTTCTTCGGTGAGTCTTATCAATGGGCGGCATGCAAATTTAGACCGACTCAATGGTATACTGATAGGGAAATGATTCTGACGAATCAAAGACGGTCCCGGATCTTACAGGAAGTTGCACTGACTCTGAGTCGCCTTTTATCGTATCGCCTTCTGGGCCATTTTCCAGTTCTGAGGACATTTCACTGTCTACGTTTGAATTTCTTGACTATAAGGATGAATTTCCCTCATCGCTGACCCCACCTTACGCAACAAGGTGTGTTTTCCTGTTGAAAGACAGTAAACCGAGTGTGAATATTTTTATTTTCAGAGATGTCGACTTCAAAAAATACCATGATGAACCTCTCGATCTGACGCCCTACATTAAACGCACCCAGGGGTACCACCACAACAGTGGTGGATACAGCAACGTCTGGAAGTGCAAATTAGATTCCTTCCATCGAAATGGTACTGAAGTTCGTAGATGGATTGGTTTACCTGCAAGAGATTAGCTGATCCCACCAGATGCCCCCACAAGACGTCGCAGTCAAGGCTTTTAAAGTGTCATCAAGGAAGCCAGAAGACATCAACAAATTAATCAAGGTCAGTTCTCATGCAGTCAATTTATGTGGCTCGTACCATTCTCTTTATCCAGAAACTGCGGCAGGAAGTCTTTATTTGGCAGGCGCTAGAATGCTCGCATATCCTGCCTTTGTATGGCACCACGAAAGGTTATGAGGAAATCCCAGCGCTAGTTTGTCCGTGGATGAAAAACGGCACTCTCCATGAACATCTAAACGAAATGTGGGGCAAGCAATTGCTGCCCAAAATGCATTGTCTCTTTCTTCTCGTAAGTGCTTCTTACCTATCTTACAGACGCTCTTATATCAGTTGAAATACAGCTCTTGCAAATCGTTTCAGGTCTTCGGTATTGTGAGTGATTTTCTTTATCTTGGCTCCGCGACTCATTCAGACTATCAACAACGATCAGTGCATGCCAAAAAGATTATCCACGGGGACCTTACGGCCGTATGTCACGGAATTCTAAACAATCGGCTTCGCCCTGCTCATGAAATTTTCAGTATAATGTTTTGATTGATGAGAACGGACATGCTGTCCTTGCGGACTTCGGCCTGTCGCTACTGCTGGCAAAGCATGAGACATCTTTCTTCAATTCTCACAGCTCAGGTGCATAGTCGTTGGGCTGCTCCAGAAATTATACCGCTTGATTCCTCCGAAGGTATCAAGCCAAATAAAGCAAGTGACATCTATTCATTTGGGTGCATCATGATGCAGGTACTGTGTGACCCTCTTTTCCATCACAAGTTAATGATTATGAATATTTCATTAGGTGCTATCTAACAACTTACCGTACTTCGGAATCAGAGAGGAGGCAGTTATTATAGCTAAATCAAAACACACTCCGCCGAAACGACCCACGCTGCATCCAATCGATGACGTCTACTGGCGCTATCTCGAAAGATGCTGGTCGCCACGCGTCGAAAGGCGACCTTTGGTTGACGACGTTCTGGACTACATAAAGGCAGAGTATGACAAACAAAAGTTAGCTTCTTAAGCTGTCCGCTCCTGCCAGTAATGCGAACGAGTTGACCTCGGACGCCATGCTTTCTTGTTCTTCCAGTGCAGCATAATGTTGTACTCATCTCATGTGTTTTCCCATCATGTTACGATACTTGCCTCAGTTGCCTGTAGTACTACTCGCAGCGACATAATATTATGCGTGTCAGTTTGTTTCGTTCGTCGTTTGATTCGTCGATAAAAATGAATTTATAGCCTTGACAAGCATCTCGACGAGTACTGCCCGCTTTTTTTGGATGATGTAGACCGAGGACCTCTGCAGTCCTCTGAAACTAAGCTCAGTAGGACTTGGAACTCCGTGACGGTACCAATTCGGTACCGCTTTCAATTTGCAATTTGAACTCGACAGTCATCGACTCATCTTCGCCTACGCTTGCTCTAGCAACGAGAATTCGACTCATTAATATCGTGCATTATGACTGACCTATAGTCTCTTATAGTTTAAACGAGTCAGAATGTCACAGTCACGGTCAGCCTGGCAGTTTATAAGGGCCCTACCTTCAGTTAAGGGGCCTTGTCATGCTCGTCTCGCCATCTGCACCTCAACCCAAATAATCAGACCTAGCTCGTTTCTTGCTGCCATCGCTGCTAAGATGTCGTCTACTAACATGGCTGCTCCTCTCGCCGCTGCTTCATCCCAGAACGTTACTCTCCCAGCTATTCCTGAGCTCACCGATCCCAACTTCCTTGACGTTCTTCTTCCTGTCGCTGAGCGTGCTAAGCCGATTAAAATCGCCGAAACTTCTCCTGCGCATCCAAATGCTATGATGGATGCGCTCCGCTCGACTGTTCACCAAAAGCTCACTGAAAATGCTTCGCCAGCGTTTAGTTCCACTCTTTCCACTACACTCGATGCATTCCAGGGAATTCGTCCCGGTGTGTCTGGGTCCTCGATTGATGATTACCTTTCCAAGGCTTGGGCTGAAGACCCAGCTCTCACCCTCCGAATCATCTGGTCTCTCAGGAGCATCCACGATGGGAAGGCTGACAAGGAGCTCTTCTACATGGCGTTCGGCTGGCTCTTCGAAAACCACCCTCGCACTGCTCTCTCCAATCTCTATCTTCTTGTAGAGCCTGTCTGTACTCGCTCTCGTCCTGTCAAAGGCAAAGACTTCAAGAAACGTGTGAACATGTCTCACGGGTACTGGAAAGACCTCCTTAACATCCTCGCATTAGCCACTGTCGACGAGCTTCATCCTGCCCCTGTTCGTAATTCGCGCACCAGTTTCCTTCATAACTATACGCTTCACAACTCTCGTCCCAAATTCAAGTCTAATGCAGAGCAAGAAGCGTGGTCGAAGGCACAGCGTGTTCAGGCGCATGGTGTGAACCACGCCCGCATTGCGGAAAAGCTACAGCAGCCAAAGTACCGCGCTCTGTATGTTGCAGTCTCCAGGCTATTCGCAGAGCGGCTTGTTCAGGATGTCTCTATTCTTCAAGGGCTAGCTTCCCTTCCGGCGGATGCGAGAGACAAGGACCGGGTATCCCTCATATGTTCGCTATCCCTAGCGACGAAGTGGGCACCCTCTCCTGGTGGGTCGCACGATAGGGTCACGAACATCACCTCTGCCATTTGCATCCTCCTGCACCATGCGCAAATAACATCTTCCCTCGCGTACAAAATCCCTCTCACGCTCGCGCCCAGTGCTCTGGAGTTGCATGTCTTGCGTTCCTTCCTCCGCCGCCACATTCTTACCCCTTCCCGTCGCCTCAAGTCCCTCCCCGAGCCCCTCATGTCCGCCAACCGCTGGTCTGAAATCGTCTACTCCCGCATTTCATCCGTCTGCATGGATCAAAATAAGGGTCATTTCTTTGATCACGATCCTGACCGCTTTGTTTCCTACCTGACAGATGTGGAATCAGGAACGAAGCAGATCAGTGGTGCAACACTCCTCCCACACAACCTTGTCATGCAGGCCGTGGAATCCGTGCACGCTGTGCCAGCGAAAGAGGGGACCCTGCAAGCTGCCCTCCAGCGACACAAGTTAAAGCTTGCTGAGACACGAGCGCGCGTGGTGGAGGCACAGTGGGCGACGCTCCTCGAGCGTCTGCGCGAGGCTGGAGAGCTAGATAATTGCATCGCCGTCTGTGACGTCTCGGGGTCCATGGGCAGTGTCCATCACGACTACTCTACATCACGCATGTCCGACGTATCTCCCATCTGGCCTGCTATTTCCCTCAGCCTTATCTTAGCGCGGCTCGCAAAGCCACCTTTTAATGACGCGTTCATCACTTTCTCTGCGAACCCACAGATGGTCGTACTTGATCCTGAAGGCACTGTTTCACTCGGTGAGACGGTGAAGAAGATGGCGTCTTCTCAGTGGAACATGAACACCGACTTCAATGCCGTCTTCCTTAACCTTCTTCTCCCACTCGCCAAGAGGCACGCCGTGCCTCAGGACCAGATGATCAAGCGCATCTTTGTGTTCACGGACATGCAGTTCGACGAGTCTCGGAGAGTCGAACAGTACTATTCGCGTGATTCAGATGGTACCGCACTGAATGCGGCGGAGTGGGAGACGAACCACGATGTCATCGAGAAGGCGTACAAGGAGGCAGGATACGAGATGCCACAGATCGTGTACTGGGACCTGTCCTCCGCAGAACGTTACCCAGGTAACACTGCTCCTGTGACCAGTGATCGGAAGGGCGTTGCGTTGCTGAACGGGTTTTCGCCGTCGCTGTTGAAGGTGTTCATGGGAGAGCTCGAGGAAGAGGAGGATGAGTGGGAGGCAGTGAATAAGGACGGGGAGAAGGAGAAGCTGAGGAACTTCGAGGAAGAGTTCAATCCTGTGGAGATTATGAAGAAGGCGTTGGGGAGGAAGAGTTTTGATGGGCTTGTTGTCGTTGATTGAGGGATTGGTTGGTCGCGTTGACGTGTATTTTTAGCATCTTTCACCACTCATGTAACTTATCTGTATCATATTCAATGCACGCACTTCTCATCCAAATGTCAACCTATTAAGAGCTCGCGATCAGCATGGGACACTTGAACAACACTGCCGAACCGCAAAGGTGCAATATCACGATATTTTGCGACGGCACCCGGATATCCAAATATTCATGGGCCGACCTCGAACCACATCATGATCATCCCCTTCACTTTTAAAATATATGATTAATACGAGGGATAGCCTGAGAGGGTCCAGATCAATTCGCTTCTAGTAGTATTTGAAGAGAGCTGCAGCTGTCTGCACGGAATGGCACCCTTCTATTATTTTTGCGCTCAAAATCAATTCCAGCGAGTCGATGACTAATTTGTCCAGGGTAGAGGCACGGAATTCAGACCTGGCGGGAGGAGAAACTCCCGTGAACCGGATATACAATTCTTGAAGGTCAACGAGACGAGATAGCCAGGACGAATCTTTGGCGCTGGGCAAGACAAGCGTTGCTTTCCGAAGGTGCGGGAGCCCACAGAGAGCATTGGCGAGCTCGCTGACTTCAGGAGGCACTGTATATGGATTGACGACTTCGACAACTTCCAGTGATGGTGAACGCCTTGTAACACTGAAGACATCATGACGTCTGTCCAAAAACCTTTGGTCCGAATCGGGGGTGCCAGACACAGGTATATGAGGTTAGGACCCAGGATGAACCGCATACATAAATGGAGATCATGGGGATATTCCGTCCAGCAGAGTACTTGAAGGTTGGGCACCAGCAGCGACTGTGAACAAAAACCCATCATGGCGTAGACGAACTCCACATCCATGCCTCCGAAAATATCTGAATCAAATTCTAATTATTCGCCCAGAATTCGCACTCGAAATGAGTATCGTTCGAAGACTGCCCGATCTTATATTGTTACAGGTCTCCGCATGAGCTGACAATGGCATAATGAAACAGTCAATATGTATGATGGGTTAGGATTGCGGCGGGTAGTACATACAATCCTTCCACCATCAGTCATAGTCCATAGATCTCGTGGAAGACAAGTGAAGAGCGGTTCCAAATTCTTGAGCTGGGCCCATAGCACATCTAAAGCTATATCATTGAAGGAACGGCAGACACGAGAGAGACCAGCTAGAGAACGTCGCCGACTCGCGCGACCTCTCCTTGGATGGAAAGTGCCCAGGGATGTTGTGAACCGTTTTCCGTGCTGAAGAGATCAGATAAAATATGTTCTTGAATCTCTGGAATGAGTAGGCATGCATGCATAGAAATACGGTATTCTTCTATGTCGTGGTGTGAGCACTTGAGCAAATCTATGCATAGGGACAATACTTATGTAATAACTTGTGATAAAAAGTTTAAATCTCTATAGTCTGAAAGGTTGTTCCTTCTTTTCAATGCGGGTTTCTCAAAGAGCCCTAGCTAGGAAGAAGAGGAAGAAGAGTTAACAAGGACGGGGAGAAGGTGACGAAGAGCTCACTCCCGTCACACAGATATGTGAAGGAGGATGAGTTCAACCTCGTGTCATATATAAGGTAGGAGTGCGTGAGCAGCAGGTTCGTAATACAGAATTCTAACATACACAGTAAATAAATCGTAAGCAACCTCGTAGGTAGACATCATCGTTATCGCTGTTGAACAATCATACCGACCGTCGTCGTCAATGTACCTGTGATAGGGAGCCATTCGCTGTTGCATTGACCACGACTCCGTTGAATGAGTAGATGACAACGCCAGTGATAAAGCCTGCGACGGAGTAGGCTAGGAATACAAGTGGTAGAGATAGAAGAACACTTCGGCGCTGAGGACAAAGCCGGAGTTATATCAGCATGGGCTCATCGCGAAGCAAATGGTAAGAAACATACAGTGAGAAGTACAAATCCTTCGGAGCCTGACGCGGGCGTCCCATGCGTCAATTCCGTTTTGTGACGCATGATAGAAATGAAAGACGTTGTCATGCTCAATACCGAGCACATGATGGCAACGAGGCCTGCGATGCGCGCGATACCATTCAGTCCAGGTAAGGTCATGAGTGTCACAGAAGCGCTGAGGATGACAGCGGCCTGGATCATGTTAGATACCTAGGGGCACAGATGCAGAAGTGAAGCTCACCACTAGACACGCGCAAGCCCCAGCAAGGAACATAGGACTTCCGGAATTGGATATAATGTTACCCTCCAAGTCCAGATGTCCGGCATAGCTTGACCTGTCCACGAGGAAGAATGGAATACCTAGGCAAAGAATGCCAGTGATGATATCGACAACCATGCGACCTATAGGAACGCGTCGTCTGGGACGCTGCATGACAGGCACATCGCGGGGAAGAGGCTTGTGTGGTCGGAAATGCATTTGACGCCAGTGCACTGTAACATTACACAATCAAAGGGTGTTCAACATCAATTGAGTACTACATACCGACGCGAAGCAAGATACGGGCAACCATCCGTGTGTGCGTTGTGGTTGACCGGAGGCTGGGGTCTATACAAGGAATCAATTAAGTCATCACTTGAGAAACTAGACGATGACAAACCGTTGAGATGTCCCAACAACTTGTGACATTCGTCCTGGCTGAAGGGAGGGGGGACCGGCTGAGGATGCGCCAACAAAGGGTCTGTGTAAGACCAATGAAGAGCGTCTATAGCTTCTTGACGAGCACTTCCCGGCAATGAAATATGCGCGGGGTGAGACTCCACAAACGACCAGTATCTGTACTCATCATCAAGTCCTGTATTCTCTGGTTAGAAGGCGAGGTGTATAGGAAAAGGCACCACTTACTGTCATCTTCCCCAGAAAAGATAATTCCATCAACACCAGGGACTTCGCTCGAAACTCTGCGGATTCGATGGTCTATCCAACTGATAACGGGCCCTCCAGCCATCTTCTGTCTTCTCCAACCCCTCTTCACGGCGGGACCTTCTCTGACCCACATTTCACATCCTTCAGGGGCGATACCAGCCGTCTCCGCGACTGACATGACCATGTCCAGCTTAGCCAGGTTTCGAAGATCAATGTCGGTCGTAGCTTGGATACGAGGATTCACAAAGTACTTTCCGCCGTGAGGAAGCGCCTTCTCCACCCATCCGCGGATAGCATACGGCGTGGACACTGACCCATATGTATAGGTGTGTGCCGAACCATTGCCTTCAAGACGAGCAGGCTGGGCACGCTGTGGAGTGGGCTGGCTGTAGTTGAGTGTTTGTGAACGATAGGACTGTGCGATGTGGCTCGATGGGCTGGGCTCTGGGAACGTGGTCATTATTGGGGGCGTAGCCGGGCGATTTTGGCGAGGGATCAAAGGATGACGCTCGCTGTGCGGTTGCGTGAGATGTATGGTATGATATAAGTACCGATTTGGACGTACTTTGTGTCTCGCGGTACGTCTCTGCTCGCGAAGTACCCACCACTCGCGTCGTCACTCGAGGTGTAGCCTGAAGAGACTTGTCGAACGGAGCTGTTAAGGATTAAGAAACCGTGAGGCAAAACACTAACGCGCAACTCACTGGGTAAGCATGACTTCATGCATGGCGGGTAGTGGTACCGCCACTGGCTCGGCAGGAGCTATCATGCTATCGTCTCGTGGGGATCGAGGGTCAAAATCACTAACACGACCATCACTTCAAAGCTGAGACAAAGACCAAAGAGTACATACTCAGCAACAATAGGTGACGAAATGTCAGCCGGCTGATGAGGGGGATAGAGATGGTAGCCCGGAGCAGTCGAGCCTGGATCTGCAAACGGGTCCTCCGAAGGTATTCTGAACTGTTCATCAGACCTTGTCAAAGAACAAGTAAGAAAGACGAACATCAAGCTCGCCTTGCTTTGGTTGAATTCACTGCTCGGGTTACTCCAGGTGTACGTGGTGCCAACAATCTCCCGCTCGCGGGGCTGGAAGGTTGAACTTGGCTTCCGACTCGGTTGCCGCTGGTTCATCACCTGCGAAGAGGCGGCAGATGAACCCCGAGGACGAGTATTTTTCGCTCCTTTGGGTGCTGCAGGGCGATTGAGTGGGTCGAATTCGGGGGCAGGCGCGGGTGCCGGCGGAGGTGGAGAAGTAGAGGGATGGTCTGCCCAGACGTTTGCGCCCTCATCTGCATTATCCTCAAGCGGAGACGAGGTGCGAGGAACTGACAGGTCAAAGTAACCTGCACCCGGAGCAGGGCCAGGTGTTTGTACAGGGGGAGATCGTGGAGCAGAGGATGGAGCACGAGAGATCTGCGATAGAGGTGTTGAAGCTCGTGTACGAGACGGTGCTGGTGCTGTAGGAGGTGCAGGATCTGACGAGGAAGCAGGTATCTGGGGTACTGTTGAAGGCGCAGCTGCCGCCTCTCCTGCCGGAGGAGGGGTAGGAACTTTCGTTGGCGCAACGGCTGGAGCTGGAGGCGTGGGTTGACGTGATGTGGCAGGTGGAGGCGTAGGAGCTTTCGTTGGCGCAACAGCTGGAGCTGGAGGCGTAGGTTGACGTGCTGTAGTTGGTGGAGGCGTCGTAGAAGGGGCTGGAGCAGGCTTTGAAGTGGTATCGGGAGCCTGCGTTGAGGCAGGGGGAGGAGATACTTGAGTGCGAACCGGCTCTACGAGAGATATATCTTCTGGCTCCGCTGTGAACACTGGAGCAAGAACAGCCTCAGATGCAGGGGGAGAATGAACCACAACGGAGGGTATCGCGGGCTCCGGTTGGGCCGCTTCAACGGATTTGCGTGGTTCTTCAGGCGCTTGAAGAGAAGGATCTGAAGCAGGTTCAGCGGTGATAGCTTTCCCTGAGAGCAGGGATGGTCCCTGAGGAGTTGCCTCGCCGGCAAGGGCAGCTGCTTCACGAGCGGGCGACTCAGGAATGGGACTGGGAGTCGTTTGGGTGGGAGGTGGAGTAGTGTCGACTTGCGCAAGGGACGTAGTGGAGCCCTCACGCTCGATCTTTGGAGAGGTGGATCCTGCGATAGAGGCCGAGTCCGGCTCGGGGAGAGGGGGAGTTGTTGAGCCTGCATGATGGGGCAACCCTGGGAGACCCCAGCTCGTCGAGGAGCGACGCATCGCCGTTCCAACGCGAGCGCGAAAGCCTTTCTTGGGAGGGGGTGTAGTGGCCATTGGTTCAAATACGCTTGGAGGCGACCCTGGTGATCTTCAAGGAAAGGAGAATACAGGCAAAAAAGTTTAGATAACACGCTAGAGCACACAGTGCAAGGAGGATGTTCAAGGGGGTGCAATGCGGACAAACGTCGGATAGCGCAGTCTAAATAGTAGTGATGCCTGGCGGTTTCGACGAGGTTAAGGACGTGGAAGCTACTTACTCACTAGCACCGGCTCTACGCATGGCAGTGATATGATGAGATGTGCGCGATTAGCAGATGATAATCGCGTGGTTAACCATCAGGCAAACACGTGTTGGTGTTCCTTGAGGTGTAAGACACCTTACACGAACCCTTAAAGCGCGCCGCGGGGCCGAACACTGGGCAATGCTAGTGTCGCACACAAGGAGGAACTGCCACATCATAACAATAGGCTGTAAAGTTGCAGACAAAAATGTTGCGCGCAGCGCTATGCCTCGTGTCATGATAGTAGCGAGAAGGCCGAGCCCCTGCCGCGATGGACACAGCTTCTTGACCTCGTGAAATTTGAATGCATGCAATGCGGCAAGAAGGGGGAGATATGATCATACACGTTGCTGCCTGCCCCAGCATGATCCAGTACTCGTGTCTTCCACTTCCCATCACCTTCAGACCCTGACACATTCCTTTGTCCCCATATTAGACGCTAGCGGGTTTCCTCACATCGCTAGCAAACACTGTGAAAATGTATGTGTCCAATTGATATGGAGGAGAGCCGACTGATGATGTTGATAGTCAATATGGATCCATAACACCTAGCGTTGATACAAATGTTCAATTGTAAGTACAACGCTAAACATTGCTAAACATAGACAACACGACAGCAATTGTGTGGTCGTATTGAAATCGAAGGCCTTTGCCAAACAAGACCAAATTGTAGAGCAATCCCTGACTCAGTATACTTATCGACTTTGCCGTGTGCATTGTTGGCCTGGATGATGCTAAACTCTGATATCACGCCCTTACATTTGTATTTCACGGACAGCGAAATTCAAAATTCAATCCAATGTGTTACTTATAGTGACACCATTGACAGGCAGTGACTCGCTCGCTTCACGATTTCGAGTAAAAAGCGAGAAAGTGAATTGCAAGTCCTGCGAGGGTTGACGCACGAAATTGCTGTCTGGCTGCTGTACACAGTCCATGATTCCCTGGCTTCAATCATGATGACTCTGAAGTACAGTCAAGATATGAACGAAAATTCGTCAGAGTTCCCCATTCTCCGAAGTTACAATATCTCTAGCGTCCTGATGCCCATCATGTTGTGAACAGCAGTCATGTCTTTGACTTGCGCGACGATATTGTAATCGGAAGCAACTCTCTTGTACTCCCCACCACGCTGCTGCGCCAACAAAAGTGCGCCAAAAGGCTGTCCAAGGTGAACGACTAACCTCAACTCTCGTGAGTGGGACTCCGAATCAATCAGCTGATCTTCTCTATGATACCCGCCGAGCCATTCGTCTGATGGAGGCGGGTCAGAATCGCTCTCCGTCTCGTCTGCAAAGTCAGGCAGCCCGAGATCATGGCGATTCCACGGACGGACAAGTAAGAATGTCCGCGGAGTGGGCCGTGCCGGCCAGAACTGAATCAGTTTGTCTTTGGTGGTGATTACCAGGTTGTGAAGCCCGTCCACCTTGGCATCATGAATGAAACATTTCTCCCGGTCTTGACCACGCCTTCGTCTAAGTGCTGTGACGGGGAATGCGATACAAGGCAGTCGCAACCTGCTGTTCGCGAAACGAGGAGGGTTCAGGTTGGCAAGCTGAGTGTACAGTGGCAGAGCCAGCTCTATAACAGCGGAGTTCTCTCGCAGCGAAGAGACCGATGTCCGTATTTGATCTTCAGACAGGGGTGGTGATGTGTATGGCGGAGGTTTGTACGACGCAATTTCGGCCGGCAGACAGCTATTGAACTGGGATGATTTTCCGACCCAGTCCAGGGCTGTGATGTCGCCCGACTGTGCTATGATCTCTTGCAAGAGCCGACCAAGTGCATTTTGTTTCGACTCGCCATAAATGACGGGTAGGTAGATGCCGAAAATGCCAAACAATGAGTAAGCAATGTCTTCCTGCAAAGTCGTGGCACGCGTCGATGACCATTGTAGTTTCTTTCGCGCATCCGTCATGCCTGGACGGAAAGCGATGAGGGACTGTGCATCTATACCTGTTGAATCTTTCAACTCCGCCATGATAGCGTCAGACATCTTGTGGTTGGGAGAGGTGTCGTTGAGATATAAGGTCCAATCTTTTTGGTAGAAGAGGATGATGTTTGGAGCGAGGAATTCCTGTACAGTCCATCCTCGCGTATTCCAAACGCTGTTTGCTAGTGCGCCTGGCCGCGCTGAGGGCGGAACATCCGACAGGTAGATAATTGTAAGAGCTGAGTTGCGATACCAGACAAACATGGTGTTCACCGACCGTTGGAGCTCGACATTGTTAGTCTGGTCAATGCAGCATGTATCACTCCACGCCCAGCGATACCCCGCATCATGAGTGATTTTGCAGAATGTCTGCAACTTCACTACAGTTCCGACTGGATCCAAATCGTACACGATCTTGTCCTGGATATCATGCAGCCGTGGCTCCTGGCTTTCCCACTTATGCGATAACATGACCCAACTGAAGTACTTCACGACCGCTTCTTCGATGGGCTCCGTTTGGAGAGGTAGGTGCGTCATCGACGAAGACAGAATCTCTTTGTATTCCGTGCTTTCCTTAAAGGCATTGATCTGTGCCTCTCGATCGCATAAACGCCCGGTGGAGGTATTAAGTAGACGAAGCGGGGCATTTTCCAGTTGAGCGTGAATGGCTCGTAGAATAATGTCCTTGACTGCAGATGGACTGACATATTTATGACGTAGCTCTGCAGAAAATGTCCATAAGTTTTTACGTTGACGCATGAGTTCAGACTTACTTCGTGTCTGCACGTCAGGCGCATCGTCCAACTTCAAGAGCATGGTTTTGAAGGCCTCGATTGCTTCATCATAGCGCTGTGAGCCGTGAAGCGCTGCATGCTTCAGTTTGTACCCAAGATAAGAGGAGGAGTTGAGTTCGGTGGCCTGTGCATTAGCAGTATAAGCTCGATTGATAGAGAAGTAATGAATATCGTCCGCACCTTGTCCGCGTCTTGAAGGGCCTCGGCATAGAATTTTCGTTCTAGATTTGCCTTACTGCGGTGCGCAAGGAGGGACTCGCATAAGGAGTCCAGCGAGATCCCTGCCGAATATAGTTTAATAGCCGCCTCATAATTGCCCTCAGCAACAGCCTCATCTCCCTTTGCGAGACAACGCGCAGTACAGTTCTTCTTGAAGGCTTTTATGACCCAGAGTGAGTGCAAGTCGTTCTAAGACACAAATCGCTCAGCGCTTACCAGTGGACCATGGGGAAAAGCTGTCCTCCGCATCCTCGTTAAATCGTATTATGTATTGATGTAATTCGGCCGCTGCGACTACTCGATCGGCACAGAGTAATGCGTCACACCGCCTTTGATAATCAGAACATTGGCACATAATCAAGAAGAAAAACACACATCATACTAGCCTTGGGGACGCATCGTTTTGGGTGCTGCATGATGGGCACATCGCGGGGAAGAGGCTTGTGTGGTCGGAAGTGCATTTGACGCCAGTGCACTGTAACATTACATAATCAAGGGGTGCTCGACATCAATTGAGTACTACACACCGACGCGAAGCAAGATACGGGCAATCATCTGTGTGTGCGTTGTAGTTGACCGGAGGCTGGGGTCTATACAAGGAATTAATGAAGTCATCACCTGAGAAACTAGACGATGTCAGACCATTGAGATGCACCAACGACTTGTGGCATTCGTCCTGGCTGAAGGGAGGGGAAACCAGCTGAGGATGCGCCAACAAAAGGTCTGTGTAAGACCAATGAAGAGCTTCTATAGCTTCTTTCCGAGCACTTCTCGGCAATGAAATGTGCGCGGGGTGAGACTCCACGAACGACCAATATCTATACTCGTCATCAAGTCCTGTATTCTTTGGTTAGAAGGCAAGCTACATATGAAAAGGGACCACTGACTATCATCTTCCCCAGAAAAGATAATTCCATCAACGCCTGGGACTTCGCTCGAAACTCTGCGGATTCGATGGTCTATCCAACTGATAACGGGCCATCCAGCCATCTGCTGTCTTCTCCGATCCCTCTTCACGGTGGGATCTTCTCTGGCCCACATTTCGCACCCTTCAGGGGCGCTACCAGCTGTCTCCACGACTGACATGACCGCTTCTAGCTTGGTCAAGTTCCGAAGATCAATGTCGGTCGTAGCTTGGATACGCGGATTCACGAAGTATTTCCCGCCGAGAGGATACGTCTGTTCTATCCATCCACAGCTAGCATATGGACACGTATCCAGGTGACGTTGGCGAGGGATCAAGGGGTGACGCTCGCTGTATGGTTGTGAGATATATGATCTTGTATGCATACCAATCTGAACATACTTTGTATCTCGTGGTATGTCTCTGCTTGCGAAGTACTCGTCGGCACTCCTGTCGTCACTCGAAGTGCCTGAAGAGACTTGTCGAACGGAGCTGTCAAAAATTAAGATACTATGACGCAAGGCATTAACACGCAACTCACGGGGTAAGCATGACTTCATAAATGGTGGGTAGTGGTACCGCCACTAGCTCGGCAGGAGCTATCGTGCTATCGTCTCGTGGGGACCGAGGGTCAAAATCACTGACACGACCATCACTTCCAAGTCGATACGAAGACCAAAGTGTACATACTCAGCAACAATAGATGACGAAATGACACCAGGCTGTGGAGAGGGATAAAGATGGGGGCTCGGAGCAGCCGGACCTAGATCTGCGAACGGGTCTTCCGAAGGCGTTCTGAACTGTTCATCAGACCGTTGTCCAAGAACATATAGAAAAAACGAACGTCAGGCTCGCCTCGCTTTGGTTAAATTCACTGCTCGGGTTACTCCAGGTGTACGTGCTGCCAACAATCTCCCGCTCGCGGGCCCAGCGGAAGGTCGGACTTGGCTTTGGGCTCATGTGCGAAGAGGAGACGGGACTGAGATTCCTTTGGCTAGGAGGATGTGTAGTGTCGACCTGCGTCAGGGACGTGGTCGATCCATCGCGCTTGAGCTTTGGAGAGGTGGATCTTGCGATAGGTATGAAGTCCGGCTCGGGGGAAATGGGAGTTGCTGGACTTGAGCGATTTAACAACCCCGGGATACTCCAGTTCGACGAGGAGCGGCGCATCCCCGTTCCAACACGAACGCGGAAGCCTTTCCTGGGAGGGGGCGCCGTGGCCATCAGTTCAAGTACGTTTGCAGGCGACACGGGTGATCTTCAAGAGCAGCTAAGGAAAGGAGGATGCAAGCAAAAAGTTTTAACAACACACTAGATCACGCAGTGCGAGTAGGATGTTCAAGGGGGTGCACACGTGCAACGCGGACGCATCAGATAGCCCAGTCATAGCTTCTTAATCTAGTGAATGCATGCCATGAGGCAAGATGGAGGACATACGAGGAAATATGATGAACACGTTGCTGCCTGCCTAGTACCCCGGCACAGCCCAGTACCCGTGTCTTTCATTTCCCATGTTTCGGATCCTGGCCACCTTCCTTTATCGCCATATTAAACATCGAGAGGCTTTCTGACAACTGTGCAGGATTCAAATGGAAGAGAGCAGACTGATGATGTTGAGATTCCATGATACATACCTAGTTGCGTTTAGCTGATATGAGACGTCAGAAAGTCAGGCAATAAACACTAAAGCGATGGAGATGATGACAGACAGACGATCGGACAATCGTTGTTTGTCCGTATTAGAACCCGAAGCCTTTGCTAAACAGGACCAAATATGTGGTACATACGCAAGGTTGTTCCTGGTATTTACAACCCCAGATAATGGCGACAAGAACGAACTTTACTAAAGCCTGCAGGACTGAAATTGACACAGCACCTAATTTACCGAGTCATCGTGAACCTGTGGGAATACATACACAGTAATTTATCTAGCTATGTGCGCTTATATCATGATCGTTTCGACAGAAAGTTGACAAGTGTAGCAATGAAATCGCAAAATTTTGACCAGCACCTACGCGCGCTGGTTTTTCGTCTTCTAAGAAAAGATTTCTTCCTCGTAGCCGATGTTTTAGAGTCGAGTGACACCTTTGAGGACCACGAAGGAAAGTCCACCGCCATATAAATTGAAGATGGGGCTGAATTCGTGTCCGTGAGAGCAAGGTGATCAGGGGCTTCCAACGTCGTCTACTTGTTCAGTGCAATAAGAACATGCGCGATCTATGTATAGACGCAAGACATGCCACACTTACCACGTCTACATCTGCGCTTTCCTCGAACAGGCCGCCCGAAGTTACATTCCATTTGAAGGAGCGCCAACGGTGTTTGTGACGTTCAAGCTCACGCATGAGTGACCGACGCTCGAGTTCACGGAATCGCTCATATTCCATGTACGAGCGTCTAACGTATTGTGAGCTTTCATCAGCCCATGGAGCGGCGTCATCAATGGGAAAGAGAGCATCTTCAGCTTTGCGTTCCACTAATGCCGAGTCCCAGTGGACAGTTATGTCAACTGGTAATACGCCACTTCGCGTCAGCCAGACACGGGCGTGGTCGGCGTAATGTTTCTCCCTGTTAGAAATTGAGAGCACAGTCCAGAGAGACTGGGTTTGGAGGATGAGGTATCGCCAGCACTTGCAAACATGCGACGCTGTGACAATTCCGGGGAGTCCGTGCGGACTACCGTGGGTTCCTGTGAGTCGGAAGATGCTTAGGAGCAGTTCCGCTGGAAGACTATTAATATTGCGGGGGTGACTCATGCCCTGCTAGTCGTCTTAGACTAAATCAATTGTAGAGAGGGTGCACTTACGACAAAGAAATATGACAGTGCTGGGGAAAGAGCCTTTGTAATAACGAGACGAAAGCGTGCTTAACTAGTTGTGTCTTGGCGCTCAATTTAGAACGTCCTTGATGCGTGTGTCACATAGCCGTGCCATAATAGGGTTGCACCTCAAGGCCTCACGGCGTTAATGATGTGCGCGAGCCTCGAGGCAGCGGGTCATGGTTCGACCACGCAGTATCGCGATATATCAATTAAAGAAGCCTTTATTTCACGGAATGGTCGATGCTTCAGCGTTCATAATTGCCAAGATCGAATACATACCCCTGACTAGGCGCGGCGTATATTTTGGTTATCACAGTATTACTCCGAGTCCCAAGGAGAGGTACAAGATACGAGCCCGTGATACGCCTAGATTGTTATAAAAATTGAATTTGTAGTCGCGGTATACGATGCAATGGCGTGCACGAGCGATCAGCGATAGAGAAATGGGCGCGCCGCGCAAGTAAAGCAGCTGAAGTCAAGCCACGTTTCACACGACCCCCTTTTGGGGGGTGGAGCAATATCCATAGGTGGTCACTGTACTGAACACCGTCTAGAACGAGCCAAACGACGCCAACGCCATGTTGTTCGATGTCAATGTAAGTCCTATAGCAAGTTTACCATCTTAAATCTAACCAAGACATAAAAAGCGAAAACTATTCTCTCGATCCGACCGGGTCAAAGGCGCAGACTTCCACCCAACCGAGCCATGGCTGCTAACAGGTCTGTACAACGGTTCCGTCAACATCTACAACCACGAAACTGGCGCACTTGTCAAGACTTTCGAGGTCTCTTCCGTTCCTGTGCGTTGCGTCAAGTTTATTCCCCGAAAAAACTGGTTTGTTGCTGGCTCGGACGACTTTCAGCTGCGCGTGTTTAATTACAATACGCATGAGAAGGTTGCCGCGTTTGAGGCTCATCCTGATTATATACGATGTCTTACTGTGCATCCTACCGCGAGCATCGTGCTCACTGGAAGTGATGATATGACTATCAAAGCTTGGGATTGGGACAAGCAGTGGAAATGTATTCAGGTGCGCTACCATCATTCCATATACTCTGGTGCTCAACTAGTATCAGGTCTATGAAGGCCATACACACTATATAATGAACATCACTTTCAACCCCAAGGATGCAAATACCTTCGCATCTGCTTGTCTTGACCGTACGGTTAAGATGTGGTCCCTTGCTTCCCCTACAGCCAACTTTACTATGGACGCACACGACAAGGGAGTCAACTACGTCGACTTCTACCCTGGCTCGGATAAGCCATACCTCGTCACAACAGGTGATGACCGCACGATCAAGGTCTGGGACTACCTCAGCAAGAGCTGCGTGCAAACGATGGAAGGACACACGAACAACCCAAGCTTCGCTGTGTTCCACCCCAACCTGCCTATCATCATCAGTGGAAGTGAAGACGGTACCGTGAAGATATGGAACAGCAATACCTACCGTCTGGAGAACACCCTCAGCTATGCGCTTGAACGTGCATGGTGCGTCTCGCTCCGCCGCGATGCGAATGAGGTGGCTATTGGATTTGATGAGGGTATTGTTGTGATCAAGGTTTGTCTGTATCGTTTAGACGGTCTACGTGTTTGACACCTCTCAAGCTTGGCCGGGATGAGCCTACATACAGTATGGACCCATCGGGTAAATTAATATACACGAAGAACCAGGCCGTGCTATCTGGAAACCTCGCCACGCTTTCTGATATCGTCACTGCGGACGGCAACCGTATCCCCCTCTCGATCAAGGAGATTGGTACTACAGAGATCTTTGCCACTGCGCTGATACACTCCCCGAACGGACGATTCGTGACTGTAGTTGGTGACGGGGAATACATTATCTACACGGCGCTGGCATGGCGGAACAAGGCGTTTGGCTCAGGCACGGGCTTCGCGTGGGCAGGTGACTCGAACACGTATGCGGTGCTAGAGAGCAAGGTGAAGCTGCGAGTGTATAAGAACTTCAAGGAACGCGGTGGTGCAGGGATGAAAGGTGCGGGAAGCTGGTCAGTGGATGCTATTTACGGGGGTCCGGTGCTGGGCGCACGGGGGAAGGGCTTTGTGATCTTTTGGGATTGGGAGAGCGGGGAGATAGTGAGGCGGATTGATGTGGAGGCGAAGAATGTGAGTGTGTGATACGGATTGGACGTTATGGTGCTGATCTTTTTCGTTGTAGATCTTTTGGTCGACAACAGGGACGCTCGTGGCTGTTGTTTCGGATGACTCTTTCTACATCCTCAAGTTTGATCGGGATGCGTACAATGTCAAACTAGAGGAGGGTGCGGAAATCACGGATGAGGGTGTTGAGGAAGCATTTGATGTCGTTGCTGAGATCTCGGACAGGTGCGGCGGTTGTTCATGACTTTCATGCCCAACTGATTACACTTTTATTAGCGTGAAGACCGCAAAATGGATAGGTGACTGCTTTATCTACACCACGGCCGGAAACCGCCTCAACTACTTCGTGGGTAATGAATCGTACACGATCAGCCCATCTGATACGTGCGTGCATGAGGTGTTTAATTAGCAACTTTGAACTGACATTTGCTGTAGCTCCATGTTTATACTGGGATACATACCCGCGCATAATCGAGTGTATCTTGCGGACAAGGACTTGAATATTTTCGGGTATTCATTGTCCTTGAGCGTTGTGGAATACCAGACGGCTGTCCTCCGTGGTGACATGGACTCGGCAGCTGAAATTCTGCCCATATTGCCAAAGGAGCAGCTAAACAAAGTTGCTCGGTTCTTGGAGGGTCGAGGTATGAATGATTTTAATTACATATCAAAACCCGGAATTCACTGTTTTTCTTCTCAGATCTCAAAGAGCTCGCTCTGGAAGTGACCACGGACCCAGATCACAAGTTCGACCTCTCATTGCAGCTCGATGACCTAGACACAGCGGTCGAGATCGCGCGCTCTGTCTTAGAGCCGGAAGCCGAGACGAAGTGGAAGGCGATCGGCGATCGTGCGCTTACGGTGTGGCGCTTTGATCTGGCTCGGGAAGCATTCGAAAAGGCGGGTGATTTGAGTGCGCTGATGCTTCTTCTGCTTTCGACGGGCGATCGAGAAGGGCTGCAGAAGCTTGCAGCGACAGCCGAGAAAAAGGGAGCGAACAATCTGGCGTTTGCGACGCTGTTCCAGCTGGGTGATGCAAAACCGTGCGTGGACCTGCTTGTGAAGACGAATCGTGCACCAGAAGCTGCGTTGTTTGCACGAACGTATGCACCGAGGTGTGTTTGATGGATTCGTGAATTTGATATTTGAAATTGACTTGGGCGTAGCCAAGTACCAAAGGTGGTCGACGTGTGGCGAGGCGAGTTGCGCACTAAAAATAAGGGCAAGATCGCAGGGGGCATCGCGCACCCATCTGACCAGGCAGAGCTATTTGAGGAAGGGTGGGAAGGGGCACTTGCACGCGAGGCTCCTGAGCCTGTAGATGTGAACGGAGATTCCGGTGAGTTTTTGTCTGGACTGATGGCGCTTGTTTCGGTGACTGATTGGGTTTAGACATTTCGCAGAGTGACAGTGGGGAGACATGATTGGAATTGGGGCAGTGGGAGGCTGATCGGTCTACTTATAGCATATAGTTTTGCTGCGCATGTCTAAATGCTATCTGTTCTCTACACTACTATGTACTCGACGTTGAGCTGAAGGATGACTCCATTAGAGAGCACCGGTTTTATGGCTGGTCTGTTGCCGGATTGGCTGGAGGTTCACGCGAGGGCCTAGACCCAATTGGGCGGTGGTCAGCCGGTTCTTTTGCTTTCAATCTTTACCTGCTCCAGCAAGACAAGAAGGCCTGACAAGGCCCACCTTTTTTTCATTCTTCTGGTCTACCTATCTTGTCATTGCCGTTGATCATCTTTCTTTCATTTTCAGTCTTTTTGTTGTTCATTTGACGGCTAGTAATGGCCTCTGCGTCGGGCTCGCTAGCCAACCACGCCGTCAATTCTGGTGACCTTGTCGACCTCGTTTCCTCTTCTTCCTCAGCAACGGTTTACCCCAACGACGATGCCATTGTCACCGTCCTCAACACCCGTTTTCGTGCTGATTTACCTTACACAAGAATAGCCACAACCAACTTGCTTGTCGTCAATCCGTTCAAAACACTTGCCAATGTCAACGATATCAGCGCAAAGGAATACGAGGAGCGGTGTTACAAGGACACTAGCTTGCCACTTGCCAGCTCTAGATTGCTCCAACCGCACATCTATGAGTTTGCGGCGCAAATGTACCTCCTTATGCGTCGGAGGAACCAGTCCCAGTCCGTCATCACTCGGTTCGTACGCTTCATCGTCTGTTGTTGTTTCATTACTGACCTTGTAAATAATAATAGAGGCATCACCGGCTCGGGCAAGTCATCCAGCACCCGCCTCCTAGTCGACCAGCTTCTTCGGCTCTCGGCACGCTCAAAGAAGGAAAAACGTATCGCAAGTCAAATCAAAGCCTTCTCCACGTTGCTCGACTCATTTGGCAATGCCAAAACCCTCATCAACCCAAACGCTTCCCGTCACACACGTTACCTTGAGCTTCACTTCAATGCCCGCGGCCGTATCGAGTCGGCTAAAGTCCTTGCGTTTGCACTCGACAAGTCCCGCCTCACGCGCCTTACTCATGAGGAGCGCACGTTCCATATTTTTTACCAGTTTTTAGCGGGTGCTACGCCCCAGGAGCGGGATTACTTTGCGCTCGAGGATCCCTCTGATTATTCGTTGCTGGCGTCGTCGGGGTGCTACCGCCTTCCAAGTGGCCCCTTCAGCTGATGACGCCATTGCGATGGAGGAGGTGCTCGCAGCGATGCGTACTTTGGGCTTCAAGGCCAAGCATATCTCGTCGATATTCACACTGCTCGTTGCAGTTCTCCTGCTGAGCAACATCCAGTTCACGGAATCAGACGCCCGCGATGTTTCTGCATACGTTGCTAATGCGCCTGTGTTGGAGCAGGCAGCGAAGCTCCTTGGCGTGTCTGCTGAGGATCTGACTTTGGTTCTGACGACCAGGACGAGCTATGTCCGTAAGGAGCTTTATACCGTACTCCTCAACGTGGAGCAGAGCGCAGCGCAGCGTGACCAGTTCATGCGTGACCTGTATGCTATCCTCTTTGCATACGTCGTCGAGACCGCAAACCACAAGGTCGTCCCTACCAATCGGGAGGAGCTTCCCCACTCGCAGATCCTGATCTTTGATCAACCTGGTTTCCAGTCTCGTGGACCGACCGGCACGGGCTCGATGTCATTCACGGGTCCTGCTCCCTTGATTTCAGCATATGGACAGAACGGGTTCGATGAATTCTGCATCAACTTTGCGGATGAGGTCATGCAGTCTTACATGCTTCGCACTGTATTCGAGGACAAGATTGGGTACAACAGCCACATCGCCGGTGACGGCGTTCCACTCCCGTCAATATCTACTATGGACAACTCTGCTTGCATCGAGCTCCTGCGTGGTGCTCAGGTGTCGGAGCGCTCGACCAGGAAGCCAGGAGGTATACTCAGCGTGATGAGCAAGTCATGCTCCTCATTCAAGTCTGGCAAAGCGGGTGAGAAGAAAGACTGATGATATGCTCCAGGACCTCATCTCCAAGTGTGGGACGCACGGGTCCTTTGTCGCAAGCCCATCCCAGATTGGTGCCAGCGAGAGGAACTTGTTTGGGATCAACCACTACGCGGGAAACTGCTCGTACGACGTCACGAGTTTTGTTGAGAAGGATTCAGACATGCTTGATTCTGCGTTTGTGACCCTTCTGCGTAATTCCTCTGACGGATTCATGTCGAAGCTTGTCTCTGGACCTTCTCTTGCAGCCGAAAGGCACTCTAAGGACGAGGCCATCATTGTACAAGCCCAAGTATCCTCACGCCCGCTGCGTTCACCTACTCCCATTGTGAATCCCGACGGCTCACTACCTCCAGCAAGTGAAGAACACGCACGTCTTGATGCATCCAAGATATACCCCGTCACTACCCAACTCAACCATACCCTTTCCGAAATCATCGCCTCCCTCGACCGCACTCCCCTCTGGACAATCTCATGTATCCGCCCGAATGATTCCGGTTCACCAAATTCGTTTGACAAGCGACGTGTCAAGGCGCAGGTGCGGTCGATGCTTATACCTGACATCGTTGCGCGTCGGAGCATCGAGTACGTCACAGACTTTGAGCAGACTGAGTTCTGTGACCGGTATGTGCCGACTATGCGTGGGTCGGAGATGGAGCGGATTCGCCAGTGCGCAGCGAGCAATGGATGGAAAGAGGGGGCGGACTATATCGTGGGGCATCGGAGCATCTGGCTGTCGTACGGTGCATGGAAGACCGTGGACGATGTTGTAAGGACTGCGGAGAAGGACCAAGCGAGGCGTTCTGGAGAGGATCTCGAGGATGAGGAGAGTGTTATTGGGGATGATGTGACGGACTTTACCCATGGAGACGGTGGGGGGCACGGAGGATACGCCAGCGAGAGTCGGGATAATTTGTTGATCGCTCGGGCGAGCAGCCGAGGATCACGATACCAGGACCCCAATCGTTTGGCACCGTATGCGCACGCTGGGTTACCTTCCCCTTCCCTGCAAAGCCCTGCCTATGACGACAACGACGCTGAATCAGGATCCGAGTGGGACAAGAAAGGCGGAAGCCCTGCAGTGACCTCTGCTCCCTTCATGTCCAAGGAGGGTGAGATGGTCGTCAACAAGGCTCCAGCTGCAGTCGAAGAGGTTCCTTCCAGTTCTTCACGCCGATGGTGGCTCTTCCTTGTCTGGGGTTTCACAGGTTGGATACCTTCATTCGTCCTTCGCTACGTAGGCCGCATGAAGCGCCCAGATATCCGACTCGCATGGCGCGAGAAACTCACCATTTTCATACTCATTTTCCTCATGAACGCGCTCGTTATCTTCTACATCATCGAGTTCGGGCGGCTTTTGTGCCCCAATTTTGACAAGGCGTGGGACTCGACGGAAGTTGCAGAGCACACTGGAGACAGTGATTGGTGGGTTTCGGTGCAGGGGCAGGTTTATGACATGTCCAACTTCATCCACGGAGACCATAGCGATCTCTCTGGTATCGCTAGTAACTCGGCAAGCGATCTTGACGAGCTCGCAGGACAGGACATGACGAACTATTTCCCCCCGCCGCTTGTGCTGGCCTGCCCTGACCTCGTCACCCAGGACTCATTGGAGCTTGTTTACAAGAACTTTACACCAGTCGTCCCGCTCGCGATGCATAAGTCTGGTGTCTCGGAGAGTTCACAGGGCACGGCGCTTGACAATGAGGGTTGGTACACTGCGACGTTCCAGCCGAAGATGAAGAATTATCACAAGGGCCCGTTGGTGTGGAAAACGAAGGACGTTGCTGCGCAAGCTGCGGATCAGACTATTCAACGGTATGTCTTGAATATTGAGATGACCCGGTTCGTCACTCATACATGACTTTAGTATCTGGGCTATTTGGGAAGGCGGCGTGTATGACCTCACGGACTACATCAACACTGTGACGATCAACCAAGGCGCAACGAGTCTCTATCAATTCCTGAGCACGGACGTGTCAGATGTCTTCAAACAGCAAGCTGGGCAGGACATTACGAATGCGCTGAATACTGCTCTTGCGGGCCTTGATACCAATACGGCGGCTGCCAACGTCAACTGTCTGAAGAATATGTTCTATCTTGGCGAGACTGACTTCCGGGATACTCCAAGGTGTCTCGTTCAGAACTACCTGCTGTTGGTGTTTACGAGCGTCCTGTGCGCGTCTATCGTGCTCAAGTGTACGTCCCTCTCTTTTGGCTTGTCGTTGTTTGATTAATGACGTTCCACCAGTCCTTTCCGCACTTCAACTATCTCCCAAGCGGTCACCTGAGATGCAAGACAAGTTTATCCTCTGCCAGATCCCTTGCTACACGGAGGGTGAGGATTCTCTACGGCGGACGATTGATTCCTTGGCTTCGTTGAACTACGATGACAAACGGAAGTTGCTCTGTATCATCTGCGACGGTAACATCATCGGCAGCGGAAACGACCGTACGACTCCCCGTATTGTGCTGGATATTCTTGGTGTGGATCCTAAGCTCGATCCTGAGCCTTTGTTGTTCAAGTCGGTCGGTGAGGGCTCGAAGCAACTCAACTATGGCAAGGTGTACTCCGGTCTGTACGAGTTTGAGGGTCATGTTGTTCCGTGAGTGTATATCCCTCATCTACTTGGGCGCGAGTCTGACAATTGTTTGCAGGTACATGGTAGTCGTGAAGGTTGGCAAGCCTACTGAACGCTCGAAGCCTGGAAACAGGGGCAAGCGTGACAGTCAGATTCTCCTCATGCACTACTTGAATCGGGTTCACTTCGATGCGCCAATGTCGCCTCTTGAGCTCGAGATCTACCACCAGATGAGGAATGTTATCGGCATTGATCCTGCTTTCTACGAGTACATTTTCACTGTCGACGCTGATACTGTGAGTTTATTGTCTGTTTACTTGATTTAGGCTGATGTCCTTTGCAGCAAGTAACACCTGAATCCCTGAATCGACTGGTTGCTTCTGCTGCGGATGACTCGAGTATCATTGGTATCTGTGGTGAGACCAAGCTCACGAACGAGGAGGGTTCATGGTGGACGATGATCCAGGTTTGTTTATCCGGTTACCTCTACCGTCGCCCAAGTTGACATTTAATACAGGTATACGAATACTACATCTCTCACCATTTGTCAAAGGCCTTCGAGAGTCTGTTCGGCTCAGTGTCTTGTCTTCCGGGATGTTTCTCGCTCTATCGTATCCGTACCGCAGACAAGGGCCGACCCATCATCATCTCGAACCGCATTATCGACGAGTACGCAGAAGGCAACGTCGATACACTTCACAAGAAGAACTTGTTCTCTCTTGGTGAAGATCGTTTCCTGACGACGCTTCTCCTGAAGCACTTCCCCACGTTCAAGACCAAGTTCATTCCAGACGCTGTCGCGCATACCATGGCTCCTGAATCTTGGCGTGTCCTGTTCTCCCAACGTCGGCGGTGGATCAATTCTACGATCCATAACTTGTGCGAGCTCGTAGTTTTGCCTGAACTTTGCGGCTTTTGTTGTTTCTCGATGAGGTTCTTCGTTTTCATCGACCTGTTGGGTACCATCGTGAGTGTTGCGTCTTTGAATCCGTGCAGTCCTTGGCTCATGTTTTCTCGTAGATCCTGCCAGCCACGGTTGTCTACGTAAGTCTCGAGCCTGTTCCATTAGACATGCATCCTTATGATATCATTCCGACAGTTGGCTTATCTCATCGTTGTTGTCGCCACCGGCAATGCCGCTCTGCCACTCATTTCCATCATCATGTTGGGTATCACGTACGGTTTACAGGTAAGTCGTGCGAATGCAGGACCGTAACTTCGCACTCATTGCATTTCAGGCTTTGATCTTCATCATCAAACGTGAATTTATGTTGGTAGGATGGATGGTGGTCTACCTCCTCTCGTAAGTAGCCCATGTGCAGCATTACGATACGTGTTGACCTCTGTTGCAGATACCCGGTGTACAGTTTCTTCTTACCCATTTACTCGTTCTGGTGCATGGACGATTTCTCCTGGGGAAATACCCGTATCGTCATTGGTGATGGAGGTAACAAGAAGGTTGTGATGAACGAAGATGAGCGGTTTGACGAGTCGATGATTCCGTTGAAGAAGTTCAGCGGTAAGTCGTTTCTACGCTGATTTACCACCCGCCAGCTCAACCAGTGAAATTCCCTCAGACTACGAGGCAGAAGCATGGGAGAATGGATCTCATAGGTCTGACGAAACAGGTTTAACCAAGCCTCGCTCCAATCCCCGTTTCCCTCCTTCTCGCCAGGGGTCTCCTCAAAGCTTCCAACCATCTTTCACCGGCGATTACTATCGGGATACCAACATGACCAAGAAGAACTCGAATTCCAATATCCGCGGTGCCGCCTCCCACATCAGCCATGGTTCTCGACAAGGGTCGATGTATGACGGGCGGCAACCATCCGTACCCCAATACAGCGTTCCTCAGATGCCGTTCATGTCGTTCAGCGGCGGTGCAGGCTCAGTGCATGGTTCGGATTATGGACATATGCCCATGATTCCGCCTCTGGGTTACCAGCACTCTGGCAGTGTATATGGTGGGATGCCTCAAGGACCCATGATGATGAATATGCCTATGATGACGGGAGGCTCTCAGACGGGCGGCTTTGGCATGTTACCTGCGATCGGAGGAGATGGGCGGCCTCTGTCGATGTTCTCGATGGCGACGTCTGTGAACGCATTTGCTGGTCCGAGTTTCAACCCCAATCCTACCGACGATGATCTTTTCAATTCCCTACGGAACTATCTGAGCACGCAAGATTTGATGACCGTCACGAAAAAGTATGTCACATACCATTTTTCACCGTCCCTTGCTAAGTGTTTGCAGGACCGCTCGCGAGGCAATCATGGCCAAGTTCCCCAAAGCCGACCTCACATCCCGAAAAGACTTCTTGAACGAGTCGATTGACAAGATCCTGTCGCAGTCGTAGAGGGAGCGACATCCCTGATGCGTGATCTCCACAATATTTTATACTTCACGAATGGCGCCGATGCGCCTTGAACACTCTCTCGTCACCGTACCTTTCATTCTACCTCAGACAATCGTTTGGTCGCATATGGACACTCCTACTCGTACCTTGAAAATTATCACTGCATCGTTGTATCATCCTTCTTGGACTATGCACTCGTACGTACTATAGACTTTAACCTACATAATTAGGTCTTTGGACATGGGTTTCCAATACACTCTCTTAGATTGACGAATTGTTCAGTGTATCTCCGCTATCTGGAGCATCATCATGTTGCAGTGTTGCACAGCCATGAACGTGACTTCCATGATCACCTTAGCCTCAGCTCGTCTCAGATCTCATGGGTGTCAATCACATTACTAGCTATAGATTGCGACAGCTCACAAGGTACTTGAATACACTGTGATGGAGGACGTCTTTCCTCATCCCGTTAATTACCCAAGATGCCCGCAGACGACGCCCCTCGCAAGCCATATGTCCTCAAGTTTCCCAAGCCAACCATCGAGCTTTTCGAGGCTGCGCTTCCCACTTTGAAAGAGGAGTCCAGGCAGTGCGTCCAGAATGTTTTCACTGTGAAAGAATACTGGAGTTGTGCCTGCTGATGACAGATGCATTGAGAATCTGTTGAATTACCGTGCCCAACATACGCGGGTCAAGTTCCCGCTGAGTCTGAGTGCTGCGGTTTTGGTTCCATTGTTTATCGGTCGTGCGGGGGATCTGTATGTGTTGCTGAGTCGGTGAGCTACTGTGTACGTCGTGTCGCGTCTGTGACTAAATGGCCCCAAAAGGCGGTCGGCTAGCTTGAGGCAGTATGCAGGTGATACTGCACTTCCGGGAGGAAAGGTTGAGCACCAAGATCTTACTGATGAGGACACTGCGGTACCCGCATAGAACTACTTTGTGAATCTCAGTCTGACTTGCCCGTTTGTAGAGGCGCGAGGCTTTTGAGGAGGTACAGAGTTGCGTTATCACATGGCTCTTACTGATGCTTGGGGTAAATGTCCTTACAGATTGGGCTTGTCCCAGACCGGGAACGAGTCCCTTTGCTCTGCGTGATGGAACCATTCCTTGCTGGTAACCAGATGGTAGTGACTCCGTGAGTATGTTGTATTGGTGGCGTTTTGCCCGGACTGAAATGATCGCTTAGGGTCGTTGTCCTCATTCTCGACAAAACTATGCAGGTGTGTTTAGCTCATGTGAGGATTTTTGTCATCAAGTTGTAACCCTCTCGGGCTGTAGCCCAATCTCAACGAGTCGGAGGTGACCTCAATATTCTCACATCCCCTCGCCTCCTTCCTCGCATCGTCATCTCCTTTCCCTCCATACCGTGTTCAAGATCCTTCCATGCCCTACCACACGACGACGGACTGGGAATGGAGCAAAGGTAGTACAATTCGTATGCATCGCTTCCTCACCGGGCGAGAAGCAGACGGCGTGAAACCTGTATTCGGGTTCACTGCGTGCGTGGATTTAGAATAACACTCACAACAATTCCTCATGCTGATCGTAGGAGGATACTAATTTACGTCGCCATCTGGGGATACGGACGCGCTCCAGACTTTGAGTTCCAGCCGCCAAACGCGCCTACGCCGGCTCAGCAGATCGCTCATGCGCTCCTTACACCTGCAAATCCTCTGCGGTTGGCGTGTGAGTGTGAGGGCAACGATGCAGATATGATGGCTGCCTCTGTCCTGCATACACTGGGGGGGCTGAACACTGAGCCTCCTACAATCGAGTGGGACAAAGTTAGCCATGATTGGAGGCATCCAAGGGAAGGAGGCATCTCACAGCACGTCGATGCTACCAAACGGAAGACACAGAAAGTTGCAAATGAGCACCAGGACACGACGCATAAGGAGAAGCAGGAGCGTCATTGGGAAGCGGGGGAGGGCGTGGAATCGGGCGAAAGGAAGGTCGCAGGGGGCCGAAGTGGCCTGAACGAGCGCAAGGAGGGTGATGCTAAACTCTGATATCACGCCCTCACCTGATTATATCTCACTGTTTTAAAACTGTGTCGTGTTCAACTACATTTGAATTTCTGAGTAAATGTCTGAGCTTCGGTACTCTTCATTAGAAATGGAGGGGAACTTGGATAACAATTCTAATAATAATTTGTTTACCGCGGTAGTTGCAGTCATTGTTTGTCTTTTATCTCTCCCCTGAGCCTCAAACCTTTGTGTGGATATGACGGTCTGACCTGTAGCTGGGGAGTGTACCAGTGGCACAGGAAAGCAACCTTTGAGGCAGTGGTCTTTGATCGATTTCTTCAGTCGTTTATCGTTGACCAGCCGTTGATAGGTGTAAGTCACTCGTGGGAAAACAGAGTATTACTGGGATTATGTCGCTGGCTGCCCGGAAGCTCTGCAATTATGACAGGTTTGATCCTACAGACACAAACCAGACTCTCACTATACTGTCTCAGAGATTCGGTCTCGGCATTTGACCCAGATGCCTGTCTCGTATAGACTCGTAACCATTCTGCCTACGTGCGTCTTTGAGATGTGTGTGAATTTTGCCGTAGGCAGACTGGTCGATCTCGGAAAGATTTGGCAGGGGAAGCACGGAGTTCGAAAATTTGCAGTTGCCGATTGTGCCGCTTGATGTTATCGTCGTTATCATCCAGCGTCAACGACGCTGCATCATTTGTTCGCAGTATAATGATACCATTTCCTGTGCTTTTACCTCAGATGTTGCACTATCATCAACCATCCGAACTTCTGGCATGGACAGTTGACCACCGTGGCCTCAGTGAAGACATCAAAGTTCTAGCTATCCTGGAAATACTTCGTGGCTTGCGGATGACTGTAATAGACTTACTTCTGTGCTCTGTCTCGCAAAAACCTGCCATGATCAATTGGAGGAAGGGCTTCTTCCGAAGCTCTGCACTCGCACGATTTCTTAACGTGCTGGAGTCCGATGAGCAAGGAGCCATTCAACTTCAGAATGTACTGCGACCTCGCGCTATAGAACTCGTCACCCGTGAGATCGATGTGGAGATGGAGGACGCTAAGCCAATTTTTCATATGTCTACAAAGGACATCACTCCGGAGTACTTGCTCTCTTTCGACATCGAGCATGGATTGACTGTCCCGTTGAAAGAGACAACTCCCTGGCTCCGTCAGATCCTTATGTCTGCTATGCGGACAACACGTGCTGTGAAAGAGAATAAGCATCACAATGTCGAAACAGTTAGCTTTTTTTCGAACCACACGAAACTAATGTAGACATCGAGCTAGTACTGCACTGTAATCCAATCGCAAATTGCGAACATTCGCTCGCAAAACAACCTCGCCTTTCAGATCATTCACGGACTTTGCTTGTTCAGCGGTGGTACATCTCGCAAAACCATTGACTTACTCGCACATTGCGGTCTTTCGCCTGGGTATGATGCATTGCACATTTCTCATACTATTATGGCCGATGGTCAGATACGAAGGGCACAGCTCGTTGCGAGAGGACCGCATATGATAGGCTGGGACAACATTCAAGTTTCGACATCTACTCATGTTGAACAGCGTGCTTTAGCCCCCCCGAAAGTCCAGTCAGGCACCACGACAATCATATACCCACTGCGTAACACAACCTTAGAATGAATTTTCCGAGTCAAGCGTATGTGATCTTTTTGCAAAAGCTTCAATGGTGTGACAGTGATTGCAATCTTGTCGGGAGAGAGCAGCAAGGGAAGGATCATTGCCAGTGTCTTGCCAGCACCTGTTGCAGCCCGGACAACAACATGTCTTGATGCGAGCAATGACATGAGGCACTCGAGTTGAAACAGCTTTGGTTGCTTCGTTCCTTCTGTAAGAAAATCGAGTCGGGCGAAAGAGTCTACAATGTTCTGGCGCTGGGATATATGCAAAGGTTCAATAAACTCTGTCGGAAGGTTCTCAAGTGCATCTAGCGCAGCAAGGGACATTGGGGAAACAGGAACGGCCTCGCAATCCATGGTTGCAAGGCCACGATCATAGCATATGCGTGAACGCACAAAGACTACGGTATAGTGATTCGAGATTGAGTACCACCGGCACAATCGGCAACTGCAAATTTTCAAACTCCGTGCTTCCCCTGCCAAATCTTTCCGAGATCGACCAGCCTGGCTACGCCACTCGAGCATCCGTGGTAGTATACGCCAGGCTGGTCACGAGCCTATGTCTCGTATCTCGAACAGGGAGTGGCTAGTCACCTACGCATATGCTTCTCAACCGCCGAACATAGGGTGTGGGCCTTCACCGGTTATCCATCGGAGCCCCTTCTGTCTTGCGTTGCAGCCATTATACTCCATGGCACCCGTCTGATCGACGCTTTGCAGCTTTTGAAGACAAAGATTGAAGGTAGGATGGTCGAAATAGGACGGAGCGGAGAGTTAGCCAGCAGACTCTTACTGCTCCTTGCCAGGGACATGTACGTTCGCAAGCATCTCTCCGAAGGCACAATTAAGGATCTACACTATGACGGAAGTTGGAACGCGGGACTTATAGACTGCTAAAAGGTCTCCAACATCCAATTCCTGGAATACCTTTTTGGAAAGGATTTCTGGTCGACGATCGGGGAGGCCAAGACAGCTTTTCGACATGCTTACATCAATTTCTCGCATTGGATGCCAATGGCTGAGTTGATATCGCAGAAAGATTCCAAGCAAACTGACATCGAGTCGTTGAGGTAAGCTTTCAGGCGGCGACAAGCGATATTATTTCTGAGATATTGCTGCAGTGCCGGACAGTGGACTTTGCGCCACTGGCATCGCACGAACGCGGTGCAATGCTGCCACATCTGCAGCCCCTCGTCAACAAGATGATACCCGTTTGTTTCGACGATCCCGCCCTTGGCTCCGAGGACGTTAACCGCGTATCACAGATGTTTATTTCAGATAAAGCGGGAAAACCTCGCAACGAGCGAGACTTAGAATTCATCACACGCACACATGATTCGATCCAATGCTTATTGAATCTTCCCTACATCGCTCTCCTTCTCGACTTCAATGCGGAACCAAACCTTTGCATTCCGTTCTCGGATAAGGTGCCAAACCATTCTAACACCAACCAATGTCTGCGGATCTGCGCTTCTGGTATGAGCGGCACCACATTTCTATTCTTGCGTGAAATATACTGCTACATTGCGAACCTACTATACGGTCTTGTCTCGCGGCAGGAAGCACCATCGCAGAGACGTTTTGAACGTCTAGATGCCCTCGTCAAATTCGGGAGTACATCCAGTCACTCGCGCTGGAAGGTACAAGGCGTATAGTAATCAATCACAACTCGAACCTTGGTGTATTCGTAGTCGATTATCAATGATGTTGTCAATGGGAATGTTTGCTCTTTCGTCTTGAATGCGGTGCCCTCACTAGCTAGTCTAGTCTGAAGTACCTAGGCAAACCTCAGCGTTTGCAAAGATCTCAGTTCACCTGATGCTTAGACTCAGAAAGGCACCTACTCAGTGCTCACACCTTTGAAGTAAGTCGTAATAACTCGCAATATTGATAGCTTGCAACAATCACAAGACCCACGAGTTGATCGTGTGACCTGTTGGCACTATGTTTAGCCTAACTACTAATAGCTTAGTAGCCTGTTCAAAAATACTTCGGGTCCCAAATCTTGTAAAGAACAAGGTATGTACGTGCACCGCCTCACTTGAAGTAGAAGCCAATACCTCCAGTTACTCGGGAAGATATTTTTCGGCTCATGTAACTGTATCTTGAAGGTTAACAACCTTGCCCTCACGCGTCTGCCAGTGCCTACCACACCAACCTACGCCAACCAAACTTTAACTTACTTCCCGCGACGAGTTATTGCAACCTTCAAGTTGAGATTACGCAGCTTCTGGGAACCGAATTGAAGCTCGGAAGAGCACGAGGTAGAATTTCCTGTGTTAGTGTGGTTTAAAAATCATGCGTGCCATCATAACCAGGGACCGAAGAGTGGCACTCTCCGCTTCTGAGAATCTTCCTGTTTGTCAAGTTATAAGTACAAGCGTGCCAGCTTAGCACTCCGGACTGTAGCGCTCAGTTCCCGTACACTGGTAGAATATTCGATGTGAGTTCCGCCGCTCTAATATGCATTTCCCTTATTTCAGGAGCTGACATCCCATTGTTATTACTTGTCCTATTTGCATAATAGTTCTGTTGTGCAGGATTTAGTCAAGAAGAGAACTGGCGAAGATGATACCTCAAATCCTCGAATATACCCTTTGCGGGCACACTCTGTTCAGTTTGGTAATGCCAATGCTGGGTCTGGGATGCAACTCCAAGCCCGTCACTGTTGACTCTCCTACTCTTTCTGGGTTGACTATGCAGCAAACATGGGCTCAGTACTCGCCTTACTATCCGGCTGCTGAGTATCAGGCTCCCCCTCCAGGTTGTGATGTTGTTCAAGTAAGTGTTCATGTTCTTTGACCGTTGAAGCTCTAACAGATTAATAGGTGAACTTGGTGCGCTCGCTGGCATAGTGCTAGACTCCTTGATAATGATGAATTTTAGTTGCAACGGCATGGTGCGCGCTACCCAAAGAAGAGCGACGGGAAGGCTATGAAAAAGAGCGTCAAACGACTCAAGGGCGCCAAGAGCTTTCGTGATGCCTCACTCGATTTCGTAGCGAACTATACTTATGCTCTTGGAACTGATGACTTGGTCCCTTTTGGTGCCGCTCAGTGAGCATAATTGTTCTTCTGTTACAAATGGTATTGACCCATCTCATAAGATCCTTCGAAGCCGGTCAGTTACATTATGGTCGTTATGCCAGCCTTGTCAACGAAGACATGTTGCCATTTGTCCGCGCATCTGGGTCCGACCGCGTAATCAATTCTGCACTGAACTGGACAGCTGGTAAGGATTAAAAACAACTTATTGCCGTTCCGACTGATATCGCTTCCAGGTTTCGCAAACGCTAGCAATCAACAATACACTCCGATACTCTCTGTCGTCTTTGATCAGTCTGTGAGTTGGACAAGGTCTCTAGCCTGGTGCTTCGCTGATGGGCAGTGCAGTCGAATGATACTCTCGACGATAATATGTGTCCTAATGTTGGGACTTCGGACGATCAGACCAAAACTTGGTTGGACGTTTTTGCGCCTGAGATCCGTGACCGCCTCAACCATTATGCTCCCGGGGCTGATCTCAAAAAAAAGGATGTTGAGAACCTCATGTCCCTGTGCCCGTTCGAGACCGTCGCATACGAACAAATCAGTCCCTGGTGTGCATTGTTCACAGAAGAAGAATGGGCATCCTACGAATATCATGGCGACCTGTATGATTATTATGGAAATGGGTGGGCAATCTCAACAATCCTTCATATTCACCAGCTCATCTCGTGCTCGTGCAGGTATGGTCAGCAACTGGGACCAGTGCAAGGTGTCGGTTATGTGAATGAGCTCCTGGCACGCTTGACTGGTCGACCAGTGCAGGACAACACACAGACGAACCACACTCTAGACTCATCACCTGTCACCTTTCCCTTAGACAGAACATTCTACGCCGACTTCTCCCACGATAACGAGATGATTTCTATCTATAGCGCTCTTGGCCTCTTCGTCCAACCACACCATCTCGATCCGACTCACCCAAACCCAATGCGTACATGGGTCGAGTCCAAACTTGTTCCCTTCTCAGGTCGTATGACCACGGAGAAGCTCGAGTGCACGATTAACGGGGAGAGAGGCGAGTATGTGAGGATTTTGGTGAATGACGCCTTGCAGCCTCTTCCCTTTTGTGCAGGTACTGGCGATGGCCTCTGTACTCTCGATAACTTCGTGGAAAGCCAGCAGTACGCGAGATCTAATGGTGCTGGCGATTGGGAACTTTGCTCCGACTAGATACTTGTTGAATGGTCAGAGAGGTGCTGCTTGATAGTTGGTCCCTTCATTTCTATCATTGGCCACCAATCTCATGTGAGCTGGTCGCACATGATGGTTATACTCCGCGGATAAATTGTATAACTCCACGTAGTTCTTTTGATGCAAGTTGAAATACTATATCATAGCTTGCACGGAGGGACAGACATACCTGTTCCGTAAGTGGACCGTTAAATACAGCGAGCAAGTAGTCTGCCCTAGAGATACCATAGACGAATGAAGGCAATAGTCATACCTTCTCCGCAAGGCGACCATTTACCTTCAAGTGAATGTCCACATGTAAACCGAGCACAGCGAGAGCAACATATCTTACCATATACATTACCCAACATATAATATGCACCCCAATAATTACACGCCATCGCAATATACGGGGTCTAGGCTATGGAACAATGGCACAGTGTATGCATACAGTGGGATATGTCTCACTGACACAAAACACGTATTATATCTGAGACGGAGCATCAATTGTTTATCACCCCACCCAAAACGATGCAAACCCACCTGTTTATCCCAAACCACAAATTCTATAGCTGAAAATTAAGTGAATCTCTATCCTCGCTCATGACTCTTGCATACTCGAGGAATAACCTGAAGACAAAAAGATTAGCTCCGCATGTGGATATAGGGGGGTCGAAGCCAACACGTCCAATGCCTCATCCAAACGCCTACATCCAACCGCCCTCCCCAACTCCCAACGCCATCCACACACGCGCCACTCCACAAAACTACTACCTAAACCCGACCCTCACTCACCTAAACAAATAAGCAGTCATGTCCTCCCTCCTCCAAAATGCCCTACTCCACTCCCTCCCCCTCTTCGCAATCTTCGCTCCGAGCTCTTCATGCGCCCCTCGGCCTGAGGGGTCACCGCGGAAGAAGAAGAGGGTGTCGTAGAGGTCAGAGTAGTCAATTTGGATGGGGATGTAGTGGACCCAGGGGGAGAGTCGGTTTGTAAACCTGTTGGTGGGGTGGTTGGGTGGAGGCACGAATGGTGTAGGAGATAAGGCAATGTTTGAGTTAGACTCGGACAAGGACACACCATTCAGGGTATATTGTAGACTTGAACACGAGCGAATTGGTCGTCATAAGCCATTTAAACCGACTCGACCACCCATTGCCATCCACCTAGCAAAACAATGTGAGCCCCACGAATAACATGAGAGGATCCAATGATGAAACGTAGTGCACCGAGTTACGAATTACAATCATCTATGTTTACAGATGAGAAACATGTACATCATGATCTTGTCCTCGATATATATAGGATTTTCACCGGACACGAAATTTCGTACTCTAGAGTCCCCTACAGAGATGGTACTTTTGTGCTTCCTACATTGTAGTATCTTTGGGTTTGGCAGCCATCAAGTTGGGAGGGTCGGGTAAAGGAAACAGAACTCCAAGGCATCAGTGAGCTCCTCGCTACCGTTCATGACTAATTTGAATGTCACTGGGAGAGGCAGCACTAGTAACAGTGGTTTCACGATTTACACAAAGCATCATGATCACCTTTGCCACCCTAGTTCGAACGTTCAACGTAAGGTTCAGCTCCAGTGCTGGACTGAGTACTTTGTTTTAGAAAACTAATTATGAGCTAATTCAGGCAATGCACATTGCACCCGTACGCATTCGCCAAGGCAGGCTATCTACATAGTACTTGTCATCTTCGTCCATTTACTTTTCAACATAGTCCTCGGTACTATCACTAGTGCACATCTCTGCCTTGAACTCGACACACTGGGCCGACCCCTTTTACAGCCATGAGTACGCGCATTGCCCTGTACAGAATACCCTCCTTCTCCCTGGCTCCCACTCTGATTCTGCGCTTCATCGCGTGCATCCTTAGTACATTGCATGTACGAAGCTGTGTTCCTTGGTCACATTTGCCACTCTGGTTCTCCTCCAGCGCTTGAAGGCACGCTTCTCCACCGCTACCAAACATCTCTGGGGTCCTTTCGGTGTGGATGCCGTATGGAGTTTGGACTTATTGGCTCTAGGATTGAAGGAAACCGAGTATGGTTGACACACCTCGGCTCTGAATTAATTGAGGCGGAGCTCTCTTCTAGCGTATAAGACATGGTCTCTGAAGATGACTTTTCACTACTTTACGGTTCTCTCAACAGCCCTAGCACCTCTCAATCAAACCCCTTCAACCCCCCCCCCCCTCTTCTCTCAAAATGTTCTCAAAAATGTCTGTTCGCCTCTTCGCTGTTGCCTCTTTTGTCGCTCTCGTTGCCTTCGCTCAGGAAGGCACTGATTCATGCTTCGACGGCGGCCTTTCGTGCTGCAAGAGTATTAACGCTGTATGTTAATGTCTATCTTTGGAGAAAGATGGTTGACGAATGATCATAGGACGACCAGGGCGTTGGCTCAGGCGTGGGTTGTTCCACCATTGATTACCCGGAGGAGTGTTCCAAGGTTCTCGCATGCTGCGATGACGTAAATGTAAGTGCCTCTACAATGGTCCGTGTTGCTCCCTAGTAATGATCACGCACTAGGGCGATTCGGGCACAAACTGTTTTAGCCTCTAGATAACTAGCATGCCCTTGGTGATAATGGGGTTGGAAACTCGTTCATTTGATGTCAGTACCCTTGTTGTGGATGATCATAATACATCATCATCATCATACGCTCTCTGCCTGCTTTTCTAGTCTGCTCATGTGAGATCCTTGGTTGACTTGACTAAGACAAACCGTATCAGGATGCCATTTGCAAAATCACTTCTAGAGACCAGCTATGTTGAGTGGTTCATGAGAGCGCATTTTGCATAAGCGTTGTTATGATAACCACCGAGAACACACCGACCTGTGCAATCACACAGCTCAAGCGCACTGACCACTCAACACCCCAGCGTCTCAAATGTATCGTTATCATCTCAGCATAGATCTGTGTTTGTCTCTGCGTACAAACCACAGCACGAGGAGGGAGAGATCAAATGTTGACTCATGCCCGTAGAGAATTCACCTGAACCCACAATAGGCTTCAGATCGCCTACAGTGTTGTGTGGTCTTCAGATCATCAACAAGGAGAGAGTGCACTGATGAATGATATAGATATGTGGGGGGAATAGAACTGTGAGATATAAAGGAGAAAAGAAAAAGAGATGTTCAGAGTCAACCAGAGCAGAACTCGAGGTTGACTCGAGGATTCTCGAAGACGGCCTATGTAGAAGTCCACGATACCTACAGCATTTCAACTCCAGCATCATATCCTTAGGCCTAAATCTTCTCCTCTCGGTGCCGCGTCCGTGGACTTTTTTTTCCGTATCATGAACTTCTTTCACAGGCTTGTCCGTTTGCGCTCTCCATCATCATGTATACGCGTCACACAACCCATATTTTCAATTAGACACTCACTGAACCTGATGTGCAGTGGAGACTCGATAAGGAGACTCTTGGGCTTCACCTAGTCTAAGATCGGGCCTAGTGGAGGGCAGAATGGTACTGCGTCTCTCATATAACCACAGCCTACCCTCACTAAACCTGACACGCAGCCAGCAAAATATCACTCCCATCAAGTTTCCTAAACTTCGGAGGACAACAGCAGTATCCGGTCTATATGGCATAGATACTACAACGGAATGTTACGCTGTAGCCTTGAGACGAAATATGTAATTCATAATGAACGATATCGCCGAAACGCAGACTCAGCCCTCTCCGCTCCTCCAAATTCTCAACATCCCCCCTCCTCCTTGCCAACAAACAAAATTCCCTCTAAAGCCTCTCAGCTACAGAGATCTGACACGACTATGAAGGATGGAACCACAGGAGGAGGGAGAGCGCTCGGAGACGGTTCGGGGAGGATGAGGATGAAGAGGTGGAAAGGAAACGGCAGAGTATTGCTAGTTTGGATGTTTCGAGTGTTTCAGGGCTTGATCATAGGTGGTGCTTTGTGTGTGTTGTGTGTATGGGATGGGGTTGACTTGCTGTCATTTTAGGGTTGTATTCAGGAGGATTGGCTACTCTTGCAAGTGCGCATTATCAGGTGGTGAGTACATTGCAGATTGCATGTTTCATCAGTGGTTTGGATTTCTGATTGTTTTTTTGATAGGCAGGGATCTAGCGGACCGGTAGCGAGGCTTTGGGGCGTTGTTTTCGACCTTGTCATCTGCCTGTACATGTATGCCCAATCACATCATCGAGCCCAGAATGACTGATTCGATGGCGCTGGTGGTTAATCCCATGTTGCTAAGCGTTCATTTGCATTTACAGTGGGGCTCGGTGTTGATTTGATTCACAGGTACGTCCTTCCCAAGTCATCCACGAATTGTAATAGTGTAGATATTTCGTGCTCATGAGAGCATCTGAATTGCTGTGAGCGCGAGCATTTCATTACGCTCCAGGAGGTCCCCAGCAGCAGGTACTCATGGACGGGAAGGCACACCAAGAAGAAGCTGACCATTCGACAATTCATACCACCATTCAAGGAGGCAGCGGCATATAAAAGACCTCCTTTCTGAGTGTCTGACTGCGGGATTTGAAGCTCTTCAATTCAAACTCAAACTCAAGCAATGTTGTCCGTCTTCACCAGAAACTTAAACTTTCTGACGTAAGTATCTTTGCGTCACTATCGCATTGCTCTCATTACCCGTCTTACAGTTGAATGATTTTGGCAAGGAGTCGACGCTCCTACTCGTCTTCGATGATAATACGCAATACCCCGTGGTTTGGAGGTAAGGACTCTTCACTTTCGCATGCTATGATTTCAAACTTTGCAACACTGTAGAGTCGCCACATTCGAAGCTACGGGTGGGTGTTCTCCCACATCTTTCTTGCCCTGTCGCCAACTTACTTATCACCGCTCGTTCCAGGCTCGCACACTATGCTCGCAACCTACACGAGCTAGTAAGTCTATTTCTGAAAAAGGACTGAAATCGTGCCCATGAACTCATTCTACATACGGACCTGCTTTTTGGTTGTAGATATAGTTGACGCTGAAACTCGCGTCGAGATCAATGTGAGTCACTCTCGTCTACCATGCGATTCCTAGCACGAATGCAAGTCACCATCATGCAGGTCGGCGAACAAACCACCCTGACCGAGAAAGATAGCGTCTTCCGTTTCTCTGTAAGTTTGTGTTTCGTTTATCTGTCTTGACAGCTCACGAATATTTCGTAGAACCCCTAAGGCAGGAGTCGCTGGTTACCTGGAGGCCTGGAATAAGACCGGGTCCATTCAGGACATGGCAATTAGTTTGTGACCAAGAGTTTCTTCTTTTTTCTTTCGCCTCATTGCATCGCCCAACTACAAGGCTTCATGAACCCGGGAGACTTGATGCCTAAGCCGGCACTCTACCTCAACGACATTGGGTATGACATCTTCCCTTTATTTCTCCTCCAGGGCACTCACAATGTGAAACAAAGACGGCATTAACATTGGGGTAACGTGGATTCCGTTCTTGCGCGCCTACATCACCTCGGACTATCAAGAGACCGAGGTCCCATCTAAGCCCCTTCGATCTGGGAGCAAGATCTTACCACGCTTTCTGAGACCACAAGCTGGGATCTCATACGAGACCCAACCTGTGGAATTTACCATATCATCCAGGCTTGATGAAGGGATGTCAAATCGGTGCGCCCAGATAATCGTTGGCTGTTATCTGCAACTCAATGTTCTTCCTCTTTTCGTAGCATCCTCATGTCGCGGAGTATAAGTGCCAAGACTGGCAATAGCTTTGCTAAGAGATGGTAGTACTTGAGTGGTACTTAAGTAGCGGCAGTAAACTTCTGCTGTCTGTGGTGGCGGCCCCGTTTGAGGTTGCTTCCCGGAACTCACCCCGATTTTGGGGCTCCAGCCTGGGACCAAGTCGGTCAGGGTTTACGCCTTGCTTACACTGATCGGGTAATCGGTCATACGATCTCTGCGACGAGTTACGCAACTTCTGGGGATCCGCATATTCCGGTCAAGTACTTATAAATAAAAGCATACGTTTAGCACTTCCTCAGTTCCTGCACACTGGTAGAATACTCCATGTAAGTTCTCCCGCTCTAATAGCGCATCCCCTTATCCAGGAGCTAACATCCCACTGCTACTACGCGCAATATTGTCATGCTTGCATAGCTCTGTTGTGCGAGATTTAGCTAAGAAGAGAACTGGCGAAGATGATACCTCAACTCCTTGAATATGCCCTTTGCAGGCACACAGCATTCGGTTTGCTGATGCCAATGTTAGGCCTGGGATGTAACCCCATCGCTGTTGACTCTCCTATTATTTTGGGGTTGACTATGCAGCAATCGTGGGCTCAGTACTCACCTTACTATCCAGCTGCTAAATATCAGGCTCCCCCTCCAGATTGTAATGTTGTTCAAGTAAGTGTTCATGTTCCACGACTTGAAGCGTTGAAACTTTAGCAGGCAGCAGGTGAACTTGGTGCGCTCGCTGGCATGGTGCTAGGCTCTTTGATAATGATGGATTTTAGTTGCAACGACATGGTGCGCGCTACCCGACAAAGAGCGCCGGGAAGGCTATGAAAAAGAGCGTCAAGCGACTTAAGAGCGCCAAGAGCTTTCTGGATGCCTCACTCGACTTCGTGGTGAACTATACTTATGCTCTTGGAACTGATGACTTAGTCCCTTTTGGTGCTGCTCAGTGAGTGTAATTGTTCTTTTGTTACAGATGGAATTGACCCATCTCATAAGATCCTTCGAAGCCGGTCAGTTACATTATGGTCGTTATGCCAGCCTTGTCAACGAGGACATGTTGCCATTTGTTCGCGCATCTGAATCCAACCGTGTAGTCGATTCTGCGTTGAACTGGACAGCCTGGTAAGGATCAAAGGTGACTTATTGCCGCTCCGACTGACACCGGCTCTAGGTTTTGCTAACGCTAGCAATCAGCAATACACTCCAATACTCTCTGTCATCGTCGGTCAGTCTGTGAGTTGGACAGCATCTCTACCCTGATTCTTTACTGACCAGTAGTGCAGTCGAACGATACTCTCGACGACCACCAGTGTCCCAATATCGGGACTTCGGATGATCAGACCAAAACTTGGTTGGACGTTTTTGCGCCTGAGATCCGTGACCGCCTCAACCATTATGCTCCCGGGGCTGATCTCAAAAAAAAGGATGTTGAGAACCTCATGTCCCTGTGTCCGTTCGAGACTGTCGCATACGAACAAATCAGTCCCTGGTGTGCATTGTTCACAGAGGAAGAATGGGCATCCTACGAATATCATGGCGACCTGTATGATTATTATGGAAATGGGTAGGGAATCTCAACTATCCATCATATTCTCTAGCTCATATCGTGCCCCAGGTATGGCCAGCGACTGGGACCAGTGCAGGGTGTCGGCTATGTGAATGAGCTCCTGGCACGCTTGACTGGTCGACCAGTGCAGGACAACACACAGACGAACCACACTCTTGACTCGTCGCCTGTCACTTTTCCACTAGACAGAACATTCTACGCCGACTTCTCCCACGACAATCAGATGATCTCTATCTATAGCGCTCTTGGGCTCTTTATCCAACCACATCTTCTCGATCTGACTCACCCGAACCCAATGCGCACGTGGGTTGACTCCAAACTCGTTCCCTTCTCAGCTCGTATGACCACGGAGAAGCTCGAGTGCACGATTAGCGGGGAGAAAGGCGAGTATGTGAGGATTTTGGTGAATGACGCCTTGCAGCCTCTTCCCTTTTGTGGAAGGTACTTGCGATGGCCTCTGTACACTTGATAACTTCGTGGAAAGCCAACAGTACGCGAAAACGAATGGCGCGGGCGATTGGGAACTTTGCTTTGACTGAATGCTTTGTTGAATGGTCACGCGATAACGAGAGGTGCTGCTTTATCTGACCCCCTTTGTTTGTTCCGCGGATAAATGATATCACTCCGTGTAGCTTTGAATCCTGATGATGCAAGCTGAAAAACATTGCCACTGGCCCTTCTTCTTACTTCTCCATTTCTCCCTTAACCCGTGGGTAAGATATTATTATTTCTTATTACATGCGCGTCATGACTTGCATGCATGCCTGTCACCTGTTATTGAAGTACTTAGGAGTAGGTCGCCAAATATAGTGAGGTTGCAAACGTGTGCACGCAGTATTAGTTTGTACATACTTAAGCGACCGTGTCCTCGAGCCTTAAGGCTATTTTTTCGACGATGGACCCACTGGGACTGTCATAGCCATGACCAACAAAACCACCGAGTACCCGCTCGCCCTGCCATTCGCCACCAAGATTGCCTATGAAGACTCTGGTTCAAAATATTATCGCATACCCTCTAGTTATTTTTCAGTCAGGAAAGCAGTTTCAATCTCGCTCGCATTCCTGATAGTGGTGCTATTTGAACGTTTCCGGCTGGGCTCGCGACTTGTATCGGAACACAACAGTCTTGTTCTTTCTAGCGAGTCACAGCGATTTTGGGGACAATACTCTCCATACTATTCCGTGGAGGAATATGAGCCGCCTCCGAGTGGATGTAGCGTGACGCAGGTGAGTGCATTTGCTCAGACCTAGTCAGTCTTTCTTAATCACTGCTCGTATCATTATAGGTCAACATTGTAAGTAGATCCTTGTCACCACGAGTTTTTCTCTCAAACTGTCTCAGCTTCAGCGTCATGGCGCACGATATCCGACCAGTGGCTCGTCTAAGGAAATCCAAGCAAGTTTGCGGAAATTGCTGAACGCTTCGAGGTACAACGACATGAAACTGGAATTTCTTCGTTCATACCAATGGCACCTTGGTGAAGCTGATCTTGTGCCGTTCGGCGCTACGCAGTAAGACTATTACTTATCATCTCAATCCATTCAATCCCTTCCAGCCTATGATAATATACATGCTTAAGGATCTGTTTTAGGTCGTTTCAATCGGGTGCAGAAATATACCTTCGGTATGGGCATCTCATCGACGATGACACGTTACCATTTGTCAGAGCGTCTGGAGGAGATCGCGTAGTGAAATCCGCTGTTAATTGGACTGCAGGTAACCGCATCGTTGAAGTATGAAACTCTTTCCTAAACAATGCAATTCCAGGCTTTTCCGATGCAAGTGGACAGCTCTATCATCCAATAGTCTCAGTCATAATTCCCGAGACAGAGATGGTAGGATGCATCCTGATCGAACTTTGCGCACGGCTCATCTGCGTTCCTTTTTCTAGTCGAACAATACCCTGGAGGATCATATGTGTCCCAACTCCCGAGTATCAGAAGATGAAGCGAATGTGTGGCGGGATATGTTCTCGGTTCCGATCGTACACCGTCTTAACACAGCTGCTGTTGGAGCCGAGATTCTCAGCGAGGATATACCGGGGCTAATGTCCTTATGCGCATTCGAGACTGTCTTCGAGGAGAAAACTAGCCCATTTTGCGACCTCTTCTCTCTAGAGGAATTCCAAGCCTATGAATATTATCAGGACCTGCTGAAATATTACAAGACAGGGTGAGTAACTCACCGACAAGTCATTTTGATGCTCACGTCTGCAACCAGGTATGGAAATCCTCTGGGTCGCGTGCAAGGTGTTGGTTACGTGAATGAACTACTTGCGCGTCTCAGGGGGAGGCCTGTTGAAGATCGCACGCAAACCAACTCGACCCTTGACTCATCGCCGATCACGTTCCCGCTTGATAGAACGGTCTACGCCGACTTCTCTCATGACAACGAGATGGTCGCCATCTACGGTGCACTCGGACTGCTCCCCCAGTCGTGCCCTCCTAACCCCACAAAGGCTGACCCGCGACGGACATGGGTGGTTTCTCGTCTTGTGCCTTTCTCTGGACGGATGATCACGGAAAAGGTGCAGTGTTCCGAAGGCGGGACATCAGGAGATTTTGTTCGGATTCTTATCAACGACGCCATTCAACCCTTGGAATTCTGTGGTACTAGGTGATGGACTTGTGTAGGCTGGAAGCATTCGTGGAGAGTCAAGTCTATGCTAGACACAATGGCGCTGGAGATTTTGAGAAATGTTTTCCAGAATAGATCGTGACCCCCTTTTAAGGGGTTGATATATTACTGTCTCGGCTGACGTAACCTCGTGTGTTCTTGGATCGAAACGACCATCACCTCCGATTCCCAGTCTTTCATTATGCCTCAGCTTTACAGGCGAGAACCACCGATTAATGACATGGAGCATCCAGATCACTTGGAACCAACAGATGCGGACGATTCCATCATCCTCTCAGATCTTGTTCGTAGCGGCGAAGCGTCCAGATTGCGGAGAAGAGGTGCAATGCGACTTGATCATAATGTTGTGAACGCCCAGCGTGTAGAAGCTGGACGTACAACCCCACCAGTAGTGAGGGTGGAGAGGTCACCCTCGTGGATTGAATCTCCCAGCGATGATGAGGAGTCAAGCCAGACTTGGGAGCAAGGCTACGAAGCGCCGCTGTCGCCGCAGACGGACACGATAGCTGCAGGAGGGCCAGACCCATACTGCCACATATTATTTTGCGGTGGGGACGACGAGAAACCATTTATAAATAGGCCCTCGGTGTGTGCTCAATCACCGCTACCGTCATATCCACCGCCATCGCATCCAAGTGGCTATCAGGCACCCAGATGGCAAACCAATGGATGTGGAGCTGTCATCCATATGCGAGCTTCACGTCGGGATAACTCTAGTGTGTGGATAGCTAAGAATGAGGCGTCATCTGCTGTAGTTCCATTGGATACATCATACTTCGAACGTGCTGCGGTTATCCGAATGGTCCGCAGCGCGTGTGGCTGTCTTCGTGAAGGCGTTGGATGTGCTATATGGTAGGCCCTAAGTTTACAGATGACTTTGAATACATCTGACTGTGTTTCAAGCGGAAATCCGTTAGGGTCTCGGTATAAACCATGCCAGGCTGCAGCGGAGGGTCTCTTTGCTTCTCGTCATCACCCGAAGGGTCCTCTGACTCCTGAAGGTCCTAGGTATTGGCATGCGCACTCATCACCTCTGCAGCATGCACAAACCTATGTGTATACCTTTTTCGCTGAGAATGTGACGTCTGCACCGACGCAACACATGACGGCTGGGGACGACTGCCCGTCTCCCGCGCTACAACAAGATTTCCTGTCTCCTATCGACAACCCATATTCCTACACATTTTTTGATCGCATTGTCACCGCTTCCCCTTCACCCATGTCGAATCGTGGGCGTGATAGCCCCGACTCGGATGTTTCATCGCGCATTGAACCACAGTTTGATCCAGACGGTGTGTTCATTGCTGCCGATCCTGGATCACCGGACAAGATAGGCGCCGGTTTGACTCTTCTCCCTGAACGGTAATACCTCTCATGATGAACTCCTCGTTCAGCATTGATATTTTTGGCGACATCGGACGCTCCTCCCGCTCATTTTCGCATTTTTAATGTATCTTATTGGATCTGCTATCATTACCCAAAATCTATCTACATTCTTATCATCACATCATGCACGCGTCATCTTCTTCTCTCCCATCGTGTTCCACCATCTTGTACAATTTCATACATATCCATGCACGACAGTGATATGAGTTCAAGGTTCCTTGTGAGACGATATATTCTTACCAAGATATCTATTATGTAGAGGCTAAGTTGGATCCACACTCTTTGTAGCTGTATTCGACACCAAGAGCCACCACAGAATACGAGTTTGCGTGACGGGTGCGTACTAAGTTAAAGCATTAGTAGGGGCAGGACCTCAAATAACTCCAATAGAGAGATCGATATAATAGCGAAACTCGGCGCAAGCGAGCCATGTTTCTAGGTAATGAATCCCTACAAAGAAGCAATTTGGGGAACGGTTGACGAGGGCTGGTCGTCGTGCTTGACAGCGAAAGTTGCCAGGTCACGCGATCGCGATGTTCATCTTTAGACGTCCCTCTGCAGGGCTTTTGTCCCCATCTCCACCCAGAAGTGTCTCTACTTTCCCGTACGGTTGCTCGCATGTCTTCAAGCGACGTCTACCCAAGCTGCCCAACCCGGTTGTTCCCTATTTCCCTCAACGTGTCCTTTGTGCAGATGGTTCATCATACATGCAATGGACAACATCACCCCGCTCACGAATAACATCGACGCGCGATACAACAAAAAACCCTCTTTAAAATGCTACCCAACGTTTGAGCGGAGCGGTCGGCGAGGGAGGTATAGAAGATGAAGAGCAGGAGGGCACTGGTTGCCTGGGCCGTTTCAGGAGAAGATTCGGACAGGAAGTTGGTGTGGGACTCCGGAGAGTGGACTGAGCTTCAAGAAGGTATTGAGGCTGAACTGGAACGTCCCCTATGCAAAAGCAAAAAGCTACCCCGAAGAAATGAAGGCGTCCGAGTCGGTGCCTTATCTTTCGTTGGGCTCTTCAGGTGCGTTTGCCTTTAGAATAATAAAAAATACCGTCTTATCCGAATCTTATTGGTGTTTTGCAGTTTCTTGCTACTTCGTTACATGCCTGCTTTAGTTGGCACATATCATTTTATCAGTTGCCATGCATGTACGTTTTCATCCTCAAAAGACACTCGTGTCCTCGATTTTGGTAAAGTCTCTCACCTCGGCGAGGCATTTTGAATCGCCGCCAGCTCATCCTGATCCCATCTTCTGATCAAGTGACACGACATCTATTCGATTTGCTGAATTTTTACTACTGTAGTATGTGATATGACGGAGTCGGAGAACGGAGGGCTTCTGTACACTGATTGGAGACCTTGCAAGACTCCTAGACGTCCACTAATGTCGTCGACCAGGCGAGCAGTTTCGAAAACGCATGCTGTACAGCCTTTAAGCTTTCCTCTTGATCGATGGCAATGGTAATACAATAATGATCTACTAGCGATCGTCCGCCCCTGGCCATCACTGGAATCAATCCTCATTCAGGAACGTACAAGTCTCAGATTGGAGGCCCATATTGCCCTACGGTCGAGGTACTGAATCCTCATTGCGGCTGCCGCTGTAACAGTGACTGGTAATTAAAAGAGATCTCCATGTGCAATGACCAGCTTAAAACAAATGCAGAACGTACCGGATTGAATCCCTACACAACCGGAGTCCTGGAACCAGTGCACCTAGGTCCCCGCCCGGATGATATCTACGCTGGATCAAACATTTGTTATTACTGTTGCAAAGGACGGAGGCTGTCCGCGGCGTCACAATGCCGCTAACGTATGTCGGTCGCCCGACAAGGAGGTGAATGGGTTTATGCAATGGTGACTGGCGGCGATAAGTTACCGACACGTGGAATTGAATTTTGACGGTATGTTTTGCACTTGACGCGGTACTAATTTAAGATTGTATTTCCGACCTCGGTTTCGTGCTCCTCCCAGTGCTCCGCCCATCGTGTTACTGATTTGAAACACCCCTATGGCCATAGTTAGTCGAAGCCATAACTGTTTCCCCTTGAACATGGATCGACATCTTGTGGGTATGGGGTCTCTTTAAATCACCCTGAATGTCAACTTATTGACACCGTGCAATGATGATTTAATGCGCTATGCAGTGCCGGTACCATTTGACACGCAATGTCGCGACAAACAATGCGACCTTGGGTATAAAACTGCCCAATTTCCTTATCATATAAGCAATACCCGCAGGAAAGCATCTTTGAAATCCCTCGTAGTCAACTCCATTTTACGTCATGAGGTCCTTCGAGTCCATAGCCATCATCGCTGCAGGGATTTCTGCTACTTTTGCTCAGACAATCGAGCTTGGGACTCCTAAAAACGGGGAGAACTTCTTTCCCGGCCAGGAAGTGACTGCTCAGGTCATCCAACCGGTCGGTAGTTCGGTTTCTATCTCAACATCATGCCTCACTCTGACAGTGGGTATAGGAGTCCATGGCGTCTTGCATTCAGGTTGGCATTGCCTTGGCAATCAATAACTGCGCGAACGACATCTGCCCCGCCCCCGCAGATGCGTTAGGATCCGTGCTTTATGCTGGCTCTTGGACCCCTGAGAACCACCAAGTTGGTGGTTCCTACCAGAACTTTACTGTCACTCTCCCCTCTTACCTTGCAGAGGGTCCTGCTATCTTCACGCTCACGCATCTGTGTCTTCTTGGGGTACGAGGACTTCAGTTTATGGTCTTGGTTTATCATCTGAGGCTGATTTGATAGGCTGCTCCGTACCCGTTCCTTGAATATCGCAACGCAACAGTAAACATCGTGGTGTGAACGATGGACACTGAAGAAGGATTTTAAATGATATGAAATCACATGGATTTATTTACTGAACCTGGACTCGTAGTTTGTGTCTTCCTTACTTATGTTGATATCGCATGGAAAATATGTTGTCCGTTGTATTTCATTCGTTGCGCAGAACGCGTCTTGACCCTTGAGCAACGTAGTAAATATCTGCGGAGTCGCTGCGCAGGCGTTACTACATGTTTACGGTATGGAAGGTCCTTTGGATCAACAACTTTGTTGAACTTATTTATGTCCTGCTTCCTGACCCGTTTAATGTTTTGAAGTATCAAGGGCCCCCGAATGGGTGATGGAAGTAAGTTTCTGCCACTGAAGTAAACCTATTGCGCTCTCCTTCGCCGTTAGTCACAGACACATGTATATTTTATGAGGGTAAGTTTATCGTGTCTCAAAAAGAGTAGGAGTTGTCCTCGGAGTAGAAAAACTCGAGAGGACTATGCCCTTTTCCGCCCGCCCCTACATCTCCCGCGAGTCAGTAGTACTTGAGTAGTATGCGTGCCAAGACTCGGAGGCAAACTTAGACTTCACCCAAACTTCTTGCCGAGCGGTGGTTGAAGTTTTTCCTGCTGCCGTATTTGATCCGTCCAGACTCCTGCATGGGGACTTGCATTTCCCCCCGATAATGCTACTATCTCTGGCCCAGAGTTGCAAAACTTTTCGATGTTCGCGTGATAGCTCAACAACAACACAATATTTAAAAACGGCGACAACAGGGGGACGTAGGATTCAGTTCAGGCTTCAGCGCTATGTAAAACACATTTGCAAATTTGTTGAGGCTACGTTGCCAGAGAGAAGCCGGCGTGAACGGTGTTTGAGCACAGAGTTGCAAAATTTCTCACCTGCACAGAATTGATCAGGCCACACTGTATCACACTGCCGTTTTTACTCTCCGACGCCGTCAAGTGTTGATCGAATGAAGTAGGGCGTTGGATGCCGAGCGGAGCTTGATGACTCCGACCACCAAATCACTCCTCCTGTCATGCCCTGTGTCTCGACAGTACAACATTTGTGTCGCACAACACAGCTAGGTTTTTGTGTCGGAAAAAATTAGAGCAGTGTTAGAGGGTAATGAGGAATCATGCGTAAAATTCCTTATTTTTTTTAGGTCGATGCGATGGCTTCCCTGTGATGGATTGGCGTGGAAAGTACACTTTCTGAGCAGTGTTTTACTCCCGCAAGCACTTCTCGTCCATTTTTTGTGAAATAAAAAATACAGACAGTGAGCTATGCATTTATAATCCTTCAGAATCATTGTGCAAAGAAAATGAGCGAAAGATGAGTGTGCTACATCGCATTTTGCAACTCTGGGCCAAAGATAGTAGACCTCGCTCAAACCCATCGACATCAGCATGACGTGACATTTTTGTGACTCTCTGTTACACTTGAAAACTTTGTGGTCACTGGCAGTGCAACAAAGGTGCAAATGCAGAACAGATAGATATAAAGGCTCCCATGCAGGCCATACTAGTGTAGTAATATACATCACACCGCCGCTCTGGGTGAGTGTGTACTAATTTGTGCTGTTAATAGAAAACAGCGATTTTTTCGACCTAGATCCCGTGTCCGGACAAACCCCCACTCCTAGACGGACCCAGCGCCGCGTCCGGACATCTTTGGCTCCCTGGGGATCTGGGTTCTATGGGCATTATCCGGGCTCCTGATGGACCGCAACGCAGTCTGGTATGAACAACAAGCAAAAAGTATAAACAAAGACAAATTTCCTATCTAGGAAAAAAAGTAGCCGCGGAAAAACTCGCAGTACTCCGCGAGCAACAGTTGCATCCTCCATTACAAAGTCTAATGTCCCGAAAAAAATCAAGCAGCTGCTAAGTACATACTACCTGCACAACGATTACAATATGCTAATCTGACCAGCGACTGGTGCTAGTCAATAAACCCACACAGTAAGGTACAATCCTCTCAACAATTATGGTTATGACGGTCGACTCTCCCCTCTCCCAGATAAAAAAGACGAAAAAGCAAGTTCACTACTCAAAGGTGCAAGTCCCAGCTTCGGATTTGGAGGAGGTTCAGCTGCAACGGGTGATCCCGGCGTCTCCCCTAAACGCGAGCCCAGACTGGGAAACTACCAGTTTGAAAGGCAGACAAGTCTGGTTTGCTGTCGAAGACCCCTAAAGTCGGATAAATTTTGGGAGCAAATAATGCTTGATTGGCAGCATACCTAGCTTGCGAAGCCATCGCTGACGAACTTGATGATACCCCCTCGATGGCAACGCTTTCTGGACCAAGTCCCATTTCTGTCCGTATTTCGCGACAGCCTACCAAAACGTGTCGGTAATCCCGCCACTGTATTATCACAGAACACGAACCTGAGCAAGCAGATCGTCCTCCTCCTTGCTCCACTTGACGTAAGGACTTCGCTGCCTCTTCGGGACATCTTGACCCGCAACCCTGGTGACTTCCTTGTTCTTCATGATCGCCACGGACCCCGTTCCAGTTGGGGGATCGGGGCTTGATCCGGTGTTATCAGCAACTAAATCAGCGCTTCCGGCGTCTGTGTTTCCAGGAGCAGTCTCATGTCGCATATGTACTTGTAGATCCGACGGGGCATCTCCCCAACTACTGCTGATCGGGGTCGTGACTGCTCGTTGATGTAGTGCAGACGACGGGGCTACAGCTTCTGTGGCTGTAGAGTTTTCATGCTGGGCGAGTGGAGGTACGAGGAATGGATCAATGGACACGGACTGACTGGAGGGCGCATCCACATTGGGAGCAGGAATGGGTTCGGCGGGGGGTATAGGCGGAGGTGTAGGCAAACTGCTGGGAGGATCATACATCACTTGATCAGCCGACTCGGGTTGCGCAGGAGGGGTAGGCGATATTATTCTCATAGGCTGAGGGGAGGTTGGCGCCGGGGAGGTCTCGCTCTCACGGATAGAACCGTGGTGTGTGGACGAAACTTGGATGAGTCCCTCTGGCCATTGGACTGGACGTAGATTTGGGGGTCCAGAACCCCAGTCAACTGCATTTGCTCGAGGCAATGGCGAGGGGCGGCGGGACCGGGGAAGTTGGGGCGCAACTTCAGGTGCGGACTGCTTCCTCTTCGACTTGCTTTTCCCTCTCAGCTGGTTGTCGGGAGATTTGTCAAGAACAACGGGAGGCATCTCCTTTCCTTTACCCTTAGCCAATGATTTAGGTTCCAAATGACTCTGTTGATCTTGCGAAGAGAAGGCGGCGGCCTGGTCGGCTAGTACGTCCAGCCCTGATCTAACCCTGCCAATAGCGGCAGCTGAATTGGAGCCAGCTGGAGCTGAGCTGCTGCTTGGCTGTCCTGCACCTTGATCTCTCGCTTGGCCTCTGAGCGCACTGACCTTGTCCCGAGGGGCTATTTTCCTGCGTTTTGGTACGGGACTGTCAGGGATGTCGCTGGACCGCGATCGCCTTGTGCCAGTGACAGTTTCTTCCTCATCTTCCTCATTATCCATCATTGACCTTGCCGCACTCAAAAGCGAGTCTAGAGGTGTTGGTGGGTTCTGTGTACGTGCGCCCTGCTGCTGCTTCTGTTGGTATGTGGAGGAAGATGCTGAAGCCGCTGTCTTAGAAGAGCTTGGGGTTTGGAGCATATGGTGTGGATATGCCGGAACGATTACCGGCACAGCACCTTGGCGCATAGGATTATTAAGATAGGCGTATGGCCCAGGGGGAACAACTGCTGTGCGCTTCGGTGTCTTGGGGGTAGCAACAACGGTTGAAGTTGATCCCTCCCGCCTGCTATCTAGGGTTTGTGTGAGGTCCAGCCATGATACCCGCCCGCTGTTTTCCAATTCTCTTCGCTGCTAACAGCAAGTGCTCTGTTCTTGCATCCGCAGTCAGAACTCGCGGTGCATGTTTTTGAGGGTGCCGGCGCTTGTGAGGATGAAGATGGAGACCTGCTGCTGTTGTACGAGTTTTCGGCTTTGGAGTTGTTATAGGCGTATCCTCAGGGTCTACTGGATGGTCATCGTCAGAAGCATCGGCGCCAGGGTCCTCGTCTTCTGTGGTTAGTATATACGTGTTCGTGTCTTTCTTTCTCCTCCGGCGTGGTCGAACCCTTGGTGCTTGATTCGGTGCGGTGGGTCCATTTAATGCAACAGGTTGCATGAGAAGTAAGGGGCGCAGGCGGGATAGTTCGCCTTCGAGGATGGAGAGACGCGATTGTGTTTCATGAACCTGATAGGGGTATCAGCGATAGAGGTGTATGGTGGAAGAACAAGCTCACTCGTTGGCGGAGGCTTCGATTGTCTGCTTCAGTTAAAGCATGTTGTCGTTCGAGGTCCTGAATCATAGTCAGTCTCCAGTAAATCATAGGAAGGGGGGCGCAACGGTCTTATGGCCAGCAGCGCTATGACCGAGTGACTTGCATGAAACGCATCGAAAGTGATTTATCAATACGGCTATGCCGTCTTGCCAAACCAAAATCGTTGGAAGGAAAGGAAAATCACTCACTTCATCTCTGTCGGCTGCACTCCTGTTTTTTGCTTGCTGTGCAATAAGTGCTTCGGCCATCCGGGCCCAACCATCCTTCTCCGAGTTCCATCGCAATCTTTGCTCCTCTGCCTGTCGCACGAGCATATCAGCGCTGGTCAATTAGGCAGGATATAATTTCGGCCTGTCTAATGACTTGCTCTGGGTCAGGATGCACGGTGCGAGGCTGGTTCGCCACCTATAGATATGGAAGACAAGTCCAGGGTCCCGTGATAATATTGAGTGGGACATAACGTACTATATCAGGTAGCTCCTTCTCCTTCCCACTAATATCCCCCATATTCGTAACATCCATGCGCATTTCTTGGACGTCAGCATTATTCTGTGGCTCCGGAGATGCGGTTTTGGGGCGGAGGGGTAGTTGAGGGTCATCCAGTATTGCGAGTGGTGGCGCCGGGGAGGGGGACATGATATGGACAAGGTCATCGAGAGCAAGGGGTGGGTATTCATTACTCATCATGACAGGCGGTGAGGGGCCTTGCCAATACGGGTCGTCCTCGTCGTGGGTGACGATGAGCAGGAGTCGTCGGTCGCAAGAAATCAAAAAGCCAAACAACGCCAACCCAACGCGCGGTGCCCGTCACGTGATCTGTCGGAGTTGCAGCTGCATAAGCTGTGGTCATGTGATATTTGACCCCCTTGGTCATATTGACTTCGACCCCTCCTTCCTGTTTCGGAGACGTCCTGCGTTTTATGACTTACGTGTTTAATTACTGATACATAGCCCCATCTTGTACATATCCTCAACATCCTCAGCGACGATGAGCTCAACCTCATTTCACCGGCTTACCCGGTCGTTGCTGGTCCTTCCTCCGCTGTTTCTCACTGTCTACCTCTTGGCCAGCTTCCCGCGGCCACCTACGGCACCCATCGTCCATACATCCCTAGCGCACCTCCCGAGCTCATCGCCATCGTGGAATGTATACCCAGAGGACTTTTATACTGGAGGCGCATATGCGAACCTCCCTCTAGGACGGGCACGTACTTTGCTAACATTATTCTCATGCTGACGTGTTGATATATAACCCAGGTGCGGTATTGGCTCATAGGACCGGAAGACGGACGGAGGGTGCGTATCCTTGTGGGCGCAAGTATCATAGACTGATCAGTGCTGCTAGGTTGTTCTTATACATGGTCTCTCCATACCGGCTATCGTCTGGAAAGACGTAGCGCCTGTACTTGCCTCGCAAGGATATCGTGTACTTCTATATGGTGTGTCATTGTCTTACAATGTATGTTACGCTTGTCACTGAACTCACTGATACTGTAGATTTGTACGGTCGCGGTTACTCGGATGCCCCCCAAGTAACTTACGATACCACCCTTCACACCACCCAGCTTGCGCTCCTTATGCAACATATTAAATGGGACAATGCATTCATTATAGGATTGTCGATGGTAAATCCTGTCTTCTTACGTTGATATGCCGGCTAATTTTTGGATGTGAACAGGGAGGTGGCATTGCAACTGCATTCTCAGTTCACTTCCCTCACCTTGTAAATGGAAAAGTCGCTCTTGTTGCTTCAGCAGGTATCATTGAGGTAATTGACAACCAATACAGCAAATGTGTCCGCCTGACTTGCATCTCACATAGTCGAGCGATCTTTCTCGCACCGCCAAATTCATGTCATCTCCGCTCGTGCAAACTGTGTCTGCCCTCCCACCTTTCCAAGTAAGCTTGAGGTATCGTTCCCTTCTCTCCCGTCTGACTTTGACGTAGCATTACATGCGTCTCCTTGCGAATACCTCTAAATCTTCTGAACTTCTTGAAATCAATCCGATACAAGAAGTCTGTTTTTTCCTGCTACCTATTGCACAGTCACTGAGCGTCGCTCCCTCTTAGATCGTCCGTCTCCAATCCGCTCATCTTCCTCACTACAATGCTGCCGTGGCATCTTGCCTTCGCGACGGCCCTATCCGTGGCCTACATTTAGCATTCCAGACACTCGCACGCTCTAGCAACCAGGTGTTGCTCATTCATGCAAGACTTTTTTTGATCGATCTGCCGCTATGACACTGACTTTTCCATGAAGGGCACAGCGGACAAGACTGTCCCCTATAAATATGCTTTTCAGATACGCAACATTGTGCCACCCGCCGACCTCGTCACCATCAGTGATGGTGGCCATGATATCACCGTAACTCACGCATCGGAGGTGAACGCCGCGCTACTTCACTTCCTCTCTGACGAATACTCGTACAACCCTCGCAAATGAGCGTCACCTCAATGATATACAGGTACACATCCTTTCCTTTGATATTGTATCTGTTTTCGCACCCACATGCTATCGCTAGTCATCTTATTCGAACACTATTCCATCGTAGTCTTGCATTATTCTGGATACCATGCCCATCCCCCGTTATCGCATTCAATCCTTGTCGATTGTTATCGTCGCTATTCGTCCGCGTTACACTGTACCTCTCCCCTTTTGGATTACTGTGGAAACCTACAAGCTTTAGTGTTTTTGATGGGAAGTTCTGAAACGTGAGAAGGTAAAGTGATGTCATATTTGATGCTCGACTGGACTTTGGCTGCGCTGGTGGGCTACGTGTGTCCGATAGTAATACAGCGCGTGTCATAATAAGCATGTTCATACACAGTTGAGCTGCAGGCAGCACACCTATTTGTAAGACTATCTACGCAGAGTCATCCAGTACAGGTATAGGCCACAGGACGTGGTCTACAGAGAATTTAATGACATTTAATATTTCCTTCTTCTTCACATCACGAACTTCATTGATCGCGTTTCCAAGATGAAGTTTGATCGCTTCCCGCAGTTCATTTGCTGCCTCATCAACTCTACTCAGATCTTCTCCGGCATTGGTTGGGTAGAATTGGAATGGGGGAGCAGCTTTACCATCCTGGAAGGGTTCCTCAACCATGACCTCGGCTATGGGTGTCATGATATCGATCATGATCGAATGCGTGTTGCTGATGAGGGCGCGCCGAAGAACAAGGTTGCTAACTTGCCAGGTCTTCTGGATCGTGATGAGCAAGTAGCAATAGGCTGCGTTTGATGCAAGTGCCAGCTAATATAGCATTACTTTCAAGGACATAGAGTGAATGAGCAATTCAAATGCTCACCTCATACACGAGCTTGTTCTCCTTGTACATCTCGGCCTTTGGCGAGTTCGGCACAGCGTGACATTCCCACTCGGTGCGCCTCTTGTAAAGATCAAGGAACATTTGGTAATGTGCATCCTCGACTCCAACACTACCTTCACCTTGATCTATAATGATCTTTAAGGCGTTGTGTGCGGACTCTTGGTCAGTCACCTCAATCATCTTGTCAGCGAAAAATTCCTTCGGCGAAAACTGCAGGTTTTTGTTCTTGAAAGTGACATAGCGTGCAGACTTCTTGATCACTTGAAACAGTACTAGTTGAGGAGTGGCTGGTGAAGGGAAGCCGGGGACGTACTGTCTTCAAGCTTGGTATAGAACTCTCCGATGCTTTTATAAGTCTCGAGGGCGCCCGCAGCCGGGAGAGCAAGAAAAGAGACGTTAACGTTCTCTTCCTCTTCCGTGAGTTTTGGCGGCGCCTGGTAAGGAGCTTCAATCTGACATGCGCATCAAGGACTGGTTCTGCTATGAGACGGGAGTCAAGTCACCTTCAAAAAGCATTCGAGATTGCTTTTTTCACAGCGTTCAAGTCTGAGAGGAATTTGCGATTGAAGAATGACATCGGCTGGACCGCCGTAGGTTGGCAGGAGTCCAATAGAGTAAAGTTGGGGCCCGGATTCGATTGATGTAAGGAGATTTCCGGCGAGTGCCAGGTGTAACATTTCCTGGTGAACAACGACTGAAATCGAGTTACAAAAAGCCATCAAAAGTAAAATTTGACGGTTACCTGAAATTTTGGCCCTCGCCTGGGTTCCGCCTTGCCCATCATCTTTGATGATGCTGTATATTGAGTAAAGATACAGCTAGATTTAAAATGGTGTAAAAGGTGTTCTTTGATCAAAGCAAGCGAAAATGTCGTACTGGGATAGTTGAAAGCTCGACCTTTACGGCGTTGCGAAGCATTGTCACGAGTGTAGACTTAAACTTCTGTCTAGATGCCTCTGATGGCAGCGAAGTGATATTCATCGTGAAAATAAGTGGCGGAAGTAAGGATGGGGATGGGGTGTGATGGTGGTCAGCATTCCCAAGTCGAAGGGATCTGCCTTTATGTTGAAAAGACGAATCAAATGATGCCGTCCTCAAACATGCGATTAGGTACCACTTACTACTTCAGCATTGAAGTACGCGATGTGCTTCAGCTAATAAGGGGTAGAATCTTGGATTTCCTCGGAGACATACAATTATTAACACACCCTGTCTATCGACATACAAGCGGAGGAGGGATGGCGCCGGACGCCACATAGCCTAGAGCTCAGGCCCAGGACGGCAGGTTTCTGATACTGAGTCAGTGGATCAGTCTGGACTCTAGGGATGACTCTGCGATTAGGTACCACTTACTAGTTTAGCATTGAAATACGCGACGTGCTTCAGCTAATAAGGGGTAGAACCTTGGATTGACATACAATTATTAACACACCTATCTATCGACCCACAAGCGGAGGAGGCATGGGGCCGGATGCCAGATAGCCTAGAGCTCAGGCCCGGGATGGAAGGTTTCTGATACCGAGTCAGTGGATCAGTGGGGATGACATCGGCGATTCGGTGTATCTTATATCCGAGTCCGCTAGACATATTTTAATTTAGAGCTGGGGCTACTAAGTAACGGACGAACGGAAACAAGAAATTCGTTTCGAAGTTTTATGCAGAATCGCAGATTTCTTCTGTTAGTTACACTACCCAAACCAAGTTCATGTCGACGCCTGATAGTGGAACCAACTTGCCAATAGAAAGGTGATGTTATTCCCCGGACGTACGGGGGCTGAGTTTGGTGCCACAAATTAGTACTCCCACGGTGAGTTCTCTCCTCTCTCCGGCCTACATTTTGGAGCGGTTTCTCTCATAAGCTAATTGCCAGGATAAGTATGTATCTCCTGTGAGGATCTTCCAGGGAGCCGACACATGACGCCAAGCGGTCCTTAGTATGTCACCTATGTGTTATTTCAGCTGAACCAAGTGAAAAAGAGGTCAGTGCCAGACGGTTGGACCAATCAATGATACATTCTGTGGAAACTTCCTAGGGAGCTGACGATGCCCATCTGTCCTTAGTATGTGCCGAAGCCTTGAATCACTGAAATCGTTCCTATGTGCTACTAGTTCCAGCTGAACCAAGTGAAAGAGGTACCAGGAGTGCCAGACGGTTGGACCTTTCCGCTGACAGCGGCTCAGCTCTCAATATTTGGTCCGGTGGTCCTGACGGTACGTACCTTCATCTATTGATCCGGTTAGGGCCTTGAAGGTTACGAACGAGCCATCCATATGGCACCATATCTCCGCATTATCAATGTCAGTTTGAATTCAATCACAAACGCAGCGCCCTGTAAAACCTTGTGAAGGGGGGTATCATGGTCTAGGCCGTTCTCTAAACTGTGGACCTTCCGCGGACATTCATCCCTGGTCAACTCTCACTGAGGAAAAGTATAAGTAGTGTATACCGTCATTTCTTCTCAACTCATCCTCCGAATCATGTCTTTCGATCCCGCTGACATATCATACATACAAATATTCCCTCCCATAGGCATTGCTCGCCTGGGAGACTCTGGGTTCGATCTGAGCACCGGAAAATTAGATGGCGAGATCGAGTGGTTCCTCCCATCTGAGATTCCTGGCGCTGAAGATATGCCTGCTGATCTCAAAGGCCAGTTCAGAGATGCAAACAAGCGCATCAAACGTCAGGTAACACTGGGTTGTTCGCGTCTCATTAAGGATCGGTTTACATTGAACGTGTTGCACAGGCTGTTCGATTCCGTGTCTACGCCTATCGCAATGATGGCACAATTCTTGGAGAAATTACATCAGGAAACGACACAGGGTACAACATCACCTGGAGTGTCCACGTTGCTAATCACAAGGGTGCATGGCACGAGTTCTCAGGTATGTCCCGCGTACATGTGACTCTCTAGACGTCGTTGATACTGATTGACTAGGCGAGTATCAACCAATGAAGGGCCTTAGGAATCCTGATGTGCAACCTTCGTTGGTATGTACATCTGTCGACGTTTCTTCACAGTGCTAATGCCTTGTCTAGAGCCCCGAGAAGCGGTCAGATTTGATTGTTGACTCACAAGTCCAAACGATATCGGATCCCCTCTCGCGGGTAGAACTGAAGGGGTCTTTCCGCGGTTCTCGATCAGATGCAGTTGACGTTCATTTGGGTGAAATTCGCACAGACGAGCAAGGCCACCTTATATTCATAGGCGGGGCCGGCTACTCGCGTTCCGTGGCAAATCCTGCTAAACCGCACTTCCAACCCGACATCGTTTCGGAATTTGATAGCATCGACTGGGTCGACGACACCTGCGACGGCTGGGTTGATGTCAAAGTTCAACATGCGGGCTTAACGTGAGCCAGTTTTGTGACTCTGGCTCTATGGTGATTTACTCAACCGTTTCAAGCTTCACTGCCTTCCAGAAGTCGACTGTATTGAGTGCGCCTCCGAAGTTTGCATGGGGTATCCAGTCGCCCACTACAATGTACGACCTCATCGAGAATATCTATCACGAACGGATCGGCTGGAAGGATCACGATGAAACACAATTCTATCAGGATATATGGCCTGTCATGCATGGCGCTTATACGCTTTCCTGGGTCAATAATGATGCTTACCATGGCCATGGTGTGTTTCCCTGCCATCTTTCCTGCGGACGCTAACGGTCTAAAAATGACTAGGTGTTGCGGGGAAGGGAAACTTCTTGACTATGGAAGATAAGCTAGCGACACCAGGGGCCGCGACTGAGGAGATTCAACTGCTCCGTGAACACATTTTTGGTCGTCTGAGACTTCCAGACTACGAAGATCAAGACCAAGCTTCGACCAAGTATATGCCTCGACTCGCGGGTAATGAGTGAGTATGGAGTTAGCCCTCTATCCACGACCTTCTGACACTTTCAAACAAAATCAGGGGCGAAGCACCTGCGCCTGGTCAGCCCCTGCTCCCAGGTGACCCCATAAAACGGTTCGCAGCCTTGACGAGGCTACAATACCAGCGGTTCCTCCAATGGAAGCGCGGAAAGTTCCTCGCAAGTGATGCGCCGTGGAGTCAATATACAGAGTTTGAGAAAGTTCCCCTGGCTCTGCAACCATCATTCTTGACGCGTGCAGCTCTCGATCACACAATAGGAGAACCGCTCTACCCAGGAATCGAGGTGGACTGGGCTGCGAGGAACCCGAAGATGTATATCTTCGACACCTCCCGAGAGGACAATGATCCTCCCTTCCGCTTCAATCATAAGGTAGTCCAGCCGGGCTATATCGGACGCGGTCTGAGTCTGCCGTGGCAGACCGACTTTGACCAGTGCAATACCCACTGGTGGGTGTACTTTCTATCAGACTCGATCTTGACTAATCTGAACCATGAAAGGTGGCCCTCTATTCGTCCCGACGACGTTATCAATATCCGTGACTTTGCGTCGGCGAACGTCGTACCTGTAGACAAGTTCACCGAAGATATTGCTCCAAAAAGAAGACAGTGGACCCGTGGCCTTCGCGATACTCCAGATTGTAAGGTTACCTGTAATTTTTATGTGCCATTCTGACCAATTTCGTGCAGTTCCTGCTGAGTATTACCCAGGAAGTACAGACATGATTCATCACTGGAACAAGCTTGGATTTGTGGCCAAAGTTCCTGGGATAGTGGTTGGGGAATCACCTAAACTGCCGGTCTGGTTGGAGAACGAGCGTATGCGCATTGACGCCAGTGACATAGACAGAAATAAGTTCCAGCTTACCTTCTAACCTTCAGTTAAACTTGTATCACCTACTGCCAACGTGCTGTAGTGAAAAATACACTCTTCCCAAACTATTAGTCTCGTTCATTATTGTGCTCAGGTCCCACGCATGCCAAACACAAGAGGCACGATGATGGTAAGATAAGCCAATTTGATCGATGCCCAACATTGAGTAAGTAATTTCCCATCCCCTGTGGAATCGGACATTTGTTTTCCTGCCATGGTGCGGGCTGACTGAAAGGACGAGCGGTCAGGACCAGCCTGATAAGCGCTTAACAATGAAGTAGTATTCCTGTGGCGTTCAACTACCCACACAAAGCTGCACACCATCGCCCGCATCTCAGAGTCAGTGGACTGAACTAAGTCGGATCGTGCGTAGGGGTGGAAGTCACGAAGAACTTCTTCCTGAGTCAGAATACTCCACTGGTCCTACTACTAGCGTCTCGCGCGAGGCGCTGCTCGGTCAGTGGCTTTTGCTATTACCTCGGTACCCTAACTTAACTTATGCTCCCACTAGGTTCTCACTCAGTATCTGAAAGCTGCCCGTGTTTTCCTGCTAATTAACGACTTCACTGGTCCTCCATTTAGGGACGTTCAAGTCAAGTCCAAGTCTAGAACCAAAAACACATGATGTCCTCAAGCATTGAGGAAAGCACCTCTTATTTCGATGGTAGGGTTATCAAACAACCTTATGGCAACATTCTCATCGCTGTGTCAAACAGTGATCATCGTTGGGGGCGGTGTCGCTGGTTGCGCAACTGCCCTAGCTCTCTTTCGCACCAATCCCGGTGCATCAATTCTGATCCTAGATGACGCCAATCCCAGCGTGTTTAAGGTGAATTTTCTTGTCTCTGCTATTTTCTTGTCGTTCGCTCATGTCTCTATCATTCATTAGATCGGGGAATCATTGCCTGCTGCCGCAAAACCCATTCTCGCATCTCTTTCTCCTCAAGCTTGTTGAAGAACTCTCGAAAGACCGCACAGATAGCGTCCAGATCAAATGCACTGGCAATGCTTCTGCTTGGACAACCTCTGAGCTGGAAGAGACTTATGCAATGATGAACCCATTCGGCATGGGATGGCACCTTGACCGAGCCTCTTTTGACCAGATCCTGCGCGACACTGTGGGTAGCGTGTGCCCAGGTTCCGTCTCGCTTGTGAAAAGCGTATTCCTTGGCATAGACAAATTAGATGATAACAGCCACTGGTCTGTGTCAGTGAAGGGTATAGCGTCTGATGAGAAAAAGGTGTACCACTCGAAATGGGTGGTTGACGCCTCGGGCCGAAAGTCATCGGTCGCCCGCAAGGTATGATACAATTCCGTCGGAACAGAATCATAACTGAAGTGCCTGTCGACAGTTGGGCTCAAGAACCGTGAAGGAAGACGCTCTCCTCGCATTCTATGCCGTCTTTGTTCCCCCTCTGACCACTGAAGATCGGGATTACCGAACATTGATCGAGGCCAGCGAGTCTGGCTGGTGGTACAGCTCCCCACTTCCAAATAATCGTCGAGTCGTTGCGTATCACACCGATGATACTGATCCGACTTCAAGGGATGCCCGTAAGCACGACGGATTCATGAATCTTCTGCACACTACTCAGCATATATCACGTCTCATCACCGAGGGCGAGTATGATATTCTCTTCGATACCGATACCAGATATCCCATATGCACAGCGGCGGGCTCTTCCCGCCTCGAACCACCTTGTGATACCGCAGACCCCGAAGGAGTAAGATGGGTGGCTGTAGGAGACGCTGCCATGGCGTTCGATCCCCTCTCGTCACAGGGTATCATCACGGCAATGAGAGTGGGTTGTGCTGTAGGCGCTGCCATCGCGCAGGAGATTCAGGCGCCTGGGTCGAAGGATTTGACCTCTGGCATACGGGAAATCTACTCTCAAGTTTGGTCCAAATACGTCAAGGAAAAGCGATACTTTTACAGTCAGGGGAAGAGGTTTGACGGGGAGTTCTGGAGGGTAAGAAAGTAAACTGATAAACTGATGCCTGATTGAACCTCTGCTGCGCTGGTAGATTGTGTGGGTAAAGATATGTATAATAGGCAGAATATGGGTTCATGTTGAGTGTTATGCTAGTCTCCGCTAGACAGACCATAAACGAACGAAGATAGTGTGCCTTCTAGCTCTGGAAAAATGTCGCAAGACTGATTCGATCGCTATACCCGTATAGTTCATGCCATAATGCACATACAAGGCGTATGGCTGCAGGCAGCCCTACTATCTGTGGATCGATTGGAACTACCGATCCGAGTGGAATATCGTTCTACGCAAGTCATAATCAAGAAGGAACGGCTGTCTTCCTTCTATTATGGTCTGACTACGGGAAGGTGGGTGCGACTCACAAACATGTTTTCGTTTTGAGTCTTTGGTTATCTGAAATGAAGGGAGCAACTGATCCTAGAAAACAAATCGGTGGATTGGTACTGAGAGTACCATTCAACATGATCACGCTGGCCCTCACTGATCTGCAGATTTTGGAGAATCCAAGCGCCTGACACTGATAGTGACAGCTCATCTCTGACAACGCGGGTGAGTGAATGAACGAAGTAAAAAATTGAATCGTGCTCATCAGAACAGGTCATCTGATCAGAAAGCAGCCTGATCTTCCATTACAAGACGCGACCACCATTATCTGGGTGGCGCCTTGATGCAGAACCAAACTTATGGAAGAGACTCACTATGATACTGGTTTACCCATGCATTGCAACGACGATTTGGAAGTTTCCTGAATCATCAACGACGGGGCACACAAAGTCAACGAACCATTTCTCGAATTCGCTTGCAAGGGTAGAACAACATACACACATACAGTAAACACCGAAGCAACTAGACAGAGGATAGATAAACATGATGGTCACACTACTACTAGTACTGGCGGATTGAACAGGCGGTTGTTTGGCAAAGGCTTTGGATCCAAACAAACGCTCGGCGGCAATTTCCACTTTGGAACATTTTCAACTGCACCAATTTCCACTAATATGAAGTGGCGCGAACCTGTTGAGTCATTCCTATATATATTGCTCACCGAAACTTGAACCAAACTGAACCTGAACCAGTGGTTTGTTTGCGCGTAGTAGGTTCTATCGCGTACCGTAAGGTCGTATCGCGCTACTTTTAAAGTGGGGTTTGGAACGTCATAAAACAGTGCATTGTGTACTTATAATACATATACAAGGCGTAGCAACTACAAAACTTATTTGTGGATCGATTGAAACCACCAATCCGACTGCAATACTCCAACTACGACTCTGTAAGTATAGGTATAGGCCAAGGGACGCGGTCAACAGAAAATTTGATGACGCTCAGTGCCTCCTTCTTCTTCGCGTCATGAACCAAATCGATCGCTTCTTCAAGACGCTGTTTGATCGCTTCCTGCAGTTCTACGGCTGCATAATCAACCTTACTCGGATCTTCCCCGGCTTCGGTCGGGTAAAATTGGAATGTGGGGGCAGCTTTTCCCTTCTCGAAGGGTTCCTCAACCATGAACTCGGCCAAGGGTGTCATTATGTTGACCATGATCGAATGGATGTTGGGGATGAGGGCGCGCCGAAGAACAACGTCGCTAACTTGCCAGGTCTTCTGGATCGTGACAAGCAGGTAACAATAGGCTGCGTTTGATGCAAGCGCCAGCTAATGAACCATTGGTTTCAAGGACAGAGAGAGAGCACAACTCGGATGCTCACCGCATACACAAGCTTGTTATCCTTGTACGTCTTGATCGTTGGCGAGTATGGAACAGCGTAACATTCCCACTCGGTGCGCTTCATGTAAAGATCGAGGAACATTTGATAATGTGCATCCTCGACCCCAACACTGCCTTCACCTTGATCGATAATGACCTTTAAGGCGTTGTGGGCGGACTCTTGGTCGGTCACTTGAGTCATGTTGGTTGGGAAAAATTCCGTCGGCGCAAACTGCAGATCTTTGTTCTTGAAAGTAATAAACGGACCAGAGTTTTTGATCACTTGAAAAAGTAACGGTTCAGGGTAGCTTGTGAAGGAAAATCGTGATACATACTGTCTTCGAGCTCGGTATAGAACTCTCCGATGCTGTTGTACTGTTCGAGGGCACGCTCCGTGTCTGGAGCAGCGTGAAGACGAAAATCGATGTTAGCGCTCTCTTCGTCATACGTGAGTTTTGGCGGCGGCTGGTAAGGAGCTTCGATCTGTATGAGTAGTCAGAACTTGTCTTGTATGAGACGGGTGTCCGGTCACCTTCAAAAAGCATTCGAGGTTGCTTTTTTCACAGGGTTCAAGTCTGAGTGGTATGTTTGAATGAAGAATAACATCGTCTTCACCACCGTAGGTTGGCACGAATTGAGCAGAGTAGAGTTGAGGCCCGGACTCGATTGATGTCAGGAGATTTCCAGCGAGCGCCAGGTGTAACATCTCCTGGTGAACAACGACTAAAAACGAAGTTATAAAAATGGGTAGTAACGGGACATGGAATGTGAGGATTACTTGACATATTCCGCCTCGCCTGGGTGCCGGCTTTGCCATCGTCTTTAATGATACTGTATATTGAGTACAGATACAACTGGATTGAATGAAGTGTGATAGGCATTGTTCAAGTAGCGAAAACACGCGAAAAGTGCACATGTCCTACCGGGATAGTCGAAAGCTCGACCTTGACGGCCTCGCGGAGCATCGGCACAATTGTGGACTTGAACTTTTGTCGTTCTTCCGGTGATGCCGGCGCGTACTTCATGGTGGAAACAACTGGTAGAGGCAGTGAATTGGGATGGGGGCGTTAATGACCAGTACTATGTAGTCTCAAGCCAAAGGGATTTCCATTTATGCACGCTCGATTGGGTTCCGTTCACTAGTTCAGCAATGAAGTACACCTGACATGTCATTTCATCTGATAATCGATAAGGGGTTGAACTGGACATACAGATTTGAATTGATTGGAGCCCTGGATCTAGCACCGATCTCGCAACTGGAGGAGATACGGCGGATCTGGCACTGATCAGTATTTTACATAAACTTCAACTCGATTGTACCCCATACCGTACACCTATCGATCGACTCGCAAACGGAGGAGATACGGCGCGGCGCGCAAATTTAACTGAGGATGGAAGGTGTCTGACAACCTGAATGTTCGCCATCAGAGTGCCAGAGTGCAGGGTCCCACAGCTGTGCACGTTTTAGGGAACTAGAAAGTGAATGGACAGATGGATTCTACGAAAACATCGAGAAGCTGAGTTGTGCCCCCATGCAGATAGGCTTCTGCAGTGGGCTATTGCATAGGCTAGCCAAATATCGATTCCTGGCAGGAACACTGGAAGTCACGGTGGTGGGCTACTTCCTAACGCGTGGCAATCTTCTCGACGGCGGCCATGCTCGGAACTTCCTGACAGCGACAATGGAAGTGCTTGACAGCGAAAATAAAACTTGCCATTCCGATACTAGGCTGTGAGAGGAAGGAAACGAATAAGCACATTAAGGCTTAAACATTACGCCGGAACTGTGACTTACAATGTAGGGACGGAGCGTTCGATCCTGCGGAATCAATTCGCGCTGACGCTATGTGCTCGCCACCGCGTAATTACACTGAACCTGCAACAAAGTAAGCGTCGATGTCAGTACCTCTAATATATCCCTCCGCATTGCCCCGCGCTGCATGCAATACATGCTGGAGTAGGCTAGTACTTGCTCTGACACTCACTATGAATTCTGCGAGAAGGAAGGACTGCCGTTCCAAGCTCTGCTACAAACACCGCCAAACCATAACTGGTTCCTGACGACTTATCATTACTACTGTCAGGATGTTCGGGACTATTTTTTTGGCGTCAGGAAGAGCTTCCGATCGCGCCACCATTCAATAGAGTAAGAATTTTATCAGACAGGAAAGGACATTTTGCTTACGTGTGCGCAAGCTAATTGGCCGACGGCCTTCGGATATCATGATCAGCGGGGTAGGTGTGGCTGGGGTAGAGGGTAATAGAAGCAAATCCGCCACTGACGGGCTGACCTTTTTCGTTCAATCCTTCTAATCATTCACTTTTCTAGCATCAGAATGGCAAGTTCCATCAGCACTGTCAGGCAGTGCTTCCATTGTCGCCGTCGATAATGTTTGGATAGGATCACTCGGGCCATCAGTTTGGATTCAATCATATGAACGCGTGCCCTCAAACCTTGTGAGGGGGGGTGTGATCGTCTATGCCGTTCTCTCAACTGTGTGCCTTCGGCGGACATTCATCTCTGGTCACCAAAATGGTTTTTCTCACCTAGGAAAAGTATAAGTAGTGTATACCATCATTTCTCGTCAATTCGTCCTCCAAATCATGTCTATCGATCCCGCTGACATATCATACGTACAAATATTTCCTCCCATAGGCATTGCTCGCCTTGGAGACTCTGGGTTCGATTTGAGCACCGGAAACCCAGATGGCGACATCGAGTGGTTCCTCCCTTCTGAGATTCCTGGCACTGAAGATATGCCAACTAGTCTCAATGGCCAGTTTAGAGATGGCAAACACCGCATCAAACGTCAGGTGAGACTTTTACACGTATCACTAAGGTCCGGGTCACATTGAACGTGTTACACAGGCTGTTCAATTCCGTGTCTATGCCTATCGCGAGGATGGCACTATACTTGGAGAAATTACTTCAGGAAACACCTCGGGGTACAATATCAATTGGACTGTCCATGTTGCTAATCACAAAGGCACATGGTACGAGTTCTCAGGTATGTCCCACTACACGTGATTCTCTGGATGTCGTGAATATCTACACCACTAGGCGAATACAGGCCGAAGCCGAATGGGCTTAGGAATCCTGATGTGCAACCTTCGTTGGTATGTAGATCTGTCGGCCTTCCTTGAAAGTGCCAATCCCTTGTCTAGAGCCCCGAGAAGCGGTCAGACTTGATCGTCGATTCTAAAGTTCAACCAATATCGGGCACTTGCTCGCGGGTAGAACTGAAAGGGTCTTTCCATGGTTCTCAATCTGATGCGGTAGACGTTCATCTGGGTGAAATTCGCACAGACGAGCAAGGCCACCTTATCTTCATAGGCGGGGCCGGTTACTCGCGTTCCGTGGCAAATCCTGCCTGAACCGCACTTCCAACCTGACATTATTTCGGAATTTGATAGCATTGACTGGGTCGACGACACCTGCGACGGCTGGGTTGATGTCCAAGTTGAATATGGGGACTACAAGTGAGCTACATTTCGACTGACTCTATTTATTTATTTTTACCGAACCGTTTCAAGATTCCCTGCTCAACATAAGTCGACTGTCATGAGTGCACCTCCGAAGTTTGCATGGGGTATCAAGTCGCCCACAACGTTGTACGACCTCCTTGAAAATATCTATAACGATCGCATGGGCTGGAAGGATCACGATGGAACAGAATTCTATCAGGATATATGGCCTGTCATGCATGGCTCTTATGCACTTTCCTGGGTTAACCGTGAAGCGTACGAAGGCCATGGTGTGTTTCCCTGCTACCTCTGCTGCGGATGCTAACGATCTAAAAATGACTAGGTGTTTCGGCGAAGGGAAACTTCTTGACCATGGAAAAAGACCTAGCAACACCAGGGGCCGCGAATCTAGACATTCGACTGCTCCGTGAACACATTTTTAGTCGTCTGAGACTTCCAAACTACCAAGATCCCGATCAATCTTTCACTAAGTATATGCCTCGGCTCTCGGGTAACGAGTGAGTATGGAGTTTACCCGGCATCTACATCCTTCTAACACTGTAAAACAAAATCAGCGGCGATGCACTTGAGCCTGGTGACGCCATGCGCCCAGGTGACCCCATAAAGCGGTTCGCATCCTTGACGGAGCTACAGTACCAGCGGTTCCTCCAATGGAAGCTCGGAAAGTTCCTCGCAAGTGATGCGCCGTGGAGTCAATATACGGAGTTTGAGAAAGTTCCCCTGGCTCTGCAACCATCATTCTTGACGCGTGCAGCTCTCGAGCACACAGTGGGAGAACCGCTCTACCCAGGAATCGAAGTGCACTGGACTGCGAGGAATCCAGAGATGTATGTTTACGACACTTCCCAACAGAACAATGATCCTCCCTTCCGCTTCAATCATAAGGTAGTCCAGCCGGGCTATATCGGACGCGGTCTGAGTCTGCCGTGGCAGAGCGACTTCGACCAGTGCAATACTCATTGGTAGGTGTATGATGTCCTGTCAGACTTTTGGCTAACCTAAATCATCGGAAAGGTGGCCCTCTGCTCGTCCTGATGACGTCATCAACATCCGTGACTTTGGGTCGGGGGACATTATTCCTGTGGACGACTTTATCAGAAATATCGCTCCCAAAATGAGAAAGTGGACCCGCGGTATTCGAGAGACTCCAGACTGTAAGTCTAACTCGGGTTAACACGCCCTCTTTTGCTGTTCTAAACAACTTGGCACAGATCCTAGCGAGTATTACCCGGGAAGTACAGACATGATTCGTCACTGGCAGAAGCTCGGATTCGTGGCCAAAATTCCTATCGCGATTGGAGAATCTAAGCTGCCGGTTTGGGTGGAGAACGAGCGCATGCCCATTGATGGCCCACTGAAATATACGTTCGAATTTCCCTCCGCTTCACAAGCTTGAGTATCCAAACTTGTATCATCTACTTGCCAATGTACTTTAGTGAGAATTCGACAAGGTTGACTCTTCTGAAACGGCTAAGTGGAAAGCGTGGTATCGACTGTCCGCGCCTGTATGGTACTTGCAAGGCTACTGTGATGGAAGACACTGAACGAGGCTAACTGCACGCGCGATTGATGGATGCTGTGGGGACCTTCGGCCTGCCGGATGATCCCGAGAGATTTTCAGTGAGAGTGGGATAGCAGAAGGGGTCGCAGAGCGTCGCGTGTGGAGCACGGGGTGGGAGGCACGAGGATCTATATTAATGCCCACAATTTCAGCGATTGATCTACTTTCCTGTCGTGGTGCGGACGCTGAGTGAAATAACGATCGGAAGGACCAAATAAGCACTCAAGTCTGGTACATGAAGTATTCTGTGCCGTACAAAGCCGCACATGCAGCTGCGCCTCCCGTCATTGCAAGCGTCATTGGATAAAATGGTGGTCTTAGAGACCGTCGCAGATGCAAGAACAGGTATGTCAATGACCAAGCTGCAGTGCATGTACATCACACGTGCCAATCAAGGAATGATGCTAGAACTCACCAGTAGCTATTCCGCTTCCATTCCTTGCGTCATCAGCTGCTAGGACATAGGCGGCGCCGCCAAAAACCAGGGAGAAGCCGACTCGGTGGAGATATGGAGGAAAGTAAACGTTTGGGCGAACGACGGTGGATGGAATAACAGCTGAGGCTGCGACTATATTCCCAAAGTTTCAGGTAATGACGATATGAAGCGAAACTTTTGATCGAAACGTACACAATGTCCCGAGAGCAAGAATGGGTCCCCTTCAAAATTCAATATCAATCAACGTGCCAGGACAACATAGTCATAGAGTCAGTGGACTGAACTTGGATCGTGCGTATGGTTGAAACCGAGAGAATGTTCCAGACGCTGTTTCGGACGTGGAAGGAGACAGGTCAGGAGATTCTTTTCCTTCCATCCCACCAATTGAAACGGTTGTGTTGAAACATAAAATTTGAACATTAGGATTGGGCAACCCGGGTATTTCTTTGAATCCCGGATGGCCCACGGGGTTCGGAACATGTTTTGTGGAGCAGTGCCAGCACGGAATGCACGAGGATAATGCTTCATAAACTATAGGTTTTATAATTAGGCAAGTAAGACAATTCTCGGTCTTCTTCAACAACGTTAACTCAGTTCAGCTAAACGATGCCGTCGACTATCATCCAGGCGGGGAACACATGGCAAGGCTTTAGCAAAATCCAGCACTTGATCATATTGTACGCCCTCATCGCACCTATTAACTAAGCGAGAACTATAAATTTAAGTTCTTTGTTCAGTGGCGATTCTTACAGCAGCGTTCGGTGGGACTATCAATCTTCTCCCCATCCGACGATCAAGAGCCCACTTGGGGTTACCTATCCTGGGGTAACATACGCAGAGCCTGGAAAGCCGAACTGGGTCGGTACACCTAGTGCAAATTGCGTTCACCTAAATTGGTGTACGACTACGCCAGGGGAAGCGATTTCGTGTCTTCTCTAGAGAGACAGATCATATACCAGTACCTACCAAACGTCGCGAGGAAGCCATCGTCGGCCCCATGGGAACCGCATGACACGCTCTTCAGTGAGTGGTCTTGATTTGCGTTCTTGGTCTCTCTGACAAGATCTGTGTTGATCCTTGACAGTAACGTGGATTGGGATCAACGACCTTGCGTACGATCGTCATCTCATTTTCTGGATTGTAAATTGATCGAGAATTCCTTAGCCTCATCGAAGACACTGATGGCGTGTTCAACACGCTGAAGGGTCTCTTCCGGTACCAAGAGAGACTATACGCCTCAGGGGCTCGAAACTTTCTATTGTTCGACCTCCCTCCAATCCACCAATCACCCTCAGGTATGATCGTACCTTCTGCCGTAGTTCCATATACTCATCTCAAAATATAGTACGCGAGGATACTGATACCGTCATGGAACAATATCAGACATGGAACACGACGCTAGAGCAAGAGCTCCAGAACTGGGCTAGAACTCATCCAGATATCACCGCCTTCCTCTTTTCCTCATGGGACACATTTTCGCGCGTGTTGAATGACCCACACGCATTTGGGTTTCTTTCCAGCGACATCAGTGAAGCCGGAGGTGCGATATGGGTAGACCGCATGCGTCCTACGAGTGCGATGCATCGGGTTATCGCGGACGATCTGGTTTCGTTTTTGGACGCTCATTCACCGCATGACCAACAAGATTACTCGCCTAATCGCCCTTGCTTCTCAGCAAGCAATGCTGTATGAGTGAAGATGAGTTTGTGAAAAGCATAGGACAGCGCGGGCGCTTGATCGGCAGGAACTACTAGCATTTTCGGATCCACCGCGGGGCTACTACTGCCAGGTTATATATATTCATGGGAACGTATCTAGCATGTAGTAAAATTGTTACGCTTACTTACAGCGTTTCGAAAAGATAGGTATGTAGCATTCATGTGAAACATGCACACGACGAGCCTGACTTTACTTGCGATCACTCTAGATACTATCACCTCTCAATTCAAAGCCCGTGAATAGCCGACGAACTCCGTTTGTTTGGCCTGGTGGTTTTTCGTCAATGGGTGTGTACTCATTAGACCGTGAGGTCCTAATCATCGCAACTCAAAGGAGTACAACAACATTAATGCTGCCCGTGTCGTTCTGTCAGGGCTGGTACGTATCTACGACGTACAAACTATTGCTATAAAAGCGAGCAATGAAATGACTGCCCACAAAAAAAAATCTCCCAAGAGGATGTGCCATAATATGACCACGCTGATCTCGCTCAGTTAGGTCCGATGAACTGATATAATATCCGCCTGACAAGTCCAGACAGATGCTGCGGGTCATTCTGCAAAGAACATGAGCCGTTCAGGAGATTTGTTACCACAGATAAAGTCAAGTTACCTGATAAGTATTCTGAACATCACAAACACAAAATCAGGACAGCGTTATAATAGATAGTGTCTCGCACTCACCATTACCATGCTCATTCCGATTGCAGTGAGCTAGCCCACGTCAGTACGTCCACACAACACGAAACCAAGCACTTACAATCATCTCTCCAAAGTGACCGGTGTGGAATACCCAGCCCTTGCCTCTTGCCGTCAACCAGGCACTCTCCAGGCTCCTCGGCAGAACGTACATCGCAAGCTCGCCTCGTCTCCGCTTTTCTTCGACAAAGAGAGATAGCGCACCAAAGAATCCACCGAGCGCATAGGAATACTTTGACGAGAAGAAGTCGATGAATTTCTGTGGGAGCTTGACTAAGGTTTGGGAAGAGAGAAGCCGGTGGAGGTAATGTTTGAAACAGAACCACGCTACAAAGAGATATAAACATCATTCAGGGACAAAGAAGGGTGGAAATACATACTCTGGTATGTAGCAATGAACGTCGCCAAGAATGCAGAACTCCGTATCGTAGCCCAGCCTGCACGTCCAAGCTTATGCAATGGGTCCTTGAAGAATGCATGCCGCTTTAACAATATCATCGGGACAAAGTGAAGAGCGCCATAGATTGGGAAGGCCCATTTGAATACCGTGAGGAAACGCGGTAGAGGCACGTGTGTGCATGACTCTACCCAGGGGTGCACGGCGCCACAGGGAGGGTAAGACGGGCCAAAGTTAGGCGGTGAACTGGTAGCCAGTGCTTTTCTGGCAAGAAGAGCGACCTGATTGGGGGGTATGAGGTCCTGTCATATAAAATAAGAAACGTGTCAAGAAGTGTCAGTACAGAAATGCACCTCGCGGTTGAGGATCTTGTCGAGGTCCTGTACGTCAAACATCCCAGTTTGGTTCATGTCTTGGACCATCTTAATTGCGTTTGTTGGAGCGCCCGACGCAGTTGTAAGCCTAAGGAGTTGTTAAAAAAAAGTCTGCTGCAAATCATTTCCAATGGACTGACCATGTCGTGTATGATCGTGGGAGTGTGTCCGGTCGAGCAAGGAACCCGTACACAATTTGCGTACAGCTGTTCACACATCAGAACTACGACCTCTACCATAATATATGACCTGTACCAAAGACAGAACATGAGCACTTCTCCGTTGGGTATATGGAAACCGTGCTTTGAAGTAAACGAGTTATATGAACCTTGAAGGCCTCTAGATATCGCTTTTAAATGAGGCATTACATCCTCGAGAGAATGAAGGAAATTACCGAACAAAGAGTTGCTGTGCGATAGCCACCCTTCTTGATCGCTTTTCAAACATGACAGCCAGGCCACCGGCCAGAGCACCAGCAAACATAGCGTGCCATCGTCGTGTCTTTTTACGGACCCACATCTGATGTGCTTGAGCACTCAAGGAAAGGCGCGGCTGTCTGGCTGAAAGGGGAACCTCGAAAGGTGTGGGTGCGGACTTCGATATCTTCATCTTCGTCATCAAATGGTGAGGGTGGGCTTGCACGTTCATTAACGGGAATGAGGATGGGGAGAGCGTTAAGTGTCGCTTTGTAAATAGTCACGAAGGAGCCTGTACAGACCATGAGACAAAAGCTTGCAAAAGATGATATAACATGTGATCATTCACCAAGCATGGCTGCAAATCTAAACGAGTCCTTTCCAAAGATCGCGTGTTGAATGAGTGAGAGCCTCATGTACCTGTACGAGTCGACTAGGGATCTGAGTAAAGGTCCAGCTCTGACTCACTTTGGCACCTTTCCTATTCTTATCGTGGCCAGCACGAGATTTACACTTGCCCGGAGGGCAAAAGCAATTGCTGCAGCTCCTACACATCGAATGTTAACCTTACTACTCACCGCGAGGATATGCAATGATAACGTACTTAATCCTCCTCGTCCCGCATGTTCCATGCACTCCCAAAGATCTTCAAGCTCAGCAGCAGGCTCTCCGCGCTCCCTCCAGACAATCTTCCGGGCTTCTCGAAGTCGCTCTTGGTGGTTTGCGAGTGCGACGAGGTTCTCGAAGGATGCCATTGCACGGCGGGGAGCAAATTGGATGTATGATGGCGTACGCGATATGGCAGCAGCCTTATCAGGCACAGGAGTACTAAGTTCTGGGGAGGCCATATGTGGCCTCTGAAATACAGGTAGGAGAAACTTTGGGGAATTATTAATTACCTTTTATAAGTTTTGGCGCTTGAGAGCATCGTGTAATACACGGAGGTAACGCTAATAGATCCGGACGACTCAGCAAGAACACGCTGCTGAATGGCTCATAGCGTTTCGATTTCAAATCTTGGAGACGATCGGTCAGTTAAATACACCTTTGACAACACCCAAAGTCTATCTTGGTCAAACTCAGACTAGTTGGAACAGGTTGGAACTTGGAGCAAACAGCGTGGAATCTGAGATAGGGAAAAGAAACACATGCTGGTGTTTGTCTCTGACCGGTGACATCCAAGGACTCAAGTTGATGATAGGAACAATCAGCCATCAGACATCATTGTACAAAAAGGGATCATTTATTCTGATGCTGTGAACAATGCTACGCAAAAATCTGTAATATAGAGAGCATGCCAGTCAGTGACGAGTTTCATGCGAGAACACGAATATAGATCAGACAATATTGTGATTCCGGATAGACTGTTATCCTCATCGAACGGATTCTCCGTTGAGGGAGTCTGTTTTGTCATCGTGATAAGAAAATTGGAATTGCGCTCACCCTATCGGTTCTTGAAGTATTCAAGGAGCACATTGAGACCCTCGCTCTCTACACCAGTAGTCCTTGACAACAACGCAAGAGCAGCCCACAACCTTGCGGGGATTGCCTTCCTTGTCGATCTTGCAAAGACCTGCCCAAGTGCCCGAGGATCTTGCCATCTCCGACCTTGATCAGGTTGATTTTGTGCTCTGCGCAGAGTGCCTCGATGAGCTTGATGTACTCAGCCTCCGTGCAGGTCTCCACCAGCACACACAAGTGGGCCTGACGCTTGTCCAGCGCCTTGGCGCACTCGCGGAGACCACGAGCGAGACCGTCACGAACAAGGGCGTTCTTCAGGACTTGCTGTACAACCAAGGTTAAGAACTGATAAAAACCGGTTAAAGAGCACAAGTTTGCATACCTGAAGAGCGTCCTCGACGGTCATTTTGCCCTTTGGAGCCTCGGTAGTAACTTCGACCTCACCAGCCGGGGCGTCAACTTGGATTTCATCTCCAGCGTCAGACATCCTTTATTTCAAAATCAGAGAGACAATTGCGCATTATCATTAAACAACGTACTTTTGGGATTAGTTTACAGGATTTGCGATGTCTTCGTCCGCTCTCGTTGATGTGATGAAAAATAAGGTTTCGGCGAACACAAGGTTTTGTGTGAGTTCAGAGTCCGCTCGGGAAGTGCCGTTATCCCATTTGACTTGATCTCCTGCGCTGGTCGCTTGGCCTTCCACTTTACATCTGATCATCGACCACAAAAGCAGTCAGATATGGTTTGTTCACGTTCTCCAATGCATGTCAGTTAGATTATAAATATTTGCTAGAGTCTCGCATTCGTTAACGCGCTTGAGTGCAAAGAACGTACGCGCCAGACTGTTATAACATTTAGGCAGATCCCATCCAACTGACTATTCATAGCGCACAGTGACGAGATCTGGGCTGTAGCATGGACGGCAAATAATACGGCCGTGTCTGCATCCGCAGATGGCACAGTAAAGCAGTGGGATTCTACCTCTGGTCAGGTATCGATGTCGCGTCCACCACACAACCTCGCGATAGTTTCTTTATCGGTCTCACCTGATGGGAAATTCGCGCTGTACAATGGCCTCGATGGTACAACATGGCTCTGGGATCTCCAGTCTGATACCGTGGTCGGGCGTCATGAAAGCTACGACCGTTCCGCAGTGCAAGGCGCTGAGCCTTGTGAGTTGCACGGACTCTAAAGAAGCACGATCTCTCATGTGTTGTATGTGCCTAGCATGGTCTGTGTCACTCAATCCGAATGGTGCGACGTATGCGGGTACCAGCAGCTCTGGAAATGTGAACATCTACTCTGCAAATCCCGACTCTTTCGGGACACGACAAGCAGTCTTGACAAGTGGCAGGAGCAGACACGGTATGGACTGCGTGCATGTGAGTTCCTTGTATTAAATATTGCACTGTTCCGAATTCCAAAGACTCCAGAACGCTAGCAATGACTAACGAATCACTTTTGATTAGAGTCCAGATGGTACTCGAGTGGCATTATCGAACGAAGCTGGCCAAGTCTTTATATTTGACTTGGAATCACAAGCTGTGACCTCAACCTATTCATCACATGCCATGTGCGTACGGTCATTGGCATGGTCATACGATGGGCAGGTTCGTTTGTTTGATTTTATTGAGAGAAGGTAGCCTAAGCGAACGACGTTCAGTTGTTACTGACAGCATCTGATGACAAACGCCTCATTCTTCATGATGTACGCTCAACTCCATCCGGAAAACCAGGCTCCGGAGCAGTAGCAACTCTCACAGGCCACTCTTCTTGGGTTCTCAGCACCAGCATATCGCCCGATGGATGTCTGGCCGCATCAGGGTATATCACGTTCTATTAAACATAACTTTAATAATCTACGTTCTCTAGATCTGCTGACAAAACGATCAAGGTGTGGGACTTGTCGGCACGCGCAGCGGTCTCGACGCTCCAGGAAAGTGGCGAGGTGTGGAGCGTTGCTTGGTCCCCCAAACCACCCGCTCCTGGCTCTGCGGGTACATTCGTTACTGGTGGACAGGATGGACATGTGCGATGGTGGAGATCAGCTGGTGCCGGTGCGTAGTGAGGGTAGGATAGCCTGTCATTTTTCCGGTCCCCTTGTACTGGTGAAGTTCATCGTTTTCCAAACTGCTGTAGACCCCAAACTTATCGAATGATGAAGTGAAGATCTCGCCTTCGTATGAAGAATGATCCATGATTCGGCGTCTGGATCAAAGGCAGTTTACTTTGCTAATTAGGTTCCGGCGTTACTTGATGTAGACTTCCTGTATTCCTGCTCGATGGTCCTCAAAATGCCAAATGCAAGTGCCGTGTAGTGTGCTTTGTACCCGCTTCACCCAGTCATGCGCTGCCAGTGAGTACATACGCCAAACGGAAGGACCACACCATCTCTCACAGGCACATCACAGACAACCAAGCACACGCGCAAAATTCACAACTGCAGTCCTCTCCAGACAGATGTCTCGTTACGATGCTGCAGGATCTCAAAAGAGTAGTAAGGCGCCAAGTGTGAACCAGGCAGTCAATGGTGGGGAACCAGAACTGCTAATTGTACTACGGGTCGGTCACGTTGCGGCCACTGTACAGACGGAAAGGCTGTGACAGCCCTAGCTTTGTTGTCACGTCGTGCAGCCATGCTTGGCAGACCCCTATTTTCATTGTTAGACTTTGAACTTCCATCTCCTTTCCACTTCACCCTTTAGAATGGCACCCAAGTTGCATGATGATGATATAAAGCATCTTGGTAATGCACCTCCCTCGTACGACACAATCTCTATGTCTGCATCGGCGGATTCTGTCAACTTCAAGCGACCATTGATATGCTCCTTTCTACCCATGAAGCAGAAACGAGTTCTATCTTGCATTCGTGATATTGTTCTCGCCCCTAACTTTCCCCCATCGTCTGCTGCCCCAACTATCAACGCCTGCGCCGCTGCCCTCCCAGCTGCGCGGTTTTCCGATCTCCTGCAAACCTCCAATGTCGAGGGTCACACGGCGCTGTACTGGGCAATTGTGAACAACCGACGAGAAGCCTTTTTGGCCTTTGCTGGATTCATTTCTGAACTGTCGTCTGGTTGCTCCTCTGACTTGCGTCTCGCGTGCATTGCAACTAGCGATCATGCATCATTTACCCAGTTGAATTTGGGAAATAGTGATGGTAAGTGCATGGTAATGCCATACGAGACTGCATTGGCTTATCAACTGTGCACTTATCAGCCAACGAAGAAGTTTTGAGACGCTCTTTGGGTTGTCCGCCGGATGAGGTTCGGGTGAATGAACTGGTTGACCAGCAGTTTGTTGCTTCTTTCCGTGTCAGGCTTTTCCAGAAACGCTTGCGCATTACAAAGAAATTGAGCTATGAATTCGTTGCGGGGGGTGCGTTATCCATGTCTCTCGCTTTGTTTCTGACGCTAATATGATGATGTCATTCCCGCAGGACGTATATGGTTTTTGCGCTTTTATATGGACCCTAAGTGGAGATGGCGCGTTGGCTTTGGTCTTTCTCCACCTAGCTTTCCAGCGCGGCCAAAAGGTGTACTTCTGATAGAGGCCCACGCGGGGAAAGGGGATCCTGGTTCTGAGATTCCACCTCAGGGGCTGCATATGGCGTCTAGCGTCATAAAGACGCTTGTGCCAGATGGGTGGGTCTAAATCTACTCTTACTCATTCGAAGGCAAGGTACTGATGCATCTACGATTCCTATGTGACTATTCTCCGCTCTCCCGCTGGCTATGCAGACCTGACTGTCATGAAATCCCTCCGGAAAATGTAGCTGGTAGGCCTTTCATCCACCACTCGTGGGAGTTGGGCGATTGGGTGATGTTTGAGTAAGTCTTTCATATCCTCAGTTCGAGCCATGTTGCAGGATGTATCTTTGATTTTCGATGAACTAACTGACTGTGTTTTTGTCATAGGAATCCCATTTATGTAGACTGCGATAGCACTCTACATGCAAAGCTGGAGATCACATGCAAATGATGGTAGATTGCATGGCAGTGACAATGGGAAGATGGTGACGATTATTTAGGAGAGTCGAAGACATGTAGGGCATATAAAAAAACACAACAACCCCCCTCTGTTACGTCTGTATGGTAATTCACGTCAACGCGATCACTATTGAAAACGCTTCAATCTGATGGGTACCACATCGAAGACAGACTCGCGGAAGACTCGATTTAGCAACGCGCGTTTGTTCTCCATTATGTGCGAACCCGATACCAGCGCCATCAATGTAAGTTAGATATCATGCTGGAATTTGGACGCATCACAGGGGGACTTGGATGGACTTACTCTTGTTTGCTAGCGGATGCTACGAAGAAAGTTTGTCCGGCGCTTCTGCGCGCGTTTATCTAAACCTGCAGCGGCCATCACCGGACGGTCGGTTGTTAGTCAAATTGCCCACATGCAGACGATGTCGTACAGCCGGACTCTGTGCCAAGGATGACCACATCATAAAGCTCCGATATCTCGAAAGTCAGTGCAGAGCGGCTCTTATTGAATTGTTGGCTTCGTGAAGGCAATGCACTGCTGTGTATGCAGGAAAGGGCTGGCTTGATGAAATTCTGAATATAGATCCATAGGTCATCAAGTCTCTTCGTGAGCGCCAAAGGTTCTGGAAAGTTAATTATAAGCGCAAACTTGCTGTATCCTGTGGAGCGTCTAAAAAGTCTCTCGGTGACCACGACTGCCAGAGGTCATCGATCGTGAGTTACTCACTATGTATATGATGCTCGCTGCTGTCTAACATGAGTAGAAGACTTTCAAGTCACTGAGGGCGACTCCAACTTTCCTTGGTGGTCGACAACCGCATAGGCGCTTCCACTATTCCAATGGGCGGCGACAACCTCAGAGATCTCGTTGGAGAAGTATACGATGAGTATATTACCAACGAGGTGCCTATCCATCTACTTCATATCAGTGGAGGTGGTCAGGAGACGAATTTCAAACTAGTGGACAGGAACTTCGTCAAGGAGCACTTCAAATCAGTGCCCGATGAGATTTACGGAGAATTCCGTAGCGAATGGCTCGTGGATAGGGAGGGCAGTATCAAGGCGCGGGTGAAGGAGAAACTCAAATATGCCATCTTCTCCCATAGATGGCTGCCCAAAGAACCATCGTATCAAGATATATCGAAGGAGCCGATGAAAGTCCGGGCCGACCTCGAGCCTGGGTGGGAGAAGCTTCAAGAATTTTGCCGTAAAGCAAAGGATGATCATGGTTGCGAATTTGCCTGGTCAGATATATGCTGCATAGACAAAACAAGCAGTGCAGAGTTGGACGAATCCATCCGCTCGATGTTTCGCTGGTACAGGAATTCCCATATATGCATCGTCCACCTGTCGGAGACGGCAGACCTTGCGGCTCTTGGGAGGCAGCAGGAGAATGGAGCGCAGACCGATATTTGGTTTACAAGAGGATGGACGCTTCAAGAGCTCCTTGCTCCATCGCAAATCAAGTTCTACGGAACGGAGTGGGAGCCCCTCATACCCCTTAACGAATCCAAGACCGACAGAGTCAGCAAACGCATCATGCTAAATATAGAAAAAATCACGCACATTCCTCTGAAAGATCTTCAATTGTTCATCCCTGGCACCAATCGAGTGCCGGAAAAGATGTTGTGGGCATCGAAGAGGAGAACGACACGCATCGAAGATATTGCATATTGCCTCATCGGAATATTCGATGTCAGCGTCATGATCGCGTACGGCGAGGGGAACAGGGCCTTCTTCCGTCTCATGGAGGAGATAATGAAGAGATACGACAAATGGGACGTGTTTCTCTGGAGCGGCCGTTGTTCCCACTACAACACGGCCCTCCCATACGCTCCACGCTGTTATCCTGTGGGATATACTGAAATGCCTGTGAAGCGCCGACACACAGCAGACAATGAAGGAGAGATGAATACAGCAATCTACAAGATTGGAGATAGCCTCTTTGCCTTGACCAATCACGGCCTCCGAGTCAAGGTGCTCTTACTGGGTGTCGAGTTGGAGGACATAACAGACGAATCGCACAACTCGAGATGTCTTTCGTTCAAGCACGCGGAGTTCCGGGTGCAGGTGAGGCACATTGGCGCAAAGCGCGAACCTCGCACCACCGTCTGGGCAGTAGGTGTCCTGGACTACTGGGTTGATGTCAGTGGGAATGGTTTCATCGACGGGATCAGGAAAGAGCCATTTACCGCGTTTCTATTGTCCAAGGATGGACACGCGTCTCCACTAGATGCAAGGTGGAAGAAGGAGATGACAGAGAACGTCATTAAAATTCAACCAGGCCGCGGCCACGTAGGACACCCTTTGATCCAGTTATACATACGTTGATATAACTTCTCTTCTTCTACTCACTTAAACTCTCGTGCATGTTCTTGATAAATTTCTGATCAACCGTCATTTATTACTGTACTTACTGAGCGCGATCGAAGGTGTAGCGTCGGAGTTGCAAAGACCTTTCGTGAAGACTTAGTTGCATGTCGATCTACCAACACTTTAGTTCCTCGTCGGCCCTCTATTCTTCTCCAGTACTTATTATAAAGGACTCGAGTTTAGGCTCAGAGTCGCCTTTCTGTGGTATAGCACCCTTCGAAATTGGCCTGGTACTAAGGCTAGTACGTGTCAGTCATGATCCCTGGCATGGCAGACTCGACCGGATCCTAACTTTCCATTCCAACTGAATTTTGGTGGCCAGAGTATCTGGCGTACAGACTGCGTCATTCTACGGCTTTTTCGAACTCGACCCGAATGCAACCAAACTCTGCCGCCTATTACCGCGACTCACCGTTGCTTGTTAGCGGTGCATCTATGGACTGCAGTACAGTACTGGACTACTTGCCCTTTATGTCACAATGCAGAGTACGGCTATCAACACGTCAGGATGGCGAGACCCGGGCCTGTATAACTGACTCATACAAAGGACCTTTCAGCACTGCCAGCAAGCGCTCAGATTATAAATGAAACACGGAAAATCAGGTCTCACCGTAACCTCCTGGGCCGTATCCTCCGTTCCCTCCTCTTGTTGACGCCACCCACCATTATCACCACATCCAAGAGCTATCTAGACCTTGCGACGCCTCAGGTGATTACTTATTTCACTACAGATGCACAAGAGGCTAAAGATCTGATCGCAGCATGGATTCAAACAAGTTTAAAGAGCTGGTCTCGAGATTGTTCGACGAGTATATCATCAATGAGATGCCCGCACACCTCCTTCGACTGCATCCCGACAAAGGTCCAATCGAAACCATAGAACTCATTGACCGATTCTCCTTGCGTTCATACTACGAAACCAAAGTCGACGAGATCAGAGAGGATGATATCGTCCCAAATGCTGATGAAGAATGGGAAGACGCCATCCTAAGGTTAATAAAGGAGAAGATCCAATATGCTATCCTGTCTCATCGATGGGTCGATGGAGACTCAGAGACATCGTTCCAATATATGAAGTCAAAGATCGAAGTCAAGTCCTTGGATTCCCGCGTGGGTGGACTTGGGAAGTTATATGCGTTCTGCCAAAAGGCACGCGACGACTTCGGTTGTTCGTTTGCGTGGTGCGATTTGTGCTGCATAGACAAGACAAGCAGTTCAGAGCTTGACGAAGCCATCCGTTCCATGTTCCGATGGTATCGCAACTCACATATATGCATCACCTACCTCCCAGAGACAGACAGCATAGACGATCTCGCGAAGGAGGAGTGGTTCAAAAGGGGTTGGACACTCTTGGAGCTCCTTGCACCATTCCGGTTGAAGTTTTATGGAAAGTTATGGGCGCCACTCAGGCCCCTTCACGAGTCGAAGAACGACAAATGTGACAACATCTTGCAAGAAATCTCGCGCATTACGCGCATACCTGAGATGGATCTCAGATCTTTCGAGCCTGAGACCAACCGGGTGCGAGAGAAGATGCTATGGGCATCCAACCGACGAACGACGAAGGTCGAAGATATCGCTTATTCCTTGATTGGGATATTTGATGTTAGCCTGATGGTTGCGTATGGAGAGGGGAAACGAGCCTTTTATCGTCTGATGGAGGCCATATTGCAGAGATGTGATCACTGGGAGATCTTCTGCTGGAAAGGAGTCTCTTCCTTGTACAACGCCGCCCTTCCAGCTGACCCTAGCTGCTATCATGTGGTGGAGAACACGGATGATGTTCATGCCGAAGAACAAATGAACAACGAGCGCTACATAATCGGGGACAAGCTATTTGCCTTGACTAATCACGGACTCAAGATAAAAGTGTTTTTGATTCGAGTCGAAAAGGTGCACGAAACAGTTGTAGAAGGAACGCATGGCTCGAGGAAGAGACTCGGTTTCAGCCATGGAGTGTTGGGTGATGTGGAATTAACTTCCGTGCATTCCAAGTACGAGGCTCATGCCGAGTGGGCATTTGGCGTCGTTGACTTTTGGCAACAATATGGAGGCGAGTTAGGCTTTCTTGATCCCCACAGTAGGTCACGCCCGTACACGGCATTCCTTCTATCATACCACCCGAATGCATCTCCTGATGCTAGATGGAGGAAGGAGATGACAGAGGACATAGTGCACATTTGGCCTCAGAGATACATCGAAGATTCACTTACCCTCTTGTACCTATAGTCGAATGTCGTTGACCATTTATGCATTATATATAGACGGCCTTGGAAATTTGGAATTGCTACATCATACCGCATCAACCACGACATGCCCAACAGTCCCTTATGAGTGTACGTATACACAAGATATCAATTGTTGTCAAGATAGCTCTTAAGTAGTACATTTGAATGTGGGCTTTAGTACTACGTACAGTGATACTACAACTTGATCGATGCGGGAGGGTGCGGCGGTACACGGAGTGAGTGCTCTGGACAGCGTTACTGAACTTGTTGGCAGGCCACGGGCACCATAAAATAGATCAATTTTCATTAAAGAACCATAACGTTCAGAGCAATGGTTGTCGAGAAACAGTTGTTTGAATCTGGGTGATCGAAATGTTGCGTTGCGGCGGCTGTAACTGTTTTGCAAATAGCAATAATGCTCGCCGTCGTTGGAAGACGTCCCGTTGCCCGACTGGTCCTCTTATTGGATTCTAAGGGGCAAGATTATGAGGCGGTGATGTATGAGTTTGACATACGAGTTCGACAGCTAACACTGCCAGTTCAATTGTCATGTACTGAAAATGGTGATTACTAGCTAAGCGCTCAGCGTCGAAGAAATACTAGCAGTTGTATGCGTTAGAGGGTAGTAGAGGGGTGTGGTGGTAAATTGCGGCGGTGCCGGTGATGCGGCGGCGGCACCCATTTATGGAAGTAAATTTCAACCTAGACGTCCAACTGCGACTGCTCGGGCGATCGGCAGTGCTGCACTGGATTTGAATCTTTTGATCTTTTAATGAGTCTCGGTCCTTGGGTGCCCTGCCAGTTCTGTCATTGGCATCATAGCCACAGATATCAAGCAGCCATGTTCTCGAGTCTCACGGGCGCGGGAAGGGCCCTTGTGTTGGAGTTTCTTTACTACGCGCTGACAGCTTGGTCTAGCAGTTGCCAAAGGTTGAGCAGCCCCCTTCTAGTACGTGGTCTTGACAATCTATAGATCACCAGAGTTGCCGATCAATCATGCTGATATCGTTCCTATGATCCAGTGATACCAAACGCCGACAACGGTATTTTACCCTATTTTGCATCCGATCTTTTGTTGTATGATCAATAGTGAGCTATACATATAAGATAATCGCACGGACTCGCTAAGTTCACAACTCGGAATCCTTGTCACTCTGCAGCTGGTCATGCAGAACCAGGCAACTAAGAAAACCTCACGACGACAAATGACTTCATTTGTAATTGGCTCACAAAGAACTCCAGGTCCGCTTGTGTCTACCATACAAGTGAAGGGGCACCTCCGCCTCCTCAGAGCGTTCCACAATCTGAGGGTCATAGTAGAAGAATGCAAGGACCGCAGGATTCCTGCCTTCGCAGTACAGATGGATAGAGATAGCCGGTGGATGTGGTTTATCACCCTGGCTATTGACAGGTTCGTTGCCCTTTCATTTAACTTACACACGATGACGGCTAGGCAAGATTCGAACGATGGGTCAAGTCTCTGAAGTTCGTACCTCTTGAAAAATTCATCAGCAAACAGTTTCCACCCATTGACGTGTGGATGATTTGGCATGCCTATCTATTGAATCCGTGGTGAGATTTATACTCTCCAACGCTGCAGAGCCAATGATTCACAATCTCACCTTCGGCAGTTGGTACGAAGAAGACTGTGAACGTCTCCTCGTTCTTCAGCAGCTTCGCCTGCTCAACATGTTTGTTGTAGCCTCTGTCAGTTCTCACTTGTAGTTATTTTCCTGGACATACATTAACTATGGGCAGATCGATGTTGGGAAACTTGCACAGAACCAGCCGACTGAATCGCGGATCGCCGCGTGGCACAAGCAAACTGGATCATTCTTCGATCCATTTGATGCCATTGAGGAGTTGACTCATAAACAAATGGAGTGTCCTCGATGTCGAACCCGTGTCTTCGTTCGTGAGTCAAAGGTTCATCCACCTCTTCGGAGGCTAACGTATTTTGCAGCGTTTGTTAATGACAATGGAACTGGGTACTCAGAACAGCAGTTTAGTGCTCTGTGCCCCCTTCCAGGATGTAGGCTGAAGATCACAAAAGGGAATCTAGCCGTGGCAAAGTTCGTGCGAGATCTGACAGAATCAGAGGATGGGAGCGAAAACTACATGGCGTTGAGTGGAACTCAGTCCAACGCTATTGTCAACCGCTGATAAGATTTCAGCGGAAGTTTGTTTTTTGGCAATGGAAAGCGAGATCCTCGACGGGCGAAGGCAATCAAAGATCAACTGATGCAGTCATCACAGTTTTGCCGAAGGAATCCTCAGTCTTCTAACCAGCGCATCGCTCGACTGGACTGGGAGAGAGAGATTAAGGAAGGTATTGGTTACTCCTGGCCACTGTTGAAAGATGCTATCGCAATAGCTCTCAAAGACCAACCAGAGGCAACGTATGTGATATTATGATGCGTTTAAGCGTTAGCAACATTTTCTCACCGTAGTTAAGGAGGACCAAAATTGTGAGTGCGTACGAAGATGACAGTCCATTCTCTATCAACCTCATTGCCGCAGTAAGTTGCAGTATTCCTACTATTTTCCATAGCTATAACATTTCCCGGCTAGGTGTTGCGACAAGGGATATTCATCAAAAGGATAGATGAACTAGGTTGGCTTAGACCTGGCGCATTCAAGGACGGCGATAAGTTGCAAGTCCTAGAACATGCTCTGCTTCGTTACCACTGGTAAGAGTGTATTTGTTGTAAGATCGTAGTGGTGGACGACCTGATCATTACTGTAGCTTCCTCGATCTAGCAGCAGCCTCACCGAATTTGATCCCTGTCCCTACTCTCGACATTGACCTGATTTGGCACACTCATCAGCTTATGGGGGGCAGGTATGGTGTTGATTGTGAAATATATATTGGCCGTCGTGTTGATCAGTGAGGAGAGTCACCTGACTCGTAGCTGTGATTATCTAATGTATATTGCAGTCCACTTACTACAGAAGAGGCCGTTCTTTCAACAGCTCTTGATAACACATGTCATGCGTGGCAGGTAATTTGGGTCGTTCTTATGATTGAGAATCAACTTTACTGATGAAGATTCAGTCACGTTTTCATATCCCATACATGCAGTGTGGCTGCACTGCTCCAAACGAAACTGTATTTCAACGGCTTATCCGCATTATCCGGCAGTACACAGGAACTCGAACACATCTTCAAGTGTCCCTCCATCCTGACCATCTACCCGCCACGCATCCAAGTATTCACAATGCTGTTCTCGACCTGGAACGTGGGGCCTTTGGATCTTTCAGCAAACCCGCTCATCCGCAACGAGACGAGAGAGACCTTGTCAGAGTCTCTCGTCCACTGGGGGTTCGGAAGAAGCGTTCGAGAAAGACTGATCCGGAACCTCCACAGCACATGGAGGAAGGCTTTGTTGCTGAGAAGATGACTGAGCAACATGTACCCCTCAGTCCCGCACCCCCATATGCCAGCCGCCATGGGTCGGCCGTACATTTTATGCATGACGTTTGACACCTATGTATTGTTCAGACCTGATTGATTGCTTGGTTGATGTATGTTACATGCAACCATCTCTGGACGCTTTTGTTGTATATCTAGAAATTCCTTCTTACTGATGGTGGGATTTCCACTTACTGCGTGCTTTTGTTGATGTCCCCGCTCACCGTGGCAGGACTGCAGATTCAACAATATCAATGATTGACGTACTTTCATAGGGCCTTCAAATACAATCGGCCCGTCGGCATCTTTCCATCATGGCAACACGAACAATGAATGATTGTCGTACTCTCCTGTACTCTAAGTCGGCGGTCTTTGTCCTTTGATCGAATTGGATCCATCATCGCCAATATGGACCCACAACGTAATAGCTATGTATCGCTCTCCCATGGGCCATGACCGCACAAGTAGGCACAAGTCCATGACATAATTCGATGTGATCTCAGATTAGAAGTTCTCTCTCTACCCTCAGAAAAATACAGTGAAAAAGCCCACCAGAATGCCTGTCGATACAGTTGGTGGCAGCGCTGCCTCCACCTCCTTCCGATTCGATCTCAGCCATTTGCGAGCAATACAACAGGCCATACTATTTCAACTCCAGGCTACGTGTCCTGATGCAGGACAATACGATGGATCACGACCTTTGCTCTGATCTGGTCGAAGTCATCGAGGAACATATCGAGAGCATTGAAGAAGTATATGAACTACCTGCGAATTCAGAACATGTGCTATGGTGCTAGCGCACTGACGATTCGGAACAAAGTTCAGCGAAGAAAACACTTGACACTCTTCATTGAGTGAGGATTACATCTAAGCATGCTTAGAAGATTTTGCTATTTGTTGTGTATCCCTTGACTTGGGGTCGAGGACGGATTTTCGAAGTGACAGCCGTGGAGAGTACGGTAATACCCTTCTTCAATAATACACATGCTGGACTCTTATAATCTTGAATGTCCAGTCGATCATGTAGAACCACAGTTTTTGTGGCAGCACTTGCCAGAGTATTCGACACATTACCGACGAATACCTGTGCAATTGGAGGTACAATTCCTGTGCGCAGTGGCACGTGGTGCTACTAGTGTATGGTCGATGATTTGACGTAGATGGTGTTTTATATAACCACTTCAGAGCAAGTCATCGGGACTGAGCGGGAAAGCTTTCCATTCGATGATCATCAATGCAAGCGTATTATGCAAGTATACAACATTCTCCGAGGTGGGTTAACGTGCAATAGAGACTGAGTAGGAGGTGCTCGTTACCTTATGTGCGTCGTAGCTCGCTCGAAGGCAAATAATGATGTCCACTTCATTCCTGCTCTTCTCTGGCACATTGCGAGAATCATGTGTGTTTCTTGGCTGCCCTTGGCATAGCATTCTCTATTCAGGAAGTCAGCAAGCTAGGGATTAAATTTTTATCTACCCTCTTGTGTGTTCTCACCATCTGCTTCTTTGGCGGGGTGGTATTTTTCTGGAAGATGTGGAGGGATGTGAATTCGCTGGTGAGCTAGTACTAATAATCCGAAAGGCTACGCAATTATGATCAGTGATTAGAATGTTGGTCTCCTGAAGTCTAGTGTATTTACTTGTGCCCATTCCTTGACACGCACGGCGCGCTATAACGTGTACATCATTTTCAGACCTCGGATGTTGAATTCGAAAACCTTTGGTAGAAGTTGTCATAGACTGCGAATCATTATCCACTTCGACGTTTGCACACCCAGATAAGTACTATGATTGATCTGATCTACGATGAGCCTTTAAAGCTTCAGCCCCCTTTTAGATGAAGGCAATGCGCCGACCATTACATCACATAATTTTAGCGTAAGTTTTGGAGGTGAGGCGTTGAAGCGTTGAAGTTGCTGCAAGCTTGTTGTTTTGCAATGTTTTGCAATAACATTTAGATTCTAACATGTACAAACAGTCTACTGTCATACGGCAAAAGCACTGAGTAGTTGGTCTTGGTACTTAAACTTGCCGGCAGGCTCTTCATGGCTGTCGCAACTCCCATAATTAATCCCCCAGAACTTGACCCTTGGCAGGATACCCGTCTTCTCTCTTCCGACGTCTTGCCGAACGGGTCCAACCTTTACGCAAATGATCTGCACACGGATGACATGCACATATCATTGAATGGAGGGCATCCCTCTACCAACGGACATATGAAGGCCGAACAGCAACAGACGAACTCATATGGTGACGGCAATATCGCCTCAAACACAGTATACATGGACCCAAAGTATGCAGCGCATGAATCTGAAAGCGGTGAGGACGAATCTGAAAGTGGAGAGGAGGACGACGATGATGAAGAGGAAGAGGACAGTGAAGAGGATGAAGGCGAAGATGATTATGAAGACGAAGAGGAGGATGAACCAACCCTTAAGTATGAGCGAATGGGCGGGGCGATTAATGACCTTCTCAAGAAGGACTCGGCTTCTGCTCTTGCGGTCTCGAATAAACTTCTGGTAAATCTTTCACTCTAACGCGAGTAGGAGACTAGTGATATTGAATCATTTAGGCGCTTGGAACACACAATGGTATTGTTCACATTGTTGATTTGACGGGCAAACGCATCAAGTCATATAAACCTCATCAAGCTTCAGTGAGTGATATAGAGTTTGACAACACAGCGGACTTCGTGGCGACTGCCTCTATCGATGGTAGGGGTGGGTTCTGGCTCGGCCACTCGATTCTAATAACCTCTACAATTAGGACAGGTTGTTATTCAGTCTCTGTCGACCCAGGAGTCATACATGTTCGACATGAAGCGACCAATCCGGACTGTAGCACTAGAACCTCATTTTGCGAAGAAAAGTACTCGATCATTCGTGTGCGGAGGCATGACCGGGACACTGGTACTGAGAGAAAAGGGCTGGCTTGGGCACAAAGAAACAGTCCTCCATTCTGGTGAAGGTCCAGTGTGGCATGTACGATGGCGGGAGCGCCTGATCGCGTGGGCCAACGACTCGGTGGGTTCACATGGTTCGTATCTTAGCCATATTAACATTGCACATGAGCAGGGCGTCAAGATCTACGACACTCAGTCCCAGATGCGGATCGCATTTATCGAGCGCCCAGCCGATAGCCCTCGTGCGGACCTTTTCAAGTGCACTTTACATTGGCAAGATGACTCGACTCTCCTGATAGGATGGGCAGACCACGTAACGATTGCGCACGTTCGAGAACGGCCTCAATCTCTGATCGCTTCAGGCAGCTCTAAACAGCCTCCTCTGATCGTTGAGATCACCGCCCCATTCCCGGTTGACTGCATGATCTCGGGGATCGTATCAAACTCACTCTCGGTGCCGAGAGCTCAGGGCGAATCATCTGTGCAGGACACACCATTGTCATCATTTTTGATATTGGCCTACCAAGCACCAGATACGTTCGGTGACGAAATGACGGAAGATCGTGCAAGACAAGCTCGTAAAACAGCTGACCGCCCTGAACTGCGGATCATCTCTCACACAGGTGAAGAGTTATCAGGCGATGCACTGGGTGTTACGAATTATCAAGCATGGAGCTGCAATGACTATGTATTGGCGGAGGTCGACGGGTCTAACTCGGGAGGGAAACCAGGAAGATGTTATGTTGTTCTAAGCCCTAAAGATATTGTTATCGTGCGGCCAAGGGACAGGAAGGATCATATCTTATGGCTCGTAGATCATCAGCGGTATGACGAGGCTCTCGAAGAAGTAGAAAAGCTCGATGAGGACGAACGTTCTGCGGACGGTGATCAGTCTGGCATCAATCCTATCGCCATAGGAGAACGATATATCAGACATTTGGTGGCAGAGGGTAAAGCACATTTGATATCATTTCTGCAGATATTAGCTTACAATATTGTCAGGCAACTTTGTTAAGGCTGCAAGCCTTTGCCCGATAGTCTGTGGCACAGACGTCGGACGATGGGAAGACTGGGTCTTTGTTTTTGCTCAAAATCAGCAACTGCAGGTGCGCTGACTCTGTAACGGTATATGCACGCAGCTTAGCGATTTTTTGGCAGGCAATTATTCCTCATATCCCTACGGAAGCACCTCAACTTGGCCACTTGGTCTATGAGATGATTCTTGGGCACTTCCTTGCACACGACAAGCAGGTATATCATGTGAATGTCCTGGACATAACTAGCACTGAATTTTTTGCGTAGTCTCTAATGCGCACTATCAAGGAGTGGCCAAAGTCAATTTACGATATATCCGTTGTCATTTTTGCGGTGCAAGCAGAACTTGAGCGATCGCCATCGTCATCATCCTCAAGAAGCTCCCCCGCACCGGACGCTATCATTCTCATGGAATGTTTAGCTGAGCTGTCAGTATAATTTACGAAATGGTTTTAATTACCGCTGATCCTGGTTCTAGTTATACCGCCAATCGACAATACGGGAAAGCGCTCCCAGTTTTCCTCCGCCTCAGACGACAGAATGTATTTGAACTTATCAGGGAGCATAATCTATTCACCGATGTGAAGGATCAAGTGCTCCTGTTGGTCGAGTTTGACCAAGAGCTCCTTGAGAAGCGGAAGCAAGAAGGCACAGAAGCTGAAGCAAGTTCCAGCGAAGCAATCGCTTTGCTGGTTGATCATGTCCATTCTATACCTGTACGCTCACGTTCTCCCGTTTTGTTTAACTTGTCTTAACAGTTGGACAGATCGTTCGCGTGGTCCAGCAGCTCCGCGATCGCCCCTTCTATCTCTTCCTTTATCTAGATGCTTTGTTTAAAAAGGACTCCCAGCTTGCGTCCGAGTTCGCTGATCTCCAGGTAAGCCCTACCAGCGAATACGTGTTTAAATGCCTGCCGTACCGATGCGCATCTACAGGTTACGCTGCTCGCCGAATTTGCAACACACCGCCTGATCGACTATCTTCGGGCGAGCACTTCGTATAATCTTGAGGCGGTCCGTTATCTATTGAAGCTAGTCACGTTGTTATCTAACATCCTTCAGGCGTACAACGAGTGCAAGAACAAGGATCTTGTAATCGAGATGGTGTTTTTACTTGGTCGCATGGGCAGTAACAAGAAGGCATTAACACTCATAATTGAGCGCCTAGGTGATGTGCACATGGTACGTGCTTGGGCAGATGCATGCCAACCAAGAGTGACATCTACCACATACAGGCCATCGAATTCGCCAAAGAGCAAAGTGATGATGACCTCTGGGAGGACCTTCTCAAATATTCTGAAACACGTCCAGGTAAACAATCGATGACCACTGAATTCTGCATGGCACTCACTTCATGTAGCTTTCATCCGTGGTCTACTAGAAAATGTCGGAGCTGAAATTGACCCCATCCGTTTGATTCGTCGGATCAAGAACGGGTTGGAAATCCCTGGCCTCAAGGAAGCATTGATCAAGATTCTTCATGACTTCCATCTTCAAATATCCCTTCTGGAGGGATGTCAGACAATTCTCAATGGTGACAGCTCCGACCTTGCCAAAACGCGCTCGAGGGGCCAGAATAGCGGGTTCTTCATGAAATGTGCGTAGACTTATTGCCATCCTCTTGCGTCGTTGATAGTCTCGTCATCTAGCCAAAACGATTTGTCCGCTATGTACGCAATCCCTACAGCGATCACCACAAGACCTTCTTTTACTGTTCTTGTGTCACCACGTAGTTCATGCCAGCTGTGTAGATGGTATGGTAGACATTTACAACCACGGGGAGCCCAACGAAGGCATAAGTGCGCTTGCCAGTGGAGTAAGCGCGAAGATTGCTTTGTGAGTTCGCATGATATCCGCATTTTACTCATTTCTCATTTATTCGATAGCGCTTCTGTAGTGCGGGCTAGAATTCATCATGGTTGTCCTGTTTGCCATCGGAGGAGCGAAGGGAATCTGATGTGATAGCATGTGTCTTCTCTCTTTTGCATCATTTACTGTACACCTTGCATTTTCCTGGACAGTTTATTTACCGCGGATTTCTATCGAGCACGTTCAACTGCTAGTGGAGGTGGCATACCTCCTGTAGTTTGTAGAATTTAATGCGTTTCTGAGATTCCCATTGTCAACGTGCATTCGTTCAGAGTTTTCCAGCCAAGACACAAAGCAACGCGGTTTGGTGTCGCAGTCGGGTATGTCGCAGTGGTCAGATTTGTGTGTGTCCATGGCTGAAACTTCAAACAGTTTTCAAGTATCTATTTGGCATTGTACACTCGTTGAATAAATCACGGCTTCCGCTCCTGGTCTAGCGTTTGAATCTCCAAATCCTGCATGACCTCCGAGCCTTCCTCATCTTCCTCCTGCTGTGACCCATCCTCAGGGAGCAACAAGTTCAGCACCAAGGCAACAAAGCCAGATATCAAAACTGCGATCCAGGGATTTAGTGCGACGGGGATGCTTAGAGCTTGTCCACTCACAGGGTGTGCTCAGCACGATATTAATGCTCACAAACAATCCCTGGAGGCCACTGTCTGGGTTGCTCACTCCATTAAACAGGTAGGTGAAAATATCAGGCACGAGAAGGTCCCCAATGCCGAACGACAACGCTGCGGCGAGGATGAATCTGTCGCGCCGCGTGTACTTGACGAAGGAAAGAACACGGAGACCTGAGACAGCGACGCTCGCGAAGAGGAAGGTTGTCACACCACCCAAGACGGGATTGGGTACTATAAACGATCAGTACACCTGGAAGAGGGACTGCGAAACACGAGGCATACTTGCGAGGAAGATCCCGGAAATCTTGCCGAGCACGCCGAAGAGAATGAGGAAAGTACAGCACCATCTGCCAGCCGCGCGGTTTGCACAGCGAGTGACAGAAATCACACCGTTATTCTATGTCAACAAGAGGATGAGACCATGTACAATGTGACACCGAATTTTTGCCCCGAACCTGAGCAAATATCGACAGAGGGGTGACAGTAAATAAGGCGGAGATGAATCCACCTATTCCATCGCTCTAGAACTTGGTCAGAATATCCTTAGAACTTCTGTGCAACGACGAACCAGAAGGCCGCCTTGTATTCTTGAATCGAAGTCATCTCCCTCGAGACGGATACGAGACACTTCCGCAGACGCAGTTATGTCGCCAATGGCTTCCATCGTCACCGAAACTTGACGTCGGTGTTGCGTTCAGCCAGTCCAAAAATGAGAGCTAATCATCTACCGTATACTGCCAGCATAGGCAAAATGGCTGGTGGGTACACATTGATCTTGAATCGATATACCCTGCCCAACATTTAGGCTTTGTTTCAACCTGCCATAAGGACGTTACCATAAAAATGTAATTGCAGGTGCAGTCGTGATGGTGCTTCCGTCGATGTACCCCGCTGCACCAGCGACGATACATCCCACAGCAAGCCCAACAATAATACTCGCATTCTTGAGGAAGGGAGAGCCGAATAGCTCCGTGAGGATTATGCTCACAAAAGATAGGAACCCGAGACCTATAAACTGGGGAGAGCCCCACCTGTCATAGAAGTGTTATTACCATCCTGTTTTCAAGATGCATAAACATACGGTAAAGCATGGGGAGAACCAACTGTTGGGCATAGCTGATATATCCCACTAGTCGGTCGTGCTTGACACCCATTCGAGCCACCACCCCAGTTAAGGATGCCAGAAGTCCCGACGAGGGATGCACCAATCATGAGGATAACGGTGCCTGCGGTAGTAAGTGAACCTCCACTAAGGCAGTCATAATTCCTACTCATACCAGTGACCATGGGAGGGAAGATCCGTTTCAACATTCGCGGAGGGATGAATGACATCCCGATTTCCAGAAGTGAACAGACGAGGGAAGTGCCTTCATATCATCAATGACTTGTTGCTTGCTGTGCACCAAAGTCCAACTTACCAAGGACCATCCCATAAGCATCTGGGCATGGACCTCGCGTAATAGTGCCATCTGCACTAGTTGTCGAAGGACATGTGCCATTGCCATACATCGCATTGAAAATCTGTGTTTATCAATATCAGCGACGAGTCCCATATATAGGACCAGACATACAGCATTTGTTGTACTGAGCGTAGAAAAGCTTGTCCCGACTACGGACAACAGCCCAGTACCAAGGTAATACCTATTCCATAGCTTTATGCGAGACATTTGAACTAGACTTAGAATGCCTGATACCCGAATCAGCTCTCCATAGTATAACTTGGTCGCAATCAGACACACCGCTTCCAATCAGCGAAGCTGATATCATGTAGGATGACGTTTCAGGGTCCAGCATCAAGGAAGCGGCAAAGATGATGGGCGGCGCAATGAGACCCGCAAGCATCGCAAGTGCATGCTGCAACCCGCTTGCCATAGCCAAAACGAGTGGAAGCTCGTCGTCGATGCCAAAAAATGGCGGTTGTCCGCGTTTATCTGTGGGAAGAGAGGGCAGACAGAGCCATCGATAGTCGTAGTCACCGAGCCAGCCGTGCTTCGTAGTCACTTTTCGTCGTGCGACGCTGAATATAGAGCGCGGATTGGGATCAGCTGCAGGCGATGGCTGTTCTTTGGTCACTGAAGACACAGAAGGTCGCGACATGATAGCTTTCTGCCGGGGAACTGAAGATAGAGATTCATATTCTCAAGCATTTGCAGGATATTTAATCCTGGCGTTGGGATTTACCACGTTCGAACCTTCAAATAGTTGGTGAGATACATGTTCACCCATTACCTGCTGACTCATTGGGGCACACAGGCGTATAAGGGACACAACTGTATCATAAATGTACTTAGTTAAACCGGATATACCGAACGAGATAAGAAAATTGCTTATCGCGCCTGGTTCCACGTAGTTGGCAGTGCGCATCATTAAAATGATCAGTACATGTGGATGATTTCCCGCAGGCTCACAAAATGCGGAACGGAATAGAGCCGGGTTCGAGATCGAGGAAATCCAAATGATCTATACCAGGTCGTAAACCGTAAGATCAGTCCCGGATATCAATTTCCGTCTTCTTAACCACCATGGATGATAGGCTGGTATTGCAGTGTGCACATATAGACGATGAAGGGATACCGATTCTCGACGACGAAGACGCGCGGTTCGTCCGAACCCATGATATGATGGGAAGTATCCGTCGCTGGTTATTCGCTCGACAGTCACAGTGGAGAGAAAGCGAAGCACAAAAGTGCCACGTCGGTACAACAGTAGTAGCGGGAAGTACGTGGTTATTCAGACACATCGGGGATTCGAATATTTAAGACTGGTTTGAATGTCGTGCGAAATGTCAAGATAATACTTAATATTTAGGTTGTCGTCTAAGCGGACGTAAAATTTCAAATGTTAAAGAGATCTTGCACGACAAGAGAAATATAAAGTATCAGCGAACATTTTGTTACTGTCTGAACATCAATGATAATAAGAAATATAAATATATCTTTAATGCTGGCATAAACTTCGAAATGAAACTTCACATTTAAGACTCGAAAAAACTTCAACTATCGCACGTGACTGAATGTCTGCTCATGTATGAAGTTTAGACCGTCGCTTAGATGGGCGTTAAAATTCAAAATACCCCCTGACAATAAAACGTGAAAATAAATCATCAAGTTTTATCTCCAGATAAAACCGATCACCCGACGATCGCCCACTCACGGCTGAATCATCGCCCACTTACAACGTCATTGCCCACTTAAGTTTGAGATGCAAAATATTATGGGACTAGACAATGTGAAGTGAGATATGAAATATTGTACACAAACATAGTAGAGTGAAACTGAAGCCTGTTTGACAGTAGTCAGACACCGGTGATTTCTCGAGGTGAATGAATCTACTTACAAAATCATTTCAACTTGTATACAGGCTAGTGCTAATTGTCTGTAAAAGCTGAGCAGGAGATTAGAGACGCACAAGTAACAACCAATTTATTCTTACCACTTGCTTTGGTGGCAAGAAAACTGCAAGATGCCGCGTTGACGTTTTTCATCATTTTGTTGGTGCCCGCATTGAATTTGAGTGAGCCTTTCCACTGTGAGCCAGTCATTGGACTGTTAGCATCATTAGTGAATTTATGTCACTCTCGTGAAATGCCCTGTCGAATGTTGTCTAGGCGCGACTGAAACAAAAATTCACAGCGACTGGACCAGAACCCCACATTTAGTCCTGAGGCAGCCCATGCCTGGGGCCTGGGCCACCAGGAGATGATTTCAACATTCCCGTCATCTAGATTGTTATTCAAACATAAGTGCCTCTGTCGATGTAAACAAGAGAAACTTACTGGTATGCAAATAATACGTCCCGCACATGAAATCTACCTCCTCTTCTGACAGCTCATCATCGAAATAAGTCTGGCCATTAATGTCCAGCATGAGGCCAAACGGTACTGCTTCCCGTGAAATGCCATCGAGAACGGAGGGGAGAACATTGAACCCAAGACTATGTAAAGCCAGCCGCCATATGAGGCCACCATGAAGAAGTGCTGCTCTTGCGTGAGGCTGGTTCATGAACTCATGACAGTGCTGCTTGTACACGATGTAGTCAGCAAAAACAGGCCTAAAACGGGTGAGCCTGTGATCCTTGGGGGGGAAGACATGTCTGAGCGAGTATGTATGGAGTTCCATAAGTGGGCATCGAGCATGAGGCGGAACTGAGATTGGCTGCAATGTCTTTATAGCGATTCCTTTTTCAAGGAGGTTACGCATGATCTTGGTGATATCCGAGCCCCAGTCACGCCGGAGGCACATTGCAGCCGTAATAGCGTCGGGAACCGCCAGTTTCCAGGGCACCAGATTTGATGACAGTGACTTGATGATGTAGAGCCGCTGCTTGGGTTGTTGCACATAGGAAACTCGAATGTGTGTGTTCGAGACTGACAGGGACGAGTCAGGTCCTAGATCCCAGAGATCGGGCGGGATGTTTGACAACTGAGATTGAGGGAGGGTGACGAGGTAACCTATAAAACATGTGATAACATGCTTCTGTGCGTCTGGAATTGACGTGATATTCGTGGGGTTGTCGCTGACGAGTCTGCATAAGTGAGTCCACTGTGTCTTGTGCAAGTCCAATCATCGAATGTAGTTGATCTGCCTTGGGGTGTAGTGGTGGATGCTGCAAGGCGATATCCGAGATGAAAATGCAAAATTGAGACAAATTGCTCAACACTATGAGTGTATTGCATAGAAGGTGCAACCTCATAATGACCGAAGTAGGCTTCGATGTCTTTCAAGAAACTGGACAAGGGTGGTGGAGGGGCAGGGGGAGCAGGGGCAGGTTCAGAAGGAGCAGACAGCAGGCGTGAAATCATCTTCCTCCCAATCGCCATCAGGAACTGCTGGTAAGATCCAATGCATCACACAAGTCCCACTCATTACAGAACGAATCATATACCCTGGTAGATTTGCTATACGACATCCAAGTCATTGGTATCTCAGCCTTTGTGAGACAGATGCATTGACGAAAGCTGCCAAACTCGTCATTAGGTTGCCATTCAAACACCACGACTGTGTTGGATTTGCCAGGAATGCTGTGGTTCATGGCTACCCGCTCACGGCTCTGATGTGACTGCCGTTGAGCTGGTGTCTCTGTCTCCTCTTTCCTCTTGTTCTCCTGACGGCGCCACGCAAAGAATGTCTTCCAGTCTTCTCCTCGCCTCTGTCCAGAGTGGGGTTGGGAGACTGGGAACAGAGAGTCCACATGTGCTTCAGGAACATCAGACACGGGCTGTGCCCCACTGTTCTGACCCCATCCAAGGGCACTATCGTCCCAGTTAAGGACACTCTGAGTGTTGTCCTCTGGTCAACCCCACATACTATAGTCCGGCTCACCCCAACCCCAAGTGTCAGGCGTCTGCTTCCTTTGGGCTTCCTTGGTCGCACGGGCGATAGCTGCCGGAGATGCGATATAATGACGCAAAGTAGAATCAACGGCGGCAGAAGTATTCTGAGAAACGCGGACCCAAATCGGAAGCGAGAATTTCTCAAACATGGGCAATTGAACTTGCCAAGGACAGTGAATGGAAGAGATCAAGGCTCCCGTACGTGGCACGTTTGTCGTCAGATCTCCAATGAATGAGCGCGACAACTCAAGAACCCATTCAGCGGGTATGGGATGTCGGGGGTCACTCGTTAAGATAGCCGTCCACTGATTGGCACCTTGGTATCAATGACTCATGATGTACCATGAGCAGGTGGCGGCAATTACTGGAAATCCGTCAGGCAATCACAAACAATAAATAAACTGGTTGACTTACATAGAAATGCATCACACGACCTTATTGCAACCTTCTTAGCAACGCTAGCGTCTGCATGCGACCGTTGGTACCCATAGGTAGTTCGGAGCGCGTGGAAGTTTAGTCCCCCACGGAATGAATAATCCAGCACCCAAATGTTCCTGGCACCAGAGCAGTTTCTGCTCTAAGTTGACCCATTTTGCCCAAATATCACGGTGGAGAATGTGCTTTCCCGATGGATCTACCTCTGTAAGGAGGGAAAACCTGGAGTGGTTGAGGCATCCAAAGATCGGCCCATCAAAGCTAGGATTCAAAGGTACAAGGGGAAACCACGGACGAGTTCCGTATGCCCAGCGAGTAGTGAGTAGCGTATTACTATCGTTGGGAGAACAGTTGTAGTCTTTGTGAGGATCCCAAGGAGGTTTGTGAGGTATGACGTCAGGAAGGGAGTGTGCAGTGAGAGAGGTATAAACCTGCCCATCACGGATGATGACATGGAGATTGTTACTCATGGAAGTGAGGAGACGCAAAGAGTATCACAGTCAAGACTACCGCAACAGTACAAACTGTTACGTTAGGTTTAGATGAGAGACATTGAGAATATCACAGTCAAGACGAGAGACGTTCGCAGTCAAGACTATCACAACAGTACAAACTGTTATGTTAGGTCTAGATCAGAGACATTGAGAATATCGCAGTCAAGACTACCGCAACAGTACAAACTGTCACGTTAGATAAGGAAGAAGGTAACAAAATGAGAGAAGTTTGGTGCATCTAATATAGACGTAGTGGAGTTTCAACAAACAATTACCATATCAGTGGCAACAATACCAGGGGGTGTGGTCTGTGGTCTGTGTGGATTGAGACAAGTGGAGGAAAACAGAACAATGCCAGGGCTGTGGCGTGAGATGAGTGGAGAAAATTAAAATTAAAAACAGGATTTCGACTATGTGGCTTGAGACGTGGAGTAAAGAACTACTGAATGAAGATGACATTTTCCGATGATTAAGAAAATGATTTTGGACACAGGTATGTATTAGAATCTTATGCAAAGTCTGAAGAGAGGGAGAGCTGGCGGCGACCTGAGCTTGGTGTGGATCATTGGCAATGAAAGCAGAGAACGCCGGGTGGCACGACTGTACATACAGTCATGCCCTGGAAAAGGTCGTTGAAGGTCATTGTCAACGAGTTTCCACCCAAGTTATTTCTGCGATAGGCGGTCCCATAAAAGACCAGAAGGATGTTAAACCCATGATCAATATGGGACGAAGGGTCCTATGGAAGACCAGGGAAAAGATGTTAAACCTATGATCAATAAGAGGAGAATAATGTCATGACGACTCACTTCATAGATCTGCAGCTTCTGCCCAAGTTGTTTCTGCGATAGGCGGTCCAATGAAAGAGCAGGGTAAGGATGTTAAACCCATGATCAATATCGCAAAGGGCTGCCACGGATGTCAAACCAGGAAGCGATGGATGTTGACTTGGAGTTGGGACGTTGGCGGTGGTGATGAAAGTAGAGAACGCCGGGCACGACCATACATACAGTCATGCCCTGGAGAAGGTCGTGAAAGGTCGCTGTCGACTAGAAGGTGAGGAAGGTCGTTGTCGACAAGGAGAATGGCAGGCTCAACAGTACAAACCGTCGAACCTCCTAGAAGAAGGTAGTAAAGAACTTAGTAATAGTAATAAAGATGAGGGACTTAGAACTTTGGCGACGAAAGCGCCCAACAATCACAAACAACCATATTCGGAAATTGTTACATAACATTGACTGCTCAAGCCTTTCAACCCCAATGTTTATCACAACTATGAGCACAACAGTATGTACTGTCGTGCTCATCAAGTTCATCATTTCCATCTTCGGAGCACAACGGTATGTACTGTCATGTCTCATGTGTTTCAATAAATCCCATTATCACCCACCTCGCCAACTCCATCCTTTTTTGCTGATCAAGCCATCAACTCCTCCAGGTCATCCCCTCTACCATACATACAGTAGAGTGGGCGATGGATAATCCGCCTTCACTTACTGCGATCCTTTAGATCATGTTGGTCCATTCCTCCATACATCCTCTGAGTCAGGTAAGCTCCAATTGTTGACAGATCCAACCATTAATCAACCAATAAGTCCAGCCATCAACACCCATCATCTCCTCCACCGTACATACAGTGGAGTGGGCAATGGCTAATTCGCTTTCGCTTATTGCGACCCCTTGGATCACGTTGGACCATCCCATCCATCTTCTATGTCAGGTAACCAAGTCGTTTGTTAAAAATCCAACCCCATTGACCAACCGTTAACCCCTCCACCATACATACAGTGGAGGGGGAATTGACTTATCTTCTGTTCCCTGCAGTTCGCTTACACCGTCTATTCAACACGCTACTATGCTACCCCAACTGTCATCCATCGGAACGTCTCATCTGACACATTCAACCTTTCTACCTGACCTCCAGTAAGACCATCAAACCATCCGCCGTTGTATAGGGCCTTGGGTAATCCAGTGACCGGGTTCCGTACAGTTGTCAAATTTCCTGATGCGTGTATTCTTTTCATTGGTTTGGAACCCTGGGGCGCGAAAATTTCATCATCCAACACTCTCTGGTTATCAATGATATTCAGTTCTCACTCTATCCCACGACACCATGCCATGTTCTTGACCCAGAGTATGCATTCGACGTCGTTTTCTATGTCACTTTCTTCTGAACTCATACCCCCATCTCCCAGCGTCTTGATTAGTTTTTGAAGCCACTGCCAAGCTGGTAGGTCATTGTCCTCACCATCTTTCTTCAGCTCAATAACTTGCTCCAGAACTTTTGCTCTGCGGAGATATTTCTATAGACGCATTAGTATCCAAAGAGCCTTGAGATCATGCTGCGGACATACATTTTGCCGACGAGTTGTTTGGTGAACTGATTTCAGATTTTCACCTCTTTTTGCAATTAACCTCTCCTCCACTTCTGCTGCAGTCTCCAAGCTGCCCTTTGCTGTAACCTTTGGTTGTGCTGCTCTCCAGACCATCCACAGCCGCTTGTAGCGATCTTCAAGTATCGCCTTATAATAGCCATCCAACCTCCGGAATGGCCACTCCTCTTCTACACTCCTCTTCTTCAATTCTTCAAGGAGAATATCGAGAATTTTCGCATTCCAGGGGGTGTTAAATCCGTGTTTGAGATCAAAGGCCAGATTCTGGGTGTTGGGGCCTGGGCCATCTTCGTACTTGTACAAGTACACATCTTCACGATCCGCTGGTTGGTGCACAATAAAATCTGCATCTTGAGATATACTGAAGGTATCTTTGAGGAGATGCCGGATTTCACCCTACTTCATGCTTAGCATCAGCATATACATCAAAAATTTAACTCTCACAAGAAGGAAGTCTCTTTCATGGCTCAATTCTGCAGCCCTTTCTATCCTATTTCATCATCCTGCTTCTTTTTCCTTCGAGGACTACACTTCGTGGATGTCAGGATATCCTTATCGACAAGGATGTGTCTGAGTGCCGCCTCTATGCCTTTGGAGATCGCATTTTCCATTGCAGACATAGGGTAGATGTTGTCAGGCTGAAATTGCTGTGGCTCTTGCTCAATCGTCGCTGATCGTTCTCGATGTGTTTCCATAGGGTCGTCAGTGTCCTGCTATGATGTGAGTTTAAAACGAGTTCCAACTGCTTAGTACTTACCTCTACTACAGATACCAGGCGCATCTTGCGTGTTGTTCCACGTGCCTTCCTGATCTTTTTGATTGTCTTGAGGCACGGAGTCTTGAACTGTGGTTTCTGGGGCATTTGGGGTGGCTGTTGAGCGTTCCTTCAGGTGGGATTTGTGCCGATTTCTGTGGCCGCATGCTGTTGCCTACTGTGTCTTGTGAAGCGCTGCTCCATGTTAGCAAGCTTGTTCTCTTTTTCTACCTTCATTTTTTCTATTTCTAGTTGTAGCCTTTGCTCCATTTCGGCAAAAATGGCTCTCTCGCATTCTTCTAACTGCTTGACATCATTAGTGATTCCCGTGTTCAGTCGTTCTTCCCCACCTCTTGATTTTTTCTTGTATTTAAATCTGCGTTGTGTCGTGCCAGTTCTTCAGTCAACTACTTGCCATCATTAGTAATTCCTTGGTCAGTTGTTCTTTCTCACCTCTTGGTCTTTTCTTGCACTTATTTTTGCTTCATGCCGTTGTGGGTGAGGAAAATAGACTCTGGGTGATTCAGAAGTCTAACAAGGGTGCGAGACTTAGACTCATCCCGAGGGGATTGCTACTGGATAGCGAGTCCTCAAATAAGTGTGAGGAAACAAAGACTAGACTCTGTCTAGCGACCCAAAGGGTTCTGGTCCTTACAAGGACTGGGAACACAAAGATGTGGAGGGTTCCCGACGAGTGGAACTCAGTGCACGATGAGCGGAACTAATGTGCGACAAGCGGAACTAACTGAACTAATGTGGAACAAACAGAACAAACAGGGAACAAACAGAACTAATGGGGAACAAACGGAGGGAAAAGAAACTACGAGCCTGCAGGAGGATGGTTGGGCAAAGTCGGACCAGGCTTGTGTCTGGTACTTGCTCCAAGTCGTCAGATCCGATGTTGGGAATTTCGAGCAGAACTCACGGGGGCGGGAATGATGCAATGTGATCAGGAATAGATTTGGGAAGATATTTTAGACAGTGAGTGGAGTACTGGGAAGTACTCTGTAAGTGGAAGTGGAGTCGAGTCTATCAGAAGGTAAAAAAACTAAGATCCCATCTATTGCTACCTATATAGGAAGGGGTTCCAAAATGCGCTATGCTACAACCGGGTGAGGCTGTGAGATAAGGAATCGGTCCCGAGTAGTAGAAGGATCCGTATAAGTACTGTAACACATATGAAATGAGATAGGAACATGTTAGTAACATGGGGAACATAGCTAGTACTCACCAGCAAGGATGGAAGGATAAGGACAGGACGGAGGAGGATGTTCCGAAGGCTAAAAGGATATGATGCATGTGGTACGCGATTGTTCCGCTGGGTTCCGCTTGGTTCTGCTTGGTTCTGCTTGGTTCCGTGTAGCGGATGGCTCGGGGAAGATGCAGATGGGTAGCGGGATGGTAGCGGAATGCACTGGGAAAATGGTGGGAAGGCATGGGAATTATACGGGATATGGGCCTACAGTGGGGACGTTCCCCACACCGTGCTAGTTCTTCAGCAATGTTCTTCCTCAGCAGTGCTTGCTGCTGCTCTTGCCATGTGTGAATTTCCTATTAACTTGTAAGCATGCATCTGACTGAATGCATCTGTTGCACTTACTTGCTTTTCCCGCTCTCGCTCTCTCAGAGCTGCTTCCCATTGCTCATTGAAATCGTGCATGTGGCACTCACGCTCTTCTTCTGCAATACATTGTTGCTCCTCAATGTGGTCTTGAGCTTCTCGGTGTATCTGCCGGTATGATCAGCAGTGTATTTTCAATGAGTTTCTCGTGCGTACCGCTTCAGTTTCCTGTATAATATTGTTAATATGTTCTTGTTGTTCATACACAGTCTGGCGAAGTATCTGCAAATAGTCAAATTCACGAAAGTGATGCTTCCCAGATATCTGGATGGGCATTATGAGTCATGGAAGCTGACTTGTACTATCTACACACCACTTCATCTCTGGCCCTCTTGTTGAGTCGCGGCACACTGGTGGGAGGCTGACTGAGAGCATCCACGAAGTCACCAGCACCCTTATCGTCATCTTCATCGTCACCAAATAAATCTGTGTCATGAGATGTTTGTACGTCTTCTGGCTGAAACTCAGGATGTTGCATGTCGATGTCAATGTTATTGACACTCATAATGGGGCAATAATCCATCATCAGTTTGCAAACATCATTCCTGGGTCTTTTTAAGTTATGTGCATGCATTTTTGTCTTGATTCTTTTAGACATCTTGTTGTATGAATGAACAACAGAAGTTCCAACAGGTCCAGGTTCATCTTCATTGCTTTCAATTATCTTTTGCTCTATTCACTCTTACAATTACCTTGTACAATTACCCTTGGCGACCAATGTATTAACAGGAATATATTACTTCATACAATTACCCTTGACAACTAGCGCTGCAGGATTATCATTGCAGTATTATCATGCTTCGGTTTGGCTCTCCACTATTTTTTTTGTCAACTACATCCCCTGAACAATTATGGTTATTGTCTTTGACTCAGCACGTGAAGTTATTAAAAGACGGATCGCTGCTATAGCCTGCTTCCATCGCCCGCTTTCATCGCCCACATTCATCGCCCACTTCTTAGATTATTGCCTTGATTGAATTACAATCAGATGGTAAACACTCGCACATATATCCTTCCAACATCTGCTGTAAGTTATCACTTACTACCTCACACCCTTTATTTACCTTCAAATCAGATCCTGGAGCTTCACCTGTGGTGCAGGCTATATTCAGCATTGTGGACCAGACCCCGTCAGGTCACTATAGTTGACTGTGTTGCTCTGGCCGCTCACACACTGCTCAGCGTTTTCCTGTTCCTGAAAGTCTTCTCGAGGAGGCTACCATGCAGCCTTATGTTCACAACTGTTTCGTGAATGTGTGCGAAGGGAGACACATCTATCGATTCTGCATCTTCTTCAAGCGACATCTTCATCTCAGAGCCAATGTGCTTCTTAGCAGGGGTTATCATAAGTTCCAAGGCAATGCAGTTGTTATGAGGGTTGGAGCCAACCATCCCTCAGTTGTGAACATGCGAGCCAGCGATAATGCGCTTGCTGACTTTATAATTTACCAGTGAGTAAACTCGATGATCTATTGAGCCTACCATAACTATCTTTTCAGCTTTGCGCAAAGCATAAGTAGTCGTCCAAGAGCTAGGCTCCCACATGATCTTACTCTTGTGAAACCCTTGAGCACTTGTACCAATTGTTGGTCAGCTGCAAGGTGTGGAGTAGTATAATTTCCTAGACTACAAAAGCATTATTACATACTGAATTTCTCAGCTGGACTGCAGATATATGCCAAACAAGATCCGTTCCATATAGAATGCCATATTGTTGTAGTACAGTGCCATGATGATCTTGACCAAATGTTCGAAAGCGCCGGCTTGAACTGATACTGATGGGTTCTAGGTAGCTTCGCAGACGACTTGCATGATGTAGTTTCGCTCTCCCTGATGCGCATAAAACTCATGGTTACTAGTTGGTATTCCATCCTGTCTGATACCGTGAATGAATATGCTTGATTTTGGAATGCCAGCTTAACATAGAATGCATACAGCACGTAATAATGATGGAGACATCTAATGCAGTGGGGGTATCACTTCCTGACCTTGCTCTTGCTCTTGCCTACAGCCATTTCTCCCACCTTTCGTCTTGCACGACCAGACGTGTATTTCAGGCATGTCATGATCAAATCGTTGACTGGCCACAAGTTGTTATAATTGTCAAGGTCTGGGAAGTTGTCGAGTGCCTGAGATGATAAGTTCATTGACAATATTGAGACTCTGCAAAACTGTTCACCTTGCCATGCACGACATCCAATAGCACGGGACTTTGGGCAGAAGCGCATTTTGTCGTGTCAAGGTGGTCCTCGATGAGACTATGCATAGACCTCTTAGGAATTCGTGAGTTAATTTGCAATACAAAGGGTACAATGACAATTTGCAAACCTTGAATTTTGCATATGCCTTTGGATTCCAATCTAAAGCTTCGCGAAGTGTGTACCCCCCACGCCCCGGACGCCCAGGTTCACCGGCAGGTTTAGGAATATTTGAGTCTTCTGATAAACTCATGCTCGAAGTTGAGGAGTCGCTATTTGAGAAAGAATCCAAAGAGCCTGAGGAATCTGAGGGTGAAGGCATTCGAGAATGGGAGTGCGTGGAAGTGACTTTCTTGGTGTATGGAGAGGAAGAGCAATCAGAATGCTTGCACATCTGCTTCGCAAGCTTGGATTCAGGGGTGGGTGTAGATGACGAAGCCCTTGCAGTGGGAATGATACTAGCTTTAGGAACTAGGATTTCATCGGCAATAAGTGTAGTTGGGCAACGATTGGCATTGCCAAACAGCTCCAGCTGGTCCATGAGCATTGGGGGAAGAGGTGGTGGAGCACCAGGCTCCAAGTCATAGAAAGGTGGAACAATTGTAGTACTGCACATGATAGAGAAAGAACCGAGTAGCTACCTGGAACTTAAGGACGGTTCATGAGAGGTAAAGCATTCAACAGACTACCATATTGAGCAAAAACAATAAGGGGCTTCGAAAATGGTAACCAAGAATAGCACTTACAAAGAATAAGAATAAGAAGAATAGCAGAATAGCACTACACAAATGGTGTCGACAATGACTATAAAGTTACCATGGAATCAAACAAATACAGTAACAATACAAAAGTATTTGAAAACAAATGAGAAGTACAGATAAATACATTGTGAGCAGGTGACTACAGCGGATCATATCATAATGTCCTTCCTTGCATTGTTCAACAAGTCAGCGCAGCCACTGTGTTACAAGCTGCTCACTCATTTAACTGCCTATAATGGCTCTATCCATGCACTTGTGATTTCTAATGATGGACACCTGCTTGCATGCGGTGGTAAGAAAGCAGAAACTCAATCATAGACAGGGCTAACAAACAAACAGGTACCGAGGGAATCAAACTCTGGGATATCAAATCTCGGAAAGAACTCACATCTTCGGCTAATCATCATGAATCAAGGGGAACAGTCAGTTGCGCAATCTGGGCCACAACTATGAAAACCACGGCAGAAACCCTCTGTTATGGAACAGGCCTGGGTTATATTGTATGTTTGTGACACAGTCTCACAGATGTAAGGGCCTAGGTTTGCTGTTCAACCGTCTGTTGACACCAACAGGAAAAATTCCAGGAAATATGCACCAGGAGACTGGGAACAGGTTTTGAGATCACATGCTTGTCATGGCATTCAACTTCCTCTGAAGGCAACCTGCGAATTGTAGTTGGAACTAGAGACAAAATGGTTCAGGTTCTGACGCTCAACACAAGCTCACAGCTCCAGTCCGTCTTTGCAGTGCGACTTGAAAATACGGTGCCCAAGTCAGTAGCGTTTGCAGATAACCGGAGCATCTATGTGTTCGGGCTCTATGATGGCAACTTGTCAGTCCTTCCACTGCATACTTTCATTGCCTATTGCCTGATGCTGAGAGCTGAACAGCATGAAACTGAAGGATGAAGATGACAACATAGTGCAAGAAATTAGCTGCAAATCAGTGATGTGAGGAACTACCAGCTCTTGACCTGGGCGCGTTACTGACATTATATAGTGGTCATGCTGTGGTGTACTCAAAGTGGGGAATTTTCATTGTAGATAATGCAACAGACGGCTTTACATTATATCGCCTTGAAGGTGATGGTGAGCTTGTTCGAACATTTGCAACTGGTTTGCCAAGTGTGTCTGTCCCGAAGCAAGTGGCATTTGGGGAAGAAGGCAAGGTAGTTGTGGGAGGAAGTGACCATGGGCTAGTATACATATTTGATCGGAAGACGGGGCAGATACTTGAAACCCTCCACCACGCGGACACTGGCCTTGTGCAAACAATATCCATAAGTATTAAGACTAGTTGGAAAGAATGTCACTAAACTGGTTTAGACACGTGATCTCAATGGCCACTGCACAATTGCCAGCACTTCGCCCGTGCCAGGGCATGGGAAAACTACAATCAAGATATGGGCATATGACTACGCAGTGCCAAAGGTATCCAAGGCGCCCTCAGGGGATTACTGGTCCCTGTCGCACATACTGGTGATGTTGACACAACTACTGGCACTGCTATCTATGAGTGTCTTCCTGCTGATAAATTATAGAGACAGCTTTTTGGTAAGTGGGCCAGTTGGTCAGCAGGGATCTAACTAGCGCACCTTTAGGATAGCACACTGAACCACGTACATGGGTACATGACTCCGGCAACAATGATTAATGTGACCAATGACTTTTCACAGTGTGTCCAAGCTGCCATTATATTTGACAAGTATGTAGATATCGAGAAGGACAATAAGGAAGGGCCGACTGAAGGATACGTCAAAAATGACATTATGATGCTCCGGGAATTAGTGGCAAAGCTCATGGAGCTAGCTCAAGAAGTGGATGGAGAGATAGACAAAGATGAACATAGGGGCAAGCACAATACTGATTACCTGCGAGCAGCAAAAGGAGGTGAAGAGACGAAGGACCTATCTCTCGTCCAGTACATGTAGCACACTAGTTGAACATAGACATAGGTTTTGCATTATGCCCTCCACCGCATTGGGTAGATGGACATACAATAAGTCAATTCCCCCTCCACTGTATGTATGGTGGAGGGGTTAACGGTTGGTCAATGGGGTTGGATTTTTAACAAACGACTTGGTTACCTGACATAGAAGATGGATGGGATGGTCCAACGTGATCCAAGGGGTCGCAATAAGCGAAAGCGAATTAGCCATTGCCCACTCCACTGTATGTACGGTGGAGGAGATGATGGGTGTTGATGGCTGGACTTATTGGTTGATTAATGGTTGGATCTGTCAACAATTGGAGCTTACCTGACTCAGAGGATGTATGGAGGAATGGACCAACATGATCTAAAGGATCGCAGTAAGTGAAGGCGGATTATCCATCGCCCACTCTACTGTATGTATGGTAGAGGGGATGACCTGGAGGAGTTGATGGCTTGATCAGCAAAAAAGGATGGAGTTGGCGAGGTGGGTGATAATGGGATTTATTGAAACACATGAGACATGACAGTACATACCGTTGTGCTCCGAAGATGGAAATGATGAACTTGATGAGCACGACAGTACATACTGTTGTGCTCATAGTTGTGATAAACATTGGGGTTGAAAGGCTTGAGCAGTCAATGTTATGTAACAATTTCCGAATATGGTTGTTTGTGATTGTTGGGCGCTTTCGTCGCCAAAGTTCTAAGTCCCTCATCTTTATTACTATTACTAAGTTCTTTACTACCTTCTTCTAGGAGGTTCGACGGTTTGTACTGTTGAGCCTGCCATTCTCCTTGTCGACAACGACCTTCCTCACCTTCTAGTCGACAGCGACCTTTCACGACCTTCTCCAGGGCATGACTGTATGTATGGTCGTGCCCGGCGTTCTCTACTTTCATCACCACCGCCAACGTCCCAACTCCAAGTCAACATCCATCGCTTCCTGGTTTGACATCCGTGGCAGCCCTTTGCGATATTGATCATGGGTTTAACATCCTTACCCTGCTCTTTCATTGGACCGCCTATCGCAGAAACAACTTGGGCAGAAGCTGCAGATCTATGAAGTGAGTCGTCATGACATTATTCTCCTCTTATTGATCATAGGTTTAACATCTTTTCCCTGGTCTTCCATAGGACCCTTCATCCCATATTGATCATGGGTTTAACATCCTTCTGGTCTTTTATGGGACTGCCTATCGCAGAAATAACTTGGGTGGAAACTCATTAACAATGACCTTCAACGACCTTTTCCAGGGCATGACTGTATGTACAGTCGTGCTGCCCGGCGTTCTCTGCTTTCATTGCCAACGATCAGTCCACACCAAGCTCAGGTTGCTGCCAGCTCTCCCTGACAACAGAGTTATATTTCCTTGTTTGGTAGTTCTTGTAATGAACATCATATTTCTGTACAAGGCTTACTGCTGTCTTGTTATTTCATTACTGGAAATTGCGAGTTGTTTCTTCTATCATTGTTGTTCATCTGACTTAAAAGCTTGCCTATGCAGTCATTTCTGGCTCTCCAATTCTACAACTCTCGCTCCCATCCAATTCATAGAAATGACAGTACATACTGTCATTGCTATTGGTGACCATCCTGAATCAACTTCCATGGCTGAAACGAAGCTGTCTTATTTTCGCCCCGCTCCTCATGCCTGTGTCTCGCTCACAGTTCAAATGGTGCTTCTGTGAGGAATGCATCAAAACCGGTGATCATGCTGAGGATGGCACCCCTAAGGGGGTACTCATCGCAGAACGTCTTATGGTGTCACGAATTCCAAATACGAACCATTTTTCATTCCTCAGCTTCCCTCCGGCTACTTCTAGTTACCGAACCGATCACATGACCTCACTTACTGTCACACCTTCACCTCTTCATATATCACCCATGGTTTCTCCAATTGGCTCCCCTACTCCATGGGCTAGAACAATCTCGCTTCCCAAAGAAGAATCGGTTGGAGCTTGGGTTTCTGTTTAGTTGCCATATTACTCACCTGCTTATATATCATGATGTCATGCTCAGTCATCCGCAGTATTGTACGACTCTGTTCTCATTGGCTGATTTCTTTTAGACTCAGATAACTCCTATTCAATGTTATGTATATAAGTAGGTTAGTTAGTGTAAGTACTCCTTAGACTTAACCTCTTTGTTCTCTACAGTTGTAGTAGACCTAGACGTTCACACTCAATCCTATCTTGTTCATCATCAACTGTGACCGAGTCCTAGTGGTTGTGATCTGATCTTTACCATTCGGTGAATGTTAGTCATAACATATGGCTGCACATCTACAACGCACCAAATGTACCCAAGCAGAACATGCTGCCACTGGCTCTCCCCATATGGACGTCATCACGGATTTGTTAGTCTCACAGCTCCACGCACTCACCCTTATCAACAATGAACCGCCTGTTTCTCACCCCAATCCCACTCCACCATTATCTATTATGGCTCTGGCAGATGATCTTGAGCAACCCACTTTGCTAGATCCTTTTGTTACCCGTGAACCCAGAGTCACCATTGCTGGCGACGTCTCCCAAAAGATCACACATCAGCCAACTGTGAAGGCCTTGACAGTCCTTGATAACATAGAGTTCCACATTCAGCGGTGCTTTTGGTTGTTACTTGCAGGTAATTCCAATGATGTTGGTTGCAAGCTACTATTGCTGCGCACAGCTGTGGAGAACGTCAAACGAAATGCAGACCTTGTGATCACATGGAAGAGGGCAATTATGTTGGAGATAGATGGCTTAGAAGCCCAGTTCAACAGTCAAAAGCCTCCCGAAATGGACTTACATGCAGCAGTCAAATTTGATACCAGTAAGAGTTGACTATCTTCATCATGATCGTGTTCTGAATAGTCAATAGATGTTCACCATGAATCTCCACTGGATCAGTGTGATGAAATCGCACAGGTCGCCTTATTCATCACTGTGGTGTGTAAAGTCATCATGGGGGTCAGTAAGCGAGCCTGCAATTTCCTCTTGGGACTTATTTCAATCATGTTATTCCTTGCTTTCCAGAGATCAGATGGTAGCCTCAGCTCTTCCCATCAAAATGTGCTCAGGCAAATTCCAATGAATTTCAACACCACGCTCTCAAGATTCCATCTCACCAAGAAAACTGTTGTATATGTGGTCTGCTCCAGCTGTCACTGCACTTACAGCCCCCATCATGCAGACGGCTCAACTGTTCCTATATATCCTGAACGTTGCACACACCACCCCACGCCAGAGGCCGAATGTGGCAAGTCATTGCTCAGCCATGGCCCTGATGGAGTAGTGTGACCGAAGAAGACATTTGTTTACCACAATTTTAAAGACTACCTCGCCGGTCTCCTCTCCTGTACAGATATCGAGGGGGCGATGGATCAAGCCTGCGACAATTTGCAAGACTCAATCAATTCCCCCCATCCACCTTTGATGAAACACGCATTCGAGGCTCAGTTTCTCCATCAATTTTGTGGCCCAGACCCAGGTTCACTTTTTATTGATAGAGGAGATGAAGGGCGCTATGCTTCGCCCTTCACATGGACTTCTTCAACCCGGAGGGCATGAATTTGCATGGTGCTAACAAATCCTCTGGCATCATCTCTATGGCATGCTTGAATCTACCATTGGATATCAGGTATAAGCCTGAAAACATGTATCTTGCAGGAATCATCCCGGGTCCAAAACTAGCCGTCCCTCGAGCATCTCAATCACTACATCCAGCCACTTATCGATGACATGGTAGACTCATGGGAGCGCAGCATCAATTTTTCCAAGACTGCTTGTTTTCCTACTGGCCGGCTCGCTCACAGTGCTATTGTTTTGGCTGTTTGTGATCTTCCTGCCACTCGACATCTTGCTTCTTTAGCTGGAACCAATAACCATTTTTTTTGTAGCGCGTGCAATTGCTACCATAAGACCATGTACGGTAGAGTGGACTTCGAAAGCTGGAAACCTCATGATAAAGATGAACTCCGGAAGTTCGCTGAGCGGTGGAGGGATGCTGTGACGACCTCTGAACGAGAGAAACTATTCAAAGCTCACAGTGTGTGCTATTCAGAGATGTGGCATTTGCCATACTGGGATCCCTCGTGCCAGCTTGTTGTCGACCCGATGCATTGTATATTGGAAGGTTTAGTCCAGCATCACTCTCGTAACCTTCTCAGTTTGACTACAGCAACCACTTCATCGACTTTATCCCCTCTGGCCTTTTCATGCGACTTAGGCGATATGCCTCCAGGGATGACTTTGAAGGAAATGACTCAGGTTGCTGCTATATGCACCCTTCTTGTTTCCCAGTTGTCTTCCAATGACAAAAATCTGGATAACCTAAAAAATTCGCTGTTTCGCAAGAATACGGGACCTCTCAAGTTTGTTTGCGAGGCCTTGCAATGCACTCCCCAGAAATCTAGTAGATTGTTCAAAATCGACTACATCAAAGCTCTCATGGAATGGGTAAGTTCTTAATATGTCTACTTTGTTGCGAGTTTTTTTATGTTTGTTCTCAGCACTGTGGGAAACCTTTTGCTGCTCCTGAGAAGGAGCTTCAGCTTGGTTCTCTAGATGCCCTTCATTGTGTCCGAGATGTCATCCAGCAGATAATTGTTCCATCTTGGTTTACTTCAGTCCCAAGTGATTTCAGAAGCGCATCTGCCAGGACGATGAAAGCGGACGAATGGCGCTCTCTAATCACCATCTACATTCCTATTGCCCTGGTGAGCTTGTGGGGGGCCGGCACCTCGCATCCTTCCGATGAAGTTGGCACTCACCTTAGAGCTGTTCTTGACCATACTATGGAACTTGTTTGCGTGGTGTATCTCACATGCGCCCGAACAATGACTGCAGAGAGAGCACACATGTATCGCTCTCACATTGTGCATTATGTTGGAAATTTGAAGAAGATATACCCTACCTTTGCTCTGCGTCCAAATCACCACGCTGCCTTCCATATATACAACTATCTACTTCTATTTGGCCCGGCCCACTCTTGGTGGTGCTTTCCTTTCGAACGTTTGATTGGAATACTTCAGTGTCTTCCAGTAAATCATAAGACTGGTGAGTCTTTACAGAACACCAGTGTGTAATAGCGGGATTGACTTTTCAAGGCGAGTTGGAAACTACCATGTTATATTCATTTATCAAAACTTCAAAACTTCACTGTTGGCTTAGTCAACCTGATTGTCCGCCAGCTATTCAAGAGTGCAAATTTCTGTTTGACAGCACGTATGCTCCCAAGAGTGCTTCAACTCTCGGTGAAGAACTTGCTGAAGATCCTTTGGACGACAGTTTACAGGCTCCTTCTTCCGCTGTAGCTGTGGCTGTTCCTGAAGACTTGTTTGCGCTTATCAAACGATGCACAGCAATATTACACACACAACTAAAATTCAACAGGATTGTCTACAGCAGAGCCTCTACTCACATCGGGAATAGTCAAGTTTTTTTTCATCCTCAGGGTGACCAGTTATCGTCTCCTGTCCCCAGCAGTATCCAACATATCTATGCTACACCCATGGGTGAACTGGTGTTTGCTGTCCACAAGCTCCTCCTGCATCACAATCAGACCATTGATCCATTTGCTATGTATCCTTGTTTTCCTGCTAAAATGTACTCATCAAGCTCAAGTAGTCATTTGGAAAATGTCAAGGTATCCTGGGTTGTTAGTCACTTTGCTCAATGGGCAGTTTCAAGTGATACGGTAGTCATATTATCTCTATCTCGTGTAAGTACATTCATTCACCTCCCGAAATCACCAGTGTTTGACTACTGTCAAACAGGATTGATTTTCAGTTTCACTCTACTACATAGGTTCGCGTACATGTATATAACTCATTGTCTAGTCCCATAATATTTTGCATCTCAAACTTAAGTGGGCAATGACGTTGTAAGTGGGCGATGATTCAGCCGTGAGTGGGTGATCATCGGGCGATCAGTTTTATCTGGAGATAAAACTTGATGATTTATTTTCACGTTTTATTGTCAGGGGGTATATTGAATCTTAATGCCCATCTAAGCAATGGTCTAAACTTCATACATGAGCAGACATTCAGTCACGTGCAATAGTTGAAGTTTTTTCGAGTCTTAAATGTGAAGTTTCATTTTGAAGTTTATGCCAGCATTAAAGATATATTTATATTTCTTATTATCATTGATGTTCAGACAGTAACAAAATGTTCGCTGATACTTTATATTTCTCTTGTCGTGCAAGATCTCTTTAACATTTGAAATTTTACATCCGCTTAGACGACAACCTAAATATTAAGTATTATTTTGACATTTCGCACGACATTCAAACCAGTCTTAAATATTCGAATCCCCGATGTGAGAGTTGCACTTTTAATTATAGCTGGAGCTTAGCGCTTAGTCACGGTTAACGATGTCCGACAAACCGGTTTTCAGGATCTACTTATTATTAGTACTGCATCATGCTAGTTCTTCCCTAGTCATTCCTTCTTTATCAAGGGACCTGGCTTGTCTTGATTTCGATGAAACCCATCACCGCTCTTTGGTAAGCCTCAGTCCCATGGAGAGTAATACCGTGACTGTACTAAGTGGCATTGTGTCCGACATTCAATTCGACATACTGACTGTTTTACCTTGTTGCCTTGGGCCTTGGCCAGTATGCTAGTAGCTCTGTTAGGTCTTCAGTTTCGTGCAAGGCCTTCACTGCCCTCCCGACAAGCAGAAGTCTGCTGATGCTTGCAAATGCGCCAAAGGGTCTCCGACGCACTCAAGTCAACGTATATCATTCTCATAAAAAAAAACACCTCCATCACACTGCCAGAACTAATCGTGCTTCCGCACTGGTTTCATGCCTTTGTTGCCTTGGGCGAGTGGCTTTCCCAGGTGTCACTCGGCGCTATTTCATACACAATACCTTCGGTATATCAAGATGTCTAGTAGATACTCGACAAAAATTAAACTTGTCGTGGTTTTCGGGTGCATAGGGAGAAGGGAAGCTGATGGAAGCCATGAGCTTGAGCCTAATGATGCTGCGTCACCATCAAGATAGAGATGCAACCCGTGTACTTTGATGTTATACCTGTGCTGTGAGTTGCGATTCAAGTTGCTGAGTCAAGCTACTTATGGAAGATCCGAGGTAGCCCCAAGTTGTGAAGGTAAATCCCTACGATCCCGAGCGAAATTCGACTAAACTCGTGCATACGAAAGCATACGAAGTATGATTGCGAGCGCTTTGATCGGGGCGTGGCACTGGCTAGGGTCACTGATTGATGTTGATTGATGCCGCTTCACTTTAAAAATACGTCAAGGCACAGGTACTCAAGCCTGCGGTATGTACTTCATTCGTGTTGATTGATGTCAATGTACCGCATCACAACCCTGGAGGCGCGGCACGACCGCGTCATCCTACACAGTAATCTTGCGAGGTCTCTAGGTATCGCTCAGTCACCACCGCACATCAAGACGGCAGTGTTGGTGATCATTACCATGCCACAGCGCAGGAGGTAAAGTATAAAAGTCGTATGGTTATTGATACAAGTATTTCCATAATACCACAGAAACAAATATCTGATCAACAAACCATGTCTCAAGAACGCTTCACGTCTTTTGCTATCATCGGCGCAGGTCCTAACACCGGGATTCCCATCGTGAAGGTGACATTCATTATAATATCCTTGCAGTTCTCGTCCTCAACCATCGCTATTAGGCATTCCTCGCCATTGGCGCTCCAATTCTCGTTATTGCTAGGCCGACATCTACGAACCCCTCTGCTTTCCCTGCCGATGATCCTAACCTAAAGGTTGTGCGCGCAGACTATACGTCTGCATCTGAGATCTCCGCAATTCTTCGCGAGCACAAAGTAGATGTTCTCATTTCCACCGTTACCCTTGTTTTCGGAGGTGTAGTTGGCCAGAATGTTCTCGCCGATGCTGCCAAGGAGGCAGGTGTGAAGCTCTTTGTGCCCAGCGAGTTCGGTATTTTACCGCAATTAGCCAAAGGCGGTATAGCTTTTCAAAAGACTGACTTCGCAGGCGAGTAATAATTATAACACTTCGTAACGTGGACTCACCCTCCATTAATAGTTTATGCAAAGTCCATTGGATTGCCAACTCTCCGCATCTTCGTGAGTAACACTTTTGGATGTTGTTGTAAGCACTGAACACGATACACGGACAACTAGAATGGATTGTTCTACGAGTTTGTGCCTTGGCTCACCGCGCTTGCTGACACTGGCAAATTTCATATCGTGGACAAAGGAGAAACACCAGGGTCGTTCACTGCGGTATCCGACGTTGCAGGATACGTGGCTCATATTCTTACCACTCAACCTCCATCTCGCCTACTTGATGTTGAAATTCACATCGAGGGACAGCGCGCAACGTTCTCGGAGATCGCTGCCCTATATAAAGGCAGCGTACCTGTGGTACATTGTGATGCCCTTCCTATGGAAGGTGTGGTCAATGCGCCATTCCGTACTCTCTTCCAGAAGCACATTGGAGTTGGAGGGGGAAGTTGCGGGTGGAACCCTGTGACAAAGTCGGACGATCCGGTATCAGCTAGCAGGGACAACTCACTATGGGAGGGGCACCGCTGGTTGACCATTGGGGAGGTTCTTGGACTGTAATGTGGTGTAAATGTGCTAGATGCTGAGTAACTCCAGGGGTTCTCTTAACATAGACCCGATACATACACGAAGTAGGGTGAATAATCGTGCATAGTGTCTTCCCATTGCCTGTGCCAACGGTGATCCCTGCAAGCAAGCATCTTGCACAGCCATCCCCCAGTTTTTCTGCCTGCTACCTCGAGGGAGAGGTTTACGGTTTGACTCCGAACACCAATGTACTGTAAGGCTTTACGAGTTCGACCAGGAAATGAATACATAGATCATGAGAGATGTGAGTGAATGGGAGTCAAGTCACTCCTGGTATCGAACAGTACAGACGTGCTTCTATACGTGAGTGAGTGGCTCATCAAAGCGGTACTACAAAGGGGATTCCATCGTCAGCGGAGTGGCACTCCTTAAAGTACTCAACTGTAAGTTGCCTGTCCTCACTTCTTGGAAGTGTTTATGTATCACTCCCCGGCGTGACTTCACGTTCATGCTTCATAAGGCGGAGACGAATCCACCTAGCCTGCACAACCCGTGGCCGGCACTCAGACTTCATCTCGACCTGCCATAAGTTGGCCACAAGTAATAAAAATATAATTGCCTCGTAATGGTGCTACCGCTGATCGGTACATACAGCATGCAATGTCCAACCTAGGGCCTAGCCATAAACAAAGAATCAGAAAAAATGGTATCGTCCCAGGGAAAGGGGGTTGAAATCGGCATGCGTTGTACAAATAACGGCTTCCGTTCCTGGTTTAGTATGGAATACGCTTCTTGTTAAGGTTGGTGCCACTTACATTTCGTTCGACTCGATGCTGAGCGCACGTAGGAATACCTTCACATCTTCCGGGGGGCAAGTGCCGCGAAAAATGCACCGCGGGCATGCGCAAAGGTAACTTTGCGGCGACCCACTCTATTAGCAATGTTACTGTTCTTCGATAGCTTACCGTATTAGTACATCGCCACACACGTGGTTAAAACCATCTAGATCTCGGTTAAAGCTGTCGACAAGTGACGGATGTGGGGAGATGTGGAGTGGGATGTACTGAATTAATGCGGGGATCGTTTCCGGGAGTCATTTATAGGCGTTTATTGGCTCGCGAGGTTGGGGCCTCTGGGGGTTACAATAAACGAACGAGATAAGAAATTTCCTTATCGAGTCTGGTTCCACGTAGTTGGCAGTGCGCCGATCATTACATAAAATTAAAATCATCTGTGCATGTGCGATGTGCGTGATTTCTCGAAGGCCCCTAAAGGCCCTCGGACAATGTGGAGGCGGGTCCGAAATCAATTTGAAATCGAGGGAATCCGGACCAGGACAAAGAATCAAGTTACACCTTCTTAACCCCCACAGATGACCTGACATTGCAGTACACACATGGATGAGGTTTTGATTCTCGACGACGAAGGAATGAGGTTGGCCTACACCCGTTGAGGCTGGAGCAGAGCATGCACGACGTCGTAGCATCGACGTCCGGACCCAGGCCGCCAATGACCGTACCTGCTTCTGGTTGTCCGCTCGACAGCGGAGAGAAAGCGAGGCACACAAGTGTCATCGGTACAACGGTAGTAGAGGGAAGTGCGTGGTTATCGCGGGTCCATTTTATATAAAACGCTTCGTTCGACTGGAGTGTTTGGTTAATGATGGCAGGTAAAGGTTTCCAGGATCTCACGTGTCCTGACGCCTGTCACCGCACTGGAATATTTTCGGTAAGCAGATCAATCCAGTATGTGATAATATGACATTCCAGTTCGACCACCTACAACATGTGGATTGCTTAACTTACAAACGGGGGCCACATGACGTTCAACCACCAACTTGGGCTCAGGAGAGCCCATTTCATGTGTCACCACGTTGAAATCAGCGTGCGTTGTACAAATCACGGCTTCCGTTCCTGATCTCTCATTTGAACCTCCAAATCCTACACAACCTCAACGCCCTCCTCATCTTCCTCCTGAGATCCCTCCTCCGGGAGCAACAAGTTCAGCACCAGGGCAACAAGGCCAGACATTAAAACTGCCATCGATAGATTTAGTATCATGCTACAAGAACGCGCAAGACTTGTCCGCTTACAGGGTGTGCTCAACACGATCGTGATGCTCTCAAACAACCCTTCGAGGCCTTTATTTGGGTTCTTCACTCCATCGAATAGGTGAGTGAATATACCGGGCATAAGAAGGTCCCCGAAGCCAAACGACAGTGCTGCAGCGAGGATGAATCTATCGCGCCGCGTGTACTTGACGAAGGAAAGAACACGGAGACCTGAGACGACAACGCTCGCAAAGAGGAAGGTTGTCACACCACCCAAGACAGGATTGGGTACTAGAAATGGTAAGTGCCTGAAAGAGGACTGGCGAAAAACGAAGCATACTTGCGAGGAAGAACCCTGAAATCTTTCCGACTGTACCAAATATGATGAGGAAGACACAACACCATCTTCCTGCTGCGCGGTTTGCACAGCGAGTGACGGAAATGACACCGTTATTCTACGTCAACTACAAGATGAGATCATGCACAACAGTGACACAGGAGATGTTTTCAAACCTGAGCAAATATCGACAGCGGAGCGACAGTAAACAAGGCGGAAACGAATCCACCTATCCCATCGCTCTATGACTTGGTCAGAATATCGTTGGCGACCATTTGCATGAAACTACGAACCAAAATACCGCCTTGTATTCTTGAATCGAAGTCCTCTCCATCGACACGGATGCGAGACACTTCCGCAGATGCAGTGATGTCACCAATGGCTTCCATTGCCAGCGAAACTTGACATCGGTGTTTCATTCAGCCTGTTCCCCAATGAGAGAGCTATGCTTACCGTATACTGCCAGCATAGGCAAGATGGCCGGTCCGTACACATTGATCTTGAATCGATGTACCCTGCCCGAACCATTCAGACTTGATTTCGACGTACGAGTGTAGATACATTACCATAAAAATGTGATTGCAGGTGCGGTCGTGATGGTACTTCCGTCGATGTATCCTGCCGCACCAGCGACGATGCATCCCACAGCAAGCCCAACGATGATACTCGCATTCTTGAGGAATGGAGAGCCGAATAGTTCCGTGAGGATTATGCTCACGAAAGAAAGGAACCCGAGACCGATGAACTCTGGAGAGCCCCATCTGTCATACGGTTGTCATTACCATCCTGGGTTCACGCGTGTCAAACATACGGTAAAGCATGGGGAGCCCCAACTGTCGGGCATAACTGATAGATCCCGCTAGTTGGGCGCGTTTGACACCCATTCGAACCACCACCCCAGTTAGAGATCCCAGAAGCCCCGATGAGGGATGAACCGATCATCAGGATAACGGTGCCTGAGATAGTAAGTGAGCGTCCACTAAGACAGTCACAATTACTAGCCATACCAGTGACCATGGGAGGAAAGATCCGTTGCAAAATTCGCGGACGGACAAATGACAATCCAATCTCCAGAAATGAACAGATAAGGGATGTGCCTTCATAACACCAATAAGTTATATTTTGCTAGGCACCGAAGTCCAACTTACCAAGTACCATCCCATAAGCATCTGGGCACGGACCTCGTGTCACAGTGCCATCCGCAGCGGTTGTCGAAGGGCATGTGCCGTTGGCATACATCGCGTTGAAAATCTGTGTTTATCCACGCCATCAATAAAATCGCATGCGTAGAACTGAGGCAAGCATACAGCATTTGCCGTACTGAGTGTAGCAAAACTGGTCCCGACAACGGACAACAGCCCAGTACCGAGGTAATAACCCCTCCACAACTTTACGTGTGACATTTGAACTAGACTAAGAATGCCTGGTTCGCAAATCAGCTTTGCATCGCATAACTTGGTCGTGATCAGACATACCACATCCGATGAGTGAAGCTGATATCATGTAGGACGACGTACTAGCATCCAGCATCAAGGTACTAGCAAGGATGATGGGTGGTGTGATGAGACCTGCAAGCATCGCGAGTGCGTGCTGTAACCCACTCGCCATAGCCAGAACGAGTGGGAGTTCATCTTCAATACCATAAAACGGTGGCTGTTTGCGTCTAGCTGTAGGAAGAGAGGGTAGACAGAGCCATCGATAATCATAGTCACCAAGCCAGCCGTGCTTCGTAGTCACTTTTTGTTGCGCGGCGCTGAATATAGAGCGTGGGTCTGGATTAGCTGCAGGCGATGGTTGTTCTTTGGTCACTGAAGACACGGAAGCACACGACATGATCGTTTTCTGCCCGAAAAACTGAGGACAAGAATTTCCGAGTGCTAATCAGCGTGCACGACCAAGTGGGTCCAGGGAAGGATCCGGCTCCGGCTAACCTAGCTTTTATCATTTCGACAAACAGTGGCAGGTACCCCAAGGGCCTGGGGGCCAACAAGGCACCAGCGCTTGGTTGAAGGGGTCGAAGATAAGGGTTCCCAATAAGGAAATCCAAATGTTGCAGCTTGCACAGCCACGCCGGTCCACGTTAACCCATACCTTGAACTTCAGCGCTTCAACACCGTTCACTGTGTCGAGCAACCATGACGAGGCCGCAGGATAGTTTCACTTTTACGGTTGGAAAGCTCGGTAAGTCCCTGGTGATCCACGCGTCCATATGACTTATATTGAATCCAGATGCGGGCATGGCTGTAAGTCCCAGTTCAGTACGTCACCCAAACATAGAATGACGCGGTGCAGATCCTCCTGGGCGAACGTGCTCACCTCATAGAGTTCCCATCAATCCTACTTCCTCCTGGAGCAACGACTGGTTCCATAGTCAACATCGCAGTCCACCAGAACATCGCTGAAGAGCGGAAGCGAGACGGTGAATTCTGGTCACTTCAAGACGATATTCTAGACAAGTTTGGAAGTCACTCGCCTGATAATCCGCAGCTCGAGGTACACAGATCCTTGGAATCTTTTTGATATAATCCTCGTCACTCACACCGTCGTTTACAGCTCCGCAACGTGACCCAAACCTCTGTCACGCTCGAATGGCCGCCCATCAAGCTTGCTACTGCGAAACTACGTTCGCTTGATATATACAAGAACGGCCAGCGCCTTGCCGCAATTCCTAATGCACTAAGCAACTACTCCACCAAGCTTTCTGGACTCTCCGTAGACACCCCATACAGTTTCCAGCTCATGCTCCGTACCTCCGCAGGAGTCTTTCCTTCGAACCTCATCCGCGTGCGCACGCACACGATCGCAGATACAAGCGGCATTTCAGTATGTTTTGCTAATGTCACAGACAGCGTGTTGCTGGAAAATGCAAAACTTGCCTTGAAGGAGATGCGCGCAAAGTGGAGCGACAAAATTCAAATCGACACAACTCATTTTGTGTGCACTACCCCTGCGGTCACGCCCACGGGTGCACAGCCAGCCGGTGGTGTCGCAGCAGCTCCAGGTGCAGAATACCAACGGGCCTTGCAGTTAAGTATCCCCGTAGTTCAACCGCAGTGGATATTGGCGTGCCACAGTGAAAAGAAGTACGCATTTCATCTATTCATGGAGTTTGTCGTTGATTTTTCCTTTTTCCTAGAATGGTGCCAATCTCGGGTTACTATCTCGGTGTCACCCCACCTACGCCTTCTGGCTACTCCAACGTCCCCAATCAATGTCACAAGCCTCTCTCCCCAGCTCCGCCGCAACTCACAAAAACTTAGCATCTCGTCAAAGCCTCCCAGCAATACGCCACTCTACACCGCCGGCTGCAACCCCACAACGGCCCATCCATGAAGAAGAGGGCGAAGAGGATCAACCGCCCCCACCACAACCGTCGCTCTCTGACATGAGACACAAGAGCAGCGGTACGATGGATAGGAATTTCAAATTCCCAAATTCGTCGACCCAGGGTCAAGCCCAGGAATTACCGCCGCCTGTCCCATCTATCCCTACGCAATTGCCTGCTCCTAAGGCAGGGCCCGAGGCACGTTCAAACCATGCAAATGAAGACGATACGACGCCCGTGGTGGTCGTCGCGCCATCTAGCGTGGAAGTGCCTCCCCCTCCTCCGGTGGAGAAAGAGATCCGGAAGAGCTTCGTAGAATCTGAGGGCGAAGAGGAAGTTGGCGAGACGGTAGAAATTGATTTGCGGTGAGAATCAAATGCTCGTCGTCTACATTGTCATGTAGCCCCCGGTGTCATGAGGTAGTGGCTTTTGACTGTGTCGTGTGCGATAATTCCTTCGACATACATACTTATCATCGATGTTTTATTTCGCGTGATGTGGTCCCACGAACATCATCAACAAAAGAGCCTGAACCGTATATGTGAATATATTGTTGCAATGTAAGACCTTGTGTACAGTGGCTGACGACGCACTCAGTCACTACATCTCCTGGAATAAATCACTATCTTCAAGACAGTCTTGTCAGTAAAAACTCACCAGGGTTCGATTGCACATGACCTACTCGCAGAAAATCGTCGAGCGTGCTGGCCGGCGTTGTAGTACTTACTTATTGTACTATGTAGCAGATTTCAGACAGAACCAAAGTGACACTTAACAAGTTAACATTGATTATTTTCTTTTGCATTTGCACACTTCAAACGACCAACCGAGCTCACATAGTCTCCCGTAGGCAGACCAAATAGAATGAAGATAGTCGTTCAAATCACAAAAATTGCTCAACCCAGACATGACTATGTATGGTCATGTCTATGGTATCAGTACTGTCGGGTATATCGCCTGCCAGCCCAGGTATGTCTTGTCATCCTAGGGAACGCTAAGTTCGATCAAGATGGGCATCTACAACATAGTTCCGCTTGCGACATTGTTCATCGTCTAGATAGTTCAGACATTGTATATCACTCAGATATATCCATGTGATGAATTGTATATTGTCTCTATACGATGGCACAAGAACATATAATACAGTGTAAGGTACGAAAACGCAAGTCAATGTCGTGCGGAGTCCGGAAAAGGCATACATCAGGAAGATAAAATGAAACAATGACAATGTGAGTCGGGAGGAATGAGCCCATGATGAAAGTGTGAAAGTATGAGAGCGCGAGAACTGAGTGAAAACGAGTCCTGCAATCAAAGGTATGAGTACTAGACCAATAAGACGACAGGAAGCATATATCATGCAACAAAAAAGAAGAGTCTGTCTACCTCCTGCGTGTTTGTTTCCTTGCATGTTTTGTAGGCCGCTGAACTCCATGGTCTTCTGAATCCTCGATCGGCACCTGTTCTTACCCTTCCTCTTTCTTTGTCGTTGCTGTAGTTGCATCATGAGCTAGGCTAGGCAGAAACTCAAAATGAAGAATGGAAGAGAGTGGAAGCAGTGCGCATATACTCACCTTCAGGCAATAAATGCGGATACACTCTGTGCAGAGATACTATGTACAAGAAGGGGTGGACCAACTAAGCTAGTACTAGTGTGTTACCTTGGACGGAGATTCAGGTTATGAACTACAAACAGTAGCCACGAGGGAGATGGTGGTGGTGGGAGGAGAAGTGGGTAAGTGGAGAAGAGAGGCCTGGTTGGGGGAGCTGCTCGAGTTCAACTTGTTGGAGCCTTACATAAAACAACCCCAACAGTTTGCGTGGAAGTGGCAAAGTGGACCAAACAAAGGACTTGGAGGAAACCGAGTGCGCATAGATCTTGTCGACAATGTAGTGCATATATCATGTAGATACAAACGCATCGCAGATGCACGTCTTTGTGATATGTCTATATCAGGTCGGGATGTCGCCGACATGACCCGACAGTGACCTGTCAAGTGCTGTGGCGCACAACAATCTAAATCTAACATCTCAGTTGAGCAATTTTTGTGAAGTTCCTTCTATACTGTAGAGCTCACACATTGTTCGGCAATCAGCAACACCCAGCTATTGGTAGGCGAGAACTGCCAGTACTAGTGATAGGATGGTTTGGCCGCAAAAACCAAACATGACTTGTCACTAGTATCAATGTTCAACCACTGCAATCCGATAGCCATGAAATCTGCCATTCCACGGTGTGTGGGCCTCACACACCAATATTACTGATATCATGGTCTGAATATGCTGCGCTCAGAAAAATAGCACAAGGAACTTCCTTCAAGGTCTGTCTGTTCTTTCATCGAATATACTCATGTACGTCGCAGACTCGCACCGATCTGACTTGTGTGGGTGGGGTATTGTGAACGACACAGAAAGGTTCTCCCTCCGAGCTGTCCAGCGCGCAGTCCATGTTGGGTCTAAGCAGAGGAAGTGAACACTTGTTTGTTGCGGTGCGTTTGATATAATTGGTATAGATATTGATTGATGATCCATTCGAATTATACGCAACGCTATGAGAAATGAAAATGTTCGGTTCCAGTTCGAACACTCTGAGTGTGTAAGTGTGGATGTGCCGTTATGTTACCCGTCATGGCAAATCCACATCTTCCCCCTTGGATTCCATGCATTAGCCACTGATTGATCCCGTTACTAGACTATGAGAGCTTATAGTTTCCTCTTTGAACTCGTTCGATTCCACTCGTCACGTATCGATCAACCGCTGGCGGTGTCAAGTACACACGCTTTCATATTTCCTGTACAAAAATGACGGAGAACACTTCTATAGTGGACGATCTCACCAACCCCCATAACACCCTCATTCACAACCTATTGGCGAATTCAGCCGTCCCCCCTTTTGCTCCTCCGTTCGCATTCGAAACGGAGTCCGGCTCACCGCGTATGTTTAGCACGAGCCGCAACACGGCCAGCTGAAGCGCTTCCAGGCGGAGAAATAGGCCACAAGACGCGTTCTACAGAAAAATTGATGACATTCAATGCCTCCTCCTTCTTCGCGTCATGAGTTGCATTGATCGCTTCACCAAGATGCTGTTTGATCGCTGTCCGCAGTTTCCTGGCTGCGTCATCAGCATCACCCCCGGCACCGGTTGCGTAAAATTCGAATGGGGGAGCAGCTGTACCGTCCCCTTCCCCGAATGGTTCCTTAACCATAAACTCGGCCAGGGGTGTGATTATGTTGATCATAATCGAATGCATGTTGGAGATAAGGGCGCGCCGAAGAACAAGATCGCTAACTTGCCAGGTCTTCTGGATGGTGATAAGCAGGTAGCAATAGGCTGCATTTGATGCACGCGCCAGCTAATAAACCATTAATGGTTTCAAGGACATAGATAGAGTGCGCAATTCGGATGCTCACTGCATATACAAGCACGTTATCCACATACATACTTGTCGTTGGCGATGTCGGAACAGCGTGACATTCCCACTCGGTGTGCTTCTTGTAAAGTTCGAGGAACATCTGGTAATGTGCATCCTCGACTCCAACACTACCTTCGCCTTGATCAATAATTGTCTTCAAGGTGTGGTGGGCGGACTCTTGGTCAGTCACTAGAGTCATCGCGGTAGGGAAAAATTCCGTCGGTGAAAACTGCAGATTTTTGTTCTTGAAAGTAATAAACGGTCCGCATTTTTTGATCACTTGAAAAATAATGGGTGACGGGCGGCTGGTGAAGGAAAGTCGGAGTACATACTGTCTTCAAGCTTGGTATAGAACTCTCCGATGCTATTGTACGTGGCGAGGATACCCGCGTATGGAAGTGAATCGTTCTCTTCGTCATCCACGAGTTTTGGTGGCGCCTGGTAAGGAGCTTCGATCTGACATGCATAAGTGGTCAGGACAGGTGTCTTATATGACACGGGTGTCCAATCACCTGCAAAAAGCATTCGAGGTTGCTTTTTCCACAGGGTTCGAGTTTGAGTGGGATCTTTGAATGAAGAATGACATCGTTGGGACCATATGTCGGCAGGACTGCAGCAGAGTAGAGCTGGGGCCCGGACTCGATTGATGTCAGGAGATTTCCAGCGAGCGCCAAGTGTAACATCTCCTGGTGAGCAACAACTAGAACGAAGTTATAAAAAACAGGTGGAAATGTGGGTGGTGAGGATTGCTTGAAATCTTCCGCCTCGCCTGGGTGCCAGCTTTCCCATCGTCTTTGATGCTGTACATTGAGTAAAGATACAACTGGATTAAATGAAGTGCAAAAGGTATTGTTTAAGTAGAAACCGCGCGAAAAGTGTTCTATGTCCTACCGGAATAGTTGTAAGTTCGACTTTGATGGCGTCGTGGAGCATCCCCACGATTGCGAACTTGAAGTCGCGTCGTTGTCGCTGTCGCTGTCGCTTTGATGGTGCCATAGTGAAAATAACTGGTAGAGGCAGTTAATTGGGATGTGGGTGTTGATGGCCGGTACTCTGTAGTCTCAAGCCAAGGGGTTGTCCATTTATGCATGCTCGATTAGGTCCCGTTTACTAGTTCAGCAATGGAGTACGCCCTATAACATGCCACTTCAACTGATACGTCGAACATTGGATTGAGAACTCAACGTACTTGCCACCAAATGGGGTTCAACTGGAAATACGGATTTGAATTGATTGGGCCCCGGATCTGGCACTTACATAAATTCAGAATCAATCATACTTACGTCCATACCACCTGTCGATCAACTTGCAAACCGAGGAGATACGGCGCCGGGCATAAATTTAATTGAGGATGGAAGGCGTCTGACAGTCTGAATGTTCGCTATCAGAGTGACAGTGTTCCACTTTTAGGGGACTAAAAAGCAAAGGTCTAAGTTAAGTCTACGTGTGAGTAAGCGAAGTGGCACAGCACTGAGTACTGAGCACTCTTTCTTCTCGTCCACGTCAGTCACCGAATTCGAATGCCGTAGACGATTTCCAGCCCTTTAGGTGATGCTCTCCAGTTTTCTGCTCACCTACCCGCCGCCCTCTCTCAGGTCAGTCGGCTCTCCCAACACAAACCGCAAGGTCATAAAATCCACAACCTGCTTTCATCTAGCTTTGTCCGACGCGCTACGCTCACATCCTGAACCACAATACTCGCGTTAGGTAACCTGTTCGGGCTCGCCTGCCCTTCACAACTCACCTTTTCACCTAGGTTCGGGCTTTCGCCCAAAAACCTCCGTATACCTTTTCATAGCTTGTTACTATCGCCTCAAACATATTCAAGTCTGTTCATTCCTTTTTCTTTCTCATATCGGACACGTGAGCATCGACACGCATAGATTGTGCGCTTTTAGTGGGCTATTAGCCAAATATAGATTCCTGATAGGTGGTATACTTAGGCGACTTCGAACTGACGGTCACCGCTCGGATGCGAATAGATCGGGCTCCAAGTCTGTAATAGTCCTCACTCGCAGTCCGCCTTTCAAGGCCTCATGGCTAATTTCCATCGCCACTGACCTGATCTGAGTAAGTAATAGAAGCAAATCTACCACATGCCACTGAAACTTTGTCGTTGAATCCTTCCATTCATTCACTTTCTAGTCCCAGCCTATGTAACCTGCCGGAATGGCAAGTTCCATTATCACTGTCAGGCAGTGCTTCCATTGTCGCTGTCCGGCCTAGTGCTCCCATTGTCCCTGCGTCAGGATTTGATATTTGGTTAGGTTTGCCTCCCCATCTCATTAGTCTGTGTTCAATCATCAACGTGTGCCCTCAAACCTTGTAAAGGGGTGTGTGATGGTCTATGCCGTTCTCTCAACTGTGTGCCTTCAGCCACTCATCCCTGTTCACCCAAAAGGTTTCTCTCGTCTAGGAAAAGTATAAGTAGTGTATACCATCATTTCTCTTCAACTCGTCCTCCAAATCATGTCTATCGATATCAATCCCACTCACATATCATACATACAAATCTTTCCCCCCATAGGCATTGCTCGCCTGGGAGACTCTGGGTTCGATCTGAGCACCGGAAACATAGATGACGACTCGGAAATCGACTGGTTTCTCCCTTCTGAGATTCCTGGCACTGAAGATATGCCTGCTGACCTAGGCAAGTTCAGAGATGAAAAGAACCGCATCAAACGTCAGGTAAGACTGGTTTTTTCCCGTATCACTAAGGCTCGCATTGAATGTGTTGCACAGGCTGTTCGTTTCCGTGTCTACGCATATCGCGAGAATGGCGATATACTTGGAGAAATCACATTACAAACTAAGCCGACGACGTATAACATCACTTGGCGTGTCCACGTTGCTAATCATAAAGGTGCATGGCACGAGTTCTCAGGTATGTCCCACGTCCATGTGATTCTCTGGATGTCGTGAATATTTGCTCCACTAGGCCAGTACGAGCCAATGCCAAATGGGCTTAGGAATCCTGATGTGCAGCCTTCGTTTGTATGTACAACTACGGTATTTCTTGAAACTGCTAACATCTTCTCTAGAGGCCCGATCAGCGGTCAGATTTGATCGTCGACTCTAAAGTCCAAACGATAACGGCGGGTACTCTCGAGGAGGTATCACTGACAGGGCTTTTTCGTGGTTCTCGAGCAGCTTCGGTAGACGTTCATCTGGGTGAAATCCGCACAAACGAGCAAGGCCACCTTATCTTCATAGGCGGAGCTGGCTACTCACGTTCCGTCGGAAACCCAGGGCAAGCACACTTCCAACCCGACATCATTTCGGAATTTGATAGCATCGACTGGGTCGACGACACCTGCGACGGCTGGGTTGATGTCACAGTTCAACATGGGGACTTGACGTGAGCCACATTTTGTGACCGTGACTCTATAGTTATTCACCGAACCCGTTTCAAGTTTCACTGCTCTCCAGAAGTCGACTGTCTTGAGTGCGCCTCCGAAGTTTTCATGGGGTATCCAGTCGCCCACTACGTTGTACGACCTCCTTGAGAATATCTACAACGACAGGATTGGCTGGAAGGATCACGATTACACACAATTCTATCAGGATATATGGCCTGTCATGCATGGCTCCTATGCACTTTCCTGGGTCAATCGTGAAGCGTACGATGGCCATGGTATGTTTCCCCGTCACCTCTGCTGCGGATGCTAACGGTCTAAAAATGACTAGGTGTTTCCGGGAAGGGAAACTTCTTGACCATGAAAGATGACCTGGCAAGCCTAGAGGATACTACGAAAATTCAAGCGCTCCGCGATCACATCTTTAGTCGTCTGAGACTTCCAGACTACGAAGACCGAGTCCAAGCTTCCACAAAGTATATGCCTCGGCTCTCTGGTAACGAGTGAGTATGGAGTCTACCCGCTATCCACGACTCTCTGACACTTTTAAACACAATCAGCGGCGATGCACTTGAGCCTGGTGAGCCCCTGCGCCCGGGTGACCCCATAAAACGGTTCGCAGCCTTCACGAGGCTACAGTACCAGCGGTTCCTCCAATGGAAGCGCGGCCAGTTCCTCGCAAGTGATGCGCCGTGGAGTCGATTTACAGAGTTTGACGAAGTTCCCCCGGCTCTGCAACCATCATTCTTGACGCGTGCAGCTCTCGAGCACACAGTGGGAGAACCGCTCTACCCAGGAATCGAGGTGTACTGGGCTGCGAGGGAGCCGAAGATGTATCTCTTTGACACCTCCCGAAAGGACAAAGATCCTCCCTTCCGCTTCAATCATGAGGTAGTCAAGCCAGGGTATCTCGGACGCGGTCTAAGTCTGCCGTGGCAGAGCGACTTCGACCAGTGCAATACCCATTGGTGGGTGTATCATGTCTTGTCAAACCTACTTTTGACTAACTTGAATGATCGGAAAGGTGGCCCTCGGCTCGTCCCGACGACGTCATCAATATCGGTGATTTTGAATCGAAGGACAATGTTCCTGTGGAAGACTTCATCAGAGATATCGCTCCAAAAACGAAAAAGTGGACCCGCGGTCTTCGAGATACTCCAGATTGTAAGTTCAACTCGGGTTAAGACGCCCTCTTTTACCATTCTGAATAACTTGACACAGATCCCACCGAGTATTACCCAGGAAGTACAGACATGGTTCGTCACTGGCAGAAGCTCGGATTTGTGGTCAAAGTTCCTATCGTGATTGGGGAATCACCTGACCTACCAGTCTGGGCGGAGAAGGAGCGCATGCCCATCGATGACCCGCTAAAACATAAGTTCCAGATTCCCTTTGTTTCAGCTTGAGTATCTTGTATCACTTACTTCCCAATGTATATTACTGGACACTGATTATTTTTCCTTTGCTAAGTCCATTATATATATTTAAAAAAATTGGACTTAGCAAGGACTCCAAGGAGTCCCAGTTTGCAACAACACCACAATCACGATCACTATCTACACACTTCAAACGACCAACCGAGCTTACAAAATGAAACATCGTCAAGCAAGGTTTTGCAATCAGCAACACACAGTTATTGGTAGGCGAGAACTGCCAGTACTAGTGAGAAACTGGTTTGCCGACAAAGCCAAGCCAGTCTTATCACTAGTATCAATGTTCAACCACCGCAATCCGATAGCCATGGAATATGCCATCCCACAGTGTGTGGCCAGGGCCTCACACGCCAATATTGATATCACATGCTACGCTCAGCAAAATAGTACAAGAGACTTCCTTCAAGGTCTGTTCTTTCGTCGCAGATACGAACGGGAATATCCTCATGTACGCCACAGATTTGGACTGATGTAACTCCGACTCGTGTGGGCTGGGTAGCGTGAATGTACCACCTCTCTCCGAACTGTCCAGTGCGTGGGCCAATCAGTGATCCATTTGAACCATACGCGATGCTATGAGAGTTCAGAACCGCAGTTCGAACGCCCCGAGCGCGTAGATAATGATTTGTGCATCACATCATGTAATGGCAAATCGTTATCTCCCAACTCGGGTTCCTCTATCTACCTTTAACACTTCTACAAAACTACATCTAGCACATCACCCTTCGGTTTCACAAATATCCCCCCACCAAAATACCTCGTCTCGCCCTTCTGATCCTCATCCCCCATATCCTCCTGCGTCGAAATTTGTTGAATCGCAGAAGCTCGCGGAAGATGAAACGAGGCATGTTTAAAAACCCTATCCCTGCTGCTGTCAGGGTCCATATACTCATCTTCGCTCTCAGAATCATATTTCTTCATCTCCGATGACGCATAGCTATACGCGATGCACGTCTGTTCATCACGCTCGACATCGTCGATAAGGCGGATGAGAATCGGATTGACAGAGACGTGGAAGTGTGATCTGAGAGCGTCGAAAGGCACCGAGTCTCTCCCTTTGATATTATCCTTCTTGACACTCGTTTTGCGATAGAGACTCGGATGCTCGAGTGGGAACGCAACGACTGCAGTCCCTCCTTCATGCAACTTTCTAATCTCATCCACAACCGCTTGAATCAATGCATCATCCACGTTCGGATACGTCCTAAAACGAGATGCAAGCCGTTTGCGCCGATATTCAACTTCGTCCAATGACATCTGCATTTCCCCATATTCGTTTTCATACCGCCGATGCACTTTACCGACTACTTCAACATCGAACTAGAGAACGAGTTGCATACTTTTGGTCACAGGCATCATTTTATGCTCCGTGTCCGTATGAAACGCGCCGATAACCGGGCTGAGCTCCTCCGAGCTCCTACGTTTCGCAGGATGCAAATCAACGCTCGTCTCTGCACCTCCATGCCTACGCATAAGCTCTCCCCCCTCCCACTCCGTACTCAGCACACAAAGCACTGTTCCATGATGCACATCACTATACGCCGAATTGCGATGCCAGTCGAAATGTCCTCCTGGACTACAGATGACGAGTTTGTAAAGCTTCAGCTGGTTTTTTTTGCCGATGAACATGACAAGTGCAAGGTCGTATTGGATGTAATGTGAAACCATCATATCCGGGTGAGGGAATGTGCGGCGAGTTATGTTTCTTCTTCTCGACCGAATGGCGAAGGGGTAGCATGTTGTTTGAATATGTGGGCCCCTGGCTTTCTCCACGTACCTTCATTCTCTCCTATTCAAAATTCGTGAATGTTTTCGTGGTTGTATGTATAGAAGAACGAAGCGAAGGGGCTGCTGACGAGGTTGTCGAGTGCGCTGCTGAGGGGTGTGTAGGAGTGCACTTCGTACCCTTCCTCTTTGTAGGGAACACTTTCGAGACGCTTGCGGACGCATCTGAAGATGGAGTTCGTGTTCTAGCTGTGATGAGTCGTTGTGGTTGGTCTGCGACATGGTGGTTGGTTGGTTGGTTGGAGAGGGGCTTTTGTGAAATGTTTAAATAATTGGATTTAAGTGGCCGTCTCCCCGGAGGGTTAATTGTTAGTCTCTGAGCCTGGATTCAGGAAGGATCGATATCAAAGTGTCAATTGGCAAATCAAAAGTAAAGTATGAGTACAGTCAATGTTATTTCCCCCCATGGTCGCTACTCCCTTTCAAGACTCCCTTCCAAGAGTCCAATGGACCACGATACCACTATAGTACGACGCCTCGGAAATATATCGAGATTAAAAGAGTTTGTTTAAGCAATTGAATCAAGGCATCTAGGGGTACAGCAGGGTCGGAGGCTGATATATCCATAAACATCGGGAATACGGTAAACGGGTCTCCCTTGTACCTGTCAACAAGTTTTTCCCCTCAGGTTGACATCGACCCATAGTCTAGGTCAAAGACACCTAGTGGCTAGGTGGGACTACATCTGATATCGCAGTCTGTGCCATTCCATTCCTCATCACCTGCTTCGTATCAACGCATCATAGGCATTTGAGTATATCCCGCAGGATAACAGCGTGGAGCGTCGGGGATGGTCGCGTTGTAGTGGGAACAACCACTGCTCCAGAGAAATCACCATGTAAAATGGGGATCTGTTTCGATATGAAATCAGAGATGCAGCAAGAGATCCCCACACGAAGCACTCCCCGGAAGTACTAGATTTTTTCTCTCTCTCAAGGGAAGAGATTTCAATCGTGATTGTGTTAGACTCGCGAGAAAGAAAAGGAAAAGAACCGTCATGATCAATCGAAATAGAAATGGTTTGCCAAGATTCCACGGCGGGTCTAGCCAGTCACCTTTGGATGGAAGTATTGGCAGGGAAAGAACGAGATCTCTGAATTCGTTACTGTTGTGGAAACGTCGTCCATAATACTTGAAAGTCGTTTCCTAATGTTAGACAACAGTAATTGTCGTATGCACGGACGATTGATGGCCTCTGGCGGCTGTAGTAACTAGCACAAATTTTTCGGCACAAGTCACAAAAGAATATTGCACTCTCGGCAGCAGATAGTGGAGGGGGTGTGAAAGGGAGGTGCGTCTGAGATGCGTCTGTTTGGGTCTGGTAAGGGACTACATATATATACATGTGATGCCGAGTCCAAAAGAAAGCAACCTGCAGGGGCGAACCACGAGGAGGCTCGGAGACCACTGTATCGGATCCGCAGACGAGCCTAAGTAATAAACAAAGGATCGGCGGTTCGGGCGAGCGGGTATGAGAGAGAGGGTACGCCAAGTCCGGTGCGGTGGCCGACTGGTTGGACGGCAAAGGGCAAAGGATAACATTAGGGCACACATGTGAAGCTTTTCGATGAGACTCGGTAAGCGACTTGAATAATAGGCAGAAGCATCTGACAGCAATTAGTAAGTAAGTAAAAGAATCGAGAACCAAGAACCAGACTCATCTTCTTTGTATGTACGGAACGATACCGCGGAATCTGTTTGATGAGCAGTGCTAACGGCTCTATGCGGGTGCAATGGATGTGTCGTCCTGAGCAGAGTCTAGTTAGGAAGTAACGACTGAGTGAGATGCGCTTTCAGGGTGTGGGGTGGGGGTGTTGGCTTGTCTCACGCCACACAAGACAAGTTGAAGGCCGCTAGTGGCGGCATAGCGATCAAGTCAGGATAAATACAGATTGCAAATCCATAATTGGTAGCATACACTCGTGCTCGGTCAAAAGAGGGTTATTGGGATATACAAGATAGATCGACTGCCGTATTCATCAGGATCGTCGTACTGAACGAGTGGGGCGCACCGAAATAATACTATATGACATTCAGACAGGGTCGGATCAACCCACCCGTCTCATACACCTACTCGTCTCTTCTTCATCTCTCTTCCACGTCCTCGTCCCCTCTCATCCCCATCCGATTCACTCATCCCTTTCTCCTTATTTCTCTCACGCAGTAGACGCATAGAACCACCTCTTACACTCGCTCTTGTACGCGAGAGACTACGTTCTTCTCTGGCTGCGCTCCGCGTACGTGGTTTACACATATTATCGTCTGTAGTGGGACGCACTTTTGTACGTTCGCGAGTAGGACGTGAGGGGATATCTGCGTCACGTGGGTCCGACTCGGATTCAGAATTACCATCTAAAGTGGGAGAGGCGACGTGGGATTGGTGGAGGTTGGATTTAGGTAGGGGCCTATTTCGTGGTTGAGCGAACGATGCTGAAGATGTGGAGGTGCCAGTCCTGGAGAGGGGTTTGGGCGTGGGCGTGGGTTTAGAGATAGGCTTGGGTGTGGATGCCTTCGAAGTGGGTTTACGGGTAGGACTAGTGCTAGCAGCTGACTTGGGAGAGGAGGCGTCGACCACTTTGGGGTTTGCCTTCTTCCTCGTGCTTATGCTGCTGGAGACAGACACGCTCCGCTTGCGTTTGCGGCCGTGACATCCCATCGAAGAGCATGGGACTAGTTTATCGTCATGGATGGAGGAATCTGCGCGAAAACGCGCGCGTTTAATATCTGTCTGTACATGGAATGAGTATTCGAGATCTAAAACACAAGACAGATACTCACCGTATGCCTTCCCTCATAACACCACCCATCAGGAGGACCCATATCACCCGTTCCCTCGACGCTCCCTCCGCAGCAGCTCCACACCGTCTCATACGCCGACCGATCAATGAGGGCGCTATCATCATCATGGGGGACGCGGCAAGATGTGTCCGTGTTGGAAAGATCAAAGAAGGAGGCGTGGCAGCGCACGCAATGGAGCTGGGGTGGCGGGGATAGGTCACAGAAGAATTTGGTGAGGGCAGTGAGTGTGCACGGGGAGGGCGGTGGCGGTGGCGGTGGCGGAATCGAGGTCGGGCGGAGGTGGGCTAGGGCGTATGCGTGAAGGGTTTGAGGAGGGACAGAGCGTATGAGGTCATAGAGAGCTGTTGGGTCTGTTACCTCGGGCTGAGGCTCGGGCTCGGGTTCTGGGGAGTGAGAATTGGGCTGGGGAGAGGAAGAAGGGGGTTCTGTGTGAGAAATTGAGGGAGATGTCGAGGGTGTATGTAGTTGGGTATTGGATGAAGGATCGAGCTTGCGAGCGAATAGACCAAAGACCATCGTTTATCGTTCTGACTGTCTGCTCTGCTCGATACTTGAAGATAATGAAATCAGAAAACAAAGGAAGGACGGTAGAAAAGATATCTGGAAGCTAGTAAATTATAATCTGTAGCGTGCCCTTCTCCTCGAGGTCAACGTGTGCAGCATACCACCGGCATACCAAACAAACACAAATAAAGATCAAAGCATTTCCACGATGGCGAGTCGTGTTTCTCTGCCAACCCTGTCACTGCGCATTGCAACGTTCCATGCTAACTTGGGAGCATCGCGAGAAGAAGTTTGGAATATAATCCAAATATCATTTCCATCATGCTCCCATGTCGTGCGCAAGCATTCCACGATACTGAAGCATGTTTACTTGCAATATTCAGGTCTCGAGATCTCACCGACGTCCATGCTTCGAAGCATGGCGATAGGCTTCCAAGTTTCAAGCGCCACGTCAACCTCTTCTACCGCGATGACATCCACTTATTCAAGTTTATCATAAAACTTCAAGGATGCGCAACATATTCTCTAACTCAATTCCCGCTTTTGTGAGCAGTATTTGAACACTTCGAAACTTTGCATTGCGCTATCGATAAGCTGATATTCAAATAATCGCTGGCCTACAAATACCCTCGTGCAACCTTCTTCCTCTTTCATTCTTCCCAGAATCCAGATGAGCTGCAACGCTCAAGGTCAGACAGGCGAGAAATTGAAGTCATAGAGTGAGGATGACCATCATGGTGTCGATGATTCGCCCACCCATTCCGATGTCTTCTCCCCTATGCTTGCAGACCAAATGCCACTTATTTTTCTTAGGTGATGCTACTCTGTCGCTGCCGCCGTTTTTCGTTAACAAGTACATGGTATAGAATCCTGCTTTTTCACAATATCAGGGTGGCTAGCATGATTTGGTTGGTGGTCGAACGCGGACGTGGTTTGTGGAGCTGGAGTTAAACGCAGGTGGAGTCATGATTTCCGGGAAGCTGCCATAGGTGAGCACCGTCTCATTTTAGAGTGTTGTTCCAGTCTTAAACTGTGTGATTCGTGGACACCCTGTGCTCACCTCATCCCGTCGAGTTATGTCGAGGGCCGAATATAGGGCGCGCAACAGAACCTACGGTCTCGAATGCATTATTCACTATCCAGTAATTTCAGATATGTTCTGGAGATTATGGCTCAGAAGTACTTACGCGGACTCCGTCGCAGTCGCTGCTGACCCGATTCTGGTCCGCACGTCAACGCTCGGCCCTCAACGTTCACCTTGATATGAATCTCATTAATATTTTTACATCTCAGTCCCTGAATCTCACCTGGAGGGAGGCTTGAGATAAAGGCGATCTCCCCGATCAGACCTGGATGTCGGAACTGGATGGTGTTGTGCGTTTCGTTCGCCGGGGGAGCGAGATCTAGGCGAGAGGGATGTCTAAGGCTACACCTGCTTTTGGGGCTCTCGCATTCGCATTGGGAGACTGAGACTCATGATCCAGTACTGGTAAATTACTAAGGCTACGTACATGCATAGGTATATTTGCTACAGGAAGATTTGTTGGGTACTGAGCTGACGACAAATACTTGGATCCAGATATGATACAGGTGTTTTGTCAAGTGTATTGCAACTTAAAACATAACCGAATCACCACCCGTCGTGTCCACGCGGCGATTTATACCACCGACGAGGACCTTGATCAGCATGTCAGCATGCAGTTGGCCGATATAGGGCGTTGTGTCGACGATGTCCTGACGGTGCTTTTACTAAATGATGATGATACGTGGGGTAAGGTCATGGCATACCCGTATATGTGCCTGCTTCAAATCATCCAGCTGTCTAAGGAACCGTGCTGCATGCCTCGAATCCCCTATCTGAACGAACTGTATCCCGACCTATAGCTTTGTCGGCACCAAGTCCAATAAACAAGCGATGCGTAGTCACCTGTCCAAGTGGCCACTTGTCGGCCTCAAGTAGCCTAGCAAAATAGACAATCACACTCTCTACATCATCCGCTACGTGAATAGGTCAGGGAATTCGGCCATTAGGTGTCGCGCAGACTCACATGACGCGCCATCAGTAATGATGAGCACATTCAAGGGCTTGATGTTCTTGCATCCATCCTCCCGTCCCTTAGCAGCATACAGGTCACCGAAATAATCGCCGAGGATCATACTGAGGCGATTCCCAACAGTGGTTGGGCCACAGGGCTGGAATTTGGCGAACTGCTCGTGGACAACTCTGGAGTCCTATAGAAGGGTCATCAGGATCGATTTGTGACGTGCAAGTATTCTACCTACCGTAACTCCCTTCATGGTTGCGTTGCAGTTCAAGAATTGTATGTCTATGCCAGCGGCACTGGCGTCATATTGGCTCGCTACATCGACGAGCGTGGCGAGAGCCTGTTCCGCCTGAACGGCAGGGGGATTTCAGCCCTCATGGACAAGGAATGCGACCAACATCATACCTCATTCCATAGCGAACCAGTCATAGATGAAGAATCATCCATGATGATAGTCGTGTCATAATTGCGCAGCGTCTGAAGTGCATCTTGCAACGATTCTGCACGCAGAGGTTGGCGGAGATACTCTGCTCGCGTCGGAAATGGAGAAGAAACAGCTGGTCGTGGAATCATAAATGTCGAGTGAGACTTCGGAGGGGAATAAATACCTTTGGCATCATTGTGAGGGGGCAAGGGCATTGCTAATGCGGCAGAGGTAGAATATGGTGACAGCGCTGATCCATAGTTGCTGGTGTGCCCAACAAGAGATAATTTGTTCTCCTTTGCACGATCATCAGACAAGTCACCAAATTGGCCCTTACTGGAACGCGTTCGCGCCTTTGACAGGCAGTTTCCCATGATAGCCTTGGTCCGTCTTCGAACAGTGGACAAAAGCGATAAAGATGTCCGTAGTCACGTGTGGGCGAGTATGGCGGATGAAAATAGGAGCAATCTGACGCACGGCGAGGAGAGTTAGAAGAGCACTTGAGCCCCCACTGACGAACAACTTAGACAGACTGCAATGAGTATTAAAATTAGAATCAGACATTGCCTGATTTGTATAACCACATGGCTGTGGCTGTGAGGTTTTGCCGTGATTCATCATGAGCTGTCGTATCTTATGCACAATATCCAATACGACATCATCTGTAAACAAAGGTCGGTGACGCTGACTGGAAGACAATGAAAGGAACATACCACCTCTAACATCCATTTTACTCATTGCTAGTGCATAGACCTGTGTTCTCCTGCCTTCCCGTGTTGAATGTAGGATGCACAGTGATGTTTTACCATTAAAATATGATAGAGACAGGAGATGCATAAAGGGCTTTAGACTTGTAGCGATAATGATTGATCTATTTGAATACTTCGATTCATCTCTCGAAGTGAACAAAGTGTCACTTCGACCAACTTCGGCACAACGAACTCAACTGAAGTCCCACGTTTTCGAAGCGAGGCGAAGTGACCTCGAGGTCACTTCGCTTCGACGGCAACACTAGTGTTTGCTGCGTATGCTTACTTTCAAGACAAAATGAAAATCTGACGGTGGTGTTGTATGATTACATAAGTACCTGAAGCGGGCTTGCCCTTCTTACGCAAATGTTACAAGGTGTCACAACTTCAAATTAAATCTTAGCGCCCTAAGCCTAAACTTATTTAGGTAAACACGACCTTCCGCACAACAGCATATAAGTTGTTCGTTCAAGTGCTCTTCTGACTCTCCTCGCCGTGCGTCAGATTAATTTGCTCCCTCAGTATGATCCTCGGCGATTATTTCGGTGACCTGTATGCTGCTAAGGGACGGGAGGATGGATGCAAGAACATCAAGCCCTTGAATGTGCTCATCATTACTGATGGCGCGTCATGTGAGTCTGCGCGACACCTAATGGCCGAATTCCCTGACCTATTCGCGTAGCGGATGATGTAGAGGGTGTGATCGTCTATTTTGCTAGGCTACTTGAGGCCGACAAGTGGCCACTTGGACAGGTGACTACGCGTCGCTTGTTTATTGGACTTGGTGCCGACAAAGCTATAGGTCGGGACACAGTTCGTTCAGATAGGGAATTCGAGGCATGCAGCACGGTTCCTTAGACAGCTGGATGATTTGAAGCAGGCACATATACGGGTATGCCATGACCTTACCTCACGTATCATCATCATTTAGTAAAAGCACCGTCAGGACATCGTCGACACAACGCCCTATATCGGCCAACTGCATGCTGACATGCTGATCAAGGTCCTCGTCGGTGGTATAAATCGCCGCGTGGACACGACGGGTGGTGATTCGGTTATGTTTTAAGTTGCGAGACACTGGATACAACACTTGTATCATATCTGGAGTTAAGAATTTGTCGTCAGCTCAGTACCCAACGAATCTTCCTGTGGCAAATATACCTATGCATGTACGTAGCCTTAGTAATTTACCAGTACTGGATCATGAGTCTCAGTCTCCCAATGCGAATGCGAGAGCCTCAAAAGCAGGTGCAGCCTTAGACATCCCTCTCGCCTAGGTCTCGCTCCCCCGGCGAACGAAACGCACAACACCGTCCAGTTCTGACATCCAGATTTGATCGGGGAGATCGCCTTTATCTCAAGCCTCCCTCCAGGTGAGATTCAGGGACTGAGATGTAGGAATATTAATGAGAGTCGTATCAAGATGCACGTCGAGGGCCGAGCGTTGACGTGCGGACCAGAATCGGGTCAGCAGCGACTGCGACGGAGTCCGCGTAAGTACTTCTGAGCCATAATCTCCAGAACATATCTGAAATTACTGGATAGTGAATAATGCATTCGAGACAGTAGGTTCTGTTGCGCACCCTATATTCGGCCCTCGACATAACTCGATGGGATGAGGTGAGCACAGGGTGTCCACGAATCACACAGTTTAAGACTGGAACAACACTCTAAAATGAGACGGTGCTCACCTATGGCAGCTTTCCGGAAATCATGACTCCACCTGCGTTTAACTCCAGCTCCACAAACCACGACCGCGTTCGACGACCAACCAAATCATGTCAGCCACCCTGATATTGTGAAGAAGCAGGATTCTATACCATGTACTTGTTAATGAAAAACGGCGGCAGCGACAGAGTAGCATCACCTAAGAAAAATAATCCGTACTACGAAGTGGCATTTGGTCTGCAAGCATAGGGGAGAAGACATCGAAATGGGTGGGCGAATCATCAACGCCATGATGGTCATCCTCACTCTATGATTTCATTTTCTCGCCTATCTGACCTTGAGCGTTATAGCTCATCTGGATTCTGAGAAGAATGAAGGAGGAAGAAGGGTATTTATAGGCCAGCGATTATTTGAATCTCAGCTTATCGATAGCGCAATGCAAAGTTTCGAAGTGTTCAAATACTGCTCACAAAAGCGGGAATTGAGTTAGAGAATATGTTGCGCATCCTTGAAGTTTTATGATAAGCTTGAATAAGTGGATGTCATCGCGGTAGAAGAGGTCGACGTGGCGCTTGAAACTTGGAAGCCTATCGCCATGCTTCGAAGCACGGACGTCGGTGAGATCTCGAGACCTGGATATTGCAAGTAAACATGCTTCAGTATCGTGGAATGCTTGCGCACAACATGGAAGCATCATGAAAAGGATATTCGGATTAGATTCCGAACTCCTTCTCCCGCGATGCTCCCAAGTTAGCATGGAACGTTGCAATGCGCAGTGACAGGGTCAGCAGGGAAACACGACTCGCCATCGTTTGATTTGTATTTGTGTTTATTTGGTATGCAGGTGGTATGCTGCACGCGTTGACCTCGAGGTGAAGGGCACGCTACAGACTATAATTTACTAGCTTCCAGATATCTTTTTTACCGTCCTTCCTTTGTTTCCTGATCTCATTATCTTCAAGTATCGAGCAGAGCAGACGGTCAGAACGATAAACGATGGTCTTTGGTCTATTCGCTCGCAAGCTCGATCCTTCATCCAATACCCAACTACATACACCCTCGACATCTCCCTCAATTTCTCACACAGAACCCCCTTCTTCCTCTCCCCAGCCCAATTCTCACTCCCCCGAACCCGAGCTCGAGCCTCAGCCCGAGGTAACAGACCCAACAGCCCTCTATGACCTCATACGTTCCGTCCCTCAAACCTTCCATCACCACCACCGCCCTCCCCACACACACTCACCATCCTCTCCCATTTCTCCTGCGACCAATCCCCGTCACCCCAAGTCCATTGCGTGCGCTGCCACGTATCCTTCGATCTTTCAAACATGGACACATCTTGCTGCATCGATGGTGAGGGTGCACTCGTTGATCGCTCGGCGTATCAGACGGTGTGGAGCTGCTGTGAGGGAAGTGTCGGGGTGGTGCTATAAGGGAAGACATACAGTAAGTATTTATCTCGTACTTCATATTTCAAATGCTGATGACAGGTACAGACAGACATCTAATGTGTGCGCTTCCTCCAGATTCATCCATCCACGACGATAACATAGTCCCACGCGCTTCGGTAGGGTACCACAGCCGGAAATGCAAGCACAGCGTATCCGTCTCCGCCAGTATAATCACAAGGAAGAAGGAAAATGCGAAAGCAGTCGACAATCCCTCGCCTAGGTCAGCTACTAGTCCTACCCGCTTCTAAGGCATCTGACTCACCCAAGCCCACCACAAAACCCATGTCCAGACCTCCAGACCTTCACTCTCAGTGACGCTCACCCAACCCCAGCTCCCGTTTTCTGACCTACCTCGTTGGAACTTGGCATTGCGGCATCAATTAGCTGAGTGCAAACTTCCATCATCCCAGAATCCGGATGAGCTACGACGTCCAAGGTCAGACGGGCGAGATGTTGCTGCCATGTTGCCATCAGCACTTGTCGACACGTCGTCGATGACACAGCAATGCAAACTTTGTATTCCATGCGGTTACAAGTGTCCTAGGTGGGCTAGTAGCCTATAATCGCGACCAAGGTCAGTTGGGCGAGATTTTTCGGGTGTGCTGACTGTGAGCATCTGTCAGGGCGTGATCATTTGGTGGTTTACCCCCTCTTCCTCTGCGCGTTGCACGCTCAAGTGCCACTATCACAGTGCCAAATAGTTGATGTAACTTCGCCTGTCGATGCCAATCAGTGAGTACATGGCGCATCAAGTTGTAACTGACGGATGCTCACATGAACGCCAAGCATCCATTCGGAAGGCCATATATCCGGGTCACGCGCGCTTGTCGTTCTGACGCTAGTGAGTTGAATGTGTATATCCGGTTCATACACGGGAAATACAATTCAACTCGCCAGCGCTAGCGATGCACATGCCACGTGACGAACTCATAAGACCAGCTTGGCTGTCATCAGTATAGTAGTTCTGGCCTCGACCAATAGTCGGGTGTTGCTGATAAACTCCTTGCTTGACGATTTTGTGAGCTCGGTTGGTCGTTCTGTTGAAAACCATACTCCTTGCTAAGTCCAAAGCCCCGTGTATTGATGGATTGAATCGATGTCAATCAACTTATCCCTGAAATTTTATACATAGGGTATACGCTGGCGAGCGCGCTGGACTATATAACATTCTTTACGAGTATAGGTGAAATGTTTGGATAAAACTAGATCTCATTCTCGAGACTCGGACGACCTCATACGATCGAAGATCAGTCGAACCTGGTGAGTCTGAAGCCCCTCTTTGTGTCACGTATCTTTCTTCGAATTACAGACAGCAGTTTGTTCCACAAGATGTGATTACAGAGTGCGTTGTGTTAAAACACGACGGACAATGAGAACGACCACAGACCTTCGGGTGCATCTCTCTCCGGCGTTCGCACCTGGCACATATTTCTCTGGCACATATCTTCGGCACCTCCAACATTTCTTACACGCCTCATGTCAACCTCATGTTGTCTATCCCGCACGTCCAATTTCAATGTCTCTACCACGTGTCTGTGTTGTTCTCACGCACCCATGCTATGCCCCACAGCAACGGCACTAGTTGGGGAAAAGCTTGAGCTCTCGGATGGTGAGGCATTCAGTGGCATGCAACTAAGATTGAACTCGTGTAAGAGGAATCGGTGTCTTCTGGCATGATTTGGTTGGTCGTCGAACGCGGACGTAGTTTGTGCAGCTGGAGTTAAACGCAGGGCAACTCATATGATTTCCGGGAAGCCACCATTCGCCGAACCATAGGTGAGTACCGTCTCATGTTGAAGTGTTGTTCTAGTCTTAAACTGTGTGATTCATGGAGGCAAAATAATAATCGCAGGTGATTTACCTCTTGAATGTGCCATTTGCGAGCGACTTTGATTTCAATCAAGGGCAGTAACTCAGCTTCCTGACGATAGCTGGTTTCCGCAAGTCACAACTCCTGAGCAGTCCTGAGACTCTATGGCGAGCCATCGCTAAGCGTTGGTTCAGATCAGAGCGCAATCGTTATCATCCGACTTCAAGCACACCGTTTTGAAACCGTGTCCAACTCTTGTTGAGACATGAATCTCAAAAAAAAGGCATTCTAACACGATGGCTGTGACGCTGTGCTCCATCAGTACTTGCTAGGGCATCGGATACCCTGTACTCACCTCATCTCATCGAGTGATGTCGAGGGCCGAATACAGGATGCGCAACGGAACCTACTGTTTCGAATGCATTATTCACTCTCCAGTAATTTCAGATATGTTCGGGAGGTTATGGCTCAGAAGTACTTACGCGGACTCCGTCGCAGTCGCTGCTGACCCGATTCTGGTCCGCACGTCAACGCTCGGCCCTCAACGTTCACCTTGATATGACTCTCATTAATATTCTTACATCTCAGTCCCTGAATCTCACCTGGAGGGAGGCTTGATACAAAGGCGATCTCCCCGGTCAAATCTGGATGTCAGAACTGGATGGTGTTGTGCGTTTCGTTCGCCGGGGGAGCGAGACCTAGGCGAGAGGGATGTCTAAGGCTGCACCTGCTTTTGGGGCTCTCGCATTCGCATTGGAAGACTGAGACTCATGATTCAGTACTGGTAAATTACTAAGGCTACATACATGCATAGGTTTATTTGCTACAGGAAGATTTGTTGGGTACTGAGCTGACGACAAATCCTTAGCTCCAGATACGATACAATTTGTCCAATGTCTCGCAACTTAAAACATAACTGAATCACCACCCTTCGTGTCCACGCGGCGATTTATACCACCGACCAGGACCTTGATAAGCATGTCAGCATGCAGTTGGCCGATATAGGGCGTTGTGTCGACGATGTCCTGACGGTGGTTTTAGTGAATGATGATGATACGTGAGGTAAGGTCATGACATACCCGTATATGTGCCTGTTTCAAATCATCCAGCTTTCTAAGGAACTGTGCTGCATGCCTCGAATTCCCTATCTGGACGAACTGTATCCCGACCTATAGCTTTGTCAGCACCAAGTTCAATAAAGAAGCGATGCGTAGTCACCTGTCCAAGTGGCCACTTGTCGGCCTCAAGTAGCCTAGAAAAATAGACGACCACACTCTCTACATCGTCCGCTACGTGAATAGGTCAGGGAACTCGGCCATGAGGTGTCGCGCAGACTCACATGACGCGCCATCAGTAATGATGAGCACATTCAAGGGCTTGATGTTCTTGCATGAATCCTCCCGTCCCTTAGCAGCATACAGGTCACCGAAATAATCGCCGAGGATCATACTGAGGCGATTCCCAACAGTGGTTGGGCCACAGGGCTGGAATTTGGCGAACTGCTCGTGGACAACTCTGGAGTCCTATAGAAGGGTCATCAGGATCGATTTGTGACGTGCAAGTATGCTACCTACCGTAACTCCCGTCATGGTTGCGTTGCAGTTCAAGAATTGTATGTCTATGCCAGCGGCACTGGCGTCATATTGGCTCACTGCGTTGACGAGCGCGGCGAGAGCCTGTTTTGCCTGAACAGGAGGGGAATTTCAGCCCTCATGGACAAGGAATACGACAAACATTATACCTCATTCCACAGCGAACCAGTCATGGATGAAGAATCATCCATGATGATAGTCATGTCATAATTGCGCAGCGTCTGAAGCGCATCTTGCAACGATTCTGCACGCAGAGGCTGGCGGAGATACTCTGCTCGCGTCGGAAATGGAGAAGAAACAGCTGGTCGTGGAATCGTAAATGTCGAGTGAGACTTCGGAGGGGAATAAATACCTTTGGCGTCATTGTGAGAGGGCCAGGGCGTTGATAATGTGGCAGAAGTGGAATATGATGACAGCGCTGATATATAATTGCTGGTGTGCCCAACAAGAGATAATCTGTTCTCCTTTGCACGATCATCAGCAAAGTCACCAAATTGGCCCTCACTGGAACGTGATGGCCCATTTGACAGCCAGTTTCCCATGATAGCCCAGACCCTTCAGTCACATTGGATGTAGAAGTGGTGCCCCGGATGTGCCAAAAGGCCGTAGAATATGTCCCAGCCAGCACCGGCCTGGCCAGGTAGATATGTGGCTGGCCGGTTCGTAGAAGTGGGCACGGCCAGTGTACCTTGAACTCTGCTTAGGTACCGAAGGAATGTGTAGAGCGAGAACTGGCCGGCCATGTAGGACAAGTACTGGCCAGCATTCCTACACGTGACTGTACAGGAGTACCGGCCGAGCGCACAGGGCATTTACTGCCCAGCTCAGCCAGGAAGAAGCCTCAGGCCAGCACTCTTATACAATCGTGTATAGGAGTGCCGGCCGAGTGCACAGGGCAGGTACTGGCCAGCTGCCAACAAACAGCCTCCGGCCAGCACTCTTATACAATGGTGTATGGGAGTGCCGGCCGACTGCTGCCAGGAAACAGCCTCCGGCCAGCACTCCTATACAATAGTGTACAAAAGTGCCGGCCGAGTGTACAGGGCAGGTACTGGCCAGCTGCCAGGAAACACAGCCAGCACTCTTATACAATGGTGTATGGGAGTGCCGGCCGAATGCTGCCAGGAAACAGCCTCCGGCCAGCACTCTTATACAATCGTGTATGAGAGTGCCGGCCGAGTGCACAGGGCAGGTACTGGCCAGCTGCCAGGAAACAGCTTCCGGCCAGCACTCTTATACAAGCGTGTATGGGAGTGCCGGCCGAATGCTACCAAGAACCAGCCTCCGGCCAGCACTCTTATACAATCGTGTATGAGAGTGCCGGCCGAGTGCACAGTGCAGGTACTGGCCAGCTCAGCCAGGCCGAGCCCATAGGGCAGGTACTAGCATGTACAAAGGTACTGGCCGGCCATGTAGGGTAAGTACTGGCCAGCCCCACTTATAAAATCAGGTATAAAGTCTTGGCTGGCCTTGTAAACTATATACCGGCCACCCCATCATGTATATTGCTTTGCCTAGTAATATCAAGTAGATCTATGAGTTAAAACAGCAAGAATTCAATGTGCTATGCTAGGTCACTTTCGCATGGCCTTTTTGGAGGGTTTCCTGGATCTGCTGGATCGACGAATATTGTCAGTGGTAGCCTTTTTGGATGGTCTTCCAGATCCCCCAGATTTTCCCCTTTTCTTCCCTTTCTGCACGACGACCTCCTCCTCCTCCTCCTCCTCCTCCTCCTCCTCCTCAGCCTTCTCCTCCTCGCCACGCTGTTCCTTATCTTCCATATCATCCTTACCACCACTGTCCTTTTCGATCTCCACCAGTTTCAACAGCTTCTGGTTGTACTCCTCCAGCTCTCGCTTTCTCTCCTCCAGCTTTCTCATGTCCTCCTGCAGCATCGCCATTTTCTTCTTCTCTTCCTCCACCTCCCACGACTCCTTGTCAAGCTTCCTTGTCAACTCATCTGCCTCCATTTCCGTCCCCTCATCCTCTTTCTCTTCCCTGGTTGAGATGGTCTGAATGGCAGTATCAGCTCCGTGTTCTTCACCAGCAGCAGCCTCAGCAATGGCTGCACGTTGTCCTTCCTTCGCCTTGAGCATCCGCGTAACCCCACCTCTGGCTGTATTGATTGCCTCTATGACTGAGGTCGTGGGTCTTGATACTCAAAATAGAGGTGCCAAGGTAAGAGGGGGTGTTCGGGGTAGCTTCGTCCTCCTCATATTCGATAACTCGCTTGCATTCTCTTAGCAGCATCCCAAGACCTAGGCTAACCCCCATGGCTGATACCAAGCCAGAGATCTTGGCAGAGACGACTATCTCCAAGAACTTGTTCAACTCACGCTCGTCTGAGTGCACACTATTCGGAAGGTGTGATCTGTCCCAACTCCATGTCGCCCAAGCGGGCCATTCCATTGCCTCAGAGCTTTGTTCCTGCGTCAAGTGAGTATCAAGTTTCACCAATCCAGGTATTAATCGAAAACGTACCTTTTTCAAGTCACCAAGACGCGAAATCAAAAGCAGATATTCGTCCTGGCTGCTGAGAGACCGTAAGAATGACATCCGATCTTTCTTTGGCACAGTGGCTGGTGTGCGCACGACTTCTTGACCAACTGATGGTCGCTTAACCAGCCCTTTCGATGGAGTGAGATTATCATCAGAGCTATCCTCGGAGCTGTCCTGGGTTTGCGGTCTTGAATTCTTGGTGGGCCTTGTGCTGGCCTTGGGCTTGGAGGACGCCTTAGCCTCGGCCAGCTGTCTTGTACGTTTCGTGGATGTAGGCGCAGCTGAAGCCTCCTCTTCATCATCAGTGTCGACTGGTACATACTTCTTTTTAGATTGTTTCTCGCCTACATAAACAGCATTGACGAGCAGGGACTTGTTCATGTGGGAACTCACGGCCCCGACAAAAATAACCAGTTTCTGTTTCGAAGCCTTCCTGGCTTCCCAATGGCCCCAAAGATGGTTTATTTCCTGCGCCTTCAAATGAGACGGGTCTTGCACGACGAAACCCTCAGGGATGGAGTCTGGATCCAGGTACACCAAAAGGTTGCCGGCAATCGAGAGCCAAGGTACTGGCTTTTTGCTACCAGTGAAGACTTCTGAAAAACGGAAATTGAGTCAAGTTAAAATCAACAGATGAAGTGATCAGCGACTCACTGTAAGATGCATGAAAAATTTGCCGAACCAATTCTTGTTGCCCCTTGAGGCCCACTCCTTTACGGGAAGGGAGCTTTGCAAACCCGTGCTCGTCCAAGATGACTTCAGGTATCGCATCTTTTCCATCTTTACTGTCTTCATCGGACGAGTCATCATCATCATTGGTGGGGTCTGATACGCGGTCATTGAGCAGTCTGAACCAATCCCCAAAAATACAGAACTTACAGAATTCTTCCTTCGACCACTCGGCAAATTTTTCAAAACCTTCGGACGTCCACTCTTTGCTTCCTCGAGAACTCAGGCTAAACGGTTTCTTGTGATTGACAGGCTGAGACTCATGACTGAATAACAATAAAATTGTTATTTTACCCTGAGGAGAGTGGATAAATACTCACATCTTGACACTTAAAGTCTGATCGGCATTTTTCTTGTGACTGACTAACATCACGACTCGGCAACCCATAGAACGCCTTATCTGTTCTGTAAAATCGTCGAGAACTTTTTTGAGGCTTTTCTTTCGATACCTATCAATGTTGTTATAGTAGAAATTGAAAAAAAAAGGCAATTTACATCGCCTGTGCTTCTGCTGGGGCACCTTCCCTATTCCACTTGTCCCTCGCCTCCTCAACTTCCTTCTGATGTGCAGAGGTCATGTTGTTGAACCACTCCCTCGCATGTCCAGTCCTATACTTAATAGAATGTTGCACGCCTTTCTTCTGTTGCTGCTCCTTATCGTAGTCGTCCATCTCCTGCTTGAAGAGTTTCTGCGCGACGTCCCAAGCATTAAGCTCCTTCTTGTAGAACCCTGCGTCCTTAGGACGAGCCGCCAATTCTCTGTCCTCAGGGGACACGCCAGATGGTTCTTCCTCCGGCTCATCACCCAAGACCTCTTGCTCAGCACGTCGATCATCAGTGTCCGTTAAGAACTGGAGGTAGTACCTCCTGATAGCCTATATAACAATTATATCAGTATCATTATATACTCAACAAAACAGTACCTTTTTCAATCCCTTTGGTAAATCCTCGGAATCCTGTCTTGTACGATGAATTGCGACAATTTCATTGCGGATCTGTCTTAGGAGATTCTGACGGGAATTCTTCCCATTTACAAACTGATCTTTGTGGAGAGTCAGTACTCCCTCCCAAGAAGCATACCATTCAGCCATTGATGACAAGAAAACGTAAGTCAGGAGCTTTTGGTAAGGGTGAGTATGCGTCGTGTAACCTTAGACCAGGCCGAAGAGTTGAAATTTTGAAGGAGACGCGATCACGTGCATGCAAACCAAGACGCGTCATTACGAAATCACACGTGTGACAAAGTGATACCTCAATCAATTCAAATTATGTACAGTGTCAAGTAAATACATAATTTACTTGCGCGCCTTCTTTGCAGTCCCAGGAGACGCTGTCTCATTCTTGCGCTTGCCTTGGGTAGAGTCAGGTAAAGACTGAGATACAAAATGAGTAGAAGGCGACTTGAACCAAGCGCAGTTCTTGGTCCTGGCATTGTTGATGATGGACCCAGGAGGCTTGGTGACAGAAAACTTGTAGCACGGCAACTTTTGCGTGCTACCACAGTTGGTGTACTTGCATGTGTAGATGTACTGGCAAACAGAGCCTTGGGCTGAGGCGTGCGCGTCGCGATTCTCATCAGAAACTGTCACAGCAACCCTCTCACCCCAGCTCTTGGTAGAGCCACATTGGGGGCATTGCGCAGGAATAGGAACGCCCCAAGGCGAAGTCTGAGTGTGAGCGCGCGCGAATGTAGTGAGTTCCAGCTTGCAGCAACCATCAATGTTGACGGGAGTCATCAGGATGACGCTGGTGTGTTGACCGAGACCGCCTGACATACTAAGGAGGGTCGGAAATACAGTGCGGATGCTGAGTTGCTCAATCGCAACAAGTTCCGCCATGGCGACCAAGAAATTAGTGGCGACAAGGGGTTGAAAGCGAGCTGCGGAAAAGAGAATTGCAGATGCGAAGTTGAATTGAAGAACAGGACTCCTTGAGCTGAGTGTAGGGCGTCTTGTATGCCACCACAGAACCGCAGACCAGGAAGACGATGTGTGCGGACTTGAGGATCCTGGCGTAGGGCTTCAACACTGTGGAGAGAACCTAGAATAGATTAATTAATAATATTGAAGCGTCAAAATTTTAAAACTTACATGCTGAACTTCCATCGCAACATACTCTCCCTCACCTCGACCCTCCTTCCCTGCATAGAGCCAACCGCTGTCTTCTTCCGAATGGTTGGAGAGAAACGCAAAGACCCGACCAGTTGAGCCAAGGTGACGGACGAGCTTAGCAACCGTTTCGACCTGGTCGCGGGTGTACTTGTCGATCTTCGTATAGGTGGCGACGTCGAACGAGATCTCGACGTACAGAAACCCACCGTTGGGGTAGTACTTGTCGAGGTAATGCGAGAGGAGTGGAACGGGTGTGGAGATTGTGTACTTGGCGCCAAGGGCAAAATGGACGATGGCGAGGGGTGTGGCTGCCAAGATGGAGTTGGACGCCAGCTCATACTTGCCGTTGAACTGTAGGAAGCCTGGGAGTACAGGCGTTCCTCCTTCCTCTGGCAAAACGTTACGGTAGAAGCCCTGAACAAAGTTAAGTAGTCAATCAATAGAACATTTGAATAAGACAAAGAAGACTCACAAAATATGGCGCGGGCTCCTTAACCGTCCGCAATGAGTGACAAGAAAGACATAAAAATATAACGTCCGGATGTCGGACGGCATCGACGTGCGCCTCGGGCACCTCAATGCATTTGCTGCACATGACGCGGGGGCAGGCGTTGCATTCAAAGAGTACAACGTCACCTTCCGCGCCATCGAGACAGATCAAACACCACTGACCTCCAGTCAGTCAACTGAACACTAGAAAGAAGCAAAAACAACTTACTATACTGTGTTCTTCCGGAATCCTAGCGTCCTCTGGCTCTAAGGATGGCGCGGACGATGTTGATCCTGCGGGCGTCGGAGGAGAGCCGGCAGGTGCCAAAAGTTTCCGGGCAGAACCGCCGCAAGACTTCTTGGCCGTGTTGCTCTTTTTAGGCGGCATTGGATAAGGAAAAGAAATGGTAGAGCAAAAAGGACTTTACGAATTTTCAAACCAACCAGTCATGTGATCGTGTTGTGGTTGCGCCGGCATTTGCCGCAACAAATAACATCAAATATGTTGAACATATAGTCCAGCGCAACACTTTCACACGGTTCAATTTCAAACCACATCTCTTCTGTCCGCTCACCCTGTTAGCCACTTACACAGACTGCAGCTGTGTAAGTGGCTAACAACCCACTGAGCACTCATTCCCTACTGCATGGTATGCGTCTTTCAAATCTAATTCTATTTCTAATTTGGTTGCATAGGTTGATTTGTGGATACCTAAGGTACGTCTCTTTTCAACCGTCTCTTCACTGAACGCCTTCTTTCTAGACAATTTAGGACACTATTGGGGTGCCTCCAGATCTAAGGTCTGTCTTTTTTGAACCGTCTCTCCACTAAACACCTTCTTTCTAGTTATTTTGGTATACTATTGAGGCGCCTATAGATCTAAGGTATGTCTTTCTTTCAGCCATCTCTTTACTGAACGCCTTCTTCATCATTGAGCATTGAGGACTGGGGGCTTGGCTTTGGGAGGAGATGTATGTGTGCAGTTGGCGCACTTCTCCTCCCTTGCTTCACCATTGAGTACTGGGGGCTTGGCTTGGGGAGGAGATGTATGTGTGCATTGGCACACTTCTCCTCCCTTCTTTTATCATTGAGTACTGGGGGCTTGGCTTAGGGAGGAGATGTATGTGTGCATTGGCGCACTTCTCCTCCCTTGCTTCACCATTGAGTACTGAGGGCTTGGCTTGGGGAGGAGATGTATGTGTGCATTGGCGCACTTCTCCTCCCTTCTTTTATCATTGAGTACTGGGGGCTTGGCTTGGAGAGGATTCAGTGTCCACATTGGTGCGCCCCTCCTTCAACCACCGTTGTGCTTGTGAGGTTTAAGTGTCCACAATGGTGCGCCTCCTCCCACAATCCTTGTGTTGTATTTTCTCTGGAGGGATGACAACCGCTCCACCATAAGGTAACTTGTATCGCTGCCTCTGACCAAAGGCTGACCGCAGCTTACAGATATGTTTCTTTTGGCTTGTTTAGACATTCAAAGGTAACCTGTTTGATATTCGCTACACAAATACTGATTGCCAGCGCGGTTCACAGATATGTTTCTTTTGGCTTGTTCAGACATTCAAAGGTAACTTGTTTGATATTCGCTTCGCAGATACTGATTGCCAGCGAGGTTCACAGATTATGTTATTTAGTTAGCTATATTTTTCTCGCTCTACTTTTTATTACTGTATTACACAGTACTAGACTGCCGCAGAGAGGGCCCCTCTGCGGTAGCCTTGTATTGGCTTTGTCACACCTTTGTTTTTTTTCTTCAATTAGACAGAAAGATGCGCCGCCAATGTAACTTAGTTTTGATTTGTCACCAAATAGCAACACCACCCTGCTCGTCTGTGCGAATAAGTCACGTGACTTTTAAATACTGCAGTTAGAATGTTGCCAATTTTCACAGCAGCGTATTGTTGAACTAAGGGGTGCTTGAGAGTACCCTCAGTGCGCTCGTCTTTGGTCTTGAATGCGGCGGAATAGATGGTATCTCAGGTATTCCACCTGAGCTGAGGAAAAAGAGCAAATCCTCATCCAAGCTTTGAGACCCGATTTCTCTTTTCCTCATCGCGTCTATGAGTCGGTATCTCAGGTATTCCACCTGAACTGAGGAAAAGAGCAAATCCTCGTATCCAAGCTTTGAGACGTGATTGCTCTTTTCCTCAGCATAGGTCTGTAGCATGCAGCCGGTATCTCAGGTATTCCACCTGGGCTGAGGAAAAGAGAACCACGTCTATATGAGTCGGTATCTCAGGTAAGGTATTTCACTTGAACTGAGGAAAAGCAAATCCTCATATCCAAGCTTTGAGATACAATTGCTCGTTGCCTCAGCATAGGCCTGTAGCATGCAGCCGGTATCTCAGGTATTCCGCCTGGGCTGAGGAAAAGAGAACCACGTCTATATGAGTCGGTATCTCAGGTAAGGTATTTCACTTGAATCTTCTGACGCACAAACCTCCACGCACTGATACGATCCTACGCCAATTCACGACATCTCTCTATCTCTCTCTATCTCTATCTGTCCTTGTCTTTTTCCTCCCTCCATTTGCAAAATGTAGAGTTCACGCATCGCATGGCTTATCTTTTGCTCGCTCATTTTTCTTTGTCGGCTTTGGTTCACATCGTCGTCGTCCGCTTTTTCATTGTCCGTACCGCGCCGTCGTCGTCATTTTCGCGTCGTCATCTTTTCCATCCACCGTATCGCAATCGTTTCCTTCCTCTACACTCCGGCACGCTCACTCTGAGGAAAAGAGCAATCACATCTTTGGTAAGGCCCATAGCATGCAGCCAGTATCTCAGGTATTCCGCCTGAGCTGAGGAAAAGAGCAATCGGGTCTCAAAGCTCGGATATGTGGGCCTTACCAAAAGCCTCATATTCGAGTGCGATTGCTCTTTTCCTGAGCCCAGGTGGAAAGCTCAGATACGAGGATTTACCTGCACGACTGTGCTATATCGCGCCTAAGACACAATATTTTCAACACTGGCAGACCAGTTTATTACTTGCCGTTAGCATAAAGCTCAAATTTAAAGGTTCTCCCAGCTTTTATGTCTGGACTGCCATTTCTTGAGCTTGAATTTGAAGGATGTAAGGTAACTTAAGTTGGGACTGCTGTTTCTCATCTGTTTCTTTCACAATACAGGCCTCTGCTTGGATGGTATGTCTTTGCAAATCTTATATTACGACACCATCCAAATTAGAAGTTATCCCGATTTGGATCTTCCAACATTGTAAATTAAACCATTTATAGTCTAGACCGCCTGCGGTTGAAAATTTTACCATTCCGTTGTTTCAAGTCTGATTTTCCAAACTCCAACCACCGAAAAATGGTGGATCCTGCTGTGACAATTCTGTCCAAGAGCCTCTGTAGGCTTATAGATGACCTACTGCGTGATTCATCGCCGTATGAGTTGCTGATAGGTGACAAAATCAATGACAATTTGCTGCAAAGAGCCAGGTAAGGGAATCTCACGTCACTGTCCAGAAAAACTTGACAGCTGGAATTTAAGGACTAGATTGTGGGCCAAGTGGCAGGACATACGTCTGTCCAGTACTGGTAGTGATGTCAAGGCGAATGTCATTGCCGAGATTGAACTTACCAGGGCTGCGGTCATAATAGCCTATGCTGTGGTTAATCCCCGTAAGTGTTGATTTGATGGTTGGGGGGTCTGTCATTCATTATGTTGCCATAGTGCGAGCGGATTTGGATGCAGATCGGTTTGCGGACAGTGCCAAGGCGTCCCATCCATCGCATGCTGACAGCCAAAGACATAAGCTAGCAAAATATTTCCACTGTCCTTCGTTTGGTTCAATATCGGAGCCGGCAACATTTGTTGACAGGCATGGAAGGATCCTTGCTTGGTATTTGCCAGAAATCGTGGTGCCTGATAGAATGGTATGAATTTGATTTGATTACAGTTTAAGTCCTTTTAATAAGTTATAATTAGGATCGTGTCAACCAGTCCATCAAATTGCTGAGACCTGCCTTAGATCAGTCTTTGCCCAAGCCAACTCAGAAGGCAAAGCAGCCTTGGCGTTCTCAAGGATTTGTCATGCCTTCAAGCTGGGGGAGAATTTGGAGTAGGAAGGGTGACTTTATGCCCGGGAGGATTCATGCAACGCCATGAGGTAACTCTGTATTCATATACTTGCCATGATACAGAACTAACTTAAATGGGCTAGCGGCTTCAGGATGACTTGTACCAATCAAGCTCCCTTTCTTCACCTGCAGTCCGAGATTGGTTGTCCGAAATAACGGTAACTGAACATTTGTGGTCCGCTATCACCAGTGTTATTGCGCCAGATCAATATCAGGCTGGTGTGGAATCTGTTGCTAATATGAAGGATACAGGTTCGTACCTCAGATCCTGTTGTTTGGCCCTCGGAGTTTTCTGGATTGGAAGTTATTGTCAACCGAGAGACGCCAAATCACCGAGACCCCGGAGCATCGCCTTCATTCTATGACCTTTTGGTGAGCCTTGGCAAAGGTCACCGTGCCGTACTAGCTCTGCCAGATCTGGGTGCCGAGCTAGCATATCCGCCTGGCACTATGGTTTACATTTTAGGGAAGGTGCTGGAGCATGGAGTGCCAAGGTGGGGTGATGGGGAGAGAATTGTGATTGCACACTTTGTCAAGGATAAAGTACATGATAGGCTTGGTGTACCGAGACCAAAGTTTCCAAACCAGCGGGATTTTCTGAATAGAGTGGGGGCAGGTAAGAAGGGGGGTTTAAAAGCCATTCGGAGATCAAATAAGAGCAGGGGACGAGGAGTAGTTTCCAGAAAATAGATATCCCGATTAGACAAAGCTTGTGATTTTAAATCGGTTGACTTCTCATACACTGGAATATTTCCTCGGTCTAAGCACTATGTCCTCAAAAAAAAGGCAACGTCTCAAGGCTATTTCTTATTCTTTCCAACATAGAGGAAAGTTATCAAAAACAAAGGATCTGGATGTTGATTATGTTGCTCACGAACCTACAAGAGACAAGAGGGGAAATCCCTCTTGGGTTGAGTCTTGTGCTGATCAGCTGTATCAAACTTCGCCAGAGCCTACTACCAGCCCAAGAAAACGAGTTAAAGAAGTACACACAGAATCACCAGACATCCAAGAAGAGGATTTAAATCAGGAAATGTTTGGTGACTTTGTTATTCACGTAGAGGCTGCTGAGCAAGGGAGAAAAACAAAGGTATGTCTAACAGGCCATGGCTTACTAGTAATTGTTTCTCATCAATGGCATAGACGCAAAATGACTTCATATCAGAGTATCTCGCTCACCGAGATGTGTATCTAGATGTCATCTTGGACTCAGAGAAATTTGCCACCACAGGCATCTGTGAGACTTGCCAATGCGAAGATAGTTCCTTCCGTTGCACAACTTGCACTGGCGACCACAGCTGGTGTCGCCCTTGCCTCCTCGAATCACATCAGTCATTGCCTTTCCACAAAATCCAATTTTGGAATGGCAAGTGCTTTGAAGACGTCACTCTTTCTGCCCAAGGATTTATATGGCACATGGGCCATGGTGGAAAGTCTTGCCCTTGCTACGGAGTTGGACAAAGTCACCTTGATCAAGATTCTTCTGTGATTATTGTACATTCTTCTGGGGTGTTCACACACAATGTGTCGTGGTGTCGGTGTCCAGGATCACATCACGAACATCACCTGCAGCTGCTCCAAGCAGGACTATTTCCCGCCAGTATCACACGCCCTAGGACTGCGTTCACCTTCGAAATACTGGATCATTATCTCATTGATGCCTTGGAATGCAAGACTTCGGCAATGAGCTTCTTTGAGAAAATCCGACGGCTGACAAATAATGCTTTTCCGGATGCTGTCCCGGTGAGTAGAATCGACAATATCATAATTCTAGCTCATACTGAATGCAAACTCCCATCTGTAGGATCGATATCGTGAACTCATGAGAGTGTCTCGACTCTGGCGCGACTTGAAGAACCGTAAATGGTTTGGATTTGGCCATGACATGGAAGCACCCCCTAGTGCAGGAGATCTTGCTCTATTTTGCCCTTCTTGTCCGCAGCCAGGAATCAATATGCCTCTTATTTGGGAGCAGAAGTACGAAAGGCAAGTCAATTCCAGCAATCCTTGTCTGCCAGACTCCGGCCAGTACCCACCGTGCATAGCGCAGCAGTGGTCCTGGCCGGTAATATGTGTCAGCTGAGTCCTGGCCGGTACCTTTTGTACGCAGCCCAGTATCAGTCACGGCCGACCATTTGTCTCTACTGGCCAGTAATGTGTCAGCTGGCCGGTACCTTTGTACACAGCCCAGAGTCAGGCGGGGCCGACCATTTTTCTCTATTGGCCAGAAGTTGTTGGTTCCAGATAACTCGTGGATGCTGACTTTTTGATTGCAGGTGGCTTGTTATGAGAAGATTTGTGGTAGATGGAAACTTTACCGCTCAGCACATGAACATGTGACAGCCTCAGCTTGACGTCTTCCTCTCAGATGGTTTAGGTTATATGGTAACAGACGGAGATTACCAAGCTCACTTGGCTTCAGCTATGGAGAGTAAAGAGGTGAATCGATTTGCTTTGTATTGTTAGTGGTGGCTAAACCTGTAGAAAGCGATCCTCGTGTAGCAACCATCGGGCCGTCAATGCAGCAAACACAAACAGAAGCAACCTCCGAGCTACAGGGGTCGGTGCCACTGCTTGTGCTCGGCATGGATGTTTTGTTCCCCACTGCATAGTGGACTTTCAGAAGGGTGAACGGCAAGTTTTCTTTCATTTACTCAATCTAGGTTAAGACGAGCCTTGGGCTTGACATGCTGACAAAATCACTTCAAGCCACATGAATATAGATTATTCCATTTGCAATGCCATTAAGCATGCTGCTGGCAACATTGACAACTCCCTGATCATCTATGATGTGGGGTGCCAGTGGAGCCTTAACTTTACTCAACATGTTGACAACTGCCCTGGCTTGGCACTCCCAGACAACACCGAGATTGTGGCCGCAGTGGGGAAATTTCACTTGAGCGCTCATAAACTTGCCTGTTTTGCTAGATACAGCTTAAACTTCATTCAAGGAGCTGGGCAAGTTGACGGGGAAATTCTGGAGACACTTTGGGCTCCCTTTAACAAGATATCTCCCACAGCACGTTCTATGAGCCAAGCACACCGTCAAGAAATTCTTGATGATCATATGCGTAACTCAAATTGGAAAAAACTTGTCAGAATAGGTAAGTGCCTATATTTGGAATGAATGACATCACAGTTTCACACTGATGCAGTTAAGACGCTCTTGAGAAAGTACAAACGGGCCAACAAGGGCATTGAAGACACTAGGGTGCCATTTGAAGAGCTTACAGGATCTTTGGATGTCATCAAAGTGAGGGCGTGGGAAAAAGACGAGGAGAAGGCAAAGGAAGAACGTGGAGAACATCTCAACATTTACCAGCTAAAGATAGATAAAGGTGAGCACTTCGAAGCTTCTATTCAGTTCCCTGTGCCGTACATTCTGATTGGGTGATTGGAAGCACCAACAATGGCAGAAATACGGCTAAAATTAACTGAATCAGAATATGCTGATACAGGGAGGTTGGGATCAATTTCTTGGCTCATTGACGGCATCAATATAGAGGATTCGCAGTATGTTGTTTCATCATATATATTGATGGTGATGACGTATTTCTAATTACTATCTAGGGATGCACTCAGGGTAGCTATTCGGCAGCTTCCCAAAGATGCGTCTGCAGTTCAAAGGGCTGCAGTTCAAGTGAAACAACAAAAACTGGCTGCACGTATTTCGAAATTTCATGAAATTGCTGATGCTATGACAGAGGGCATCGAAGTCTATGCAGGTACTGAGCACATGGATGACATCAGATTTTGCACTACAGATGTGGTGGAGGAAGTGCGGGAGGCTGCAAATATTGAAGACGTGTTGGAAGAGATTGATGAGGAAGTTCCTGCAGAAGCCATGGGCATTTGGATGCCATCTTCAGTGCTCCGAAATGAGGCTTTAGCCCTGGGCTTGCACACTCTGCAAGCTGAAGAACTGGAGTTACGAAAGGGTCAAGCAAATGATTGCTTGGAAAAGTTACGGCAGGCTCTCGGTCATAAAGCGATAATTTACCGTCAACATTTCCGAAGTGCAGATTCCACATGGACAGGAACCAGGTCAAAGCAGGAGGCTCTACGATGTCGTATCAAAATAGAGAAGTGTGTCCGAAGGTATCAAAGGGCAAGGGGTTCGATGCAGAGACTAGGGGCTGATGAAGATACTCTGAGGACGATTTATCAAGACATTCAGCCACACCAGCTCAGTGTGGACAAGGAAGTGACGGAAGAGAACAGATATGGGCAGGGATCAGACAGACTGGCTTGGTTTTGGAGAGTCAACAACGGTCATGATTCGCAGGAAGATGTGTGGATGGATGAATGTAAGTCATATCTAATATGCCTATTTTCTGCAGTGACAGGTATTAGTCTACAGGGTAAATTGGTTGAAAGCTAAGGCTAGATGGCAAAGGTGGGAGGAGGAGTTGAGATTGGTCCAACACGAAATGGGTTGGACAGTGAGTTGGTTTAAATACAGGATGGAAGAATGGGACCAAAGATACCGACAAGCTACAAAGCCTGGTCATCAAGCTTATGCACATCGACAGGTGCTCTTGTGGGGAAGATTTGCATTGGATGCTGAAAATTCATTCAAAGACAAGATGATTGTAGTCGTTTAACAGTCTTTGCTATTATAATATCAAAGACTTATCTAGCCAATATATGATAGTTATGGTGGTCAGGATCACTGCCTACACGTCATACTCTAGAGCTGGCCCATTTATACTTGCAGATAGTACAATTTGAATGACTAACTCTCAAGTGATAGTACTAAAACCAACATCTTTCTTGATAATACTTTGTCTAAGGTATTAGCCTGGAGATGGCTCGGCTGGCTCTGGTATCAATGTCTGAAGTATCGGCCTGCCTGCTTGTACATACCTTGGTCCTGATCCGGCCGGCTCTGTTATCAATGTCTGAGGTATCGGCCTGCCTGCTTGTACGCCCCTTGGTCCTGATCCGGCCGACTCTGTTATCAATGTCTGAAGTGTCGGCCTGCCTGCTTGTACACAACATGGTCCTGATCCGGCCGACTCTGTTATCAATGCCTGAGGTGTCGGCCTGCATTTCTGTACATGGCCTGGACATGCACCGGCCGGCGTTATTATGAATGCCTGAGGTGTCAGCCTGCTTTCCTGTACATGGCCTGGACATGCACCGGCCGGCTCTCTCATCAATACCATCAGGAAACCTACACTTTCCTTATCATTCTTGAGTTGTTTTAGATACTTGGGTTCTTGACCATGATGCTCAACATCACATAAGACATGAACACTTAAATATATTTGTATACTTACATTATCTACTGACACTGATCAACTTGCATAAGTCAAATATCCTGCTGGACTTGAGTATCTTAGAAGTGCAAGTCATGGAAAGACTTGGCCAAGTATTATACAGTTATTCAACAATGTGTAGGTTTTTCCTGATGCCCTAAGTTGTTGGCTGGTACTGATGTATGTGTGTAGGGAGCCTCACTTGGGTGGTCGGCCAGTACCAGCCCCACACCTCTGGCCAGCACCAATGTACATGTACGAGCAGTGGTCGGCCAGTACCAGCCCCACGCCTCTGGCCAGCACCAATGTACATGTACGAGCAGTGGTCAGCCAGTACCACCCCCACACCTCTGGCCAGCACCAATGTACATGTACAAGCAGAGGTCGGCCAGTACCAGCCCCACGCCTCTGGCCAGCACCAATGTACATGTACGAGCAGTGGTCAGCCAGTACCACCCCCACACCTCTGGCCAGCACCAATGTACATGTACAAGCAGAGGTCGGCCAGTACCACCCCCACACCTCTGGCCAGCACCAATGTACATGTACAAACAGTGGTCAACCAGTACCACACTCACTCGGCCAGTACCACCCTCACACCCTTGGCCGGAGCACCAATATACATGTATAAGCAGTGGTCGGCCAGTACCACACTCACACCGCTGGCCAGCACCAATGTACATGTATAGGCAGTGGTCAGCCTGTACCCACATATATAGACAGCCTCACCTGAGTGGTTGGCCAGTACCACTCTCACACCCTTGGCCGGCACCAATGTGCATGTACAGGCCGGTGCTGGTTGGTACACATTCTACAGCCATTTGGCACATCCGGGGCACCACTTCTACATAGGGTTATGACTGAAGTATGTGGATAGCCTTGCACTGTGGGTAGTACACTCGCGGAAATTCAGTGAATGGAATCACTGGATTCTCGTAGCGGATGCCTACTTAAATTTAGTGTGTCGCTCACTCAAATCTAGTGATTTCTATATCACTGAAAGGACCAACTTGACATACGTAAATTTCCGCAGAGTCTCCGTCGATTTTCAATTGAATATATCACTAAACATACAGCAAGAACATCACTGGAAAAGACTGACGCAGTCACTGGAATTGTCCAATTATAATGCAGCATTGAGCTAATACAGTACAGGCAAATGCAAAGAGACATCTAGTGCATAAACAGAGACGCGAAGTAGTACAAGAGTTGCAATCGATAGAAGAACAGCGTGCATGAAGAATACCAATGGAAACAATCTTGAATGAGTTGGTGGCAATTTGAGCAGAGACGGTTGAAGAACTGGTTATCGGCGTTGAAGGAATGGCAAGCAGAGATGAAGGACCTGGTGTGTATTGACAGAGAATCCAGTGAGCAGAGACAGAGAACCTAGCAATCAGGGACAGATGAAGAACAGCCGAAGACCTGGTGAAGAGAGATGACCCAGTGAAGAGACGACCCGGTGAAGAGAGACAAAGAACTTGGTCGGAAGAGATGGTAGGCATGAACAAAAGCTCATCTGTATGACTGAAAAAGACAAATTGTCAGTGAGACGGTGCACATGAAGAAAACTCACCCTTTGCCTGGCTGGTCGTGCACGTGAACATTTAGGCCGCAGTACCGGAGTAGCCTGGATGCTCTCGGGCTATGCGAGGCAGTAATTCAAGGTGAAAGTTGGCAGGAAGAAGGTTTAAGAGCGCACCAGTTCAGAGAGCTCCGATTCACTGTCATCTTGATATGCTGCATTGTCATATGATCCAGGAAATTTAGAGGGACCTGCTGTTGATTGCGATTTGGAAGCGATGGGCTAGTGCGTAACGACGCGAACGTGAGCTAAAATGAACAAGGGGCTGTCAGTATAAGCGCTAGAAAGGACGCACCACTTTGTGCACACGCTGCTAGACAACAATCTGAGCACATGACCGAACATATAACATGATACGACACACCTTAGAGGAAATCTTTGCAGCTAATTCGTCGTGCACCCTCTGTTCCTCCTTCGCCTTCTCGATTTCATCATTCATCTCCTTGCGGAAGCGCTCGACCTTCTGAACACGTTTCTCGGCAGCCAAGACGCAGTGTTGGCGTGTGATTTTCTCGATACGTGAGTCTTCTTCAGCCATTGGATGCAGAGCAACACCTGAATCAGCACTGGCAATCATCTCTTCATACGCCTCTTCTAGACTGCATCCGAGGTCTTTCGAAATTAAGTGGATAGCGACCCAAGGTATGAGGTAGTATTCGATGTAGGCCTTGAAGTCAAGGGGAGCGAAGGCCTCGTTGGAAGTCTGTTCGTGGTCAAACATGGAAAATATTGCGGACTGGATTATCGCTTTTCCTTTCTCCCCGTAGCTAACAAGATGTCAGTATCAATGTGGATCAAGTCATGTAAATGAGCAAATCACTATCCAGGACGAGCGTGATTTGTAACCATCGTTGGTATGCGATGTCGGCTAGTGATGGCCAGCTTGGAAAACTCTCGATCGGTGGAGTTGCTCTTCAGACCTGTGGAAGAAAGATCTTCAAGAAACATGTCATTAAAAAAACTGTAGTGCCTCGTGTTTTGATCATGAATCATGAGATCCAACTTGGCCTCCATTTGGAGGACTCGATCTGAGACGTTCTCCCATATAATGATTGTTGGCCATCCTCGGGCTTTGGCGCGTTGCATATTGAGCCTTTCTTCACGCAATCAACAAAGTGCCGCGCATATCTCAAGCTCTAGACGTAGACCCTCTGAGGTCAAGCAGCGGTTAGTGGTCTTGAAAGAGTTCCACTGCCGGAGCTGTTTGACCAGCTCAATAGTGGGATCCGCCGGCACAAGATCCTTGCAGCTGTCACTCGGACAGACCAAGGGAAGGTCAGCAAACTCGTAAGCATCATCATCATCGTTGACGGTAGTGACAATCTAATATGATTCAATGAGTTAAATGTCAGCGTCGATGATAAATCACTAAACCTTGAGATGCGCAGCAGAGGCTTCTGCTGGTTTGGATTTGGTCTTGGCGTGAGTGTCACGAGGAATAGACACAGGTTTTGCTTCCGGCTTGCCCACGGTGGTTGGTGGAGTTTCCATTGCAACCTTTGTGGTGCGTGTGCCTGATGATGATATTGGCCTTGGTTTTGGCTTTGCGTCCAGATGGCGAGCAGGAACCTGGGTCATCTTTGATTTTGGAGCTGGCTTTGTGCGAGGAGCGGGCTGTGCATGAGGAACAGACTGTGCATGAGGAGCAGGCTTCATGCGAGGAGCTGGAGCTGGCTTTGCACGAGCAGGAATGGACACCTGCCAGTAGCTTTGAGTATCAGTAGTGTAATTGAAACATCTTGAACGCTCACATGTGTAAACTTGAGCTTTTTTTTGAGGTCGTGAGCTCCTCTCCTCATCGGTCTCTGAATCATCTGAATCATGTGCATGTCAGTGTCGTTTTCGTCGTGATGTTGGAGTCGAAGTAGCCTCATCATCATTAAGCATGTCGTCAAGTTCCCCATCACTGAGATCTGAGTCATCCATCTGTGCGCATATATGCAATCAACTTTCAGCTTTCGATTCATTGATTAGCATACCTCTGAGTCGTCTAAATCTGCATGCCGCTTCTTGGTGTACTGGACATGATTGCAAAGATAAGAGGCAATAAAGTCATGAAATGGCCAATTATCGCAGAACTTTGCTAGAAATAGGTGTTTGCGCTGTGCCTGAGCATGGTTAGAGTAGCATATATGCACAGAAAAAAACATGAGATACTTACATATGATAAAAGGAGTGTCACCGTGAGTTTGGGCTGTTCTTTGAGAGTCTTCTCAGTATTGAGGTATCAATTTGTATATTGCCGTGCGATCATCTTATCAAAGTGTGAATTATTTTAAAGTGCTGGTTAACACTACTCACTCTAAACACATTATATTTCCGGTTATCACCAGCCAATCCCATGGCCTGTTGGAGACTGTATCCTCCTTTCAGTTCTGATTGTCCTGCTTGACCCTTGGGTTTGTCGATCAGCTTCTTTATATGCCCTGTGGGGCCGAGCCTTCCGTGATGATCATTTCCTACCCACACATATGTTACTCCCATCCCTTCCATAACTTCGAAATCTGACTCACGCTGTATATGACGAAGCTCAGTCTCAAGGTGACTGAGATTCTTTGCAACCCTGTCCACCTTTCCAACTGCTTTTTCTTTGTAGGGCATCGTTGATAGTGGTGGAAAGGCTTGCAAGTGCTGGTTAGTCGTCTGATATTATTTGTTGATGTCCTTTGTTGACGTGTTATTTGGTAAACACGTGACATATCTGTGAATTCGTGTCTGTGTCTAAGTCTTTCCTGGTGCTGGCTATACATCACAAATCGTGAGCGTTCTTGAAGCCCCCATCGTCACTCTGAAAGAGATACCAGAGACACCAGAGATGACCGAGACCGTCATGACGACCATGACAGAGACCGCGAACGCGACCACGATGCCGACAGGGAGGTATTACACTAGGTGCCTTTGATGCAGGTTGATAACCACAAGTAAGGATGTAAGAGTTGCAAAGAAAGACCGACCCGTCTAAGGGAATCATGCACCCCTACCCGATGCCGGCGATGACTGGTGTAACCTCAATCATCCATTCCTATGCATATCGTCATTCGGCACTCATGCCTTCCCTGCTGCTCTTATCCAAGCAGAATTTAGGAACCCGGTACATTGAATCGATGTTATCAACATATGAGCTTCCAATCCTCCATGTAACGAAAAAGTCGTCATTCCTGTAATGTTGCATTGACGACCATTTGATAAACTGTTTCGAGCTTCATTCAGGGAACCATAGCGAATGGCACAATTACCTTCCTGTTCTGGGCCCACCAGACGAGAACTTCTGCGGCTCAGACAACTTACACGTTGTAGTATAGGCCTTAATTCAGATTGGCTTCGACTTCGCACCAGCAAATCAAGGAAGCAATTGAATCAATGGCAAAAATACTCATACGGTACGGATGAGCCATTCCATCAACGGGATCTGTGCTGACGGTTAGGGTCTTGGGAAGGTTGTAGCGAGTTGATTTTCAACCCCCTTATTGAATGGTGGAGGAAGGGTCCAATCAACAAACAGCTGCGTATCTTTGTATGGTCAAATGCGCCGGTCCATTACAAAATTAGTATGATGGCATGTGAGTAAGGTTGATAAGAATTATGGCCAACATGCTGATTTCGGTTTCAAAAGATATGTTTTCCTGTTGTAGGACAAGGTCTTTTGTTGTATTCCTGCTATGCTCACAGATTGTACAGATGGTATCGCAGCCTCGGCAGTTTTGTCGGTCCTCAACTATATCCTTCTTGGACTGGCATTTGAAACGGATGGCTACTATCTTCATAGCTTTGAAGTCTTTCTCACAATTCTCACTGTGTTTCCTGGATCAGGCAACGTCAGCTACGTTCTTCTTGAATACAGACTTGGACACTGTAACATGTGGGCCTCGCTTGTTGAGACCTACACCTGGGTTCCTTTCTTGTACGTGTCCGTCGCTTATTTCAGGCCCAAGCTCATACCAACTCTCGCAGCTTTTTCTTCTTTGGCGGTCTTAGTGTCCACCTCTCCACCGCTCTTTTGGCCCACATGTTCTCATACAACATCACTTGGGGAGCAACAAAAAAGGAAGTCGAACATTCGAATTTCTTTATCGAAGTCCCCCGAATTTTCAAGCGCTTCTGGCTCACCTTCGTGCTCTCTTTCGGCACCTTCGCCATGATCGTCATTTTCAGTCTTCCTATTGTCAATCTATACGGACCACAACACTGGGTGGGTCACGCGCCCGAAGCATGATGGCACACCTGGTGGTTTCAAGCATGCTGGCCAGTTCAAAAAGGCGTCGAACATGAACTACAGGCTCGCATTAAACTTGAAGCTTGAGAAGCACTTGAAAGTGCTCGAAGAAGCGGTGCGGATGGGGGAGCCAGAGCTGATAGGCGTGGAGAATTGAAACTACTTTTTCATTGCTGTATCTATGTGTCCTCGTCTGAAATATAATCTTCGTTGTACTCATCCACATCTGCAAATGATGCACAGGCAGCATTGATGGTACGATCTATGATACCCCACCTTCTGCGAGTATTAACTCGGCCCACTGCGGCTTTTATATTGCATACATCGCTAACAATGATTGGCAGGAATTTCTTATACTCCACAAGGATTTGTGAAGCATCACGTCCATCTGTATAACAGGGTGCAATAACTGCGAGGATGTGGAGGGAATTCTGGTGAGTCCCCCATATGGCCTTGCCATCCAAGTTGCAAAGTATGATCTTCTCAAGGCGACCGTAGCCTATGACATTGATGACACGATTTCCTGTGTCATTATATTGAATCTCGTACTACAGATAGTAAGTTTTATGATCAAACAACAACAATATACTTACCCGCACGAAGGTGTTATCTCTGTAGGATTCTGTCAGTCGGCGAATTGCAAAGATGGTACGAATTGTGTCCCCTCAGTAGTAAATGCGTGCTTTTCCACATAGTGGCATCACTGTGGGCAGTTGGGCTTGAATTTGATCTTGCCATCTACCAAGGATCTGGTGGAAGTATGTAGCAATGACACCCAACAAGTTGTCATCTCTAGGCCTATACTTGTAGTTGATAGGTGCACAAATGATGAATTCAGGATCTGACGGCCAACATCATTAAACTGTCTGCCATGTTGTCAGTTGATAGATAGACAAGCACATACATGTATCAAAAACCCTTTCACCCTGTTGCAGTTCACCATCTTGTAGACGTCGAGACGTCACACGAAAGTCTTCGCCAAGGTCATATTTTACTGTCACTTGGGTCAGATAGGCCATATACAACACCCGCCGACTGATATTACTCCAAGGAAATTGGCGCGAATGCAGGTGAGCCTGGAGAAAGCCACAGTAGCGCTCCATGTAAAATGTCCAGCTTGTCCATACTGGTCCACAGAAGCGTATCCCACTTGCCACGTGAAGTAGACCATGGATGGGGAGGGTGCATGTTGACAATCGATCCTCTGCATATTGGTAGTAGTAGCTGAATCGGAAAGGTATCAATAATAGCACCGCATTTTGAGAGGAGATGACACTTACTCTTCGTATGTTTTGACCCATTGGATTAGTCCCTCGTCGAGTGCGTCAATCTCACCATGAGTAAGCTGGAATTGCAGCATTTTCTTCATCATCCCTGCAAGTTCACACATGTGGTCATAGTACTTCACATCTTCAAATCGATCCTTGAGTATGATTGGGGCCAGGTACATGAACCAAAATCCCCATGCTTCGGCTGTAAAATTCGAACGGTCATGAGCAATATTTCCAAGGGCCCGTACAAAGGCTGCAGGGATGTCCTTGATGGCGCCCACTGTCTCAGCTCCAATTTCTTCCCAAATGTCGTCTGGGATCTCATAGTTCCCAAAACCAGAATCAAGGCCTTTAAAACGACCAGTCCACAGATTTACGAGGGTAGGCACAATGTTCTCCAGAAACAGATGCATCCATTCATATGGAAATGATTTTGAGTAGTCCAATGATTCCACACGTCGTAGTGCAGGGGGGCCGCGAATACCAGTCTGCTTGGCAATGGCCGCTTTCTCTGTTCTTGTTGTGGCTGACTGTAATTTGTTGTGTGTCTTAAGGTAGCTCTGGTGTGAGTGAAGAGGCAGATGGCGAGGGTCAAGAGATGGCCGAGGCTGGTGGTCAAGGTCTGGGGTGCTAAGAGGTGTATAGTACACTTTGCCGTGGCCAGTGATATTTTGTACTCCTTGTATCTCACATGAACAACATGGATAGACTGCATTGTGACCCTTGATGTTTAATAGCTTTTCGATAGCAACAATATCACCGTCCTCGAAGATGACGTATGCATGGAGATCAAAATGATTTCAAGTGGATGCGTCAAGTGTTCGCACTCCATCGGCGAGAACAGCACGCTCATCATCGAAGGGAGCAAGGAAAGACTCAATATCTTTCGGTTGATGGGGACCTGGAATGACTCCAACGCAGATGAGATTCTCTAGGCGAGTTCGGATCTGCGGAGGGAGGTTGAAATTTTGTAGAAGGATGGGAGTAGCAGATGGGCCCCCGCGACGTCTCTTGAAGAGGAGATAGCTATCAGCAGATAGCGCAAGTGCTACGTCATGTGGCTTGTGAAAGTATTTGTGTCTTCGCTTGACACCGTCTACAACAACATGACGGGAGCGAAGTTTGTGGTACCACTTGCCATCGAACACATCCCTGATAAGCCTATCACTCTGTACAAAGTTGTGCCGATAAGCCATTTGTTCAATTATGGTGGGATTATGAAAGAGAGCTTGAAGTTGAGGAATAAGAGGAATGTACATGAATGTGCGTTGAGGATGTCCGTGTTTGGTATATCGGCCTTCATTGCAAAAGGGGCATCTTTCATCATGAACATATTGTCCCGTATAAGCGATACAAGATTGTATGCAGCAGTGTATGTTCTGGGGTTCAATTCCAGACAGCAGCGCTAAGCGGTGAACTACAACCCATTCAGAATCCAAAGTCATTTTGTGTCGGAAAGCATAACACATCCTATCATAGGCATAGCGAGGTATGTTCGCAAGCATCTTCAGCTGAAAAGCTCGGATATTGTCGCGGTCCTCTTCCGTAATGATGTCATTACCTGCGTCAAACATTTGAGTATCAGGTCAATTGAATAGAAAAACACTCACAGACGTCATAAAAATCGCCATCACCATTTGGGTCTGCCCAAGCATTGAGCTGTTCTGCAATATCCTGGAGTGAAAGGTGCAGATACTCGTCATCATCTGCTTCTTCATCAAAGATGAAGTTTTCAGGAATATCAATTGGTGTTTCTGAGGCATACGAGCGATCAGATGATTCATCACAGTCGATGTCACTACAAGCAGCCTGGCTGCAGCCATCATCGATGCTCATGACATCCTCTGATGACCCAGTGTGGAAGGACCTGCCAGTCGAACTATCACGATTCACGATTAGGATTATCTTTGGTACAGCATGCCAAACTCACTCGTCATTGGAGCTACCACTCTCTTGCTCCATATATCTGTCTTCGTCATCTTCCCGGTCTGAATCCTCCATACATTCCAGCTCGTTGTTGATGAATTTTCGGTAGTGCTTATTCCATGCAGACTTTGATAGCCATTTACCACATGATGGTTTGCACCTGCATGTTCCATAGTCATCAGTAGGTGAAGGATTTCTGGATTGTGACATGGCTGGTTGAAGGCACGACATCGATGGTGGTGATTGATCAAGGGTGTATGCAGTCTTTAATTATATTATGGTGTGCACTCGAGTCTCGGAAGCACTCGTCGGAAATGCTGAAGATGGAAATCATGAGACAGGATCAACAATTCATTTAGCTTAAATTTAGTGTGTTCATCATTGATTTTTTTCGCGCTCAATGCCTAAGTCACTGATTTTAAAGTGATCAACACCAAAGTCAATGAAATTTTCAGATATTTTATTCTCACTAAAAAACACTTGAGTGCCATTCCAGTGACAGATCTGCTGAAAACTTCCGTGATCAGTGATGAACACATGTAAATTAATTGATTCTACTGCCCACAGTGCTTGGTTCGTCTTTGAATGGTGCACAGAAGCAATACAGATGTATGCAGGGACGTATGGACGAGTATGGTGGATGAAATAGGAGCAATCCGACGGGAGTTAGAAGAGAACTTGGAACCCCACTGACCAACAACTTAGATGCTGTTTGACTGAAGGTCATGGTTGAAGAATCAGAGCTTAATGCGCTAAATATAATGACCATTTACAGACTTGTACTTACAGCTGTTTGCATATACTATCTTTGGCCCAGAGTTGCAAAACACGATGTACCACACTCATCTTTCACTCATTTCCTTCACACAACGATTCTGAAGGATGATTAATACATAGCTTACTGTGTGTATTTTTTATTTCATGAAAAATGGACTAGAAGTGCTTGCGGCAGTGAAACACTGCTCAGAAAGTGTACTTTCCACGCCAATCCGTCGGAGGGAAGCCATCACATGTGCCGAAAAAATCAAGGATTTTACAAGGGATTCTTCATTGTCTTCTGATACTATCCTAAATTTTTCTAACATGAAAGCTGAGTTGTATTGTGAGATAAAAGTGTTCTACTATCGACACACAGGGCGTGACAGGAGCAGTGAGTTGGCATTCGGAGTTGTCAAGCTCCGCTCGGCAACTCTGCCAAGACTTGCGCAAACATGAATCTGCAAAGTTAAACTTTCAGTCTTGCAGTGCAGGTCGCATGCCCAAGGCAAAACAATCCTACAAGTTTGCTCAAGAACTCGAGGATAAAATCCAACATGCCTGCTCTGTTCTACATGCTTCTCCTTCTCATAACATTTGTGCTGTTGCAACAGAGCACAAAGTCCCATATCACACCCTTCGTCGACGGTTTCTTGGCAAAAGTCAGCCATATAACAAGGCTCATGTTGGGCAGCAGATCCTTTCACCAGAGTCAGAGGATGTGCTCATTGACTGGATTAAATTACTCAGCTCCATGGGGCATCCACTCAGCAAGTGCACAATCCGAAGCAAGGCAGCTGTATTATGTCACGGACAGTCTAAGCCCTGTGAGAAGTGGGTCAGAGGTTTTATCAAACATCACCCAGATATCTGCTTGGGGAAACCATCAGCTCTGGACCCAAAACAATGCCAAAATTTTAACCACACTGTTGTCGATCACCATTTTGAGCTTCTTAAGAAGCTTCTTGATGAAAAGGACATTCCCTGGGAAAACGTGTATAACATGGATGAGAAGGGGTGTCAGCAAGGTGGTGGAAGGAAGGCTTCACCAGAGAGGTACTTTGTACCTCATGGTAGATACCTGAAGTATAAGAGTCTGTTCAGATAAACCAAATTTTGCCAAATTTCAGAAATATGGTGCTTTGTAATGCTGGGGGTCAGTGTGACATATGTGACAAGCCATATCGATAACATGCCCACTACACGATCTACTACTAGATTGACTCATTCAAGTCATAACCGCTGTGGACATCTACAACACACCATGGTCCGTGGAAGGAAGAGCGCACTGGAGGGTCAAGATGCGTCTGAAACCAAAGACCGATGCATCTGGACACAAGATGACGAAACACACCTCATCCAGTTCATCACTACACACCAGTCTAAGGGTGGCGATGGACTGAACTTTGACAGGACCTTCTGGACCTCTGTTGCTACTGAGATGGCTAAACATACCACACAAGGTGCACCAAAGACGCTCGAAACATGTCAATCAAAATGGACACGGGTAAGTTTTTATTGCAACACATCAGTACTACTAGCCTAGAGTCTGTACTGATAAGACCTTCAGCTCCATAGCATGTTCAGTGTTGTCGACAAAGTAGCAAACTATTCTGGCTTGTCATACAGTCTGGACCATGGCACCAACATAACAGCTGTATCTGAGACGGTATGGGCTGAGATATTGAAAGTAAGTGCTGCCAATGCTCCGCTACCACTGGCAGCTACTAATATGATGCAGTCTACTCCCGCCGCAAAGCCATTCAAGAATAAAGGCTGGGTGCACTATGAAGCAATGAAGGAACTCTTGCCATCAAATACATGTGGCAACCGTGCTTTCTACACCCGCATGCCTGCCAATAATGTTGCACTGGTAGGGGCTCTGAGTCAAGCTACCACTTCTCAGCCCCTAGCTGGCACAAGTTTTGATGAAGCCAATATAGTTGACCAGGAGAAAGCATTGGACGACATTGAGTATGGTGCTGACACTTCACCAGATGTAGATATCAACATGTTGCCACCCTCTCCCTTTGATGCGGCACAACGGGCCACCTTCACACCCTCTACGCCGGGCACTTCTACTATTGGCAGTGGTAAACGAAAAGCAGGTGGAGAGTCAGGTGACAATATGAGAGCCTTTGCTCGCCCTCCAGGCTCTACAAAATCTGCATCCGAGTCAGGGAAGTCTGTCAAGTCACAGCATGTGGCTATCCCACAAGCTTTCCAAGACATGAGTAAGGAGATTCATAATCTCACCAACTCCTTCGATCGTGCAACAGACGTCATGCAAGAGCGCACAACTCAGGTTGCCCCACGTCCCGTGGTGGATCCCATTCCGGTGCACAAGCAGAAGGCTATCATTCAGCTGCAGAAGGAGGGTCTGGAGGACCATGAAATAGTGGAGATTATCAAGCATTTCCAAGCCGATGTTGCCATAGCTGATTCATACCTTGTCATCGAGAAGGAGAGCACCTGGAAGCTTTTCTTATCAACCTACTTGAACTAGATTTTCGCTGTATCATGCTTGCATTTGACGTTGTTAGTACTACTAGAAGTAGTACTGAATATCATGACACTTTGTTGCGCAACTGTCTATGAAACATTGACGCAAGCGACTACGAAAAATTGACGCAAATGACTATGAAAAATTGATGCAAATGACTACAAAAGTTTGTCCTCTATGACTGACTGACCTCTCTGCTGTCTCATCTGACAGTAGTCCTCCCACATCCGAAGGGCAATCGTGTCATGATGTTGGTGTGCACGAGTGTGTGCCTCTGCAGTGGGAGGACCTTCTGCAAGTGTGCCGACATCATACTCAGGCTCATTCAAGTCAACCTGGTGGTAGTCCATCATATCATTCGGGTCGTGCATCAGGAAAAACTGTATCTCTATATAGAGGACCATCCTCTATATAGCCCCGATAGCACACCACAGCTCTATACAGTCTATGGCAAGCTATCACAGCACTATAGACCAGTATAGACATCATGAAAGTCTATATATTACCATAAAGTTTGGTAAGTGTATTTAGAAGTAAAACATTTCAACAACTATAGACCCCAGTAGACCGTGGGAACTTTTTTCGATGAAAACCAAAGTTGTAGTCCTTGTCTAGGGAAGTCTATCCATAGTCTTATGACTTCAATAGGTTAAGATCCTAGTGAGTTATAAGGAAAATACTCGAAATTGAAGGGTTCAAGAAAGCAACTTGACCATGGGAACTTTTTTCGATTAAATCAAAGTTGTAGTCCTTGTCAAGGGAAGTCTATCCATAGTCTAATGACTTCAATAGGTCAAGATCTTAGTGAGTTATAAGGAAAATACTTGGAATTGAAGGGTTCAAAAGTGTTAAGGTACACCTTATTTATGTAAGCAAAAATGCGAAAATTCACCTTATGTGTATTCAAAATCCTAATGCTAACAGTCAATTTCATTGTCTTTTTCTTACTGTCATAATCCTAGTCCTATTAACCAAAAACTCGAAAATTCACCAAGTCTTGTGTTGTGGCTTTGTTTGGCACTGCTTATGTAAGCAAAAATGCGGTCAACCAACAAGTCTTTTCCCATTCTTTCCTTCCCCCCCACTGCCCCCTCATTAGATTATCTTCCATATTTCTCTTACAATTTTCGAGTTTTTGCCTCTCTTCTCTTCTTCTTGCTTCTCTATCCTTCTCTTGGTGTTGATGTTGTTGGTGCTGGTGCTGGTGCTGGTGCTTTGAACTCTGGTAAGTCTTCCTCCATAATTTTCGCATTTTTGACTATTTGACTAATCTTTTTTCTAACCCTCTCCTTCTAGCTCTCTTCCCTCCTGCTCCTCCTCCCCCCAACTATTTTCGCATTTTTGACCATTTGGCAAGTCTTTTCTCTGACTCTCACTTCCTCCTGTCTGATCCTCTCCTTCTAGCTCCCTTCCCTCCTCTTCCCTCAAGAATTTTCGCAATTTTCACTATTTGATAAGTTCTTTCCTCTCTGATTCTTCCTTCTAGTTCTCTTGCCTCTTCCTCCTGTAATTTTCGCATTTTTGCCTGTTTTGTAGTTATTAGTTTACATGTATTGTAGTAGTTGAAATATAATTTGGAATTTTCGCTTTTTTTTAATTTTGAGAACACTATCATGGCAACAAACAGCTATTAAGAGAAATTTTTGCTTTGTGTTTTGAGCTATAATAGCTACAATAGTTGTGGTATGTTCCACCCAGCTATAGCAACTTTAATAGAGCTATATAGCACTATACACTGGTGTAGTAAGCCTGCACAATTGGGCACTTGGCTATATGAGCTATAGGGCTATGGAGTCTGTATAGCAGTCTATAGCGCTATGGGTGGCTATATAGCCTTACCACATTTTCCTGATGCTCCTCCTCATTCCATCCTTCCTGCCTCTGCTCAACGCCAACATTGAGCTTGTTCCACACCCTTCGTATTGAGCCTGTCCTCAGGCTGCTCGTCGTGTGCCCACACCATCCTCCTGCACCTTCCTCTTGTCAACATGGAGTTCTCTCTGCCCGCTCTACCCATTCTACCTCACCGCCCTGCTTGTTTCTTCACCTACACTACTATTGTTCTCAGACTTCATCCTTCAATTAAATGGTTTGTGGGCACACTGCTTACTCGCTATTAATCCCTTAATGATTTTATCAGTATGCTCCGCACCACCAGTCAAATTGACTTGTAGTCATGACACACGGTGTATACTAGGGGATATGTCGGTGCTTTCTGTCATACGAGCACCTTATCTTTGATACTAGTTTATGCGTTGCTCTGTTTAATTGACGCAATAATCAAGCCTGTTCCCTGGAAACTTTATTCGGACCGACCATTTTAAATGCCCTGACTATTTTAAACACCCTGATTATTTTAAACGCCAATCAACCTATATTGTGAATCGACAAATGGTAAGACACCTCAAAGGGCAGAAGGGCCAGCAAATAATTGATTTGAGTGTGCATAAGCACCGTCAAAATCAAATGAAATATTGAAACCCGTCCCACTCAATGGGGGAGGCAGTTCATTGCCATTGGTGGTAAGAGATGCTGAAGGTTCGAGCTGAGTGGAACCGCTGCTCGATGAGGAAGGGAGTGAGGTAAGTGGTGCAGGCGTCGTCCCATTGACATTGCTGTTGTTGTTGTCGGTGTCAGTGTCAGTGTCAGTGTCGACAAATGGAAGACTCTTGTGTGTCTTCTTGCGGCGTCTTGGGGGAAGGTTCTCGTCATTCTCGTCAGGAGAACGAGCACAAGTGCACTTCTTGCGGAGTCTCGGGGGAGGGTTCTCATCATTCTCGTCAGGAGAACGAGTGCAAGTGCACTTCTTGCCCTTGTCTGAGCAGGTCCGGCGATGAAGTTCAATAATCTCACCACTGTTGAGTTTCTCGTTTCGCTCGCGGTGAAGTTCCTCGAACTCCTCATTATCCATCTGTCTCCAGTAAATATCTCCAGACTTCCATTTGCGTAGAAGCATCTCCAGATTGGTGAATGAGTTAGACACTTTGCTAAGGTTTCCAAAGGGAATGCCATCAGGCCATCCTTCGCAAATGACAAGGTATCGCTGGACAATGTTACGCCAATAGTGAGCCCACTGCATCTTTGCATCTGGGTCACCAGTTGCCTCCTCTGAAATTCATAAGTGAGACTATAGAACGGTTAATGAGTGACAGAAGACTCACAAAGCTTCTGATTAATTTCATGTCGGATTGAGCCGCGAACCTCGGAGCAACATTGTTGATGATTTTTAGCCACGCCTAAAATACATTTAGCAGCATATTCACAAAGTATGGGGAAAAAACTTACCGCATATCCCACTCATGGCGAAACCTTCCATCTTACTAACGAGGTCTTGGTTATCGATGTTCATGACAGACTCCATGAAATCTTGAACACCTTCAGTTGCATAGGCAATTCCACAGAGTGGCAGGTCAGTAGAGCTACGTGTTGTATATAGTATCGTCTCTGCGCCCGTCCGGCACCTTAAGCTATTCAACTACACAATTTTTGTTAGCTAATATTGTTCAAATAAAATAAAATAAAATAGATTGCATACCTCATTCTCGACGGCTTTGAGGGTCTGTGTAACGTTGTTGACCTTCGATTTGGTGGATATGCGAGTACCGGTGGTCTTCATGGCCTTATGCTCCTCATACTCCTTCAAGAGGCTAGCTTTCGCATCGGCAGAGAGTTCATGATACTCAGTGCGATTCTCCTGGACAAGGTCTGGTAAGACTGCCTTCCCCAACAAACCTGTAGTGTAAAATAAGTCAGTGTAGAAGAACTAGAAACGAAAAAAATATGTACCGTTTTCTTTGTCTGCGGTCTGATTCTTCTTCCAGCAGAATGCATTCCATGCACTCAATTTGGAGCGTTTTGATCGCAAGAGCCGTTGACCCATGTATAAGTCATGCTGGACGCGGTGAATAGTCTTGCCGTTAGAAGACGCAATCGTCTTGACAGATTCATCGATGCGGGCCCACACGTCGTCAAGCGCAGTCTTGAAGCAGCGGGATTTTTCACGGCGAGAGGCAGTGAGCAAGATTCGTGCTTCCTTGCTCAGTTGGACCCTTGGATGGCAACGAGGTGAGGGCTGGATGCGTCTCGAGCGAGTGCTCGATGCATAGAAAGTCTGGGAGCTCATGTCCTGCCATTCAACCCGGATCAGCATCACAGGTTTATAAGTTTCAAAAAACAAACATGTGCCATATGGTGCATTAACGGCAATCTACATTTTTAATACCTGAATAAAAGTCCAAAAAAGTATAGTGCACACAAGCACACCGTGATCCCGAGCACCTGAAAGGTCTTAGTTAACATTGCTTTCGGCTGCAGCAGTCGTTAGCAGCATTCTCAGACTAATAAAACATTAAGTTCATACCACGATTGCCTCCAATTTGGGCCCCTACAGGTCAGCGTTAAGTGCATTTGTCAGATGCATTGCCTGCTCGAATGTGAGACCCCACTTTGGAGACCTCAGGGTAGCCTCCCAACAGGTGTTGCATACAGTTGTCATTAGCTCGCGGAGCTCGGGAATCATCCCATCCCCCATTCTGAAGCGATCAAGCACCACATCGGTATTCGGTCCAATGCTAATAATCGGTGGACCATACACAATGACAGGCATGGGTGAATTGCTGTGTTGAACATTCCTCGGGAGTGAAAAGGCATCAGCGGGTCGACGCCGACGAGGCTTGGTGTTGCTAGTAAGAGAATCGCTTGCTAGTGCTGTGGTGTGCTGAACGAAGCTTGATGGCGGATGAATCGGAGTGTTGGAACTACCCTTTGGTTTGGTGGAGTGGATCTTGAAGTCGCAATTTAAATTGAGTGGAGGTCGGGCAGAGAATTGGATGCGTGAGCCAGTCAGGACCAAAGGGGCTGGCAAGGCCTGAGACCCGGTTGGATTCACCTGAGGAGCTGGATCTGTAGACAGCGTTAGGACAATCAATTTTCCTGAAAAATAATAACAGGGACTCACAGCGATGGGGAGGTTGAATGTCCTCAATGCGACACCGCTCTGTGAAGCATTGAAGGTGGTGTTTGGCCATCTGCTCACAGAATCCTTGCACAAAGAGTGAGACGTCCCCTCCAACCTGCTCTGGGAACTTGTGAAGTTCACGGGGAGTGACATAGACATCGACAGCGATATGTTCAGCCGCCAGACTGTCTGTTGCCTGAGACCCAGGGCAGCGAATGAGAAGTGAGATTCCACCATCCAGACGGTCTTGCATACAAAGCTGCAACACATACTACATTGAAAATTGTACAGACTGAGTTGAAAAACAAACGCACCGCATCAAAAACATCCTCAAGTGCAGCTTCTACAAACTCCTCGTGGGTTATCATCTTCTGATCCTGGGACGTCAAGACCTCATTGAACTTGATAAACGAGGGGTGAAGACCACCGGGGGTCTCTGTGTGATAATGGGTGCCATCTTGATGTGATTCATGCCTGAGCAAAGCATGAGCCGCAGCATGGCGCTCTGCATTGCTGAAACCTGGCACGAAGGAATCCAAATACAGCGCTGCAACACTGGCAAGCATAAAATGTGGCTTTCCAAGGCTCTCTGGACTTGGCATAGCAGGATCTTCAGCCCCAGCTTGTCGCGGTAGTGGTTTTTTGAGACGGTTTGGCGTTGACATGTTGGTAGGCATTGAATTCCAGGAGGGACACTGGAGGCGAAGAATGAAAGTAGTGTGTAAGATTGAGTAAAGTGAGAGCGCCTGTACATGTGTATAAGTTCCAGATAAGACAACCGATGTATAAGGATTTGTGTATGTGCTTGACAGTTACTCCAGGGCAATCTGTTCAGCAACAGCAATCAGGCTCTTGCTGCTGCCAATCTAATTATAATAAGGATGCGTGTATGTGCTCGACAGTTACTCCGGGGCAATCTGTTCAGCAACAGCAGTCAGGCTCTTGCTGCTGCATCTAATAAGGATTTTTATTCTGCTGTTTCGTCCTTAGATTACATTACAACTGTGAATGCATTTTATTTTAAGAAAACTTGAGACAGATTCAACTAATACATCAAACAAGGCCGTCTGTTAATCAACAATCGATGCAATAAAATCAGTGATGTCCTGCGTGACCTGCAATTGCTCCTCATGCTCCATGACACCCTCATTAGCAAACTCCGAAGTGATTGTATCATGGGTGACACCAACTTCTGTCGAGGCAGTAGCTGAGTTGACGTATATATTTCAAAGCAGAGAGACGTACCATCACCTCCAGCCATACTGTGTGAGATGGAGTTAGTAGGCTCGAGCACTGTTGCGATAGCCCCGACCTGCTGGCCGATCCCTCTACTACCTGAGAAACCTGGTTCAAGCGTGATCTGATCCAACCAAAAGGTATGCACAGCATTGACGGCTTCGCGTGCTTTCCATTGCCATTGTAGCTCATGACCTAGTGGAGGATTCGAAACCAAAAGTTCAGTAATGACTGTCGTCATTTTGATGGCTTCGTCGTGAATTGCTGTGCGTAGTCGACGGACTTCAACATTAAGCCGTGCAATCTCTTCCTGAGCACGACATAGCTTGAAATACTTTACTGTTGCTTCCTGATGGGCAGGCTTTGTCCAGTCAAGCTCGCAAATGTCTGTGCATGAATGGTGGAGTAAATCAAACTCGCCTAAGAAGCTATATTCAGTTATGACTCTGCAAGACAACTTAAATCAAACACGCCTAAGAAACTATACTCAGTAATGTCTTTCTAAGACAACTGCGGACACGGAGGATCTAGTGCAGCAGCCTGAACATTGTACCGGCTGAGTGCATTTCGAATCGCCTCAGAGTGTCACTGCAAGGCCTTTCCGATCTGCTGGCGTAGTTTATAGCCTTGTAATTACTCAGTTTCTCCACACAAGTAAGTGAAAGATCAAATACGCACCCATTCCTGAAAGTGAAAGTTTTGAGAGCTCGAACAAACGCATGACAACTAGGCGTTCTAGGTGATCTAAAGTGGTACGATATTGACACTGAGATGCTTCCTGTTCATATCGATTGTCGCTGCAATAAAAATCCCTGACTCATCAAAAACAGCAAACATTTTTTTACGTTGCTCAGGGCCAGCATTTCTCCATCTCTCAGCGCATCTGAATTCCGATCCTTGCATTTCAGACCCAACATCTTCCCAGTCATCTTGTCTGGGATGACTTGAAGTCACAGACTATAAATCTCATTTCAGTGTTTGTACATACAAAGATAAATCAACATACTGTGTGCGCTCGGACTTCGTTCTGAAATTTATTGATGGCCATCCAGTCAACCCAATAATCTGAACGAGGCTGCCATGAATCTTCTCGTGGTTGCAGGCCATACGTCGATGACGCCCAACATTTGAGGCTGTTATTTCCATCTACAGTCACCAGCCATTCAAAAGGAAGGGGAGGCTCGCCTTCAAGTTTATAAACACAACACGGGCAGGAATTTAGAAGCCGCCAGTTGGGAGTGTTTCGGCCAAGAGCATCATTGAGGCGAGTCTTCACACGATGTAGTATCTCGAGATACACATCATACACAGCAGAGAATTGAGTGTTGAGATAAGCACGATAAGGAATCTACGAACAGTCAGACTGACAACAATAAGATATTTCAAGGCGTACATTGTGTAGATGGCACAATGTTTTGCATTGTGCTTGAATGCTAAACCGAGGGCACGTCCGATGCGATTGGTGGTATGCAGCGAGTGTACGCAATGAGATAGCGACCGTCAGATACAGTGGAGAACAACCGAGATAGCCATGGTAAATTAGTGTTTCATTTGGATAAATGTGGGAAGGTTGCGATCACGGTGTTGTTCTCCGGCAACCTGCAGATATTATCACCAAAGCAAAGCAAACAAAGTTAGCACACACCAAATAGATCAACTAGTTCAATATTAGCAAGCGATATGCAATGGCTTCCATCAGGATTTATGACACCGTCTGGGATGCTCGGCACGCCATCACCCTGCCAGTTGCGATCACGATAGTCTATATACACATCAACCAAGCGATCAAGTTGAATGTTCCAATGCCCAGTCTGGACCTCGATACGATCATGACGAGTGCGTGGGTCTACATAGCGACTGAAATAACTTACTATGAGTAAAATTCGAAGGTGAAGGTTATGGGTACATACCAAACAGATAGCGACGCGACTTGCTCTGATAGGCCATCAAAGGCCTCATGTTTGCCACCCTCATAACTAAGGTCCAGTGCTTCTTTGCCTGGGGGTGCTGTGTATGGTGTGGTATCAGCATTGAACCCAATGTCCGACATCATATTTTCGACCACATCTCGGTCAGCCGACGTCATTTCTATGAATCATGTGAGCCAAACGGTAAAGCAATGGAGCCAACATACCTTGCAGGCGTTCCTGTCTTTTATCATTTATCTCCTCCAAGCGCTGGCTTTGTTTACCAGCCGTTAACACATTGGAGCGCCTGTTGGAACCACTGAAGCCGTGCCTGATTATTGCGTATGATAAGCCTGAAACCTTCTTGGATGAAGTGCCATGGGAGGCCATCTTGGCAGAGGGGAGTATGGTCCTGCGTGGGGATGGTGTGGGCGCAGAATGAGCTCAACGTTGGCGTTGAGCAGAGGCAGGAAGGATGGAACAAGGAGGAGGGCGTCAGCGAGCTCGAAAGGACGAGTGGCAGAGACTCAATGTTAACGTTGAGAAGGGCGGGCAACGGGCAGCAGAGGCCCAATGTTGACATTGAGAGGAACGGGCAGTAGGGGCCCAGTATTGACGTTGAGAGGGAGGCCAATATTGGTGTTGAGCAGAGCCAGGGAGGACAGAACGAGGAGGATGGTGTTGGCAAGCTCAACATTGACGTCAAGCAGAAGCAGTGAGGACAGAACGAGGAGGAGGACAGCGTTGCTGAGCTCAACGTTGATGTTGAGCAGAGGCAGGGAGGACGGCATTGGCAAGCTGAATGTTGACGTTGAGCAGAGGCAGGGAGGACAGAACGAGGAGGAGGACGACGTCGGTGAGCTCGATGTTAATGTTGAGCAGAAGCAGGGAGGACAGAATGAGGAGGAGGATGGTGTCGGCGAGCTCAACGTTGACGGTGAGGAGACGAAGTCGTGGGAATAGCTTAGATAGTGTATGTTATTGATAATATGTTAGCTAATACTGTCAGCTGATTCCGAGAATAACTTACCAGGTATAAGGTAAAAGAGTATTTGGGGCGGGTTTTAATGCTGGTGTTGAGATTTAACGCAACTAAGCCATACAATAGTTAGCGAGGCGCTTGATCGCCCAGTATAGTAATGCTTACCTATTGGGCAACCCAGGTGCTCCTTATCTATGATGGTCACGGATCACACATCACACCGGAGATGCGGTGCCTGGCAGTTGAGCATAATATTGAGCTATTCTGTCTTCCCCTGCACACCACTCATGAGCTGCAACCCTTGGATGTCGGTGTTTTTGGCCCCCTTCAACGTGCATGGTACAAACATTGTGAAGAGGTGTTGGACGAAACTGGTGAAGAGATACCTCGTGCTGACTTCATCAATCAATATATGGCAGCACATGGGAAGGTGTTCACAACAGAGATCATTTCGAAGGCTTGGAAGAACAGTGGAATTCGGCCATTTAATCCCAGCATTTTCATTGATAGAGATTTTGGTCCAAGCATGGCAACATCCACTGAAGCTAGCGTCCCTACCTCATACCCCATTCAGCCAAGTCAACTTCCAGCTTTCCAGAACATGCTCCATCCTCCAACAGGTGCTGATCCACTATTGGAAGACTCAGATAGTGACTTGGACAGTGACTCGAGCACAGACTCAAGCACCACTGCTGAGGATGACGAGTCCACAGATGATGAGTCCAACTTTCATCCAGTCAACTCAACCGGTACCTCATTTGTGCTACCCACATACCATATGTCCATCCCTTCACTCAACACTCCATCAAATTCTCACCCACAGCTACCATTACACAGCTGTGGTCCAAAATGGCACAGCATGTCTCAAAACTCTGACGAGGACATCTCCTTCCTTCAAGACCAAGTGAAGGCACTGGAATCGCAGGTGCGCGCCACTGAAGCACACTGTGCAATGGCATTGAGCGAGGTCGATGCTATGAAGAAAAAATTAAATTCATGTGCAGGAAGGAAGAAGACTTGAGCGCACAACATCAATGTGTGCTGGTTGACATCCTCGCAAGGGCTGAAAGAATGTGAGGAGCAAGAGATGGCGAGGGAAGCAGCCCAGAAGAAAAAGGATGAAGCAAAGCAATGTGCGGCTGCCAAAAAGGCTGTGCGGTCAGCACGACAGGCAGCACAGGGTGCTGGTGCTTGTTTTACCGGCTCGTTTTCTGCAAAGAACAAGGACAATCTTATTGATATTGCCAGCGCCCTTCAAATTTCTACCGCAGGGACCAAACCGGAGCTCTTGAAAGCCATCAAAGAATACTTCGACTCCCATCCAGAGCTGAAGAATGACGAGCACTTTGTTGGCCTTTTCACTGGCTGTTCTCGTGCCAGAAAAAAACGGTCCTTCAATGAAGGTCCTTCTGAAGAAAATGATCAGAATGTCCCCCCTGCCACATGCCCTCACCTTGATATCACTACTCCGTCGCACGCAGGACCATCCTATCAAGTTCCATTTGCCTCATCCTCTCGCAATACTCTCCCAAGCATCCCCCCCACTTCAGGACCCATTCTCGCTACTTCTTCTCAGCACAATGCCTTTGCTCCACACTCCCACTCATTTGCCTACCCTACTGACATTAGTGGCTCATTTAATCCATACTTGAGCAGTAACCTACCTGGTCCTCAATCTGGTGCATACTAGTACCTTTGGCTTATCCTTCGTAATCTTTCCTGCAGCATATATCATATATTATGACTACCTAGCATATAATACCTTACATACAAACATACCTACATCGGAATTTCAGTGCTCAGTGCTCAGTGCTCAGCACCGGTCACTGTACAACGCCCTACTTGATAGCATTTGAGTCGCCAATTATCACTGGCTTGTTGCACTTGACGGCATCAGAGAGTGAAAACGGCAGTGTGACACGATGCCTTCTGTGCGGGTGAGAAATTTTGCAACTCTGTGCTCAAACACTGTTCACACCGGCTTCTCTCTGGCAACATAGCCTTGACAGGTTTCCCATTTTTTTCTACATAGAATTAAAGCCTATACTAAATCCTATGTCCCCCTGTTGTAACATTCTTTTAATGTTGTGTTGTTGTTGAGTTATCGCGCGAACATTGAAAAGTGTTGCAACTCTGGGCCAGAGATAGTATGTTGGCAGTCGTGTCATTTTTTTTTGTTCAATTAGGAAACTTAAGACTTAGTGAAAATTGTACTATCTAGTATCAACAGTTGGCATACAACATGCCATTTCGCAGAATCAGCTGTGATGTCAAACTCGCAGCAATCCGACTACACGAATGTGAACTTTTGAGCCTTCCGGACATCCTGGATTGCTGTAGATTTTCAGAATGGACTTGGTTTCGCATTTTGAAACTCTGGCGGGAAACTGGTGATGTCATCAACCCTCAGCCTCACAAATTACTCTGTGGTCATGTGTGTGCATTGGATCGCGAGGATATCGATTGCTTGCTGCGTCTTGTCAGACAGAATCCTGACTACTGTGCAGCAGCTATGTTGATGTCATCTAATTCATCACTCTCGGTGTCATTGGCCTCGGGGTCATTGTCTACCTCCATCTGGTCGAGGGCGTCAAGGATGGTACTAGTATTGTGAGGTTGCAGATCATCTTTGTCAAAGCTGCTGTCTAGGTCCTCCTCAAGCATGAGAGCCAGATGGTTATGTGCTGGTTTTTGCAGCATTTGCGATACAAGATGAAGTACTATCACTAAAAAATTCTAAGTCCTAAGTTTCCAAATTGAACGAAAAAAAAAACGACGCAACTGCCAATATATATGCAAGCAGCTGTAAGACTTGTACTTACTGTAAAGTTCTGCGAATCGTCCACTCGCACAAACACTGGCAAATCCCGAGTGACTTTTTCTTATTGCTTTCAGCATTGCTTCTCCTGAATGCACGGGCACTGTTCATGCCACCATTTATCATGTGATTTTAAAATTATTCCAACAATGATGTTTTTATTCTGATGAGTTTAAAATTCTGTCATGTCACTTCTTTCGTAGTATTACACCAACATTAATGATCAGCCACAATCAGCCACTAATTTTCGGTGTGCCACCAGCTTACAAACATATGTCGGAATGTTTCATGCACACAAACCCTGGCAAATCCCTGCGGGCGTTCCACCAGCATCGTGTGCTATTATGTTTACCATGTCATGCTGTGCGTTCAACTGAAACTTTGATGGTTAACCTCACAAGTACGCGCTAACCACTGTCAAAAATATGAGATTGATTGAACGAGGTACCCAACACATCACATATGGCCACCCATACCACTTACACTCCACTCAAGTTTTACTTGCCAAAGAGCTTGTAGTTGCAATACTAGATGGCTTAAACGTCCGAGACTTGCTCAATGTTGCACAGACGTGCATGACCATGCGTGGGGTAGTTCTCTACCTCATATAAAAATACAAACACCAGATCCTGACTCTGTGTATCCCTTCTGAGTGTCGTCGCCATCAATTCTTCGCCATTTTAACTGCCACACACAGTGTGATTACTGGATCTTGCACTCTCAACATGATCCTGGGTTCACCTTCATATCCCACCAACAATCTCAATATCATTGTTCCAGTGGGAGAATTCAACACTATGGCACGATTTTTAACCAACGACCTTTTTTTTGTCACCGGTTCTACCACCATACACAGAATTATGCAATCTACAGTCCAAACTTTTACAGAATTCAACCACCTCGGAGCCCGCATCACTCTCACTGAATCTAGGGACAAACAAGATGTTATGGGGGTCATCATCAACTGTCCAACCACCGCTGATATGTCACTTATCATGCCTGGAGGAGCTGCAACTCTTTATCCCACTATGACAATTGCTAACAACAGAAGTTTCAACATCATCTATAGTGAAAGTATCCAGGTTGTGCATGATCTTGTAGCCGAGGCGACATTGCTTCCGCACAATCCCTTTGAATTTATGAGATGCGACATAATTTGAAATGACACAATAAATTAAATAAGTTCCAAATGTTGTTGAGCACAAAGATGATGGGTATCCTTGCAGGTGGTGATGACAATTGCAAATAAAGCAAGGTCATCGCCAGTGAAGGTGCCTAGTACATATTTTCAAATCATCAATAGCGCCTTCCATGAAAATACCACCTGCTCCGCTGGAAGATGCAAACTGAAGCCCAACACAGTTAGCAGGTCTTGAAGCTTCTGAAGGGCGTTTGGGTGAAGGTTTGAACAGGAGGACAGACCATTCAGTCACTTTCCACGTAGAACCGAGGCTCCGGATGTGCAAAAATGATGTAGAATCCATGCCATCTGACAACCGGCCGGTGGACGTAGGATCAGGCAGGCCGATGTACTGTAATACTAGTGTAGTGTAGTATAATCCTAATTAATGAGAGTAGTAGGATTATATGTAGAATTAGTCTGGCTGGTGTGAGCAAATGAATATTAGCTATGCTCATGGCAGTATAATATGGTAGTAGTTGGACATAGACCCATGCCCAGCCAGTGTGAGCAACAGAGTATTAACTATGCTAATTGCAGTAGTATATGAGACATAGACCCATGCCCGGCTGGTGTGAGCAAAAAAGGCTGTAGAATCCATGCTAGTCAGTCACTGGCTGGTAGACATCTGCACTGGCCAGATTTTTATAGTATATTACAGTATGAGCCTATTGAGAGGCTGATATCCTATGATGTTCAGGCCAGCCTAGCTTTTACAGGGGGTGGTCTTAGGCTGACCATACATGTTATATATATATATATGTGTGTGTGTGTAGGGAGAATTGTTTTGAGCTCTATTGACATATATGGCCAGTCCCACTTGCACACTATGTACAAGCAAGGCTGGCCGAGGCAGCTATGTATACCTCAAGCTGACTCGGCCAGCCATGCTTCTATGTAGTGTGCAGGTAGGATTTGCCATTCATTTATAATACCTTAGCTTACAATATAATAGTCCTGGCCAGCTTGCCCTTGGGCCACATAGAAGGCTGGTGGCCAGTTTGTGATTCATTATAAACCTGACTCAGCCAGCATGGCCTCTATATCATCTATGGTTAGGACTGGCCAGTGTGGACAACAGAGTATTAGCTATAAAAATGGTAGTATAATATTGTAAAGGTTAATAATGTTGCTTATGACAAAACCAGATGATATTCCACATCCATCCGACCCATCCTAAACCCATCCGCAGGTATCCATTTCCCATCCGACGCTTGCCCATGCATGGATGGATGATCCGTCACTTGCATGCGTGGCTGGATGCAAGTGCATGTGCTCAGATATGTAATAAGGTGCATCAGATTGTTTTGGAATGTTTTGGGTGTACATGTAATAGTGAGTGCGTTCGATACAAGTCATGGACTCATAGGTGATATGCATGGTCGGTTAGCAAGCAGGTTTTTGCCCATATATTAGAGGTGCTTTGGTACATACTTTCCCTCAGTCGTTTCTATCGCCTCCTTTGGCAGCAGCTGAGTGCGGATCCTATCCGCTTTACTTAGGTGTATCCATGGACCTGATCCGCGTCGCTTAGGGGATCACATCCACTTCACTCAAAGTTTTGTCAGCTTACACTGGCTGACTGGCCACCACAAGGTGAGACCAAGCAAGTCAGCCAGCTGAGGCCTATGCCTACAATCAGCCATACTAATAGTAATTGATTGCTGTCTACTATTCAAAAACAAGAACCATACTGTTAAGCTGGTCAATATATGGTGAACACAGTGCACTGGCTTGCTGGGTCTTAAGGCTGGCTATAGCTTAACTACTAATACAATAATAAGCAAGCAAGCTAGAGTACCTGTAGTCAAATGCTGACTGTCTATCATTAGAAAAAGCAATCACCATACAATCAAGCTGGCCAGTACAGGGCAGATATAGAGTATCAGCCAGCTGGGTCCTACACTGATGTAGAGTCAAGCTGGCCGGTACAGGGTAGACATAGAGTGTTGGCTGGCTGGGTCCTACACTTATGTAGAGTCAAGCTGGCCGGTACAAGGCAGACATGGGGCATGGGCCGGCTGGGTCCTACACTCTTGTAGAGTCAAGCCAGCCAGCATACCTCTAGTTGCACAAAGTAACTATACTACTTGCAATTGTTAGGGACATATATACTATCTTGGTTCAAGTTATGACCAACATATCATTCTTAAATTTCTCCTCTGCATCCTCTGCAAATCTTTTCCATACCTGCACCTGTGTGATGACTCTCAACAATTTATAGTCTCAAGCAATCAGACCAGGACTCAAACAACAAACAAGAAAGAGAGAGAGAGTCACGACGATGGCCGATAGGACAAGTGTCCCAAAGGTTAAGTCTAGAGCTCACACAGAGGGAAAGGAGCGATAGATGTCAAGTAGATTCTCTATGGAAAGTACAAGAGGTTTAGACTAGAGAACTACTGATTACCGACTAGGGTTTATATACTATGAGAACAGTGCACGGACCAAGACAGAAAAGGTAACTACTAAATAGGGAGGCAAGAAGGGAAGCTTTAGGCATAAGGGTTTGGATCATAGGTTCTGATAAGAGATTGTATCTGAATAGAAGAGAAGAAACGGAGATTAAAATAGAAGATCAATCTTAGATCTGATGGAGATTAAGTGACAGGAAGTGCTATGGTTCTAGCTCGTGGAGTAGGGGAATCGGGAAGATCGATCGTTACGTTGATCGGAGATGAAATCGGCGAGATGAAGGGTGCAATGTGTGCGTAGGGTACTGGTGCTTCTGTGACTGGTGATCGGAATGCAGGGTGATAGATGTGACGTGCGTCAAGAGGTGAAGTAGTCACGTGACTCGGGCGCTTAGACTTTGATGCAACGTTAAGGTAAGAAAAATGATTTGTGCATGGAACTTGTGACAACCTGTCTGTAAGCATAAGCTCAATGACCTGGTTTGGTAGCTTGGTTCCATCATTGATACCATTCTTCTTGCTCATGTTTGAACCAGCTTAAAGTCCATCCCATTTCGTGTTGTACCAAACACAACTCCTCCTCCCACCTCTGCCACCTAGCCTTGGCTTTCAACCAGTTTACTCTGTAGACTAAGGTGAACTGCCATGAGTTACTTGGATTGGCAACATAGAACCACTCACATTCATCCATCCAAGCATCTTTTTGACTCTCCTGAGCATTGTTTACCCTCCAAAACCAAGCGAGCCTATCAGATCCCTGCCCAAACCTATTTTCTTCAGTGACCTCCTTGTCGACACTGAGCTGTTCAGGCAATATTTCTTGATAAGCACCATCCAGCAGAGTGTCTTGATCCATCCCAAGTCTCTGCATAGAAGACCTGGCTCTTTGATAACTCCTGACATATTTCTCAATCTTGAGGCGACAACATTGAGCTTCCTGTTTTGACCTTGTGCCAGTCCACACAGAATCAGCACTTTGAAAGTGTTGACAATAGATGATTGCCTTGTGGCCAAGAGCTAAACATAGCTTTTCTAGGCAATTGTTTGCTTGGCCTTTTCTCAACTCCAATTCTTCTGCCTGTAGAGCTGCCAAGCCAAGAAATGTAGCCTGATCAGGAGGCACTGAAGATGGCATCCAGAGACGCATATTTTCTGCCGGAATTTCATCGTCAACCCACCCCAAATCATCTTCATCTGCACATTGAACTTCAGAGCCTTTGTCAAGCTTGCCTTCTGCCCTGCAAAATCTAGGGTCATCAATGTGCACAATACCTGTATCTAGCTCCCATCCCTCTGTCATGGCATCAGCATTTCATGAAATTTAGTGATGTGAGCAGCAAGTTTCTGCTGCTTTTCTTGAAGGTCTGCCTTCTGAGTTGCAGTAGCATCATGTGGTAGACGTCGAATATCCAATTGCAACCCATCCCTGAAATGCCAATTGCAGTTTGTTACCTCATCATTGTAAGAAATATCAAATGACATACTGGGCGTCCTCTAGATTGATCCCCTGGATAATCCAAGAGACTGTTCCTGACTTTCCTGTTTCAGGATTGTCTAATTCAGTCAAACTCAGTTGAATCTCAGCCATTGAGGGAGCTTTGTAATTCTGCCAAGTCAGGCACAGTTTTTATGAAGCAACAAATGACCTTACCTTTATCAATCTTCAACTGATATATGTCAAGATGTTCTCCCCGCTTCTCCATCGCCAATTTCTCATCCCTTTCCCATGCCATGATTTTATTGCAGTCCAAAGAATGTGTCAGCTCATCAAATGGAAGCTTTGTGTCCCTCACTCCTTTGACAGCACGGGTATGTTTTTTTATGAGAGTCTTCACCGTTTGGAGCATAACTAAATAGTTCTGCAAGTAAAACAAGTACTCACCAATTCCAACCATTTTCTTCCAATTCGAGTCCCTCATATGATCATCTAATATTTCTTGTCGATGAGCCTGGCTCATTGAACGTGCTGTGGGTGATATCTTATTGAAGGTCGCCCAGAGAGTCTCTAAAATTTCTCCATCCACCTGACCTGCTCCTTTGATGAAGTTAAGACTAAATCTGGCAAAGCAAGGAAGTTTGTGGGCGCTGAGATGGAATTTACCAACAGCGGCAAGAATTTCCCTTTGTTCAGGGAGGGATAATCCTGGGCAATTGGCCACACACTGAGCAAAATGAATGCACCACTGACATCCTACGTTGTAAATGATAAGGGAGGTGTCATGTCATATACCCAATCCGGCCCTGATCCGACCGCTCCGATAATAGTAATATCCGCTCCGCCTGACACTCATACTTCCCGCTTCTGCTCCATCCGACCCCCCGCTCCGTCCGATCATCCCCTGACCTTCCGCCCTACACTTCCACTTGTCCGCTCAACCGGTCACCTCCCGTAAACATCTCCATTCAACTGGAACCTCTTTCCCCTTATAGGTATATACTATTCCTCATCCGTACATAGACCCTTACTCCGGATCACCGGTAAATACTTTTACCGCTTGATCGCTCATCCGACACGTACATATTGATATCCGCTCCGACTCGTATGTTGTCCCACTTACTACTGTACAGTAAGACATAACCTTTGGCTATGTCCTAGATATCACTGCCTCATTACTTAGAAGTATATATATATCATATCATGTACTTAGATATTTTCCTTAGTCTTAATATTACTTGCATTCTCATAGTCTCTACTCGTGAGGATTCTCCATAGGACCCTGCTACCTCTGGACTCGAGTTTCGTCTCGTTGTCACCTCCGACACCCTCCGCTTAGACTTAGAGCTGCTCTCTAAGTCTTCCTTGTTACTTCTCTGCTCATATCAATAACCTCTGCCCCTATCACCCTCCGCATTACTTCCCCGACTCCTCCACTCCACTCCTAGTCAGCCCGCTGCTAGCAGTGCTTACCTCCCGACCCTCAAAGCGGACCATAGCGGACCACCTGTCCTACCGTCGGACAACGTTGGACCCGCTCCAAATTCGGGGCACATACTCGGCTAAGGGCACAGCGCAAGAGCTGAAGCCAAGCCCCGACCCCTCCGCTACCTGAGAGCACGGTACCTAACATGTCAAATCCATGTGATTTGTAATTGATAGCATTGCATATAGAGTAGTCAACATTCATGTGGCTAGGAACTTTGATTAGCATTCTGAAACACTCAAACCGACAGAAACATGGCTACCATTCACCCTTCTGAAAATCCACCACAGAGTGTGGAACAAAACATCTGTGCCATGCACAGGCAGTGGCAGCAACTCCAGTTGCTCAAAGATTACTTCTGTTTGTATTTGATGCATTGACTGCCCAATGGTTGCTGCAATAGGATCTCTTGTTTTTCTGTTCAGCAAGGGATGGCAGACGTCAAAGCAACAAAAACGAACATACCTCCTTACTTTCCACAGCTGATGATAAATGAGCCTGGTACTCACCTTCAGTCACCATGTACCCTAGGCCATCAGAGAGGGAAACATCAAGCTGAGGCTGTTTCATGTTCATCTGTTGAGCAGTGAAGTTTCCATCCACAACATATCTCTGCATAACCAGCCATCTATCAAATTAAGTCAGCATCAGGGATATCAGGCCACCGGCCAGCCTGCTTGTACATGGGGTATTTACAGGCTGGCCATCTCTCTGTGGACATTTGAGGAAACAAACTACTTGCCTTGGATACTTGTCATGCCAAGACAGTGGCATATTGATGCCAGGCTGCGGACAGGCAGCACAGAACAAAGCTAGCTCACCCTGACCAGGTTGTACCTTCATATCATGACCACATCTGAACCTTTTACGATTCATCAAATCTCTGAATTGACAAGATGTCCTCATAAGTTCACGATACCGATTCTGAGGGATTGGTGAATAAAATAGATGATCTTGTCAAAGATGATGACCTACCGGAACGGAGTCTGGAGAAGCATTATTCGTGAGACAATGAAGCTTTTGAAAGAAGCCCATGGCTGAGGTCTTGCATTCAAGTGCGTCAATGAGGAAATGATCGAGGACTACAAAGGTGAAAGCAGTTCGAGGATGTGTTATACTGGCTGGAAATAATCCTGCATTGAGCAGCTGTGCATGCTGCTGAGGTTCAGATCCATGGCATTGACACCAGAATATGTTGTGGGTGAATATGCCTGTGGAATGCACAATAGTCATAGAAGTTGCCCCTGGAATGGTTGCTTTGATGGTCTCAACTCTGGCACCATCATTCATGTCTATATCCTCATCGACTTCCTCCCATTCCTGCAAGACTTGAAACTGTGGACATGGCTGACCACCATGGCCCATATGCCAGATATAACCAAGCTTTGAGAGTGATGCCTTGTCAAAGCATTTTCCATTCCACTGTTGCACCTTATGGAAGGGCAGGGACTGATGAGCTTGGACCAGGCACATATGACACAATGCATGTGCTCCACTGCAAGTCAAGCACTGGAACATTCCTTCTGCACTCTGGCAACTCTCACAGATTCCTCCATCAGTGAAATTCTCAGACTCGAGGATGATGTCTAGGAAGAAGTCACAGAGAGATAGGTATTCTTCGATGAAGTCATTCTGAGTCTTGTATTCCAGTTAGTGGAATTTTGTTTGTGTTAGATTTTGCATGATAGACATGCCTTGGTTTTTCGCCTTTCATTCTCTACATATGGAACAAAATCATCATCAATTTCTCTATCCCATTCATCCTGAATGACTTCTGGCCATTGAGAATAGAGTTTGCATGGACTAGCAGAATTCAAAGCCCCCTCTGAAGGCTCAAACAAGGGATCAGCACAGGTCTCCATCCAGACAGTCTTCTTCCCTCTTCCTCTTTTTTTTATATGTGTGACATACTTGACTTCTGGGTCCTTGTTTTGGGACAACCGCCCTCTGTCTTTGTAAGAGAAAGAAAATGACTTGAGGCGAGTATTTTTCTGGCGCGTCATGAGAGAGTAGAGCGAGAAAAAGCTGCTACTGACTACCAGTCACCCAACTAAGTCATAGATCTCAACAAGATCTAGATGTATAGCCTTTCGCTTCCCAATAATACCTTTTTTGAAATACTACCAGGCACCATTATGAAGAAGTGTAAAAAATCTAGACCATTTTGTAATACTGTCAGGTACCACTATTTCTTCCTCAACCGCTTCTTTGGCCTATCCTCACTTCCCACTAAGTGTAAAAAATCTCCCTGAACAGGAAAAGGAGGCCTAGTCACACCTACCCTATCATGTACCTTATCCTTCATAAAGTGAGCTAGAACAAAGTGTTCACCCTTTTTCCAGGGACCAACCAAGTGCTCCAAAACCTTGAGAAATGTCAGCTATTTTTTCTGAGTATGCAAGAAATTCTTAAAGTTCACACCTTGCCACAAATAAAACACATTGCACCAGGGAAATAATCCAGGTCAGCTTCAAGATCTTTGATGGAAAAAATGGTATCATGCCCAATACCTAAACTCATGAGCATATCATAATGGGATCGAGCACCACCAGGGTCTCGATGGGGTAGAGTGAGGCAATTAGCGATGACTTCCAATCGGGAAAAAAACAACGGCCATCGAGATACAGGAACCGGTTTTGGCAAAGCATGAGTTTTCCCATGTACCTCAGAGATTGCAGCAGACCCTGCCTCAAATAGATCAGGAGCAATAGCTCCAGTGACAGCATTCCAGAAGAATTCAGTACTGGACATGACATCTAGCCAATCTTGGACTTCCTTGGCAGAGTAGGATGCTGATGTCACCAGCAGATCTTGAATTCTCTGAATAGATCGAAGTGGTCAGAATTTTGAAGTGAACAAATTATTCACAAAGAAATAACCTCTTGTCATTGCATAAAGTAAGCCAGAGATATAATGAGTTGTCCTGCACCAAATTCTCCACCTCTCTCTAAGAAGCTGTCCGAACGCCAAGACTGTTTCTTGTTTTCCGATAGAACTGGAATTGATCGGAGAAGCAAACCCCAAAGTCCCTTGGTAGCAATGTTAACAAAGTTCTTTATCGAGACAATTAATTAGACCAAAATTCAAAATATTTTGAGTAAGAGGCTTACTACACGTTCAGGGGACATGATATCAGGGAGGTACCAGATGAGGATTTTGCCATGGCAGTCAACAATTGTAGTTGGCTCAGAAATTTTGCCTAGTGGTGACACTGGAAAATATTTATGAAGCTTTTCGTGTTGTGTTGATTGTACTGCACTTTTGGCTATATCAGCATACAGTTCAACATCCCATGCAACATAGCCTGTCTCGCAAATGTCAATTGACTCATTTAACCACGAAATAATGAACATACATGGGTTCAGCATTGCAAAGGCAATAGTCAGGGCTGCTCGAGAGATTTCATCTTCGGTCACCGCACCAGGGTTATTGCCAGTTTCACCTTCCCCCTGTTCTGTTGGCCATCCTTTCAGGCAGGCATTTAGCCTAAGCCTTACCCTCATCCTTTATATGTGAGCCAATTGCCAAGATGAAGGAATAAAGCATGTGTACCTAGCTTTTTGCAAGTGATGAGACTGAAGGATGCCATCTTTGAAGACCAACACTGTGGAGGCTTCCTTCATAATATTACTTATCTTGGATTGGAGTGAAACAAGAAACCTTTTGGATTCAGTGCTTAATGAGGCCATTGTACAATATTACTGGGTGCCAATGTTGATTGAAGTTTAGAGTCCAATGTGAAAATTTTAAATTTGTTGATCCAAACTTTATTAAGTCCAAGTTTCTCATGATCTGAAATGTCTTCTTCGGCATCCTTTTTAGGCAACTTGATCGAGTTTGAATTTCACATGATTGCTGAATCCCTCAAAGCACCAAACCTCAAACCTGTGGGTCACACTTTTATCAATATTTGGTTGCCAGATACTCTCATTTATCTCTGTAGGACCCAGGGAGTCACATTTGCAATATCTCCCCTTGTTGCGCTCATTGCTGATAAAGTAGCATCCTTGAGGAGGAAACTGAAGAAACAGACTCCTCAAGTTTTCCCAGCAATGAATAGGAAGTGCATCAATCAAATTCTGTAGAGCACTAATTTGACAGTGAGAGAGAATGAAAAAACTCGCTTGACAGAAGAACATGCGGCAAGCCATCATCTGCATCATATTTATCTAATTCTTGGGGTGACTTGCTAATCATGTCCATATCAGTCGAACTTGACTGACTTCATTCACATCGAAGTCTACCAAAGCTTGTTGTCATATACCTGATCCAACCCTGATCCGACCGCTCCGATACTAGTAATATCTGCTCCACCCAACACTCATCCCATCCGCTCCATCCATCCTCCGCTCCGTCCGATCATCCCCCAACCTTCCGCCCTATGCTTCCGCTTGTCCGCTCAACCGGTCACCTCCCATAATGTCTCCATTCAACTGGAACCTCTTTCCCCTTATAGGTATATACCTTCCTCATCCGTACATAGACCCTTACTCCGGATCACTGGTAAATACTTACTTTTACCGCTCGATCGCCCATCCGACGCAAACATATTGATATCCGCTCCAACTCGTATGTTATTCCGCTTACTACTGTACAGTAAAACATAGCCTTTGGCTATGCCCTAGATAACACTGCCTCAGTACTTAGAAGTATATATATATCATATCATGTACTTAGATATTTTCCTCAGTCTTAATATTACTTGCATTCTCGCAGTCTCTACTCGTGAGGATTCTCCGTAGGACCCTGCTACCTCTGGACACGAGTTTCGTCTCATTGTCACCTCCAACACCCTCCACTTAGACTTAGAGCCGCGCTCTAAGTCTTCCTTATTACTTCCTTGCTCATATCAATAACTCCTCTGCCCCTATTACCCTCCGCGTTACTTCCCCGACTCCTCCGCTCTGCTCCTAGTCAGCCCGCTGCTAGTAGCGCTTACCTCCCGACCCTCAAAGCGGCCCTTAGCGGTCCACCTGTCCTACCATTGGACAACGTTGGACCCACTCCAAATTCGGGGCACATACTCGGCTAAGGGCGCAGTGCAAGAGCTGAAGCCAAGCCCCGACCCCTCCGCTACCTGAGAGCACGGTACCTAACACTTGTCCAATTTCCACTTTGATTAGCTTCAGTTCGTTTTGCAGCAATGCTAATTGTGTTAAACTCTTCTCAAGCCATCTTCACACAGTCACATGACCTTTTCAACCGGCAGCAAATTAGATATTAAAGCAAGACAAGTTTCAATTACAAATGATGAGTCCCACTAAATTTACTACAAGCACAAAAATCATTAAAGTAAGAAAGATAATGGGGAGCTGCAAGACTTTGATGAGGGGGCCCTCCTCACCAAAGCCTTGTGCTCCAAGTGAAAGAGTATGTAGCAAAAAAATTAATTATACAACTACTTTGTCCTGCGTCAACGTTAGACAGACATTTGCAACGAGATTAGAGACTTAACTAAGCAAAGTGGATTATATGAAACTCGACTGAGTCCTGTACCAAACAAATCAGTGAAGGTTGTATGAGAGGAGAGCGCTTACAAGAATAAAGCAAGATAAATCAAGGACATCTGACATAGCCTGCTGAAAAAGTGTCGGTCAAAGTCATGTGAGAGGAGAGCTTACCTAACCAGAGTGAATAAACAATGCCAGTCAAAACAACCTACAAACCGCCAAGACTCAAGAGAAGCAGGGAGTGCAGGGCCACACAACCGCCTTAAGAAAGCAGGGAGTGCTAGCGCTACACAACTGCCAAGACACATGAGAAGCAGGGGGCACAGTGCCACACAACCACCAAGACCCATGAGAAGCAGGGGGCGCAGTGCCACACAACTGCCAAAAAAACTAACCCCCAAGACCCAATAGACATATGCAGGGGACGCAGTGCCACACAACCACCTTAAGAGACAAGGAAAAGCAGGGAGCGCTAGCACTACACAACTGCCAAGACCCATGAGAAGCAGGGGGCACAGTGCCACACAACCACCAAAAAAAACTAACCCCCAAGACCCAATAGACATATGGAAGGAGCACTGGTGCTACAGACAGAGGCACTGAAAAAATAGGGAGTCAGTGATGGTGAGCAAAGGTAGTGGGACTTACCATGAGTTCTTGGGTCATAGGCAGAGGCGCTAAAAAAATAGGGAGTCAGCGCCACCATAGACAGACGCACTGAAAAGCAAGGAGTCAGCGCCACTGGCAGTGCTGGGGCCATAGACAGAGGCGCTGGAAAAATAGGGAGTCAGCACCAATAAACAAAGGTAGTGGTACTTACCATAGCGCCAGTATACCATTGTGAAAACAAACACAAAAAGAATGTTAGTAAGTTTGTGCGTAGGCAATAAGGACTCACCATGAAATGCAAGGTGATTGTAGTACATTGCCTTTGGATCTTTGCAGCTGCAGTCTGCAAAGACCCAAAGGGTACACTAGAAGGCGCCCTTAAGAATGAATTGCTTTGAGAGTGGAGGGATAGAAGTAATGAGAGAAGAAAATCAACCGTGGGATTTGAAGTTGGTGTTGATATGACGTGCGTCCATTTGTCCTTGTTTGGCGTTAAAACCAACTGTGTGATTTTTAGCTTGAGTGAGGCGCCACCAAACTATTTTGGTTTATTTGTGCTACATGCGGACAATGTGAGTAAGTTTAGCGTGCTCTCTATCTGTGCTCGCACCACTCATCCTTTTTCCTTTTCCACTTTTGATAATTCTAATGACGCGGACGAAACAAACCTGCAAGAAATCGACTGGTGGCTTGGCAAAACGAATCGCCATCGACTTTGCTCCTTCCACCGTGGATCTCAACTTGGATGCCACAATGCAGGAGATGTTGTCAGATGAGGAGACAGGAGGAAATGAGAAGGAAGAGATGGTAGCTTCTGAGGATTGGGCAGATCACAATGAGGTGAGTACTTACCGCATTTCTTGTCTGGAACAACTAACGTGCATGTTTTACAGTGGTGCATCGTCTGCCGGGGCGGTTCAAGTGGGCATGAGTCTCTGTACTTGTGTGACCTTTGTCCCCACACAATGTGCTCTTGCTGCATCAATATTCCTGTTGCTCAGGCAGTCGCTGTCAACCACGATGACATCACATTCCAATGCATTTGTTGCCACCTGGCAGTGCAAGGCCGTGGAGTGGAATCGCGCTCCCCGTACTTTGTAAGTCATTTTTTCTTCTGTCATTGTGTCTTAACACGCTATGTAGGGATTTTACAGGAATAATTTACCGGTTTTGCCCACCTTCCTCCCAATCCACAGTGCACTGGAAGTATCTCTGCAATCACAGATTGCTTCCACGCCAGTTGTATTGATTAATCTCGCTCTTGTCGACTATGATACATCCGGCGGACCTTTCAATCTCACCTTCCAGTTCCTGTCCCCATACTTTCCGCATGGAGGTATCGCATTCCACGAGCTTGTCTTTGACGTGGGCTCGAGGGCAAAGAGTCGCCAGTATCAACTTGAGGTAGGCGAATTGGTCCAAGGCCTAGCATCTCAGTGCCACTGGCCGCACATTGTGTTCGTGATCTCCAACCATACAGACGATGATCTTGGAGATCCATTCCTGGGCTATGAGAGCAAGAAAACAACATATGTGGCTGGCCGGGTTGACAGTGTGAGTAATGATTTTTTCTGACATACCGTTTGCTCACCATCCTGCACTTAGTTTTTGGACATCATCCTGACGCTATGGCAGCCGCTCATCAAATGCGCCAAGCAGTCTTACTTGTGGCTGTTGTCTTGTGGCACGCTGATCAACAACACTGAGTCTTTTTCATACTTGCAAACCACTGTCCTTCAGTAAGTACCATTCTTATCCTGCGCTTCTGCAATTCCTGATAGTATGCATGCCGCCAGTCATCACATTACAGCTACTATCTGCTTCAATGCCATCCATTTCCAGCCGACTTTTATGGCTCCTCTTCTTCTGGCGTTTGCAGAACAAGTTCTGATTGAGTCTCTGCCTATTTGCGAAGTTTTTCCGGACATGCTTATGCAGTCCAACAAACTGGGCAGACACACTGACATGTTTTTGTTGACTACTGATGCTGGTCATTCCTTGGAAATTACTAGATTCACATGGATGCATTGTCAAGAACGCCCTTGGGGCCACTATCTTCCCCTTCAATGCCCCCAGTGCGGTGTGGGTGAGGAAAGTAGACTCTGAGTATTTTCAGATATCTAATAAGGGTGTGAGACAAATACTCGTCCCAAGGGGATTACTACTGGGTAGCAAGTCCTCAAGTTAGTGTGAGGAAAACAAAGACTAGACTCTGTCTAGTGACCCGAATGGTTCCGCTCCTTAATAGGATCGAAACGCGCAAATGCGGAATACGCGGAACTAACGCGCAATGGACGGAATCAACGCGCAACGGACGGAACAAACACACGGACTCGTATCACGGATTGCAATGGACAGGAAAAGAAACTACGAGCCTATACAAAGAAGATTGGGCGAAGTCAGACCAGGCTTGTGTCTGGTACTTGCTCCAAGTCGTCGGATGTGGAACGTCAGGTGTTTCGAGCGGAACTCATGGATGCACGGACGATGGGATCCGGTCAAGAATAGATTCAGGAAGGTATTTTAAACAGTGAGTGGAGCACTAGAGAAGTACTCTGCAAGTGGAAGTGGAGTTGAGTCTATCAGAAGGTAAAAAACTAAGATCCCATCTATTGCTATCTATATAGGGAGGGGTTCCGAAAAGCGCTATGCTAAACGGGAGAGGCTGTGAGATAAGGATCCGGTTCCGAGTATCGGAAAGATCCATACAAGTATCGTAATACAGTGGCTCAAAAAAGTGTCCGAATGTTTATGCATTTTCAAGTAATTGGACAATAGCAAGGCAGAATCAAATAATGACCAAATGGTATAGGGACATGTCCAAACGCCCTATATCATAGCTCAAATCTGAAATATATAGCGTGGGAACCCGACCATATATGGGCAAGCTATGGTACTTCTAAATACATCACTCATTCGGACACTTTTTTGACTTTTTATTAAAATTACAAAATCAGACCATTCATACATTATACTCTTGATTAAAGTGGTGTCATAACAATAATATTGTCTGATTGTAATATTATTTGAATATATAAACCCACATAAGATCATGAAATTCAACATAATCATCATGAAGCCCATCTCCTCTGCTCAAAAGGATAATATCCTTGTTCTCTGTACCTCTGGTTTATCTACTAGGTAAATTGCCTCAAAAACTGGTCTTGGCAAGTCTACTATTGCTACAGTCATAAAGCAGCACATGCCAGAGAAGGAAAATCATCAAATGGGATGTCCTCCCAAGCTTACTCCACAGAACAAAAGAGCTATTGTTCACCAAATTCTATCTGGCAAGGCTTCAAATGCTACCCAAGCTACCAAGTTCATCAATTCCATCATCTCCACCCCTGTCTCCACCCAAACTGTTAGAAACACCCTCAAGGCAGCCAATCTTAAGGCTGTAACCAAGAAGAAAAAACCTCTTCTCTCTGTAGCTCATAGGAAGAGAAGACTGGCCTTTGCTTTAAAGCACCAATATTGGACTGTGGAAGACTGGAAGAAGGTTATTTGGTCAGATGAAACAAAAATCAATAGAATGGGGTCAGATGGCCAGGAATATTTGTGGAAAAAGGCAGAAGAACCATTAGGAGAAAGAGAAGTCAAGGGTACACTGAAGTTTGGAGGAGGAAGTATCATGGTAAGGGGTTGTATGGGGTGGAATGGTGTGGGGATTCTTTGTGAGGTGGAAGGAAGGATGAATGCAGAGCAGTACATCTCCATTCTAGAGGAGTGTCTACTCAAAAGCATGCAAGAGTCAGGAATTATGAAGAAGACATTATCTTTCAACAAGATAATGACCCCAAGCACACCTCAAAACTGGCTACAAAATGGTTTGAAGACCATGATATCAATGTTCTGTCATGGCCAACACAGTCTCCAGACCTCAATCCCATTGAACATCTCTGGGAATTACTCAAAAGACTACTTGCTGCCTATCAAGATCCTCCAAAGGGGCTATTTGAACTATGGGAGAGAGTTGCAGCAGAGTGGAAAAAGATTGCTGAAGAGGAGTGTCAAAAATTGACAGAAAGTATGCCTAGGAGGATTTCAGCAGTTATTAAAGCCAAGGGGGGTAACACCAAGTACTAGAATCATAGAATAGTCTTGGTTAAATATAAAGTCAAAAAAGTGTCCGAATGAGTGATGTATTTAGAATTATCATAGCTTGCCCATATATGGTCAGGTTCCCACGCTATATATCTCAGATTCGAGCCTTGATATAGGGCTTTCAGACATATCATTATACCCTTTTGTTATAGTTGGTGCTGGCTTGCTATTATCCAATGACTTAAAAATGCATAAACATTCAGACACTTTTTTGAGCCACTGTACATATACAACGAGATAGGAACATGTTAGCAACACCTCGAACATAGCGAGTACTCACCAGTGAGGATGGAAGGACAAGGACAGGATGGAGGAGGACGTTCCTAAAGCTAAAGGGATAAGGTCCGCAGGTTCTGTGGGTGTTCTGCATGGATCCGCGGGGATCCGCTTGGGTTCCGCGTAGTGGAAGAGTCGGATAGGAAGCGGATGGGTAGCGGAACGCACGGGGAAATACTAGTAAGGCTCGGGAAATATGGGGAATACGGGTCTACAGTGGGGACGTTCCCCACAGCGGATGGGCTAATTCTTGGTGTTTGGCCAACCACAAGAAGACGTACTCATTTGAATGCATGAACTAGAAGTGCAGGAAAGGGTATTTGTTTAGCCCCCCAGAAAACTCTGTGATCCTCCCTCGAGCAAGAAACATCTGAAAAAACCTATTGCTATATATCTAATACTTCTCATTAAAAAGCACACATAGCACAAGCTAACACTAGAAAGCCATTTATAGCCTTCATAGTTCTCATAGCATGTGATTCAGGATACATATTCCCCAGAGTATGAATGTTGTGTTTGATAGCTGATATATACCTATGGCTTCTTATTACACAAGCCTCTATAGGTCTCATAGCATATGATTAAGGATACTTATTCCCCAGAGTATAAATGTCGTGTGTCATAGCTGATCTATCCCATGCATAGTATATCACTTAGGATATATGATTGATATATATATGACTTCTTATTGCAGTCATTGTATACTAATACTAGAGATCTCCAGCACTACTAACCTGCTCTAAAGCATGAATACCCACCAGCTTATTTATTTAAGCATATATCCTATAGGACCACTATTGAGTACAGGGTTCAGAGTGATCAAACTATTCAAGTCCTCGCAGCCAAAAAACTTTGTGACTGAAAAAGGAACAACAGAGAGCTTAGGAAGACAAGAAACACAAAATTGCGATACATTGAAGGTGGAAATACACAAGTTTCACTACACTTAGCCTCTGACCCTGGCCTGACTATGTGTGTGGCAGTTGGCCCCGGCTGGGTTGGCATATACTGATAAATCCCAACATGGTTCCTTGTCTGTGCAATAACCCAAGTCCTGGAGCAAGCTGCAGGTGAATATTTCTGTACTGGCAGGAGTCTCCCAACCTTACTGCTGCAGTAGGCCGGAAGGAGCAGTTTCCAAATTTTTGCGAGTCTTGGGAGCAGCGAGATTGCCTGACGACAAGTTCGACAGGTGGGTTTGGAACCATTTTTTCATCTGCATCCATCCAGAACCCCATCCATCGAACTAGATGATTCCCAAACATCTTGTGGGGGGCAGCAAGATTCTATGCACCCGTCGAGCTGCGCCCGATAAGTGTCCCCAAGTCTGCTGGGGTGACCGAGTCATCCCAGTATCCTTCTGCTATGTTGCCTCACCCCAAAACAGTAACGTCCGAGGAGGGGCCATCAAGAGCTTGTTGAACTAGCTCTGGTGGTCCAAATTGCAGTGCTAGTCGCCATGCAATGCCACCCATGGTTAAAAAAATGCTGCGCATAAGGCCGCCGTAGGATTTCCCATACCTGCCGCAGGTATTGATGCCAGTAGTCTGTGCCCTTCAAATTCATCCCTGAGTATTGTATACAGGTGTCGAGGTAGGGTTGGGGTATGATGTGGGGGTAGACCCCGGCGGTGTGAGCTAACGATGACCTGACCGCCGGCATCGGGGTCATGATGCGGTAAGAAGTGCCCAGGCTGAGGAGGGTAACAATAGAGTCTGCAGGTGATGCATTCGGATTGCAGAACAAATTGTAAACTACTCTGATAGCTGTATGGAAAGTCGTGATCAGCCTTCCTAGCTGCTGGGGGGCTCCTGAAGGGAAGGTGATACCCGCTAGGTGAGGTGGTGGACTGGTGAATCTGGCCACATTTGCTCCAAATGCTGTGTTCATGCGTTGCAGGCCCTCATCAGATGGTATGGGTACAGGTAGGTTGGGCACTCGGGGTCTAATGTTTGGGACGGCGGAAAGGGTGGTGGGTCTAGCGCTCGGCCTTGTCATTGAGGCTACAGGTGGGTGAGATGTTGGTGAGGATGACCACATACTGACGTCTACTACAGTGTCGTGGCAGTAAAGAGACGACAATGGCCCTTCCCACTTGTGTTCGTGCACGCGAGGTGGGGATGACAGGGGTGCGCTTGATGAAGGACTACTATCTGCCTCGAGGCACGCTGTGAAAGATTGTGACGAACCTGCTACAGGCCTGTTGTAGTGCCAGTGATCTTCTTGATGGACCATCGGTCCATGTTCATCGTCCCGCCTGAGTCCCCGATAGCTAGTTTGCTGGTAAGCGGTCCTGTTCTGAGTCTGCGTGCTGTGAACCACTTCGTGTCCGCTGTTGACCGTTAAGACTTCTCGGGGAGGAAGCACTAGCCTGGTCTGTGGCAGAGGCGAGAATGCACAGTGCGGCACTGACGATGGCAAGTGGACGATTGGCGGGGAGCTGATGCATGGGGATACTGATACAGGCAGATAATGCGGTGCAAATGGTACCTCAGGTGATCCGAGGATTAAAAGACCAGTGTCATCTTCCTCTATGGAGACAGGTGGTGCACATTGTGACCGTGCATACCCATCATCACTGAGACCTAACCTAGGAACATGTGGGGACGGTGCCCATGCTGTTCACAACGCCGAGCGTCACTGCTTGCAGGGTTGGATCGCCGAAGTCCTCCGATACTATAGGTTCTGTTGGCTGAGAAGAGCAGTGAGCTTTTGCAATGACGTCACTATTGGGTGAACCACCTCTTGTAAATGCCCCCTGCCTGCTGCGAGAATGAGGGTCTTTACTGGAGCGTTGTTAGTGTCTATGACTTCGAAGATTTGGCTTGCTTCTTTATCTGGCGCTGCAGATGACATCTTGGCTAAATGTACAGCCATGTCCGCTTGAGTGACAACCGGTTCTCCTATCTCATTGTCGTCGTCCGGGTTGATGATGAAGATATCTCCCGTCGGCAGCTCTAGGTGCTCCACGAAGTAAACTTTCGCCAAGCATTTGTACAGTTTCTTCGAAATAATCTCCTTCTCCCTGCCATTCATCTTATAGTACTTGGCTTTAGCCTTCGTGGAACCTGCCACTGGTGTAGCATTGGATGCCATTAACATGGCATTCCGCTTTGCCACCGGGTGAATTGCTTGTTTCGTGTTATTCCGATCTCCTCTAACAGACTGACGCTTCATGCGCTGCAGGTCATCATAGTCGTATGCCCTTAAGCCACGCAGATCGAACGCGCCTGTGTCAGTGGGGTACCGCTGGTAATGAATTGGGATGCGATCATTGAGGAGATTATGCAAGTTATCATATGATATCGAGTCAAAGTGTACTATACATCCTCAGAAAGAGCAGCAAAGAAGCCCAAGGTCACTGATTTTTTCAACATGAGGGATTAGGTTGGGTCGCGTTTTCCAGTGTGAGTCTCTTAGCAGGTGGTACGCGATGTATCTGTAAGCATCAAGAATCCGCCTCCGAGTTTCTGCGACCTTCGATGCTAGGGCTTCTTCCAATACAAATGCGTCGTTCAGCCAAGTCAGAGAAGGGCCTTGAGGTGAGGGTAGTGCAGAATGGTACTCCATCATCACTGCCTGTAATAGGGTGTTCACAACAGCCCGTGTCTCGATGATGCTGGCACGAGCCTCAGGGGAGAGGTACCATCAAAACTCTCTACAGTTTCCCCAATGTTGTCCTGTGGCCCAAGAGGTCGCCACCCATTGTCCAGCAGGGAAACGGTCACTGTGAGGGGCAATAGGGATGTAAGAACGGTAGGGGCGACTACTATCCCAGTAGTCGTTGTTAATGGACCAGTCATTGTCACGTAGCACCCCGCAGTTGAAAACTTTGTCCGTCCTCAAACTCGCCTGGACGGGTGGCGGGCCTACTCTGGGCTGGTCGTGGTTGATAGCGACCCAACAATATTCCTGCCCTTGTGTGGTCCTACTTATAACCGTCCACCATCCCGCCTGCTCTTTTACTAGGTGTTGGAGCACAGAATCATTTGAAGGACAGGAAGGATTGTTCATGGTGATGATGTTCGCCTGGCTGCCTTCCGAGTCAATAGATAACCATGGAACGTTGTTGTTCCAAGATTAGAGAGTCTGAGAACAGAAGCGTGAAAGAGATGGTAGACGATCAAAGTCCAGGAACGTCGTCGTTCCAAGATCCAAGACATTTAAGTATACTAGTACAGTAGAAATACTCATAATGCATAATTTTAAAAAATCAAAACAAATCATTCTTGGCACTGCCACCAAACTATCCATTACCAATGTAACAAGCATCATAATTTTAACTTACATGATATGTGACCAGATACATTGGTAGGTATGATGGTCGATAAAATTATTGATCAAGAAGTGCTCACATCGATGAATAATGTTGTTCGATGACCATGCACGATTAGCCCTTCGACCAAACCTTGGTACCAACTGGCATGTTCGAAACATAGAATTTACTTCGATAATTGAGGTATCTTGAACACCATTTCGGTAACTTCAGGAGATAAGATACATCCCAGAATTTGGATCTTTGTTTCGAGGTCGTGAAAACCATTCGACATAGGCAAGATGTCCAATTTGTCTGGTGACACCCATCTTTGTGAGGTGTTTGTCAGGAATGTGGAAAATTACTTTAAGCCGGGCAACTCGTTTTCCTACCAGCAGCTTGAATAATAATGCTGAACAATGAAACTAAGATGACATACCTTCGATGCCAGTCTCCTCGTGCTCTGACTCATTGACCAGTACAGTGTCAAACCATGCATCCAACTCTCCTATGCCACTACACTTAAATCTTTTTGGCTCCGCATGTGCAGTGTGCAAAGTGGTAGATTCAGTATCAACTTGCAAATTCGGAACTGCGAACTTGACACAATACCACACGTCAACCCCTTCTAAGCCTCGTAAGATGTTGACATTGCGAGCTGCTCGTCAACGATAGGAAGTAGGCTGGAGCTGGTTCGCAATGAACTCCCCAAGGGCATTCTTGAAATGCACTGCCCCAAACTGATCTTCTAGGACACGAAATGATACCACATGAGCGGAAGGATTCTTTGCAAGGTATACACCAGGTGGCAGAAGCCTTCTCCAATGAGCGTGATGCTTCGGTATTTCTCCGCGTCTCCATTGAAGGACCAAGTCAAATGCAGCCATTGTCTCGCGTCGCTCTAGCCATCTCATCATCTGCTCCCAAAATTCTTTCTTGTTGGTTGCCTTATATGCATCCTTTGCGTAGTCTATGTGGAGGCGCTCGCTAGCCTCGGTGTTGTAGTTATCGATTGTACCAAATCGCTGGATGGAATTGACATAGTGCTCGAGCGAATGCAGCTTTGCGAAGTTAAAGTCTTCAATGTTGCGTGCACCGAGGTTGATGAAGACATCCTTATTGTCGTGGAACTGATCCAGCGCATCTGTGAGATACCCAAGAGTTGCCTCTGTATGACTCTGGTATTGAGTGATCTCAAGGAAGTCCAGGAGGCTCCGGGTGGCATGAATTACCCCAGCAGGTGCACCAGGGGCGTCAACAATGCACCCAAGGAGTTGCTTGCATATTTCGCGATGTTCTGGACCAGAAACCTGGGTAAGACAAGTAACACCATTTGCAAAAAGACGGACACTGTGCGCATGAGGCATGCGCTTAAAGTGAGTGTCCAACTCTGCATCGCCAATGAGGGTCCGGAGCCATCCACAAAGATGTTTGACAAGGCCTTGGTAAATCTGATGAAGGATATCCGGAGTGATGGCATCGTGAATATTGCAGTGCGGCAGCCCAATGAAGAAAGGGTCGGGAACAAGATTTAAGCCATGGTCCTTCAAAGCCGCATGTGCACGAGCTCTCATTGATTGACAACTAGCATCATGGATGGTACGAATCAACTGCTTCTGATGTCATGGATCTCCGGTGACATGTTCACCCAGCTCATCCTTCGATACAAAGCACTTAGGACATGTTTGCGAGTAGCGCGTGCATGTCACCAATGCTTGCTCCGGGTAATCTGCTACATAGGCAGCAACCACAGGAAACCCGAGGCGCACTACCCCATCTCCGCTTGTGAGCTCAATCCCATCTGTAGGAGATAAAGTACGTAGTGTGCTGGTAATAACTCCCATTGCATAGTGGAATAGCTGTGTACGAATAAGACGGGCATTGTCTGTTGAAAGATCATTCCCATCTAGAGAAACAGTCGGAAGGTGCCCAATAAGCTTCTGGGTGCGAAAGGACGGCTTGCGACGAATAGACTTCGAGATATTGCCAATAGTGAGGTAGACCGGGTATGTGGTTTTGTCACCTCGAAATTGGCAAAGCTGGGTCTTGTCAGAGCTGAGAATGACAGGAACAAGCGTAGTGCCATCTGGAAGAAGTGTCTAAATGACATTCAGCACATTGCCACAGAAGATGACCAAATCACAAACCTGCATTTCCCATGCCCAATCACCACTCATGAACTCATCATAAATGTGTTCAGATTTTCCTTCATCTGCAAAGCGGTGTTCGGGCGCATAGGTAAGGTGCTCAAGATAGGCGGGGTTAGCCCACAGTTCTTTGATAGATTCAACAGGATCTTGCATGAGAATAATCCAAATTCTTCGTTGATGCCTGATATCTGAATAACACTGCGTCGCCATGGAGTAACACCAGGGAGTTCGTGATCAATTTTTTGGTGAAGAGCACGAGCATTCTTGTAGGATAGTCCAATTTTACTGTTCTCCTAGCAGGGATGTAAGAATCTAACATCAATGCAACTGCAGCGCGCTTACCTCATCAATGGACAAAAAATCTGTGAGGGCGTTTTGATTTGGCCCTTGCTTGATTGCCCACCGAGCTACCTTGTAGTCACCTTCATCGAGAAAAGGGTGATACTGATTATCCTTGCTCTGAAGGTCATGGCAGGTCCACATATATGTAGCATGAGTAGCATCATCACACCGCAAGACCCGACCTGCTTCTGGATGTCTCTCAACTATGAGTATGGGGTCTCCACAGTCATTGCGCATGGCTCGATGGGGCAGGCCTGCAGAAGTGCGGGATGGCGATCCAGCCTTGTGTTGTGAATCTTCGATTTCACCTAACTCGGCTTCATCCACATCACCGCCATCCTGATTTCCAAGATGATCGTCATCCTGGTCGCTCAGCTCACAATAATCTCTCATTTCAATATCGTTCTGGGGATTGCACATGGTTCGCACCCACTTGCAATTTGGGGCCAGTGCGATATGCGCATTAAAATGGGAGCGAGTCTTGAAGGTTCTCTTGCAGGAAGGGCAGTGGACGGTGGTGGTAGACATGCTGACGCCAATTGCTGGAATAGCTGGAGAGATGAATTTGAACGATGTATGGGACACTTTGTCATCGGTGGAATTGACTGAAAGCCCAGGAACATCGTCGTTCCAAGGTTCTCGACAAGAAACCACGAAGATTCCAGGAACGTCATCGTTCCAAGAGTCTGTTTAGATGACAGAAGGATTGAAGGAAGAGGAGCAAGTGCGGAGAAGGATGCCTACTGGATCGGGGATTGCCGCGTCACCTAAACATCATGTGACAGGAAAGAGTCATTTTGCTGAAGCAAAGGAAACGACATGAGGGTAGTTTTCTTGTGGGGACTGCAAGTGAACGGTCAAGAAACAAGAGGGAGGTGCAAAAAGTCGATGCTAGAAGGTGCATCAGATTCGAGGTGATGTCTGTAGAGTATCCAAGGAACGCCTGGCGTTCCGGAGGTTTCAGCAAAAGGGAAGCGTGCTGATGAGAAGGCCTTCGACCTATCGTAAGTGATCTAGCAGCAATGTTTGCAACCAAAGCCATTCTTAGACTGCTTCAAACTGGTATGGTCCTGTCCATACGATAGAAAGTCAGAAGGGACTACACACGAGATCTGCAATATATTAGTACTAACACCTCTGTGACGGCCGTGGAGTGCAGATTGAGTTCATGCTCAAAGACTCAGAATGTTTAGAGTCCAGACAGCTGTTCGAAGACGATAAAGGACCCCGTGCGGAAAGCCAGGCCTCTCACATGAGGTCGGGAGACTGAGTCTACTGCATATGTAATTATATAGGTGATGCAAGAAGCCAAAGAGCAAGGCGAGAGAGAAGCTACAATTAGGAATCTGGGAACATCGTCGTTCCAAGAATCCAAGTCAGTCGTGGATGCCATAAAGTTCGATAATAGGTAGTGAGAATGACGAAGAAAGCGTGCCCAGGACTTAGTCTCAAAATGATTGGAATGATTACATAAGATTATTTATAACTTACATAATTTAATTGTTGCACCAAAGTTCCAAGTTTGTCCGGTCGGCGGTCGCACTCCATCCACTTCACAAAATGACACAATGATTCGGCCATAGCCGATGTTCAATGTAAGGACCTTCCTCTTTCGCCAGCAACTCTAAACTTCTCTTTCCCATACCCCTGCTATCGTCTGAATCTTGGAACGACGACATTCCCGGATTCTAAACATCTATTGCCTGTACCAATACTAAATCTTGGAACGACGATGTTCCCAGATTTTATACTTCATACACATACTATTGTCTGAACTTTGGAATGACGACGTTTCCGAGTTCCATTTGAAGATATACCTATGCATCGGATGCGCATTGTGGAACCTTCCCATGTCCAGTGGCTAGTGACAGAAAATTTGGCGCGGTGGAATGTAATTACCAGAACAGTGCCAGGACAGGAATACCGCTGGGTAGTGATCAATAGCGACGAACCCATGATAGGTCTGGCACCGCCCCTGGTCTCAAGCGAGAATTATTGGTCTACAACAGTTGATTACTGGTTGAGCGATCGCCTGTACCGCGCTTATGTCCCTTCAAACCCTGGCAATAATGTCAACTTCCCCGCAGGTCATTGGGTCTTGGATTGGGGTGTTAGCAACCACCGTATGCATTGGAAATTAACGTCAGATATGTCCAAAACGATTTTTAGCATATGTGAAAATGCACGAAAAATAATTCACGCTCTCATCTCCACCTACAACCTCAAGTGCACCTTCCCCCCCATTCTCTCCTTACGCTGGTTAGGGGATCAATTCTATACAGAGGAGGCATTGGCTGTGAAGGTCGCAGAAGCCCGATATCATATACTGGAGCAGTACGGGTTCATAGCATTTCACATCAAGAATCGTCCTGACTGGATTACACATCCGAACTTATCAACCGTCAAGGATCTAATAATCAGCGCTGGTCTCACAGAATGCACATATCGAGGGTGCATAGTAGATTTCAAGAAGTTGCATTTCGAAGAGTTGTGGATGCCTATTGAGCATCAAGTCCCAATCCACTACCAATGGTTTCCTACGGACACTGGCCCCTTTGACCTGAAAGCGCTCAAGGCTAGCGACTACGACGAACTTAGAAGACCAAGTCGCAAGTCTCCCCCGCCGGAGGAACATCAACTAATTGCCTTGCCGGATTTGGGAGAGGGTACTTTCTATCGAGTCAGTAGCAGCAGAGATAGGACCATGATCTCTAGGAGAGAGTTCAAACATTGGGCACACTGGTGCGAGATGAAGCGTGAGCAATTGCCCTCAGGCAAGGTATGTTTGCTATTCCAGGACATATCGGACAATCCTGCCAAAGCCCCCATCACTGATGTGGATTTGGCAGCGCATCATACTGAGTTCTCCCAAAACGAAGGAGAATTGTCCCCTGCTCACGCTGTGGAGGAGATTGTACCAGACCACAGCACACATGAGACCTTGCCAACCGCCCTCTCCCAGAAGGCATTAGACCTTGTGAATAGTTTTCTGTCCTCTATCGTAGCTGAACCGACAGCACGGACTGCGAGGCACCACAGTCCACATGCACATTCCCCGCCTGGTGATGAATGAGTGATGCTTCAAGAAAGCAGACCCTCCAGGAAGCGCACTCTCTCTACTAGCAGCAACCATATCAGATAATCCAGCCTATCGTGGGTCTAACGCTGTCGCTCGTCATGTGTTCAGCCAACTGGGGCACTCTAGAGATTGCGACCCCTGCTGGAACCTGGCACAATACAATGCTTAGCACCGTGTGGGTCTTGAAAGTTGTATAATGTTACTCTACTGTATATATGTATTAACGAATACCAATGCTACATTTGTGACTTCCCGTAAGGTTTTACAGACAAATTTCTGTTAATCCTCATGTCTTAGCCGAATAGCCGCACTGGATTTGGAAGGTAGCTGTTAACCTGTTGCTCTCGCACCTGTCTGTAAATTTGCTAATCTGTGGAGGGGTAGGTACCCCTCTGTAAATCGTTGTAACGCACAAAATGTCTGATTCGGGTAAATTTCTTACTCTTTTTAGATGGTTTGCTCATGGAATTGTCGTCTGGATCATTGGTATTGTTCCCAGTCCATCGTCTTGCAGAGTTCTTATGGTTTACAGATTCTGTCTGTAAATTAGCCAATGTCGAGCAGTCAAACTTTTACAGACAAGCTTGTTTCTGTAAATTCTTACGGGAAGTCACCCAAATGATCCCCAACACCCACTTTAGTGGGAGAAAGTTCGTCCAGGTACCTGTATGCTGAATCGCGGGAAAACCTTATGTCAGCAAGTTTCTAGACAATTCTTTATGATTATGTAAACTATTTTCGGGTTATGGCACAACTTTACATAATTAGCTCTGACTGGCACTGACGGACATGCCTCATACACATATCTTGGAACGATGATGTTCCTGGATTCTAAACTTCTGTTCCCCATACCCATAATATCGTCTGAATCTTGGAATGATGACATTCCCGGATTCCAATGAGTCTCTCTCGACTTCTCTTTGGCTCCTTACAACATTCAAATTTGCAGTTCAGACTGTCTCCCAACCCCGTGTGAGAGGCTGGGCTTTCCGCATGGGGTCATCTTCGAACAGCCATCTGGAATTCTGAGTCATGGTCATCTAATACCAACCCAACCACTCCATAGTCATCACAGTCAGCCTGCTCATTCATCTCCCTGTTCGTACTAAGGTACTGGAGACAGGCCGTTCAAATTGTCGGAACAACACGAAGCGGGAGGGTGGGTTCAATATTGCGCACAAATTCTCCGTCTGAGATCATATCGGACATATGTACGTCAAGCCTCTCATACCATATCATTGAGACTCGGTCTGACGCTCTATGACTCGGAAACCACAAATCTCATGTGTAGGTTTACATCTTAAATTCACTCTATTTCATTGATAAGAAAATTGCTCGAATCAGACATTTCGTGCGTGACAATTTACAGAGGGGTCCTTACCTACCCCTCCACTGATTGGCAAATTTACAGACAGGTGCGAGAGAGCAACGGTTTGACAGGCATTGACAGCTACCTTCCAAATCAAGCTCGGCTATTTGGCTAAGGCATGAGGAATAATTCTGCTGCAACACCTACTAGTATGAAGCCTGTTCCAGCTTCGCGACCAGCTTTACAGGTAAGTCGCGACAATGTATTTCAAGACATGAGTCTCACAGAGATTTTTGTTAGTTTCTTAGCATGTTCAACAATACTACTAATAGCACACGAGACGCTGCCAGTGACATGCCACCAGAGTCTCCTCCATCCTCCGGCGAATCTCAGACTGCCTCACCATCCTCTGATTCTGTCCCACTACCAGGCTCCTTGACACTCACATTTCTTGCGGCAGCACTGAGCAATGCATTGCTTGAGGGTGCGCCTCCAGGCATTTCACCATCCACTCAGGCTGCTACGTCTACAGGAGAAGTTCCTGTTCAGTCTGGCAAGAAAAAGAGAGGTCTGACAAACCTGAACAACCTTTTCAAGCCAAGTTCGGGATCGACAACAGCACGCAACCTCTGTGGTATTGAATGGCAAGCCCAATGCAAGATGAGCACTGTCGCAGAGTTCACAACACACTGGAATAGCCTCACTCCCCAACAGAGAGAGCCCTACATCACTCGCTCGAAGCTTGCCGACACTGTAAGTCTTTCTTTCTTTGGTGATATCATAATCTTGTTCAACTGTAGGCCAATCTACTAGTGTCAAGCATAAGCCTTGCCTCCGATGACTCCGCCCTCAATGCAGGCAACAGCATAAGTCATGTGAGGCAGGTGGATCATCGATCATCCAGATTCCACATCCACAGGCATTGTTCACTCGCAATTGCCGAGCAAGATTCGTGATGTTTGTGGATCATAGTTGTATATCCACAAGTATTGATCACTGACAATCGCCAAACAAGATATATATATGGACTGCAAGCCTTTCCCTCTCACTTTAGTTTACCTTTTGCATCTACACAGACTCTTGGAACGACAATGTTCCCGGAATCTTCGTAGCTTCTTGTCGAGAACCTTGGAATGATGATGTTCCTATACTTTCAGTCACTCATCGCCCATTCATTTCTTCGTTCTCCCCCCACGTTAGCCTTGTCTATAACCTTGGAACGACGACGTTCCTGGGCTTTCAATCACTCATTGTGAATTTGTTTCTTCATTCTCCCCCCACATTAGCCTTGTCGATAACCTTGGAACAACAATGTTCCTGGGCTTTCTGTGACTTGTCGTGAATTTGTTGATTCATTCTCCCCGATGTTATCATGATGTCCAATGCGCGTAGAGGACAACGTTCTCAACTTCAGCGATTGGTAGATGAAAAATCTTCATGGTGGAGAGTGACCAGTAGGAAAACCGATGGTCAGGAGTATGTTTGGGTAGTCATTAATGCGATACACCCAAGGGTAGGACCAGCCCCTCCGCGACCTGACCAGAGAACGGACAAAACGCTCAGCAACGGAGTCCTTCAAGACCATGACTGGTCAACCACTCCAGACCACTGGGACATCTCGAGGCCGTACCGACCATACATTCCTGACCTGCCAAAAACTCAACTGTTCCCGGATAGCAGTTGGATTGCTACTGCCTGGCCTCTAGGGAGCGATTGGGGGATTTCAGGGCCTGGAGGCTGGTGCTTATCTTCGGAGATGCGCACTAAGCTTCTGGCAACTCGAGCGAATGCTTACACGCTCGTTGGCGCAATCATTTCAGCTTACAAGCCTTGGTACATTATCCCCACAGAGTTGAGGTTGGATTGGATAGACAACTCATTCCCGTCTGAAGAGGTGTTAGCCGCACAAGTTGGTGATGTGCGCCAACACATACTGGACCAATACGGGTTCATAGCCTACAACTTGCGTCAAGACCCGCATTGGCGCACACACCCTGGCTTGCGGGCGCACATACTCAGGGTGACCAACACTGGCCTCGATTCCTGTTGGCACATCGGATGCATCATGGATTTCAAGAGGATGGATTTTTTCGTTTCAGAATTGTATGATCTCATCTCTCATGACGTTCCCATACACTACCAGTGGTTCCCTGCCGATGCTGGACCTTTTGACCCACGAGCACTTAGGGCCAACGACTATGACTTCATTCAGAACATAAGGCGGACTCAAGTTGAATGGCAGTGGTCTACAGCGGCGCAAAGCGCCAACTCTATGGATCCTCCAGCCGTCCCTCCACCTGCACAAAAGAAGGCAAAGTACTTCAAAGCTAGCAGGAGGTTCAAGACTGACACATGGGAAGAAATCTCGAAAAACGCATACAAGGAGCTGTCGAATTGGTGCGCAGCGGAATGTGTGAAGCTACCGACGAGAGATGTATTCGTCACCTACGAGTATGAAGGAGCAGATGAGGAATACGTTGCGCCTGTGGGATCTGTCATCAGCGCAAAGGAGATGGCTGCCTATGTGCTTGGGATAGCGGCTCAACCGAATGTAAGTTTCTCGACCCCACATCTAAGAATCTCGAAACTGATGAACCATGAAGCCCATTTCTGCTGTCATCAACACAAAGGAGATGGCTGCCCATGCACTTGAGCTGGCAGCTCAACCAACAGTGAGTTCCTCCACTCCCACAGTTGAGAACATCGAAATTGATGAACATGTGAAGACGGTTTCCGCCCCATCAGCAGCGACGCTAGCCCTGACAACAGGGGAGTCCTCTTCTTCAGCGCAGAGCGGACTCAGGCCTGCCAAAAAGGATTCTCCTGCAGCAGCAACGCCTACTGCAGAGCCCTCCACTTTGGAGCACAGCGAACCTGTGCCCGTCACAAAGGGTTCACTCACAGTAGCAGCATCAATTGCTGTGACTGCCACAGAATCATTGATTCCTGAGAAGCACAGTTGAAGCCAATGTTCAGTGACTCCGCGCGCAACGGTGCCTAACATTGTCATTCGCGCGCAGTCAAGATCCCCTGGGGCCGAATCCGCTATCTCCCTAGGAGAAGAAGACGATGTCCCCTTTTCATTTGGCTCTCATGTAGCTCCTCGGGCGCCTGATTATACTCCTGTTTCACCCCGCTCCCCATCACCGTCACTTGCAGTTACGGTTCCACTGCCGGCACCGTCGTCTTCGCGCCTCCCACCCCCACATCGTCAGAAATGCCTGGTGTTCCTCGATGATTATTCCTCCAGCTCAAGGAAGCGCACAATCTCATTTGTATCATCTCCATCTGGAGCTGGAGAGAATAAGAGACCACGGATGGCGGCGCCCCCTACATCCTCGCGCCCGACCCTGATGCAGAGGCTTCACGGTGTCATCGCAACTTTCCCTGCAGCCTCACCCCTTGCGCCTGAGCCCTCTCCACCTCAACAGCTCCCACTGGCACAAGTTCAAATCCTCCCGGTTCGAGTAGAAGTGGGGCTACCACTTATTGCAGAATCTTACCAGGCCAATGAGCTGCAGATCGATGGGCCAGTGTTCATGATGGGAATCACCTTCCCTGCAGCTCCAGTGCTGCGTTCGGGGCGTTTGACTACGACGTTCCAATCTGCCATCTGGGTTGTCTACGATCAGCTTCTCAGCCCAAACGCGTCTCCAGCAGACTCTTTACAAACACTGCTAAGATCTGGGGCACCATTCCGAGTCTTTGCACCATTACCCAACACAGCGTTCCAACAGCTGGCAGTTGCGCCATCGTATCTATTGAGGAGGAACGTGTTTCAAGGATTTGATCTAACAAATCTAGGATACTGGAACATATACACATCCCAGGTTAGGGAACTTCTCTGTCGCCCATTTGCTTGCTGTTTCCTCACGCTTGGAGGGATCCTGTGGCGCATTGCCTTGCAATTTGGCCCTAATACGCTAGTCCAAGAAGCATTGGTGGGTCCCTCCTCAGCTGTCATGCTATGGGGAAGCGGCGAATTGGTCAGCAATCTTTGGGACGACTTCGTAACCCCTGAGGAAATAAACACTTTGCTGGGTCGTAGTCATTCAGGCTCGGAGAGTTGCTGGCCTCCCAACGACCTTTGGGATTCTTCCAAGAAGTGGAAAGGGTTTTGGTCGGACGCTGATGAAGCGTGGTTCCAGTTACATCTGGCGAACTTGTTGTCCGGGAACCTTCAAGCACCCAAATCCTGGAGAACTTGGAAAACTTCCTTTCGACCAGCAAAGTTGGACACGCCTTTGGAAATCTACGCGCAAGAGTTGTTCAAAAAATTAGGATACGATAATGTTCGCGCCCCAACTTGGGACCTATAATCAGTAGAATACGAATTACCTGAGAGGGGGGGGGGGGGAAACTTTGTGACGGTCATGGTTTAGGCCAGCGCCTACTACATACATCATTGTACTTACTATTACTTTTGCATACTATCATTTGTTTCTGTATGCTAGAAAATCAATATCGCATCTTGTATTTCATCCAAAATATTCTCAGTGATGGTATCCCAAGATACGAGACAGGAAATGGCGAGCAACAAATCGATTGCAAGATGTGCATCATGATCAACCATAATACCAAAGTGTCTCTCCAAGTGATCGCGTCTCAGGGCGGCAGGCCATAGTTAAAGTCTTTCAGTTCTTTCTAGTCATATGAGTCTCCGCAGCACGAGTGAAGCCAGGCATTACTACATCTGTATTTGCCTGCGCACATGAAAATCTCAAATTTTTAGCCTATGATTTGCCCCTCACCACACCCAAATTTCAGTAGAAGTTAAAACATATTTTATTAGAGTTTGTATTAGTCATACTACATAACAAATAATCTAAACAAGTTGTGATTCGCTTGATTATATAATGTCATATTCATCAATTGTCGCTACCATTTGGATATCTCTTGTGGATCTCTTGTCCACTGCTTGCTTTTGACTTGCTTGGATTAATCTTGGGACAATGACGTTCCCAGGTTCTAAACCAGCTTTTCAAGATCTCATCCATGACTCTGTTGGATTCTTGGAATGATGACGTTCCTGGATACCCAAGTAGCTTCTCTCTCAATTTCTCTTTCAATTTTGCTCCTCGAACCTCCTCGGACATGGAACATCGATGTTAACCTGGGGTTCCAACCAATGTGGATTCTAAACCAACTCCTCCGCGACTGACTTGGATTCTTGGAACGACGACATTCCCGGATTCTTAAGTAGCTTCTCTCTCGCCTTGCTCTTTGGCTTCTTGCATCACCTATATAATTACATATGCAGTAGACTCAGTCTCCCGACCTCATGTGAGAGGCCTGGCTTTCCGCACGGGGTCCTTTATCGTCTTCGAACAGCTGTCTGGACTCTAAACATTCTGAGTCTTTGAGCATGAACTCAATCTGCACTCCACGGCCGTCACAGAGGTGTTAGTACTAATATATTGCAGATCTCGTGTGTAGTCCCTTCTGACTTTCTATCGTATGGACAGGACCATACCAGTTTGAAGCAGTCTAAGAATGGCTTTGGTTGCAAACATTGCTGCTAGATCACTTACGATAGGTCGAAGGCCTTCTCATCAGCACGCTTCCCTTTTGCTGAAACCTCCGGAACGCCAGGCGTTCCTTGGATACTCTACAGACATCACCTCGAATCTGATGCACCTTCTAGCATCGACTTTTTGCACCTCCCTCTTGTTTCTTGACCGTTCACTTGCAGTCCCCACAAGAAAACTACCCTCATGTCGTTTCCTTTGCTTCAGCAAAATGACTCTTTCCTGTCACATGATGTTTAGGTGACGCGGCAATCCCCGATCCAGTAGGCATCCTTCTCCGCACTTGCTCCTCTTCCTTCAATCCTTCTGTCATCTAAACAGACTCTTGGAACGATGACGTTCCTGGAATCTTCGTGGTTTCTTGTCGAGAACCTTGGAACGACGATGTTCCTGGGCTTTCAGTCAATTCCACCGATGACAAAGTGTCCCATACATCGTTCAAATTCATCTCTCCAGCTATTCCAGCAATTGGCGTCAGCATGTCTACCACCACCGTCCACTGCCCTTCCTGCAAGAGAACCTTCAAGACTCGCTCCCATTTTAATGCGCATATCGCACTGGCCCCAAATTGCAAGTGGGTGCGAACCATGTGCAATCCCCAGAACGATATTGAAATGAGAGATTATTGTGAGCTGAGCGACCAGGATGACGATCATCTTGGAAATCAGGATGGCGGTGATGTGGATGAAGCCGAGTTAGGTGAAATCGAAGATTCACAACACAAGGCTGGATCGCCATCCCGCACTTCTGCAGGCCTGCCCCATCGAGCCATGCGCAATGACTGTGGAGACCCCATACTCATAGTTGAGAGACATCCAGAAGCAGGTCGGGTCTTGCGGTGTGATGATGCTACTCATGCTACATATATGTGGACCTGCCATGACCTTCAGAGCAAGGATAATCAGTATCACCCTTTTCTCGATGAAGGTGACTACAAGGTAGCTCGGTGGGCAATCAAGCAAGGGCCAAATCAAAACGCCCTCACAGATTTTTTGTCCATTGATGAGGTAAGCGCGCTGCAGTTGCATTGATGTTAGATTCTTACATCCCTGCTAGGAGAACAGTAAAATTGGACTATCCTACAAGAATGCTCGTGCTCTTCACCAAAAAATTGATCACGAACTCCCTGGTGTTACTCCATGGCGACGCAGTGTTATTCAGATATCAGGCATCAACGAAGAATTTGGATTATTCTCATGCAAGATCCTGTTGAATCTATCAAAGAACTGTGGGCTAACCCCGCCTATCTTGAGCACCTTACCTATGCGCCCGAACACCGCTTTGCAGATGAAGGAAAATCTGAACACATTTATGATGAGTTCATGAGTGGTGATTGGGCATGGGAAATGCAGGTTTGTGATTTGGTCATCTTCTGTGGCAATGTGCTGAATGTCATTTAGACACTTCTTCCAGATGGCACTACGCTTGTTCCTGTCATTCTCAGCTCTGACAAGACCCAGCTTTGCCAATTTCGAGGTGACAAAACCACATACCCGGTCTACCTCACTATTGGCAATATCTCGAAGTCTATTCGTCGCAAGCCGTCCTTTCGCACCCAGAAGCTTATTGGGCACCTTCCGACTGTTTCTCTAGATGGGAATGATCTTTCAACAGACAATGCCCGTCTTATTCGTACACAGCTATTCCACTATGCAATGGGAGTTATTACCAGCACACTACGTACTTTATCTCCTACAGATGGGATTGAGCTCACAAGCGGAGATGGGGTAGTGCGCCTCGGGTTTCCTGTGGTTGCTGCCTATGTAGCAGATTACCCGGAGCAAGCATTGGTGACATGCACGCGCTACTCGCAAACATGTCCTAAGTGCTTTGTATCGAAGGATGAGCTGGGTGAACATGTCACCGGAGATCCATGACATCAGAAGCAGTTGATTCGTACCATCCATGATGCTAGTTGTCAATCAATGAGAGCTCGTGCACATGCGGCTTTGAAGGACCATGGCTTAAATCTTGTTCCCGACCCTTTCTTCATTGGGCTGCCGCACTGCAATATTCACGATGCCATCACTCCGGATATCCTTCATCAGATTTACCAAGGCCTTGTCAAACATCTTTGTGGATGGCTCCGGACCCTCATTGGCGATGCAGAGTTGGACACTCACTTTAAGCGCATGCCTCATGCGCACAGTGTCCGTCTTTTTGCAAATGGTGTTACTTGTCTTACCCAGGTTTCTGGTCCAGAACATCGCGAAATATGCAAGCAACTCCTTGGGTGCATTGTTGACGCCCCTGGTGCACCTGCTGGGGTAATTCATGCCACCCGGAGCCTCCTGGACTTCCTTGAGATCACTCAATACCAGAGTCATACAGAGGCAACTCTTGGGTATCTCACAGATGCGCTGGATCAGTTCCACGACAATAAGGATGTCTTCATCAACCTCGGTGCACGCAACATTGAAGACTTTAACTTCGCAAAGCTGCATTCGCTCGAGCACTATGTCAATTCCATCCAGCGATTTGGTACAATCGATAACTACAACACCGAGGCTAGCGAGCGCCTCCACATAGACTACGCAAAGGATGCATATAAGGCAACCAACAAGAAAGAATTTTGGGAGCAGATGATGAGATGGCTAGAGCGACGCGAGACAATGGCTGCATTTGACTTGGTCCTTCAATGGAGACGCGGAGAAATACCGAAGCATCACGCTCATTGGAGAAGGCTTCTGCCACCTGGTGTATACCTTGCAAAGAATCCTTCCGCTCATGTGGTATCATTTCGTGTCCTAGAAGATCAGTTTGGGGCAGTGCATTTCAAGAATGCCCTTGGGGAGTTCATTGCGAACCAGCTCCAGCCTACTTCCTATCGTTGACGAGCAGCTCGCAATGTCAACATCTTACGAGGCTTAGAAGGGGTTGACGTGTGGTATTGTGTCAAGTTCGCAGTTCCGAATTTGCAAGTTGATACTGAATCTACCACTTTGCACACTGCACATGCGGAGCCAAAAAGATTTAAGTGTAGTGGCATAGGAGAGTTGGATGCATGGTTTGACACTGTACTGGTCAATGAGTCAGAGCACGAGGAGACTGGCATCGAAGGTATGTCATCTTAGTTTCATTGTTCAGCATTATTATTCAAGCTGCTGGTAGGAAAACGAGTTGCCCGGCTTAAAGTAATTTTCCACATTCCTGACAAACACCTCACAAAGATGGGTGTCACCAGACAAATTGGACATCTTGCCTATGTCGAATGGTTTTCACGACCTCGAAACAAAGATCCAAATTCTGGGATGTATCTTATCTCCTGAAGTTACCGAAATGGTGTTCAAGATACCTAAATGGTGTCCAAGATACCTCAATTATTGAGGTAAATTCTATTTTTCAAACATGCCGGTTGGTACCCAGGTGAGCTTACTGAATGTTCAGCGGTTGCTAAGCCTTGGGTAGAATTCTACCGCACCTGGCGCTGCAATGAGGAATGTTTTTTTCTTAGGATAGCAGCGGACATAGTAGTTTTTGGAGGTTTTTCAGACTTTTACTGACCACCTCGTGGCATGCATCCTGCCTATGGAAAGGGGTCTCGCCAGACGTAGATGAGCAGTACTATGGGGTTGAAAGGGACTGTAACGGTTGTGTATCAGATATATAGCTGCAGCTGTTATGTATGTAGTAAATGTATACCTTATAACGCACTCACTATATACCACTTTGTAGGTGATAATAATATCACTGTTGTACTTCTATAGTGGCCAGTGGTAAATGTCATAGTCTTTTTATAGTTGTAAACTAATGGTATAGATCAATCTATAGCTGACAGCTAAAGTACTCATAATGCACAGGGAAATGTAATACACCATTCTGATGGCTACTAGTGACTGATATATAGACACCTATAACATGTGATGGTAGCACTGATAACACTTTCACAATGATGAGTGATAGTTGTCATAGCTGTCATAGCCACAAGTTGATGATGGATAGCCAACTGTAGGTGCAAAATTTGTAGTGCTATAGTGCACCATGGTCATGACCATGGTAACTATGTAAATATGAGTGGGTGCTATGGTGTGACAATAAAAGGGGGGGTTGTTATGAGGCTATGACAGCTATATATGATATACAATGCACTATAGAAACCCTAATTTTTTCAGATGAAGAGTGGTTCCTGCTGGATTGCAGTTGACTTGGAGGTCAACCTTGTTGTGTTGGGTTGAGTTTCATCGCATTCATTTTACATAGATCTTACTACATGATGTGTTTTGGATGGCCCTAGTTACCAGTATGTAGTTGAATGATGTTGATTTGACACTTGTGATAGACGAAGACATCAAATTGAATAGTTCATTAAAATACTTGATCATGTGATCAAACACAGTCATGTGATAATTGGTTGATCCATCGCTACCCTGTAGTCATATGTTTTGTTTACCCGTCATGTCTTATATCTACTTGTTTCTGACCTTGGTTTTACGTGTCTATATTGCTGGTAGAATGGTAGTTGCATTCGTTATGACGTTGAATAACAGTCTGATTGTGATAATCATGATCACATGACCTACACGACATGTTGATTACAATCACATGACTGATTGTTGAGATCTTCAGCCAGCCACACCGATACTACCTGTACTGTCTGCCCACAGCATTACACTTTTAAACAATATCTCCTGCTCATATATCTATGTCTTCAGACTGGACACGTAGCTTCAGAGCTATCCTTCTCAGTTATAAAACAGACTTCTTGGCTGTCAAAGATTCAAAATCAAAATGGTCGCATGTGATCAAGAAAATCCGCAAGGCCATAGTTGCAGCTCACAAGAAACAAGGCGAAAAAGTACCTTTGCCGAGTTCTTTGAAGAAGGTAATATTTTGACTGATGTTAGCATATTTGACTGATCTACTACTATGCTTCTTGCAGGCAATTAAAAGATACTATGCCCACAAAATTGACGACGAAGAATCTAATGGGGAAGGAGCTGCAAGAGAAAGAGAGATCAATGCCTGTCCAAAGGAGGCTTCATTCTACAAGAAAAAGTTGACTGACTGGGATGTTGCTCAGAGATTGTTCAAACACGAAATGGACGAATTTGACAAGGCAGAGCAAGCAAGAAAAGGTGAAACAAGATCCTATCAAGTTTCGCACTGGTCATGCGCGAGAATGGTTCAACGACATGTCTCCTGCACAGAAGAAAGAAGTCAAGTACGCACAAGAGAAGTGGAACAAGGAGGGGGCACCTCAAGAGAGTCAGGCTGTGTAAGCTCAGTGAATTTTTTGTAGGATTTCTAGTCTAACATTAGCTCAAAGTTATTGCAAGAATAACCTCAAGAAAGTGCTTGGAGATTTTTCCGAGTGACTTCATCGTACTATGGGTTGCCATGTCGTGATGCTCGTCAGTCACAAGAAACAAGCAGACAAGTCATTGAGCGTCACCATGTGAGTATTTGGATCATCTGGACATTGTAAAACTAATAAACTACACCCTTCTAGACACGAAACTGTGCCTCAGAATGCCAAAAAAGACTTCTCTGTCAGCTCAGATGGTATCAAAGAGTGGGCTTCAACTGGCATTGACTTCTTTGCAGAGTGGGCAAGGACCGAATTTTGTATGTTTGTTATTTCTTCGTTTCATGACCACTACTCATTGACCATAATCAATAGACCCAATGGCTGATCCAGATGTCGAAGAAAAAGATGAAGAGGATGGACGTTGGCTACCTGAAGTTATCTTTGATGACAAAGGCTATGCACAACTGCCTTCTTGTGATGGTGTGATACTCAAGGATCAACAAGAACTGGTACAAATGATTTTTCATGCTTCGTACAGTAAGTGTCTATGTCGTGTATTGCCATATGCTGGGTTAATCAGTTGGTTTTTGTAGAAGTTTTCACCCGCAGCAGTAAGCCTGTGCCTTGGCGCACCATAACTCCATGTCCATCAGAGTATTTGGAGGCTGGTTCTGTTCCAGATAACCTTGTTTTCTGCAACCCCTCTCACATGAGAGAAAAGGATATCAACATGCTCTGGAGTTACTGGGAAACGCGGAGCAAGGCCAGGAAGAGACTTGTCACTTTTATAAAGGCAAGGCCATCTGATGTGAGAATCAAGCTGGCTCAGGATGCAAGGGACAAGGCTAGTTCTAAGAAGGATAAAGCATATGTCAAGGTTGCTGAAGATGAAGATGAACTGCATAGTTCAGCCAATTTGGATGCTACATTGGCTGCAGCATCGCCAGCTGAGGTGCCACGTGACCACCACTTCAAATTTTTAGATGCCCTCAGCACTGATAGGTCTTACCTGGAGCTCGTAGATGCAGTCAAGGATCTGGCTGTTATGATGCAAAATTTGGTAAGTGCTTAGTCAGTCTTAGATATGTATTGATCCTAACACCATTCACTAGCCAACACCAGATGAGGAACTTGAATTACCCCCCTGGGTGGATTGGGCTTGGACAGAGTCTTATCTTCCCCAGTAATATGTTGATGGCCAGCATGCAGATGTTGATAAAGACCCCAATTATGTCTTCATACTTAGCTGCCCTCGTGGTCTTGGGCCTTGGGTTGATTTTGAGGGATTGCAAGCGCATCATAGAGTATGAAGAAGATGAGGCCCCCCCTGATACCCCTTCCTACTTGGCTGGTTCGTTCTTGGACCTTCAATGTATGGTTAAGGTGGACAGTGCTATTAGTCATGTTGCATGCACAATTGTAGGTCTCATTGAGGTGGTGATGAAGGCTATTTCAGGTGACGATGATCATGGTGATCAGGAGAAGGACATGGAGGGAGCTGATGGTGAGGAGAAGGACAATGACCAGGGAGAGGACAGTGGTGGAGATGATAAAGAGAGAGATGGGGAGGAGAAGGAGAAGAGTGGCATGAGACAAGTTGGCAATAAGGAGCAGGACAAGGGAGACATGAATGTGCAGATGCAGGAGGTGGAGAAGGACCCGGAGCAGGATCAGGAGGAAGGCAAACAGAAGGGGAAGAAAAGGATGAGATCTCCAACTTCCTCAGGTAAGACCAAGAAGGCAAGGATTGAAGATGAACCACCTATGCATCGGTCTACCAGAACTAGGCAACCCTCTAAGAAGAATATGCGGTCCTAACCTCCTAGTGCTACTATGGCCAGCTTGTGTATGTGACATGTAGTATTGAGGCTGGCCATTCCATACTTAAGTAGTGCTACTTACTATGACCAGCTTACATATATGACACATAGCATTGAGGTTAGCTGTTCTATACTTAAATAGTGCTACTATGGCCAGCTCGTGTATGTGACACATAGCATTGAGGCTGGCCGGTCTATACTTAAGCAGTGCTACTATGGCCAGCTCATGTATATGACACATAGCATTGAGGCTGGCCGGTGTAGGTACAACAAGTGCAGCAGTGAGAAATTGATCTACTACACAGTTGGGTCTTTGCTACCTGCTGCCTCGCTTGAGAACAAGTACATTCGACCCTAAAGGGGATTGCTACTGGGGAGTGCTAATCTCTGTCTAAGCGACCCTAATCAACCCTACCACAGGTAGGATGAGGATCCGCAAAAATGCGGAACAAGCAGAACAAGCAGAACTCGAGCGGAATGAAATGGAATCAAGCGGAACTCAAACGGATACAATGTGGAACATACTGATTCGTCAGAACTCGCAGGTCAAGTCGAAGGAAGTATATCACAAGGTTAGATTGATAGTGGGCATAAGTCAAAGTGGTCCTCTAGTAAGGTGAAGGAAAAGTGGGAAGGTAAAAGATGGGATTCGATAAAAAAACACCCAAGCCCTGAGTACCACTACTTAAAGGGAAGATTATTTTCAAGGAACACTGAGGTACAGGTAGTAAGTTCTCAGGAAGCGGAAGTGAAGGGAGGCAGTGCACATGGGCGCAATACTCCGGAATAGGGGTCTGTGCCATAAGGGCATGTGTCAGTGTGATCCAGATAACGTTAGAAGCAGCGGGAACAGAGATACAGCGTACCAATGGACCTGGAAGGATGGGGACAGGACATGCGAAGGTTGTCCAACGATGCGTGGGAATATCGGATAGTGCGGGCGGGTTCCGAAGGATGCATGGGAATGCAGAACCCATCGGACAATGCACAGGAAACACGGAACGTGCGGAATACGCGGAACTGATGTGAGACGATGCGGAAAGGGTGGGGTTTTACACCTACAGTGGGGGAATTCCCCACACTGGTCTATACTTAAGTAGTGCTACTATGGCCAGCTCCTGTATATGACATGTAGCATTGAGTCTGGCCAGTCTATACTTAAGTAGTGCTACTATGGCCAGCTTGTGTACATGACACAGTATTGAGGATGGCTGTATATTTGTTGATACTTCTGATATGTCATTGTAACATATACTATGTGCTAAGAAAAATACAAACAAGTTTTTATCAAGTGTTGTAGAACCATGGCACTTCAATGTTCAATTTCATATCTTAAATGCCCATTGATAACTGTATGTGACACGTAGTAATGAGGCTGGCCAGTGTATACTTAAATAATGCTACTATGGCCGGCTTGCATATGTGATGTGTAGTATTGATGCTGGCCAAGGTAAGTCTATTGTATAGTCAACTGCCTGGCTGGTCCCAACTGTAGACTATGTAGAAGCTATGCTGCTTGAGTCAGGCTTGTGATACATCACAAACTGGCCACATGCTTCTACGTGGCCCAAGGGCAAGCTGGCCAGGACTATTCTATTGTAAGCTAAGGTATTATAAATGAATGGCAAATCCTACCTGCACACTACATAGAAGCATGGCTGGCCAAGTCAGCTTGAGGTATACATAGCTGCCTCGGCCAGCCTTGCTTGTACATAGTGTGCAAGTGTTAGGTACCATACTCTCAGGTAGTGGAGGGGTCGGGGCTTGGCTTCAGCTCTTGCGCTACGCCCTTAGCCAAGTATGTGCCCTGAATTTGGAGTGGGTCCGACGTTGTCTGACGATAGGACGGGTGGACCGGAAGTAATAAGGAAGACTTAGAGCGCGGCTCTAAGTCTAAGCGGAGGGTGTCGGAGGTGACAACGAGACGAAACTCGAGTCCAGAGGTAGCAGGGTCCTATGGAGAATCCTCACGAGTAGAGACTACAAGAATGCAAGTAATATTAAGACTAAGGAAAATATCTAAGTACATGATATGATATATATACTTCTAGGTAATGAGGCAGTGATATCTAGGACATAGCCAAAGGCTATGTCTTACTGTACAGTAGTAAGTGGGATAACATACGAGTCAGAGCGGATATCAATATGTACGCGTCGGATGAGTGATCAAGTGGTAAAGGTATTTACTGGTGATCCGGAGTAAGGGTCTATGTACGGATGAGGAAAGTATATATCTTTAAGGGGAAAAAGGTTCCAGTTGAATGGAGATGTTACGGGAGGTGACCGGTTGAGCGGACGAGCGGAAGCGTAGGGTGGAAGGTCGGGGGATGATCGGGCGGAGCAGAGGACGGATGGGGCGGATGGAGCGGAGGTGGTCGGAAAGCGGATGGAATGCGGAATCGGATGGAGCGGATATTAATATCGGAGCGGATGGATTTTGGTATATGACAGCAAGTGGGACTGGCTATATATGTCAATAGAGCTCAACACAATTCTCTGTACATATATGCACACATATATATATAACATGTATGGCCAGCCTAAGATCACCCCCTGTAAAAGCTAGGCTGGCCTGAACATCATAGGATATTAGCCTCTCAATATGCTCATACTGTAATATACTATAAAAATCTGACCAGTGCAGATGTCTACCAGCCAGTGACTGACAAGCATGGATTCTACAGCCTTTTTTGCTCACACTGGCCAAGCATGGGTCTACGTCTCATATACTACTGCAATTAGCATAGTTAATACTCTGTTGCTCACACTGGCCGGGCATGGGTCTACGTCTCATATACTACTACCATTAGAATAGTTACTACTCTGTTGCTCACACTGGCCGGGCATGGGTCTATGTCCAACTACTACCATAATATACTACCATGAGCATAGCTAATACTCATTTGCTCACACCAGCCAGACTAATTCTACATATAATCCTACTACCATCATTAATTTAGCATTTATATTACACTACACTAGTATTCCTATGTCCACTGGCCGGTCATTGGATGGCATGGATTCTACATCATTTTTGCACATCTGGAGCCTTGGTTCTATGTACAGAAATGACTGAACTATGTGAGGAGGAAGCCAGCTGACTTGCCCCTGATCATTAGAAATTCGCGTGTTCCGTCACTGACGAGGGAATGATTGACGATCCCAATTGCATACGGTGTTCCAGGGCTGCTGAAGATCTCGTTGGCACTAGCACTATCAATCTTGATGGCTGGACACAGCGAGCATTCCAATGTCACATGCATTTTATTGTCATTGTCCCTTATCGAATGGTGATTGAGAGGGAGTGTTACAAGAGGGACTCGCAGTCCAAGACTGGTCATAGTCATATCCAGTCTCCCAGATCCAAGATCCAACCCTCGACCACCCATGAAGCACTGCGGTGATTGAGGAATAGCACACGAATTGTGATAATTCACAGCCTGGCCCATCCAGTTCAGGACAGAAGGGTCGCCATCCTGCATGACGGCTTCAATGAGCCTGCCGAAAGCGCGCTCTCCATCTCCATATGCGATCTGCAGGCTGACATTAAATATTCCCATCAGGGAGTAGGCCATATCCTCGACCCTTGTTGTTTTGCATCTGGCTGCCCACTGCATCTGCTCATTCACCCAAAATGCAGCTGGAGTGAAGTCGCAGATGTCACGACGAGGAATTCCAGTGGCGCTTTCCAGAGTGCTCAACATGATGCACCCGGAGCGCTCTGTATCAGGATGTTTGTCATTCTGATTACGCGTCATGGGTATCCAGTGCTGGTTGAAGAATTTGATATGGATGGGTGCAAGGAGTTCTTGCAAGGTCCAACCTCTCTCCATCCATTCATTGTGCGGTATGTTGCCCATTGTCTTGCTTTGTGCCAGATGGGCGATGCAGATCTCGACTTGCGATACCACTGGAACATGGAGCGAATCGACTCGTCGAGCTTGGCACTGCTGCTCTTGTCGATGCAGCAAGTGTCCAACCACGCAAATTCCACATCATACTCCCTAGCCTTTTCGCAGAAGTTCATCAGCTTTTCAAATCCTGGAGTTTTAAGCTCGGACTTCTTCATCTCTTCAAATGTATCATAGCTGGGCTCTCCTTCGCCCCATCGATGAGACAGAGTGGCGTACTTGACAGTTTTAAATGGTGGATGATAAGACTGGAGAAAATGCACCCTGAAGTGCTCCCTCACATCCTCACGACTAACAAGCACCATGTCTGATAGGTGTATAAGGTGGATCGGTATGTGGTTCATCACATACTGATTGAATTCGTCTAGGCGGTCTTTTGTGGATCGATCCATGACTGTTAAACTATCACAAACCTCAATGAATTTGGGGGACAAAACATGTAGTGTACAATGTCTCTCACCTCGTATGGGCGTCAATGAATGTTATGATCAGGTAGCACTGCAAAACATCTCTACAGATGTGATTGGCTACAAATTATTGGGTGAACTTCAGCATCTTACCTACGGCCAAACTTTTCGTACCTCAGGTGAGTAGCAAAGTTGCTGATAGCGGTACAATGCCAATATGATTTGTTATGATCTGTTCATCCAGGTTCATCATCAATTGAACATGTCCTGAATATCTGTTGTATATGGTGGAAACTTTACCTCAGGCTGGTGGCAATACGAAGCAGACTCGAAGATGCGCTTAGCAGTGGTATCAAGGTGGGCAGGGAAATGCGGGGACCCGATCCAAACAACATTTTATACAAGAGCGCTCAAAGTGGAGACCTGTGCCAAGTATTCATTGTGATTTATCTAGTAGGCTATGTAGCTACAGCAAGACGTTGCAAATGAAACTGCAGTGCAAGCTGGATTGGTACTTTGTAAAGGTTCCCACGGTGAATGACTATCACACTCGTGGGTGGCAAATATTGTGCTATGATTCAGCGCTGTTCAAGTTGTTCCTGCCAATACACTCTGCCGTATATGTAGCTCTTTCTCCGTTCCACAAGCGTGCCGCACTATTGTCGCGTGTCATCTGAACGATAACTCTCACATTGCTCACCCTCGTTTATCGACTGCAAGCATCAGGCATTTACTTTTACTTTTGCCTCAGTGTTCACCGTCCAGTCCAATAACCAACGCCTGGAAGACTAGGAGCAACCATGTTCGTCCATGGGGAGATGTCATCAGTGATTTGGTGGAGAAATGAGAAGGATATATCCCACAGTAGGTAGAGCTAAGAGCACCTAAATGCACCTCAGCCTCACTTTGCTGACACTGTTATGTACATAGTTCACTGAGCATCCAGCATTGTTGAATTCCATGTGACTGAACATTTCAAATCGATTTATCAATCTGATATTGCACAGCGACTTGTTGGTATCATCTTCATTTATTTTTATGATACAGGATTTACCAGAACCCATCCTATTGGGTCCATGTTAGCCCCTCCTGTCACACCCGAGAGCGGCCGACTGTCATATACCTGATCCGACCCTGATCCGACCACTCCGATACTAGTGATATCCGCTCCGCCCGACTGTTAAGACCGTGCTCAGGGTAAGGCTGAGTCTGGGGGGGCTTGGCTTCAGCTCGTACGCTGCACCCCTTACCCGAGTACGTGCCCCTAATTTCGGGATGTAGTCCGATGCGAGTTCTAAGAGTTCCGACAGGACGTTGGAGCGGGGATCCTCTGAAGGAGGACCATTGGACTACTAGGTGAGCGCGGGAAAGTCGGGTGGGGGTTCCGCCTGACAGGAGAGAGGTGGGGGACTACTGGGGTCGGATCCCACAGTAGGAACAGAGTGGGAGGAACTGCTCGGACAAAGTCCGAAGCAGAGTGGAACAGAGGGGATGGATGCGAGGGTGCGGGGTTTAATTCCGATGCGCGGGAAGTCAGACGAGCAGGGGACAGGGGGACTGAGGAACAGAGGAATGCGCAAAATAGCGGAACCCACAAAATAGCAGAACCAGCAGAACCAGTGGGACGGAGGAACGGGGAAGCGGGGAAGCGGAGGGTCAGAGGACAGCCAACCTAGGGAGTCAATCCCCTAGGTTGGGAAACACGAGTTTGACTTGGGAAAGACTTTGAAGTCAAAGATCAGAAGAGCAGGGCTTAGAAAAGGTAATATTCAGACTGAGTATCTACAGACAGATGTACATATGTTTATATACTCTAAGTGATGAGCATAGCATAGCAGAAGGCTATGTGCTGAGTGTACAGGATTACAATAGGATGACTGAGACATACAGTGGCTCACAAAAGTGTCCGAATGTTTATGCATTTTTAAGTCATTGGATAATAGCAAGCCAGCACCAAACTATAACAAAAGGGTATAATGATATGTCTGAAAGCCCTATATCAAGGCTCGAATCTGAGATATATAGCGTGGGAACCTGACCATATATGGGCAAGCTATGATAATTCTAAATACATCACTCATTCGGACACTTTTTTGACTTTATATTTAACCAAGACTATTCTATGATTCTAGTACTTGGTGTTACCCCCCTTGGCTTTAATAACTGCTGAAATCCTCCTAGGCATACTTTCTATCAATTTTTGACACTCCTCTTCAGCAATCTTTTTCCACTCTGCTGCAACTCTCTCCCATAGTTCAAATAGCCCCTTTGGAGGATCCTGATAGGCAGCAAAAAGTCTTTTGAGTAATTACCAGAGATGTTCAATGGGATTGAGGTCTGGAGACTGTGTTGGCCATGACAGAACATTGATATCATGGTCTTCAAACCATTTTGTAGCCAGTTTTGAGGTGTGCTTGGGGTCATTATCTTGTTGAAAGATAATGTCTTCTTCATAATTCCTGACTCCTGCATGCTTTTGAGTAGACACTCCTCTAGAATGGAGATGTACTGCTCTGCATTCATCCTTCCTTCCACCCCACAAAGAATCCCCACACCATTCCACCCCATACAACCCCATGCCATCATACTTCCTCCTCCAAACTTCAGTGTACCCTTGACTTCTCTTTCTCCTAATGGTTCTCCTGCCTTTTTCCACACATATTCCTGGCCATCTGACCCCATTCTATTGATTTTTGTTTCATCTGACCAAATAACCTTCTTCCAGTCTTCCACAGTCCAATATTGGTGCTTTAAAGCAAAGGCCAGTCTTCTCTTCCTATGAGCTACAGAGAGAAGAGGTTTTTTCTTCTTGGTTACAGCCTTAAGATTGGCTGCCTTGAGGGTGTTTCTAACAGTTTGGGTGGAGACAGGGGTGGAGATGATGGAATTGATGAACTTGGTAGCTTGGGTAGCATTTGAAGCCTTGCCAGATAGAATTTGGTGAACAATAGCTCTTTTGTTCTGTGGAGTAAGCTTGGGAGGACATCCCATTTGATGATTTTCCTTCTCTGGCATGTGCTGCTTTATGACTGTAGCAATAGTAGACTTGCCAAGACCAGTTTTTGAGGCAATTTACCTAGTAGATAAACCAGAGGTACAGAGAACAAGGATATTATCCTTTTGAGCAGAGGAGATGGGCTTCATGATGATTATGTTGAATTTCATGATCTTATGTGGGTTTATATATTCAAATAATATTACAATCAGACAATATTATTGTTATGACACCACTTTAATCAAGAGTATAATGTATGAATGGTCTGATTTTGTAATTTTAATAAAAAGTCAAAAAAGTGTCCGAATGAGTGATGTATTTAGAAGTACCATAGCTTGCCCATATATGGTCGGGTTCCCACACTACATATTTCAGATTTGAGCTATGATATAGGTCGTTTGGACATGTCCCTATACCATTTGGTCATTATTTGATTCTGCCTTGCTATTGTCCAATTACTTGAAAATGCATAAACATTTGGACACTTTTTTGAGCCACTGTACGAGAAAAGGCTCGGAGGAAAGTATGTACGCGACAGATCAGAACTCACTAGGGTATAGGGATCACTGGGAACACGAAAAGTGGAACTATGATACTAACAGGGATAGGACCAGTTGAGTGGTTCCTAGTCTAGGAGGGGACCGGTGAGGTGGTCGGATGGACTAATAGTCAGGTGGGACAACACGAGCAGAACCGAGTGGGTCGGAAAAGCGGAGGGAGTGGGAATAGGATCAGGCAGACTGATAGGGCGGAGGAGCAGAACCCCGGATAGGGTCGGATGGAAGGGGTATGGGGTCGGAGGACATAGGGATAATGTCGGAAAAGTGGAATGGAGTCGGGCAGAGGTAGCAGGGCTAATCCTGCTGGGATGCACTTCGTGCATTGTTGGGGAAGGAGGAATGAAGCGGACGGGGAAACAGGGGGTCGGATCAGGGATGGGGATGTTCACGGGTGGTATTGGGGGTGCTCGGATCCAGTATATGACACCAACACTCATCCCATCCGCTCCATCCATCCTCTGCTCCGTCCGATCATCCCCCGACCTTCCACCCTACGCCTCCGCTTGTCCGCTCAACCGGTCACCTCCCGTAATGTCTCCATTCAACTGGAACCTCTTTCCCCTTATAGGTATATACCTTCCTCATCCATACATAGACCCTTACTCCGGATCACCGGTAAATACCTTTACCGCTCGATCACCCATCTGACGCGTACATATTGATATCTGCTCCAACTCATATGTTATTCCACTTACTACTGTACAGTAAAACATAGCCTTTGGCTATGCCCTAGATAACACTGCCTCAATACTTAGAAGTATATATATATCATATCATGTACTTAGATATTTTCCTCAGTCTTAATATTACTTGCATTCTCGCAGTCTCTACTCATGAGGATTCTCCATAGGACCCTGCTACCTCTGGACACGAGTTTCGTCTCATTGTCACCTCCGACACCCTCTGCTTAGACTTAGAGCCGCACTCTAAGTCTTCCTTATTACTTCCTTGCTCGTATCAATAACTCCTCTGCCCCTATCACCCTCCGCGTTACTTCCCCGACTCCTCCGCTCCACTCCTAGTCGGCCTGCCGCTTGTAGCGCTTACCTCCCAACCCTCAAAGCGGACCTTAGTGGTCCACCCGTCCTACCATCGGACAACGTCAGACCCGCTCCAAATTCAGGGCATGTACTTGGCTAAGGGCGCAGCACAAGAGCTGAAGCCAAGCCCCGACCCCTCTGCTACCTGAGAGCACAGTACCTAACACCAACCTACAGACCCTCACTGCAGTTGTTTCGCATTCTGTGTGCTGTGCAGCTTCAAGCATTTGTATTATGCCCACAGGCCAGTCCCCTCCACGTGGCATAAGTGCTCACTATGTCAATCGCATTTAACAAACTGAGTTCATGCGGGACACTGCAGACGAGGTGTCGATGTGGCCCTCCGGACATCATATAACAATCTTGAAATCACGGCAATCTGTGATTGCT